CGGGTTGGATCTTCTTTAAGTACAAGGTAGGTATTGTTAGATAATTAGAGTTTACTGGACTGGACTGGGCTGGGCTGGATTGAATTGTTCGACTCCATAATTTTTGTTCTTTTCGGGTCGACGAGGGCTCTGTGCGTATGCATATTGCAAACTCGACCTACTAATGTACTGTACAGTTTTTGTAGTTACGGTTGCATATCAGCAATCAAATCAAATCCTGCTGTGACGCATTAGTCGAGGCAGAAGGTGAGAAAAAATAGAACACAAAAAAACAAAACGTCATAATCCACGACCTACCAATTCGGTATGTAGGTTTTTACAGATTGTTTGTCTGTCTGTCTGTCCTTTGGGCCTTGTCCTAGTCCCAATCCCAGTCCCAGTCCCAGTTCATTGGGGTTGTACAGAGGATGGGGAAAATCAAGTTAGATAGAACTGTCCTACGGTAATTGGGCTTCTGTTTCGTGCGCACCTGTACTGTAGTTACACACTCCCACATCCACATCCCTTGGCCCTGGCCCCTGTTCGTGCGACCCTCCTTCTCTATATTATGTTTACGCTTTACATGGCTATCTGCCTACATATTCTCGGTACATACACTCATACATGAAGGTACACAGATAAGTCCTCTGTCGTGTCACCCATGCACAACGCATGGTGTAGTCATGTTCGACCCTGTCAAAGCTACATGAATGAGCACTGCACTGCTTCGGAACTTGCATTTATCTATCCATTACCCATACCTCTGAGAGAGGCCTGTACATACGTATAGCCATCGTGGACATATACAGAGGTGGTTGTCTGAAGAACGAACAAGGATACCAACGTCCGTATAATTATGCACAACGTACTCCGTAGAATATATCTAGATGCCAGATCCCTACCCCAGGAGCATTGTCCACTGGCCGCTGCAGTTTCTGTTAGCCAAAGCTTGATATTCGCCGCCCTGTTGAGGGCTTGACGGTTGGAAAAAACAAGTAAATACTGTAGGCAGATGTAGAGCCGATGCACGGGGATGGTTGATTTGGAAAGATGGCTGGGGGTGATCGGACAAAGTGTAGGGTATTCTTGCTTTGGTGGTAGCTAGGTACAGTGCTATATATATGTTGGGGCACACACCGTACTGTAAACATGCGCATTTATCCTTGGGTGAGCTGAGATGAGATCGTGTGTTAATTTATATATTATTATTCAGCTACTACTGTAGTTATTAATTGATATAGTTAGCTAATATGTACTCACGGACCCATACATATCTATCGGTGCAGCAACCTGCGTGTCCATCGAAAGTACAACGAATAGCGGCATCTCCGCAGTTAGAAGGTTCCGAGTTTCGATAGGTGGAGAGCGGGCTCCCCGGGAGGGATTGAATCCGTGCGGCCTGCCGTGCTGATGCATCCGAGAAGTACCTGGCACTGAGGACGCCCCGTACGGAGTACTGTTGTCAATGTTGTTCTGTGGGTGCGTCGGGTAGGGCCCTATCTAGGTAGCTGCTACTGCTAGCAATTACCGTAGAAACTTGAAGGGGGCCAACTGTTCCTATTCTGTAGATTTAGGGGTGTAGATCATGTTCCCTCCTTCTATATTTGTTAATTAGAAGATTACTCTCCCTAAAATTTGTGTACATAGAGCCAATGGAATTGTTGGCATTGATCGTGCGTCGCGGCTTGCTAGCGTAGGTAGGTAGCGTTTACCGCTGGTGGTGACTGTTAGTGGTGCGAACGCGATCCCTCCGGTTTGAAAGGGCCGAGACTCGGGCCCGAAGTAAGGCAAAAAGAGGAGATTTTTTGGGTCCCCTAATACTGATGAGGAAAGGGGGCGCAAGAGGGTTAAGAATGCTCGGGTAGTTCTCCAGAATCAGCTAGATTTCCCGCCGGCGATGCAGTCCCTGTGACAGAAGAATAAGACAATATATACAAGGTAACAGAAAGAATAAACAGAAAGATGAAGATTCATGGACAGTGAGGGGGTGGAAAGCGCCAGGATACTGATAGTTGTGGGCGCGTGCTAGGTAGGCAGCATTTATGTTTGATTGATTTGAAAGGGGTGGGAAGGGAAGAGAAGGGAAGGGACGGGCATAATAATAATTAGCGGCAGAAGGGCAACAGAGCAGTCAAAAGAGATGAACAAAAATAAAAGCCAGCACAAATACTCCAAGGAAAAAAGCAAAGACAGAAAAAGATTGGCCCACCTAGGTGATGTATCAAGTATCAAGATCATCGACATCAACGGATCAGCATCGGGAAGAGCCCCACTTGATGGAATCCGTTAGGAATCTGTGGCTGCCAGGGTGGCTCATGGGCCTAATTTTTTCTTTTTCCCCTCCGGCGCTGTACTTTGGTTGCCTGCCTAATGGGGGGGATTAAGTAAGCGGCTGCTGCGAGAGGAAACAATGACGAAAGGGGCGAGCCGCGAGATCAGTATGACGATTTGCTTTCTTTATTGAATCATTTATCCACTCTTCGAGTCTTCAATCTACTTTTGTGCTTGATACCGCGTTGTGCGAGACCATCAACTTTGATTTACTTTTTTTTTTGGTGGTAGAGTTATTTTCCTTCTACAGGGGGATGGAAACACAAAGAAGGAAGAGACAAAAAAATCCAGCGGGCCGCTGCAATCCAGCACAGACATTCATCTGCCAGAGAGCTGAATATTGCCGGGTATATGCAGCCGAAGTTGACGTATGGCACTGTCAGATGGGAGGGGGTTGCGAAGCAGGGAAAATAAATAGGCAGAAGGGAAGGGAGGGTAGGAAGGGCAAGACCCGGAGAGGGGGGATGGGGATTTTCGCTTGGATATTGGTTGACGGATCCGACAAGTCGTTACTCGTAAAAACTCATCCATGGGAGGGGAGGCAGGGGAGGGATTGGAGAATGGGCCGCAGAGGGTCCTACTCCATATGTACGCAAGTGCATGTATTGTCCGGCACCAGCCTAAGCCTAAAGGTAAGGCCAGTTTCTGGGATTATTGGGGGCGGCGACTGCAACATTTGCAGGTGGTCTGGGTGGAGCACGCCTCATGCCTAACTAGGCTGCCGGGAGCTTAGGTAGTTGAGCTTTTGGCTCGTACGCCAGTCATGGCTGTCGGCTGCAGCCCCACTGCCGCGGTCAGGAATTATTGGCGGCACTCCGTAAGTAATAAACGGCACTAATTTTTGATTTATTAAATAATAAATCAATGGCACGGGGAAGAGAGGGCCGGTGGGTCCGTGTTCCATGGACCACCTGCAGCCTCTCGGCGAGTCACAACCGGGGGTTCGTGCTAGACTCCCCTAAGTTTCTCTTTCCCCCCATCTCTGATGGTTGCTTTTCTGGCGCTGGCTTCGGCGCTTGCATCCTCGTCAGACACTGCCCTGTTTCGGGGGGGGCTAGTTCGACTCCATATGAAGTTGTGAACTGAATTTCTTTATTTTTTTATTTTTTATTTTTTATTTTTTATTTTTTTTCTGTTGTGCTTCACCTTATTTTATTTTTGTATCTGTATTTTTATTTTTATTCTCATGTATCCCCCTGCTGATTTGCCTTCCCTTTCCTTTTTGTTCAATCCTGCTTCAAATACAACGACTACCCTACCCGTCTTCCATCCTTCCCCTCCCAACATTTTATTTTGCTTACCCGTTTTATTAACGCGACTTATTTTCTATCACATTGGCCCCGCCCGCCAACACGACACTAATCGTTGCTTCCCTAGCGTATTGATCAATGGGCATTTGTCCTTCCTTCTCCATAAATATCAATGTATAAAATAATAACAGTAATTAAAAACGTCTCACTTGGGATGAGTCCTGTAGCGGAATAGAGAAAAAAAAATTATGAGGAGAAAAGAAATGATATAAGGCGATGGGTAACAACCACGCGTGGTGAGGCTGAGACCTGCCAGATTGTATGGAGTACAGATGGACGGAACAGGACGGAGTATGGGGTCCAGGGGATTTTTTTTTTAATTTCTCCCTCCGGCATCGTTATCGAGGTGCGTATATACTTCGTTAGACCCAAGATCGCACGATGAAATCTGACTACGTATGTGTAGCATTAGCCGACCAGAGTCGACTCGGAAGGGAGGAGAAGAGGGAGCTCCGGCGCCCGGAAAATTTTAACTGTAAATATCCGCGGACACGACTCCAGATTGTCCCCACCCGCTAGGCCGTTCCTGGACAGGAAGCTGTCTGTCTAGGTCTTGGCGCCGGACGACCGCCATCTCAGCTTTTCCGTGCTTTCCTTTGCTTTCGCTGACTGCTCGAGAGCTGCACAACCACTAGCGCCGCTTGGCAAATTTCACTCATTACCACCAGCCCCTCGACCATTTCTCTCTCTTCCTCTTCCTCTTCTCTTCTCTTTTCTGGCTTCTTTTCCCTTCCCCTTTCGCGTTTCCTTGCTTTCCCTTTTGGTGGCCTTTGTCTCCCCCACCCCTGTTCTTGTCTTATACAACCGTTGCGTTGATTTCCCCTCCAATCTTTTCACCTTCCACCCTTTCGCTATTCACTATCCCTTTCTGGTCTCTTGAGGCCTGTCTCCGTCTGTCTCCGACCCTCTATTCGTGTCTCATTTCCTTTCTCTACCACCCTACCATATCCCGCCTGGCTATATCTTGCTTTCTTTCCTTGACCATCCTGTCCTCTCTGCCACTTCGGTACCTGAGTGTCAGCCGCATTGTAGCTGCTGGCGCTTGCTCAACCATCTTTCTCGTGTCACCTGACCCCGTTGATCGCGAGAGGCGGTAATAATTTCGTCCTGTCGTCACTTGAAAGCTGGAGTTTTGCGCACTATTGATGCTGCGGTTGGTTTGCATCCGCAATTGTCTCTGAATCTTACCTCGCGAAGAAGTCGCGCTTTTCGGTAATCGGCGCCCTCAGCTCGCGCGATTACTGACATCGGGACTGTGCAACCTTTCAGTGACACGGACACGCATTGCATCATTGTGTCGCATAGTGTATGGGAGCTCCCGGTGGTGATCTAATCATACATCGACTACGTTACGATTCGGTTTAACAGCGTTCCGGCATCATGGCTCACACCCAGCCATCACCCACGGGAGGCGTCACGCCTCACCATGGTCATATCGCAGCCCATCCACAGGTCAACGGACACATTCAGTTGCAGTCTCAAGGCCAAAAGGGTCATCCCCTTAACACCGCCCAAAAGATTGCTGCGCTGAACGAGCAGGTTTGGCTTCAGATCGGTAAGGGATTCTTCCTCTGCGCTCTTGTCGCAGTCACTCGGAACATCGCCGGAAGACAACACGTGTACTGACAACTTCCTTTAGGGAGCTTGACTGAGCTGATGGGCGATCTTGATGGCGCAATGAATGCTTATGAGCAGGCCTTGCGCCACAACCAATGGTCTATCCCTGGCATGAACGCGGTATCTTGTATCTTGCGGACAAAGGAACAGTTCCCGAAGGCCATTGAATATCTTCAGAATATTTTGAAACTGGACCCAACCAGCGGCGAAACTTGGGGCAGTTTGGGTATGTTGATTGGTTCTCGACACGACTTGCTATAACACCACTAATCGCACTTTAGGTCATTGTCATCTTATGATGGATAACCTGCAAGAAGCCTACACTTCCTACCAGCAGGCGCTTTATCATCTGCGCGACCCCAAGGTAAATAACCTTTTTTTTTTTCTTAAAAAAAAGTACACTTGTGACTTTCGCTAACCCGTGACCGTGTTTCTAGGAACCCAAGCTTTGGTACGGAATTGGTATCTTGTACGATCGCTACGGATCTCTCGATCACGCCGAAGAGGCATTCTCCCAGGTCATGCGAATGGCGCCCGACTTCGAGAAGGCCAACGAAATTTATTTCCGCCTGGGAATCATCTATAAGCAGCAGCAGAAATTCAACCAGAGTTTGGAGGTAGGCTCGATTAGATTATACTCGACGAAATTTCGCCATAGCAAGATGAATTTCTAACATTTCGTTTTTTTCAGTGCTTCAAATACATCGTCACGGACCCCCCTCGCCCGTTGACGGAAGAAGATATCTGGTTCCAGATTGGCCATGTCCACGAGCAGCAGAAGGATGTAAGTCGCTAAAGTGATCAAGCTTGTCAGGGAAAAAAATAGCTAACCTTCACTTTTTTTCATAGTTCGAAGCTGCCCAGCAGGCTTACAGGAGGGTGTTGGATCGCGACCCCAACCACGCAAAGGTTTTGCAGCAGCTTGGATGGCTGTATCACCAGCAGAGTACTAGTTACGCGAGCCAGGAGAAGGCTATTGAGTATCTTGAGAAATCTGTCAGCGCAGGTAGGTCTACTCCATCTTGAACACCATGGAATGTGATGCTAATTCGAATTTTGTCGCTTCAGATAACAGTGATGCGCAGAGTTGGTATCTACTTGGTCGTTGCTACATGTCTCAAGCCAAGTATCCCAAAGCCTACGAGGCTTATCAGCAGGCGGTCTACCGCGACGGAAGAAACCCAACGTTCTGGTGCTCGATCGGTGTGCTCTATTACCAGATCAATCAATACCGTGACGCGTTGGATGCCTACTCTCGTGCTATTCGCCTGAATCCCTACATTTCGGAGGTCTGGTACGATCTGGGTACTCTGGTGAGTCTATTGGCAAAGTCCTATGCAAATTAGGAAGAATTGTCCGCTAATACCTTTTGCTTTCAGTATGAGTCTTGCAACAACCAAATCGCGGATGCCCTCGATGCCTACGGTCGCGCAGCTGATCTTGACCCCGCCAACGTTCATATCAAAGCCCGATTGCAACTTCTCCAGAGCCAGCTTTCGGGCACCAACCAGAACAACGCTCCTGCTCCTCAGCCCCAAGATGTTCATCCACAAGCCTACCAAGCCCCAGGCGTTGCCGGACCCCCGGCGCCCCAGTGGGCCGCGCCCACGCCGACTGGAGGACCCCCTCCTCAGCCTCCAGCGCCCCCCAGGCAGATCGCTGACTGGAATCGCGGCATCAACGAGCTTCAGTCGCAGGCCCAGGTGCAAAGCGCCAATGGATTCGATCACCGCGACGCGCTTAGAGCCCCAGGAGCCATCCAGCAACCTAGCCCCCGCCAGGAGCCAGGAAGGATGTTCCCAGACGTTATCCGTGCACCGGCACCGACTCGCTCTCCCAAGACTACCATGGCTGGCGGCCCTACCGTTTACACGCCCGCCCACGCCCTCCCGCAACTTGCCAACCCTCCGGCTCCTTCTCACGAGCGTGCTCCTAGTGGTGCCGTGCCTTTCGCCTCTGCTTCTCGCGGCCCGTTGCCTCCCGCTCCCGCGCCTCCGGCTGGACCAGGTGCTCCCAATGGTGCTCCTACTCCTGGTGGGCCTTTGCCTCCCTACCATCGCCCTTTCACTCCTCCGGCTGAAATCAGGCCCATCCGGGATGAACGTCCATCCTCTCCGGGATCTACCTACCCTCATCAACAGTATCACCACGGCCCTAGCGTCCCGGTGCAAACCCCCGGCAGCACCGGCATCGCTGGTGGCGCGCCCCCACCTCCGTCGGCTATCACTGCCGCTGAAGCGGCTGCCCGCGATCGTGAGGATCGTCCCGCTTCGGCCATGAAACGCGGTCGCGAATGGGAAACCGAGGCGGGCCCTGTCAAGAAGATCGCCAACGAGGAGACCCGCGCTCGTCTTGATGAGCAGGTCACTCGTCGCGTGACTCCCCCAAACCGCATGCCCTCTCCCGGCGAGATGCAGCGTCGTAGCTCCTCAGAGATCCGCCGTGAAGACCAACGCCGTATCAACGAGAACTACCATCCGTCAGAAGCGGCTCACCATCCTCCCACGCTGCCTTCTATTCAGCATATGCCTCCACACCCGTCCGGTGGACCCAGCCTTCCTCCGATGGCTGAAAACTCTGCTCCTGCGTCGAACGGACCCCCGTCCGGACCGCCGTCTGCGCAGCTTCCAATCAAGGAGGAACCCACTCGCGGTGAACAGGCCCCTGCTCACGAGCCTGCTGCACGGAAAATGGACGTGGACGAGAATTATGATGATGACGAAGATGATAAGCGGGCGAACACCGTTGCAAAGGGCAGCCCTGGAAGTGGGTCGGGCAGCGTCAACAACAGCACCAGTGGGGGTCTGAGCGGAGGCGCCCCGTCCTCGTCGAAACAAGAGCCTGCCGTTTAAGACGCTCTAAGACGCTCTGCTCTTTGCATGATCCTTGTTGATGCCATTCAAGCAAATTTCTAGGGAACCTTGAGTACCTTCTAGCTTTGATTTCTCGTCATATGGTATTATTTACTTCCTTCGTTAACACAATCCTCCAACGTTTTCTTTCTTACTCCGTTTATATACGTATAGTTTTCTCACCCCCCTTTCCCCGGTGGCACTCGTTTCGTGTTCGTCAGCTGTGTTAGCACCCGGATTTGTATTGTATGATTTGATAACCCGTGGATCGAAGTGGTATTCTGAAGTGCTTTTTGTACCTACATGTTCACTTTATTCACTCTATGACACCTTCTCCCTTGTTCTTTTTCTTCACTTTTCTTCTCTTCTTTTATTAACCCATGACTTTTGCTCCAATTCTTAGCCTTGTGACAACCCATCTGTTGAGATCTCCTATCTTTGTTTTTACGTTCTGGTACTCCAGTGAATGATCAAGATTTGTTTCCTATATATGGGCTTGACTATGTGTTTTGTAGAGCGTGCTGTTTTCAGTGGCATGAAACCTGCATAGTAATGAGTAACATATTGTTCAATCTATAGACCGAATCTTCCAGAACGTCTACGGTACTACTCCGGAGTAGCAAACCCAAACCCAAACCCACTTTGGTCCAAGCGAGTGGCAAACGAGAGAAGTCGAGAGTCGCAATTTTGGGAATTTCGTTGCGTGTTGTGGCCTGAGGACGCTATACTCCGAAACGGAAATAGCCCGACCGACCGAGGGCCTCAGGCGGTCAGGCCTAGGGCGGTTCACGTGCTCTGTGGAGACCCACGCCAAGCCTTCGCTTAGCCCACATTCGTTAAGCGTTGCAAAATACGACTTCCGGCAAATTCAGAGAGAGTCCTTTCCCACTCACCACTTCGACGACTAACGACAACAGGGTCAAGATGTGAGTACCAATGCGCCCATACCAGTATTATATTGCCAATCGAATGGAATTGCTAACGTCGCTTTTCTTTTCAGGAGTCACCGGAAGTACGAAGCGCCTCGGCACGGTTCGTCAATCAATATTCAACTCTTGCGGCTTCGAAATTTGCAGCCGTGTGCGTTCATTTGTGCGATATACTAACACAACTCTCTACAGGCTCGCTTGCTTTCCTTCCCCGGAAGCGCGCCACGAGACACAGAGGAAAGGTCAAGAGGTTAGTTCATTATTCGACTGGGACGAATTTTGGGGATGCGAAGAATCGTGGACTAAGATATTTTGCGCAGCTTCCCCAAGGATGACCCCAAGAAGCCCGTCCACCTGACGGCCTCCATGGGCTACAAGGCCGGTATGACCACCATCGTCCGTGACCTTGACCGACCCGGTGCCAAGATGCACAAGAAGGAGGTCGTTGAGGCTGCCACCGTTGTCGAGACTCCTCCTGTATGTTCTCTAAGAACCCTTCTCTGTGAAGATTTTTTTTTTTTTTTCAAACCTTCAGTCACTAACCGGGGTGTCTTTTCAACCATTAGCTTGTGGCTGTCGGTGTTGTCGGCTACATCGAGACTCCCCGCGGTCTCCGCTCGCTCACCACCGTCTGGGCTGAGCACCTGAGTGACGAGGTCAAGCGTCGCTTCTACAAGAACTGGTACAAGAGCAAGAAGAAGGCTTTCACTAAGTACGCCAAGAAGCACGCCGACGAGTCCGGCTCCGCCATCACCCGCGAGCTTGAGCGCATCCAGAAGTACTGCACCGTCGTCCGTGTACTTGCTCACACCCAGGTCCGCAAGACCCCTCTCAAGCAGAAGAAGGCCCACCTTATGGAGATCCAAGTCAACGGTGGCTCCATCCCCGAGAAGGTTGAGTTCGCTCGCAACCTGTTCGAGAAGCCCATTGAGATCGACAGCATCTTCGAGAAGGACGAGATGATCGATGTCATCGCCGTCACCAAGGGTCACGGTTTCCAGGGTGTCACCAGCCGTTGGGGCACCAAGAAGCTTCCCCGTAAGACTCACAAGGGTCTGCGTAAGGTCGCCTGTATCGGTGCCTGGCACCCTAACCACGTCCAGTGGACTGTTGCCCGTGCCGGTCAGATGGGTTACCACCACCGTACCTCTTGCAACCACAAGGTCTTCCGTGTTGGCAAGGGTACCGATGAGGGCAATGCCGCCACCGAGTTCGATATCTCCAAGAAGCAGATCACCCCGTAAGTTTCTCTCGACCTGATGACAGAAACAACAAGGAATGAGACTAACAAATATTTACAGCATGGGTGGTTTCGTCCACTACGGTGAGGTCAAGAACGACTTCCTGCTGCTCAAGGGTTCCATCCCTGGTGTTAAGAAGCGTGTCATGACTCTGCGTAAGACTCTGTACCCCCAGACCAACCGCAAGGCCACCGAGAAGGTCGAGCTCAAATGGATCGACACCTCGTCCAAGTTCGGTCACGGTGCTTTCCAGACCCCCGAGGAGAAGCGTGCTTTCATGGGTACCCTCAAGAAGGACCTCGTTACCTCTGCCTAAGGTGTTTATGGGAATGTTGGTATGGTGTAGTTCATTTATTATCTCTTTTCAATAAAAAAAGCGAAGAATACCTTTTTCAAAGATCTCTCCGTCTGGGGTGGAAAGAGAAATAAGTGATTTCTAGTTTTTACGTAGCTGCAAGGGCAATTTAATGACTGTTCCGAAAGAAAGAATCTTCCTCTGCGCAAACGAATTTATACTTGTAGATTGTGCATATAATTGTGCATTCGTGCGATGAGAAAATTTCGATAGTTCCCTTAACAGACCTGTCATTCCCTCCTATATGCTAAACTCTCCCTCTCCTAAGTTAGTCGCTTGTCTTTTGTCTAACTAGTTAACGAGAATTAATAAGTTGCGTTTTATTATTCTTTATTATCAATTATCATTATTACTAGCAGTCTTCCCCTCCGTGCCCCCGTTCGTTGTCCTGATGCAAAGGTGGCAGGGAACCTGCCGGGCGCATTGCGTCATTGATCGCATCACAAGTCGGGCTTCAACTTCATCGCCAGAGGGACTTCTCGCCTCCCGCCACTTCCGTCAATATCATCACCAGTCCTGTTTCCAAATCTACCCCCAACGCCATCCACATCTCCTCACCTCGTCCAGACAACCCACCCGCTTGTCTCCCCCTCGTACGCCTCGTTCGAGCATCATCATCACCCGCACCATGTCCTCCGACGATGCCTACATGTCCTTCCTGGACAAGGCCAACGCAGACCTCAATACCGCCCGAAACCAACCGTCCCAGAATGTCTCGTCGTCCGTCGCTCGCACTGAGACCGTTGATGCGGGCGTTCGCGTCCCCGCCCCTCTCACCTCCATCGATGCCTTCTATACCTCCGAGACAGACGAGCCGTTTGAACCGGTCACGCTGAGATGGGACGGGGCTTCGCGCGGCCTTTTCCCTGATCCTTGTATGTGATTTTCGTCCATTATTATCCTATCAACCCCATATAATACAATATAAATCTGGTCCGCTAACTCCCAAATAAATAGCCCACCTCTCATCCCTCGTCTCCCCCACCACCGACCTCTCGTCCTCCATCACCACCCTCCCCGCATCCTCCTTCGACCCGAAAAACCAATACTCGGGGCCCCTCCGCGCCGTCCGCGCCGCGGCTTCCCAAGCCTCCGGGGGCGACGAGTCTGCGGTAGAGGTGAAGGTGTACCGCGTAGAAGTCGGGACGTCGCGCGTGGAATATTATGTGTTGGCGTTGGATGCTGAACAGGGGTTACTCGTTGGGCTGAGGGCTAAGGCTGTTGAGACTTAGTTTTTTTTTTTTTTGGTTTCTTCACTTGGGTCTCTTTTATGGTGTTTGTTGGTGGGAGAGATGCGTGGCATGGCTGGAACCTACCCTCCTCGTCTTCTGACTTCGGGGGGATGGAATGTCTAGTTACTTTCTATGTTGTATTTTTTTAGTTCTCCTTGTGTTTTTATCCTGTTGTTAATTTGTGAGAATGAATGAATAAATGATGAGACATTAATGATGATTTAGAAAACACCGGTTGGTAAATATATGTGTATATTTTGGTGTGAAGCGGCTGCCGATGCATGAATCCTGAAAGTCATACCGTCGAAACGTTACTATATATACAGACCCATGTACATGCAAGTAATACATAAATCCAGATCAAATGCAACACATATGTGCAAAATCGATTCGCCACTCATCATGAAAACTGAAAACATAGAGAGAGCAAATCCCGGAGTTAGGACCACCACTATATCCCCAATATACAGACACTCTACCAACTATAGTAAAATCCCTCGCTACAAACCGTTATCGATTTATAAAACTGGATATAATATAATCTACGGATGAATACGGATTCGAGTCTGGTTAATTATAGCTGGTGTTGCATGTTTCATGCGTACTTCGGGCTGATATATGTATGTAGCAGGAAGCAAAATACGGCTACATATTCATTCAAAGAGGCAAGGGGTATATAGAGCGTGAGATTTACAAGTCCTGATGGGATATTGACCAGTTCTATTTTAGTCTCTTGTACAAGTCGTTTCATCGTGGTTTGATGATAAGGCGTAGACGCAGGGCTAGGGGGATCGATAGAGGGCATTGTTATAGGGTACTGGGAAAAGGCATGGGTAGATTTCTATTTCTTTTTGGGACCTATTGCTATCTTGTAGTAGTTTTATCATTCAGTCGTATTGATTTAGATCGATGGTAAAATTTTATGGACCTGCTATTTGGCAGGGGGCAAATAAATGGAAAACCATCATATATATAATATATGCAACTATTCCTCAATTGAGATACACAGATAAGGTCTATAGATCGTCAAAAAGATACTCGAAGAAGAAACTGATAAGTGCTTCACCACTGAGACCTTGACCGGCTTCCCTTAATTAGGAAACATGTTTGGGTGGAATGAGCGATTGACTGGTATGTGATCCGGTGGAATGAAGGTAGTATCTGGATCCGAGGAATCTCGGGAAGTGACCAAGTAGGAGGAACACCAGGTTAAGGTCCGTCTAACTGGCCGGAGTAGGACGCGTAGTCTGGAATGGTATTATCCAGGAAATGGCCATGGTTGAACTTTGACTTCAAGACTTTGAGCCTTGAAAGTGTAGGTCTTTGGAAGTGTCGATTAATTGCCGGAGAGGTACTGGCAGGTAGATGATACCTGATAATACCGGGAGTTTCTTCGGCCGTTAGAGTACCCGACACCTCCAGAGTACGCGGGCGCCGAGAGACCATCAGTAGTTCGACGCTAAGACGGGGAACTCGACCCACCGAACACCTTCAAGATTCCAACGTCCATTCAATCGTGAATCCACCAGGCATTCATTCCGCGCTTTGCCCGGAGCAACGCGAGATTTTGCTTAGGTATGGACTACGGAGAGACGCGTGGACTGCCTCAAACTGTACCATGTAGCCTCTTGGGTCGCCAATCGATGGGAATTCATAGCGCCTGCCAAGTATAGAACCACCTGATGAAACTCACAAACTGTAGGCGCAATGCATATACCTTTTGCTTGATTGAAATAACCATGCAGGTACTGCTGGGCTGGGGTCGCCTTTGCACGCTGCAGGCAACAATCTCCACATGCAGGGGGCCGGCATGCTCGATGGAAGATCAAGCATTCCCGAGCTTGGAGCGCTGCTCGGCCAAGGGCAATGCCTCGCTCTGAATTATGAAGCTGTCAGGCAAACGCGCACATTGTTTTGGTGTATCCCTTGTTTGGACGGGTGGAATTTCAATGGATCTGGAAAAGCATGAGCGTGCGAGACTGCATGGACTTGTGCTACCGGCAGTGGGCAAACAGGGATTGGCATCCCTTTCTTGAGTGTCTGGACCATCTCGATTCTCATGCCCGCCTTCATTGCTGGCTCTCCCTCTCTCTTCTCCTAACTGGCTGTTGTTGTTTCCCCCTCCTTCCCATACTGGACTTGTGTTGACGCTCGAAACATCTGCCACTCGCCGTCATCGTCTGTCTTCATCCTCCGCACCTTCTTGTCACTCGCTACCACCATCTTATCTTCTATCCATCCTAATTTATTCTTTCATTTGAGGGACAATCAGGCATTGACTATCTTGTCCCGTCCACTCGTTATTCTCGTTCTTTACGCCAACCAGTCCCACCACGCGTCGACCGCTTCGCATCCCCGAACGACAGCTCCAAACCAGTCATTACCGAGGAACATACGCGGTTTCAATCAGGTCGAAAGCAAAAAAATAAATTAACTAACATACAAACTGTCTTGATGGACTTTCTCTGGTGATATTCAAGTGATCGATAGTCCGCAGAATTAGACCAGTTCAGTTGGCTTCTTGGATTGTCTGCATATACAATTCAGCGTCAATTCACGATACAGACTACAGATATAAGACACAGACACCCAGTGCTTCAGAGTCAGCGTTGGAATCCCCCCGTATTTTCGACATACCCGGGGCCGAAACAATCGTAGCTCCACGGCAGGGTAGTCTGTAGGAACAGCCTATCATTAACTGTCCAGAATGACCGACGAGTCCACTAACCCGCCTGTACCACCTCATATTCGAGTCAACTCGGGCCAACATGACCCATTCGAGGATGCAGAGAATGGAGCCCCAGCTCCACGGCCACAGTCTATCGGACGGGCCTTAACGCCTGGAATGGTGCCGTCGAACTCATCAGGCACGATGCAAACGGTGTACGGATCACCCGTGGCTCAAGATTCGACAGAATTCCTAATACCCCCAAAACCGCGGGGACGGCGCGAGGATTACGATAGCGCGCAGTCGCCGAATTTGTCCATGGCCTCGTCACGACGAACCAGCTGGAGCTCCGGAGACACGCGGAAATACTCTTACACGCGAATGGAAGAATCGCGAGCGCCGTCGCGCGCAGGCAGCGACGATAACGATGTGAACACGCAAACCGTGACCGAGAAGTTCAACATCATGCCGACGGAGGGATTACTTCTGTTCCCGGAGGACGTGGAGAAAGATGATTACATGCACAACCCGGACCCCAATGATCGGGAAAAAGAGTGCGATATCTGGAATCGACGAGGCATGATCAACGTGGGTGGGTTGGTTCTGCTGACTCTTGGATTTATAGTCCTGTTCGTCGGGTATCCTGTAATGTATGAACATTGTGTCTCTCTGGTCCTTACACGTGGAAAATCTGTTTACTGACTGTTGCCAGAACTGCTGTGAAAGAACTAGAAAAAGGGGGAAGCACGGTATGCGAAGCCGGAGACACTCTCTGTCTCGACGTAGGAGAGCGACCGGTACTGTCCAATCTACGGAAGGGCCTAATAGATCCCGACACCCCGGATTCTGCGAAGACGAAGAAGTCGGTCGACGGCAAGGAGTGGAAGTTGGTGGTGAGTGTGTTGCGACACAACCCAAAAGATCTTTGTTTGCGCCGCAGGTCTGGCTGACTCGCATGGTAGTTTTCTGATGAATTTAATACCCCCGGGCGCACGTTCTATGATGGAGATGATCCGTATTACCAAGCAGTGGATATCTGGTATGGTGTGACGCAAGATTTAGAGGTTTGTCACCCCTTAACTGCCCCCGTGGACGCAGGCTGACGCTATACTCAGTGGTACGATCCAGACGCTGTGACGACAAGGGATGGCGTACTAGAACTGAGATTCGATGCCTTCAAGAACCACGAGTTGAAGTACCGCTCCGGAATGGTCCAAAGTTGGAACAAACTCTGCTTCACGGGAGGACGGCTGGAAGCAAGTATATCCTTGCCCGGCTCAGGCGATGTCTCCGGATTTTGGCCCGGATTTTGGGCGATGGGAAATCTCGGTCGGCCTGGATATGCCGCGACGACGGATGGTATGTGGCCATACAGTTATCATGACAAGTGTGACCCGGGAATCACTCCCAATCAAAGCTCACCGGACGGAATCAACTTCCTGCCCGGAATGCGCCTTCCAGCCTGCACATGCGACGGGGGAGACCACCCGAGCCAAGGGAGATCTCGAAGTGCACCCGAAATCGATGTGATCGAGGCCAGCGTTATCCCGTTGAACAACAACCCCAACGCAGTCGTTGGCTCTGTCTCGCAAAGTTTGCAGATGGCTCCGTTTGACGTATGGTATATGCCCGATTATGGTACGTGTTGATTCATCCTGTGGTCATTGCCCACCATCTAACATTGAACTAGAATACACTGCTGTGTATGACCAGCAGATTACAGAGCTCAACGATTACCGCGGAGGTGAATTCCAGCAGGCGATGTCCGGTCTCACGAACTTGAACAACGACTGGTACAACGGCTCGGCTTATCAATCTTATGCTTTCGAGTACACTCCGGGCGCTGAGGGAAATGTCACCTGGTTCGTCGGTGCGGATAAGACGTGGACGCTAGATGGGAGGGCTATAGGGCCGAATGGCAACATCGGCCAGCGAACAATCCCAATGGAACCGTTGGCTGTCGTTATGAACTTGGGTATGGCGTTGAGCTTTGCTGCCATCAACGACTCCATTAAAAGCTACATGCCCGGTTATATGCGGTTCGATTACATCCGTATCTATCAAGACCCCGACGAAGTCAGCGTCACTTGTGATCCCCCGGGGTACGAAACGACCGATTACATCAAAGAGCATCCGAACGCGTATAACAATGTGAATAAGACAACATGGTAAGACCGACCTTCTCCGACTGCACGGATCTCCATACTGACTGTTTCCCAGGGCGGATGCTGGATATGATTGGCCTAAGAACTCTTTCATGCATGGATGCTAACCCCCTTTACGCGATTATTTCTCTTCTCCTTTTAAATTCTCTTCACTTTGTATACGATTGACAAGACGTTCCATTTCAATCCCGACAGCCACCTTGCACATTCCTTTGTAATCTCGGATACCATCTCTTTTACTCCTCGTGGCAATCCGGATGAGCTGGGGTGGGCATCGCATACTTTTTTGAAGGTCTTCTTTTTTACCTCAAGTTCCTCATCTCAACTGGTCCTTTATCATGGTGTCGCTGGTTGTTTAGCGGCATTGATTTCCTGGTGTTGGGGCGTATCCGATTTGAATTCATGGTTTTTTCTTTCTAAAAAGGGGTTGGCTATCACTTTGCATATTCTAGTACATTTATCTACTTATTTTCCAGGACTTGATCTTCTTATTTTTCTCGCAGGTTCGACCGCCATCTCTTGTGAGACCTGTACCTTAATATTGTATAGTTCCCTTCCAGCAGGCAACCGGATGAGTCAGCAAGGCAGGCCAGTCGATCACGGGCACCGGCAGGGCGTCCCTTCGATTCATCTGCAGGCATCCTTTCGGCTTTGCTCTCTTCGCCTTTTCATTTGCCCCGCCACGTGTGACGACAATCCCTGCTGGCCAGGGTATTTATCATCCGAGCTCATATCTTGAAAAAACCTAGGGTTCACTGCCGAGACAATCCGTCAATTGTCTCTCGCGAATGCCAGCCCCGCGAAGCTAATTGATCGACTAACCGCTGCCGAGCCATTGAGGTCATCCCTCCGATTCCAGCTCCGGTATATGTATGACCGGATATCAGGTCTGAGATTCTCGGCTTTCATCCGCTTTCCTGATATACATCTGGCCCATCGCGCTGCAGTATCGATCTCTCAAGTTGATCGCCTATCGTCTGGTTCCAGTCACGTTCTCGAAACATCGATCTGATCATTACATCACGTCCAACACTTTTTCATTGAACATCAAAGACAACATAACTACCTAGGTAATACAACATAACCCAGCCAATATGTTCACCCCTCACGCCAATCGACCCAACAACAACAACCACATCGTCATCCCGAGTGGCTCCGACAGCGACGGGTACAGCGACAGCGAACTCAGCGACATGGAAGTCGATCCGCCCAGCCGACCGCAACGGGCGGGTATGAGTAGTAGTAAGTACAGCTTCTAGCCGGGAATCACCTTTATGCTTGTCTTTCTGAAGAGATTCCCTTTCTTCCTTTCTTTCCACCATCCAAATCCATTCCACCTCTTCCCCTGACGCAAAGCACATACCCATTTAGTAGCAATAGCGAAGCTAACCGTCTTTAACCCCTAGGATGGGACGCCGCTCCGCCACCAATGCGCTACCGCCCCTCTCAACCCCCCTACCACACTTCCCTCGAGCAGGAGAAGAAAGTGCGTAGTCGGCTACGAGAGGAACGGCATGCTGCGTTATCGGTGTTAACGGATCGAGAGCTCCTAACGACGCAGGCCCTGGCCGCTCAAGAGGTTGGTGGCTGGCCCCTTCGCTCTCTTCCACCCTGTTTCAACCTATTCGTTGCCCTCAGGAAATTTCCTCTCTCCCCTATCACCTACCCTGCCTCATCCTTCCTTCTTACCTACTCCTCCCTCTTCCTTCCATACACCTGTCTAGAAAACATACCATACATGCGCATAATTTAACCCCCCGAACCAACTCAACTAACTCCAAAAAGACCCTCCCTCAAACCCGCCGCCGCTTTCTCTCCAAACTAATGGCCCCCGAAGACCCCGCCGTCGCGACCTCCCTGCGCGCCGACCGCTTCATCATCCAACACCCCACGACAGCAGGAATCGGTCTATCCACAACCTCTTCTTCTTCCGCCGTCGCCGCCGCCGCAACAACAAGGGAAGGGCCCTCATCACTCACATCCCCGCGGTCCGGATCCTCATCTACGGTGCCGATGATGGTGCAGAGAAGTATTGTTGACGTTCATGATGCTGATGATGCGGGGTGGCGGAGACCTGAAGGAGGTGTAGGAGGAGGAGGAAGTGGTGGATCATCGGGGATGGGGTCCCCTGCTGGATCTGGGTCGAGTCGACAGAAGGGGAAAGGGACGACGAGGACGCCGGATCGGTCGACGAGAGGGTCCGGGGGAGGAACAGGAACAGGGACAGGATCAGGGTCAGGAAGGATGAAGACGCCCGGGAGTGCGCGGCGAGAGAGGGAAAGGCGGAGTCGGTGGAGTGGAGCGGAGAGGGAGAGGGATGAGCGGGATCGGATCTCGTCGCCTTGATCTTTCATTTTAATCCTATTTTATTTACCTACTATATTTACTCGAGCTGGGAAAAGGAGATGGACCGACTTACTGACGTTTCTTATCTACCCTACTCCATCATGATTATCATCCGAGCAAGACTGAATGAATAACTGATCGAATTGATTGATTGATTGATTGAAACGAATGATATCCAAGTAACCAAAAAGCAGAAGAAATATTCACATGCCGGCTCATTGTATACATCAATCCATCCCTATAAAGCAATATCAAAAGCAAAGACAAAAGACAACGAAAAGGAACCAAAAAGTACCTGGGCCGTTTCAACCCGTAAGACAATAAGAATAAGGAAATTCCAATCCCAACACGTAATCCCAAACACAAAGCGCAAAAAATGATAAACAAATCTACTGTACAAATGATTGACACGGAAGCAAGAAGCGAATCGCAAGATCAAGAAAGAAAGACAATATAGTCCAAGGCGGCTCTCCAGAAATAAGATAGCTAGATGGATAGAACACCCGATAAGAAAAGAAAACCATGACGAATAGGTTTCATTTTTGCCCTCGTTTTTCCAATGTGATGATAAAGTGTTGTTGTCCGGTAGTAAATGGGTATCAAGGTTTCGAAGGTTTGATGATCTGCTTTTTTCTTTTTTCTTTATTTTTTTGGCCTTTTCTTTTTTTGTGTAAACCGTCTATCAATCTTCTTTTTGATTGACCGAATGAATCGACGCGTGTCATGGCAGTGGCGTTCCAAAATAAACCTGAATATAGAAGTATTCAAAAGGATCACTCTGTCTCTTTTGCCGGGGGGTATAATTGTTTGTCTAACGACCAAAAAGACATTGCAAGGGTCGGTGATCGTCCAGAAGCTGGATGTAAGGTTGAATCCGGTATCCAATTGTTCAGGCCTGCTGGAAAAAGATAGGCAGTAGTCCTGGCGACGAGTGGGTGATTGGTTGAGCGGAAAGGTATGATAAATCGCAAGAGACGTTTGTTTCAACTGGACGATCTCTCCGTATTGAGCATACTTTCGGCATCACCGACCTGCTTGCGTTCGGAAACTTCCCGGGTGCGCATCTGGGCGCGCGCCGCTCGAATGTTCATTGGCGTCAATCCTCGAGATGGTGGCGGGTCAGGTTCTGAGTAGAAAGGGTGAAGGCGATGGGAAGTAGAGAACCGGACACGACCATCCCTCATGACTGGTAATTGTCATTGCAGGGGTTCCGAACTCGAGGAGAGACGGTTCAGATGAAGGTACACGTCGGTGCCATACCTAGAAACAAAAAAGATCAGTATCCTGTCAACAGCAAATTTTTGCCAGGTGGATAAACACTTACCCCTCCATACTGATCAACTTTAGGTCTCCACCAAAGTATCGGGCATATAGGCGACTGATTGGTAGACCATAGCCGAAACCGGCCATGGGAGCCTTAAAATCGCTCTTGTCGAAGTCCGGATCCAAGTTGGGCGTTTGTTCCACGGTGGTGTACATGTAGGTCCAGACCAAGGGGATAGCCGAACGGGGGATGCCGCCACCTTCGTCGGAGACCTTGATCGTGATGTCTTCTTTGCCCTCGGCGATGATGACTTTGGTGATGGGGAATGCCTCCTTATCCGCACCGTGGGTTTCCACAACGGCACGCAGGGAGTTCTTCAAGGTTTCGAAGAGCATGTGAGACAAGTGACCGGGAACGTACATGAAGTTCAGATCGTCCTTGCAGACGAGCTGGACCTTGGGAGCGTCGAAAAGACCGTAGTAGTCCTCACAGACGAAACGAGCGTTGTCAATAGCCTCCAAAGCGACCTCGCGAACATTGGTCTTGGTACAGATGATGCCGACATAGTTTGGATGCTTGACATGCGTTTGTTCCGTTAGAGCGATGTGCTGGCCGATTAACATTCGTATACCTATTCGAGACATGTAGAAGCGATCGAGGAAAGACTGAACGGTGGAGTCGATTTGCAACCGCTGGCGCTTGCGTTTCCATTCTAGTATACCCTGAGCCACGGTGGTGACCACACTATCATGTCGGCGTTTGATCTGTTGCAGTGTCTTGGCGAAGCGTTCGTTGTAGTCGTTCAATTCCGGAGGCCAGTTGCCTTGATCGTCCGACGGGGCAAAGTATCTTCGGGCGGCAGCAGCGGCCGCTTTTCCATTGCCATGGCCATTCGTTGCAGATGAGGGGGAAGACCGATACTGTCCTTCTTTGATACTAGGGTTTTGGGTCGCTTCCGATAGGATCTTGGAATGACTGCCGTTCATGCGCCCGGGTCGCAGCAGACGTTGCTTCACTTCTTGACTCAGAGTCGGTCGAGGGAGAGTGATGATTTCCTTGTGGATGCGTTAATAACGCTGCCGGTGGTTGCGACCGCCCGAGGACGGACAGGGCCGAAATAGGCAATGAGTCATACCTCGAACGACTGCGCGTACCAGTCCTGGACCTTCTTGATCGAAGGCATCTCACTGAGTCCATCAGGGAGCTCGCCAAGATCCTGGACACGGTGGGCTAGACGAATGGGAAGTTCTTCCGACAGGAATTGCGAGGCGCGGAACAGGGTGCCTACTTTTCAGAAGGGTCACGGAATCAGCGAGGCCTTGACTCTTCGGGCGTAACTCTCCAGACAATTACACCAAAACCGACGGGAAGCATAAATTTGGGAAAGGTAAACCTACCAGTCGAGGGTCTATCTCCAAACTGGACCATCTGCCGCAGGGACACACCAGTGGCGGGGAAGCTGGCATAATGGCTGATGGTTTCCATCAGCCTCTGCGACGGCTTCCACATGGTGGGTGAGGATTTCCAGGCCCGATGGCCTGAGCTATGCACTCAGTAGAACGAAACAATGCGGACAGAAAGTCTATGGACGGAGTTGTCGTGAGGATAGAAAGGGAAGGGGAGGGCGGAGAGACGGTGCGTCAGGACGGCGGGACAACGACTACCGAGGTTGACTCCGCTCTTCAGACGAGCTCGGGACGGCGGGCAGTACAATAACCCGGGGTTGCCAGCGAGACCGAGACCGAGATTCGCCAAGACGCACGAGGGAGGAGAGTGAAAGAAAGAGAAAAGGACGGTCAGAGATGGCAAGAAGGAAAGAAAGAAACAACCCAGACCAATGCGCGTAATTGACGAAGAAGAAGAAGAAGAGTCGAGAGGACGACAGGATGGAGATGGAACGAGCGACTCTTGCGGAGACTCGAATTCCCGGGGAGTCACGTGTGGGGGGTTCGATCCCGTGCGCGGCCGAGGCGATGCTTCTTTGCTTCTTCGTCTGCTTCTGCCTCTGCTTTTGCTTCTGCTCTCGTGTGCCTCTTTTCCCTTTCCCTTCACACCTCAGGGCTAGATCAAGCATCCCCACAATCCAAGAAACTAACTGAATAAACTTCTGGCGACCGTGATCAAAGACATTGTTTGCCCGGTTCGTCTCTCATTCTTTCTAAGGCCTCGATTTGCCGATGCGAACGAGACGTCTGGTCCGAGTTTCCCCTTCGTCCGAAAATCATTCGTTCCCCCTCTCCGACTGGTCTGGATCTCCGCATCGCGCTCAAGGTTCGCCTGTCCTGTCGTGGTCCCTCGGCAAGCGTAGGTTTGTTGCATCCACGGTTATCGCCGACGTCTCCATTCCACTTCTTGCCTCGTTGGGAATGCCGACGTAGTATATCTGAACCGCCGGTCCCCTGGGCTGCCTGTCGTGGAATATAACAATATTATTATTATTTTTGATTGTAACAAATAACTAGCGGACCGAACCCCTCCAGAGGAGTCACGGTACGGGCCTTGACGGGTGGGGTTTAGTAATCTACCCTCCTCACTTGCTTTTCTCAGGGGCCGTCTTGTTCCCGTCCTAGAAACAATATCAACAATCTGGATTTTTTTTTTTTTAAAAAAAAAAAGAAAAAAAAAAGTTAAAATAATATTTTTTTAAAAAAAATACAATAAAAAATAAACGAGACGATCGACGGTGCCGATGATGTTGTCTGCAGTAGGAGAGATCCCCGCCTTGCATCTCGTCGCTGTCATACATCCCGTTGGGCTGAAATCCACGGGCAGGAAGGGAAAAATAAGAGAGGGAAAATAAATCAGGTAGGCTTACACAAGGTAGGCTTAGGCTTCTTCCTGTCGGGAATGGATGAGGCATGCGAGATGAGACATGTCGATTCAAACCGAGACCGGGTCCCATGTCCATCGTCCTTTTGTTCGGTCCAGAATTCACCCTCCCCAACACCAATCGGCAGGGAACTTGTCATGATGACACGATAATGCATGACACCGGTCACCACGGTTTGACGAGAACAAGTAAAAGGGAAGCCCGAAAAGGCTGGGAGAAAACGAAAGTACTGTACAATGCCGGCTCCGACTTGCAACGACCGGCGTGACTCGTTAGGCCTCAAGTCCGATTTAGTCCTTCCTGGCATGATGTATATTATATTAGGTGTTTCCAGAAGCCAACTTCCGGGGGCGTATCCCAGACGCGGCCGCAGGAGTTCGTTGCGACTAGTAGTAGATTAACCCGGATCCCACGGCGCTGGTTGGCCTCGACGAGCAGGAGTCCTTTCCCCCCTCGATATTCACGAGGATTATCCGAAAAGCCTCGTGGTGGAGCCGCTCGTCAAGGTTCAGCGTTGGGATTTACGGACAGATGGTCAGATTGGTTGATATACAGCAACAAGTGGTGACTAGCGTTCTTTCGGCGATTTCATTTGCTTTCCTTCTTTGACACCTGTCTGGCCCACCAACCAAAGTCGTTATTATTTGGCACCGTCGATTCAGCGCAAAGTGCCTCTCCGAGTGGCCGCCCATCACATCTCCGGTGGATTGTCTGGACCCTCATGCGGCAGTCCGTTCTTTTGCTTTCTTTTTTTTTTTGGTCTTTTTTTCTTTTCTCTTCTTTTCTCTCGCTCGTGTTTTCGTCATCACTGTCAGTGCTAGAGAGAGAGGTCGAGAAGGGGCACTAACAGAGGAACAGATTAACCGTCACTGATCCATCGTCTGGATAAGAATAAAATAATAATAAACCCTAATAAGGGCACAAGCCATCCTGTCAACGCCGGCGCTCGGCGGAGTCGCAGAACGGTACGTGTGCCTTAATCAAGTGGATTTCAGAAAAAGAAAAAAAATTCCGCATTTCCGCTTCTTTATTTACCTAGTTGATTGGATTGTCTGGTCGGCTTCTGCCGGTCTGCCTGTCGTAAATATTGAAAGCAGCAACGATGGACGATGATCCTGCCTACCCCTGGTGGGTTTTTCCTGGCGCTGTGGAATTGATCCATTCGATGCATCGTGCAGTGACGGGTGTTGTTTTTCGGACTACCCATCCGGAAGCTGTTATTATTGAGTGAAGCTGAGTGGGCTGGTTTCCATCGTGGATGTCGATGATGCAAGCCTGCGTTTGAGAAGCTCCTCTCCTCGAGGCGAGTCTGTGATTGGAGCTGTGACCTGGTTAGCTTCGTTTTTTTTCCCTTTTCTTTTTTCTTTAATGATTTTTTTTTTTTTCTTTGTGTATTTTGTTATTCGAAAGAGATACTATTTTTTGTGTTTGTTTTTGCCCTTTTTTTTTCTCTCTTTATTTTCCTCTTATCATAATTCTGATATTCATCCAGAGGCGAAGAAAAAGAAAAAGGGTTGTTTGTGAAGCAACAGTCGGTTTCGTTGTCACCGATTCACCAAGAGGGCGAGGGGAATTAATATACGCCGAATAGTCGAGGATCCGCAGTGGTTTCTAATCGAGGATTACCTTTTTCGCTTTCCTGCTGGTGATGCCAAATTTCTGCCCGTGAACGGCGCCATTTCAGGGGAAAAAATTCCCACGGCCCCTCTCCGACGCCTTTTCCCTTCATCCTGCCCGACTTTCAGTCCGGTGGATTTCAATGTCAAGGTCGGGCTGGTCGACCTCTTCGATTACCCGATTCCATTAATTATTCTCGTCCCCGGTGGAGTTGGTTTGTGCGCGCGGGAGGATCATTATCAGAATTAGTACTCGTTGCCTGGTCGTCTTCATTCCACCCAGGGTCTCTTTTTCGTTCGGAATAACTAAAGAGTGTGGGGAGGATTTTTAAATTATTGAAAATCCCCCGGGAAGTACCAGACGGAGAGAGAGTGAGAGAGAGAGAGAGAGAGAGAGAGAGAGAGAGAGAGAGCAAGTCTGGTGGATTTAATTTCCTTTCGTTTTATTGTGTTTCTTTTCTTTTTCTTAGAAAGAAGAAAGGAAGAGCGCTAGAGCGAGAGCGACACAGAGAGAGTGTGCGAGAGAAAGAAGACGGAAGAGGAAGAAGAGTAAGAGGAAGAAGCCGAGAAGAAGAGGCAGAAAAGGAAGAGACACGAGAGAAAACCGGTGGTTTCCAATTGGGGAAATCAGAGAAAAAGCGCACTTCGCAAGTTGTTCGTGCCTGCTGCTGCCCCTCCCCTTCCTTCGTCCCCGTTCTTTCATCTTCACTTCCTTTTCCCTTCTACTTCATCCCCGGTCCTCCCCCCCCCTTCTTCTCCCCCATTCGCTTGTTTTCTTCCTTCGGTTCCCTCCCCTCCATCTCGAAGCAACCTCTGCCTTCCGCCCCATTAAACGGACAACGAGGGTGATAGAGATAGAGAGGACAGCAGTCCAGATCTTCTCTTCCTTATCGTCTTTCCGGTTTCTTGGTAGATGTATCGTTTCTAACGGTCCAATCTCCTTCACGTCCCTACCACCTGCCTCCCCCGAATATACTTCTCCTGCATCCCTCGGCTGCAGGTGCATGTAAGAAAACCTAGGGAAAAATCATGTCTCGTCGTCGTGCTTCCCACAGCGAATCAGCTGCCTCGTCCACGATGAATGAAGCCGTTGCATATCCTTTCTCTGGCATGCAGCAAGCTAATGGTCAGCCCCCGCGTCGTGGCCCGATTGAAGGTCCGAACGGACGCCGCTTGATTCGAAGGGTTACCTGGCGATCTTCCACCTACAAACTGATGGCTTCTCTCTGGGTGTTGGGTGTCCTTTACATCGTCTGGCTCATCCGCGACATCTTTTATCTCCCCTTCACCCCCTCGACTCCAAGTACCGTCGCCGTCAACGCTGCCAACGAGTGAGTCGCCTCGAGGCCTCCCCTGGATCTGCCTTGAACTTGTTCTTTGTCTTCTGCCCCCTTACTTTTGGATTCCATCGGAACCGCTCTGGATCACCATACTAATCGTCTCGACTCGGTCTGTCTAGTTGGCTGGCTCAATTCGTCGGTCGTCAGGAGTGCGGCATCTCTTCCTTGTCTCTCTACCAGCCCCCTCAGGATAAGGATGGCCGTATCCCCAGAGACTCTTTCTGCCAGTCCAAGGATTCTTTGCTTAATGCCATGAGCAATGGTGGCCGCCATGGATTCGACGCAGCGTATACTTCACAAGGTAAGCCCCATACTCGACCTACCAAGATAGCTAGGGTCTCTCGCCAACTGCGTCGACTGACCTGAGCACCACATAGGCTGTTTATACCGCTGGTTCACCGGTGCTCAGGCCTGTGACATTCTGCAAAAGTTCGACGGAGTGGTTTTCGTGGGTGACGAGGCCCTTGCCGACGTCTACGCCGGATTCAATATCCTCCTTCGAGAGAACCTAGAGATCGGCTCCTTGAAAGAATGGGAAATGAGTAGGGAACATGGACACAGGTGCAGTTGCGACTCCCAATTCACCTCTGCCTCGTGTCTCCCATTGCGAATCACCTCAAGTGATGATGTATATGAGCTGGCCCAAAAGGAAACCCAAAGTCCTTACACGTGTCCGAATCGTGAGTCTCTCCTGTCCTCAAACCCCACGGCAAGCAAGCCTTCCCAGAGACAGGTCCAGACGCTAATTGAGACTGTGATCTAGGCATTGCACACACCTTTGTCTCTGTAAATGGCTCTCCCTCCAAGAGCAATCACGTGAGGTTCCACCAGTTCATCGCTCGAGGGGGTGATCAGAGCAAACGCATTCCTGTGATCCACAGTATCTCGCTGTCCAACGCGTATTCCTTGTCGACGGCCAGAAGCAGCATGGATGAATGGCTGGGGCTGGCTGGAACCACCGGACGGACGACACCTTTCCTCTGGATGGGACCCACTGCCCCCGGCCACCAGAAGCCCCCCGGAGACAACGTCCATGCTAAAAGCTGGCAGTACACATTGGATACCACGGACGCCGCTCGGAGCAAAGGAATGGAGGCCCTGGGAATGTATAACGCCACGCTTCAGGCTGACAGCTGGGATGGCGTCCACTACGGCGAAAAGGTGGCCTTGATGCAGGCGATGATGGTAAGCTTCTGAATGTTGCACAACAGGATGGCCCGAGACTCACCACCGTTTTGCAGGTCCTCAATTGGCTGTCGGCGATTTAGCGAATCGATTTTGTGTAACGTGTGGGAGAGACCAGCCCGCGTCAAATGATCTTCTCGATGCTTGGGCTGCACATGGCGCATGACGTGCATGCCGTGACACCCCGCACGACCGAGTGCCCCGCATTCCTCCTCGATGCTTTTTTTTGTCCGTCTTCCTCGTCCCTCTGCATAGCGACGCCCCTTCATCTCCGTGATACTCTCCGGTACTCTGGCCATGTATATCACCATTTACTTGGATACCCCTTATCTCCATCGATTTCGCTCGATTTCTTCATAGTTCTCCAAAAGTTGAGTTTCATTTTGGCTAAACCCCTCTAAGGCGTTAGATAGTCTTGCATTACGCCATCTACCGATCTTGGCCTGATCTCATCCACTTTTGCGTGTTTGTTTCATTGATTTTTTTTCCTGCAATCTGCTGTGTTACTTCATGTCCTCTACTTGCACTGATAGGCGAACCCCATGCATGCAAGCCAGACCAAAAAGAGACAGCGAAACAAAACTACGCGATTGTGCACGTGGTCAGTCCCACGTGAGGTCTTTCGCGTTCCCAATTGTTTATTTTTTTGGTTTTTTTCCCATCAATCTCTTGGATTGTTTTGCATTGGTTCTCTGCGCATTTCGGTTTCGGTTGACCCTACCTAAGGTACTTTATCAAGCCTCGTTATTAAAATAGATACCTGCTTGAGTTAAGGCGTTTTCATTTTCCATCCCTTGTTCTTATTATTCCGATTATTTCTATCCAATTATTGAGAGACGCTATTAATAACCAGATCAATAAGTTGACCTGGGGTCTAGAATGCGGGTGGTGGTGACTATGGGATGATTGTTCGAGAACGCGTGATAGTGGCATCGTGGCTTTGCGAAAGGTGGAAATTAGAATAGCATGGATATAGGGTTGTACGTAAGTCCCTCCTCCACTATGCTACCGGGATAATGACAAATCATGTACAGGAATAGTCCATACCATGCTGGACAAAGATTGATATTAATAGCGAAACAGAACAGAAACCCGTTCAGGGATTAGTCGGAACTGCCAGATCATCTCAAATCATCAAAATATTACTATATACATACATAGATAAGTAGCTAACTAGGGCAGGCCACTAAATACCTAACTATACTTGGTTTGGGCAGGTGGTGCTTGCTGATCGCTCGCGCTTTTCAGCTGGTTCTTTTCTGTGCATGCTGGGATGGACTGGGCAAGAGGGTGGTTGATCTGGTCTCGTCTATTTTTTTGTTCTTCTTTTCTTTTTTGGTTTTGGTTTTTGCTCCCTGCCATACTGCTTACCACCTTATCCCATCCGACCCAGGGCACCCACCTCTCTCAAGAAGGAAATCTAGACGTAAAGAGCAGCAGTCTCGGCCTTAGCCAGCTGCGCCTCGTACGGCTGCAACGCCTTCTTAACCTCAGTGGAGGTGAACTTCTCCACCTGCTGGGGCGCGCGGCCGACGAAGGTGCTAGGATCCAGGAGGCTGTCGAGCTCGTCAAGGATTGGGGCGAAGAAGGCGGTGCGGCGGATGCGGTCCAGGAGGTCGTTGTCCTTGCCGTGTTTCTTCACTTGGTCGGAGGCTTGGTGGGAGAGGACACCTGTTTTGTTGCGAAGGAGGGATTAGTTATGTGTTGTAGTGTGATGGGATAGTATATAGTATGGGGAGGGATGGAGAGAGGGAGCGAGCGTACGGATTTCCTCGTGGGCGTCCTGTCGGGAGAGGCCCTTCTTCACACAGGCCATGATCACCTGGATTTTGTTTGGTTAGTATATCGGACTGGTTGGATTGTTTCAGGGTTGGTTGTTCGGGTGTGGAAAAGGCTTACGTTCTCACTGTCAGGTTGGTTAGCAAATGCTTTTAGAGAAATGGTGTAGGGGTAACTTACGTGGCCATGAAAGGAAGCTCATCGTTGACACGGCGGCGGATAACCTCGGGGTAGACGACAAATCCGGAGGTGACGTTGTCTGGGGACGGTCAGCGACGAGAGACTAGGTCAACATACCCAGCTTGCCACGACTTACTAAGGAGAATGAGACAGGCATCAGCGGAGAGGTAAAGCTCCGGAATGCTGATACGACGAATGGCACTGTCATCCTGGTAGAGGTTAGCGCGTGGTGAGTCCTTGGCACACAGAATACGGTTCTGTTCCTTACCAGAGAGCGCTCGAACCATTGGGCCGAGTAGGTGTCCAGGGCATCCTTGGGGAGGTTCTGGAGGTGACGTCCCAGAGAGCAAAGGCGCTCAGAACGCATAGGGTTACGCTTGTAAGCCTAATAAAGGTGATGTGTTAGTCAGATATGAACAGATCTTCCTTTTCCCTCTAATCGGAAGAGCTACTGACCATCGCACTGCTGCCAATCTGGTCCTTCTCGAAAGGCTCCTCAACCTCCTTGAGCATGGCCAGATGACGGATGTCGATACCGATGCGCTCGCAAGTGGAGCCGAACGAGCCCAGGGCGTTGGCAACATCGACGTCGATCTTGCGGGAGTATGTCTGGCTGGAGATGATAAAGGCGGAGTTGAACCCGGCCTTCTCGGTGACCAGCTCATCCAGCTTCTCGACCTTCTCGTGGTTACCGTCGAAGATCTGGAGGAACGAAGCCTGAGTACCCGTAGTACCCTTGACACCACGGAAACGGAGGTCATCGCGGGCACGCTCCAGGTTCCGCAGATCCATCAGCAGGTCCTGGAGCCACAGACAAGCACGCTTTCCAACAGTGACGAGCTGAGCGGGCTGTCCGTGGGTGAAACCCAGACAGGGCAGGTCCTTGTACTGGTTGGCGAAGGCGGCCAGCTTATCGACCACGACGGCGAGCTTGGGGATGAGGATATCGAGACCGTCGCGGAGGAAGATCAGATCGGCGTTGTCGGTGCAGTAGCACGAGGTAGCACCCCAGTGGATGATTCCGGCAGCCGCGGGGGCAACCTGGCCGAAGGCGTGAACGTGGGCCATGACGTCGTGTCTCCGGCGCTTCTCCTCCTCGGCGGCGACCTTGAACTCGTCATCCTGGATGGTGAGGTGGGCTTTCATCTGCTCAATGGCGTCGGGGGTGATGGGCAGACCGAGTTCTAAACTGGTGAGTTTTCGACCGCAGAACAAAACAGGATATTTTTTCGAGGTTAGAGGAGCATGAGTGTACCTTTCTGCGACTCGGCAAGCCACAGCCACAGCTGTCTCCAGGTGGAAAATCGGTTTCTCGGGGAGAAAAGGTATTTCATCTCGTTGCCTGTAAATTCCATCGCCGAGTGATTAGCGTCATACCACTATAGATGGCCCGGGGAAGCCCTGAAACAGGGAGGGGCATTGCGGGGGGAGGGAGAGAGGGGGACATACTCGCATAACGCGAGTTGAGGGGGGTCTGATAGACATCATTGCTTGCCGACATCTTGCCAGATAGGAATTGAGTCGATTCCACAGGAATTGAAGGGATAAAGAGAGGGAGAGAAGGAGAACGAGGATCGCTGGCTGTGTGCGTTCCTCCCGGGAAATTTTGCGTTTGCGGCGGCGGGCCAGAGCTTTAGCGGGGTCTCCGCTTATCAGTCACGTTATCTGGAGGGGCGGATCATCATTGCATCACATGATCCCGGCTTTTGTCGTTTGCGGCAAGGATAACGAGGAATATGGCATTCATTAGATTATCATATTAAGCAAGCCTATGTATGGAACTTCCATTCAATGCATAGCTACCCATCCGTAGCTCACAGGGTATCCATCCTCCGAGTCCATGTCCATGTCCAATGATCTCATGACAAGGCAGCCAGCTGCGCCGAGAGGCTTCCCTTATCATACTTGACATACTTGCCCCGGCCTTTGTCAATTTCATGGTAGCGGTCGTAAAAGCGAGCATACAGAGGCTCCAAAACGGTCTGGAGTTCCCGCGCAAGCACGCCACGCACTTCCCGCTCCATGTACAGGCCCTTGTGGCGGGCCAACATCTCGTCAAAGCTGGCGTTGAACGCTTTGAACTTGTCTTTGATCGCATCCTTGTCTTTGGATGAGAGGGATTTGACGATGGCGCTGGAATCCACGGCTCCACCAGAGGCCGGCCGAGCCGAGCCGCTTGCGCCTCGAGACGTATATTGCACATCAAGGAGGAAATGCGAGGTCTCCTTCCACGCATCCAGATAGGTCGAAGTAGCCCGTTTGCGGAAGGTGTCGATCCGTGCAATGCTGTCCGGAGAGCCGAGGTACCGAGCCAATTCTGAATTGTGTCGGATGGTCCGATCGACATTGCAGAACACGTTCGACAGGAAAACACCCTGAACGGCCTTCGTTCGATGAAACGCCCGGCCTCGAGATTCCAGTGCGATCATAAGAGCCTCGACCATGTCAAGGATAAAGTGCGTGAGCAGCGTAGAACTGTCTGGACTAACGTCCAACGGGGCGCCGGATGTATTGGACGTCGAACGCCAGTTACCATCGCCCAAGGATGTCAAAATCGAAGCGAGTGGTCCCGAATAGCCGGTCAAGGTAGTGAGCGCACTCATGACTTCATTAACAAGAGGTACGGAGCCACCGTCGGGCGGAAGAGCAGCGATGTTCCCGGCTTTACGCTTGGTCTCCTCGAGTAACTCCGAAAGAGACGATTTTGCCGTCTCACGTATAGGCCTCAGAGCTTCTATGAACAAACTCTTGAGTTCTCCCGTCTTGGACTCTATCCGGTATGACATGGCCGTCACGATCTCGATGATCTCAAACGCCAGAAAACAATCGGTCATAAGATTCGCCCGGACGTACTGGTTGAGTTCACGTAGGGTTTTCGCGTATTCACCGAGCGCAGGTCGACACGTGGCCTGGAGAGCCAGTCCCCGCTGGTCGCCGGTGAAAATCTGCGATACGATGTCGTGTTCGGCATATATTAAGCCTTCCAAAGCGTTCGAATAAATGCCAATGCCATTCGTGCCTTGTTTGTAAGGACCATCCGTGGCTCTGCGTTTGAGCGTATTCAAAGATGCGATGGCAAGGTTCTGCAGGCTTGAAGTGACATAAGACGCACGGATCTCGGCGTACATTTTGAGGGCGGGGTTTCCTCCATCGCCACGTTGAGGGCCATGAGCGGTCGCAGCGCCAATCGCATTACAAATAGGACCCAGTTCCGCGATTGTTTCTTCGGGAAGCGCTGGGAACGAAAGATCTATTTAGTTGAGAAGGCGTGTAAGTTGTTGATCTTGGGTCCCAAGAGTTTTTCAGAAGGCATTTTCCTCACTTTTTGTCAAATAATGTAGCGGCTCGATAGCGCTGACATGTTGGCTCAGCGTGGCGCGGAACAAGTCCTGGAGCTTGATGGAGCCGGTATTTAGCAACGACGAGAAATCGGTGATAGCTTTCTGGTTCGACCGCATATTTGTAGAGTTGAGGTCGTTCAGTGCCTTTCCCACGCGATTCATAGCCGAGAGATACTGCGACATTTCGACATTCTGGGGTCTGATCGGGGAACTGTTAGCAGAGTCCGGAGATTATGCGCAAAAACAAGCCAAAAAGGGCCCTACCCTGCGCGAATAATATCCTCTTCTCGGTTCTTCGCATCAAGCGGTTGGCGGAGGCGCTCAATGGCTTCATTGACCTTATCTATGTTGTTGTTGGTGATTTGGAGAGATTGCGTGTTGCTGTAAATGGGGCCGATGGCATGCTTCACAACGTTGCCTCCGGTCTCTAGGCGCACCATAGAGCCTTGAATTTTCTTTGTTAAGAGTTTAAGCTTCTCGAGGTTGGCATACAGCACTTCCACCTCGGCGCTCTCCTCCGCATAAGCGGTATTCCTTGGAGCAACCATGATCAGGCTGCACTCGATCGACAGGGTCCCACAACCAACACCAAGCAATTAGAAGACTAGTAAATACGATCGGGTCGCAAGGTATTATCGTAGGGGAGAGAGATTGGTCATGCCTTGCAGAGTGCGAAATAAAGGGAGAATCATGAATGAATGAATCAGCAGATAAGAAAGTAGTCCAGCTTGGCCGATGAGGCGCCCGGCCTCATAACGCGGAGATGGTCGAAGGAAGAAGGGTCCTTCCCCGATAACATCAGATGGCAGAATGTCTCCGGCTCTCCGCAAGCAGCGCTAGACCGAAAAGGGCTGCCTCGGACCGGCCAATTCTCCCGAAGAATCCGGTCCACGTGACACGACGTCATCCGCCTGCAATGGGCCCGGATGGCCCTGGTCTGGCCTGGCCCACTTCTTTCCTGGAGCGTCATGGCTTTAAAGGTTGCATGTCTCGCCCTCGTCGCGCCCTCTCCTGCGCAGGACCCATCTCAATATGGGTGCTGCAACGGCCCTGAGTCTGCGATGGACTGTCCCTCCCGCGGCATTAATTGCCCTGGGCAGTGGAGTCCTCTATACCACGGGCGAGCGAGCTTCGACTCGACACTCTATCGTCCGATCAGAGCAAACTGCATCCCTTTCCACGTCGGCGGCGCGGTGGACGGACAATGGCCACAACAAACCTTCACCCGGCTGGGGCAAAGGTAGCTTGGCCCCGGTTTCCGAAAACTCCACTCCAGAGGGTGATCCAGGGTCAATCTGGACGAATATCCTCCATAAATTCGACGGGGTGAAGCAATCGGTTGGCTCGGCTGATTGGATTGAATTGGACAACCTCAAGAGCTACATCGTTCCCGACTGGACTCGCTTGCTTCCGGTGACAGTGCAGAAACTTCAGCGGGAGCTCTCAATGGCCCCGGGCTCTCTCGCGGATGACATCTGGAAAGAGGCCCATGACCCCTACATCAACCCGGAAATCCTGCGGGAAGCGACGGTCCGGGTCAGTAATAATCTATGTGAGGAAGAGCTGGCGTTCCGGAAGAAAAGACAAAAGCATGCTGTGAAAGCACTTGCAGCCTACCTCAACCTTCCCGAGGATGACATTCACCCCGACGATGTACCGATCATTGCGATGTGTGGCTCGGGCGGCGGACTACGCGCCCTCGTGGCCGGCACGGGCTCGTATCTCGCAGCTCAGGAAGCCGGTCTCTGGGACTGTGTAACGTACACGGCTGGAGTCAGCGGCAGTTGCTGGCTCCAAACACTATATCACTCATCAATCACTGGACGCAACTTCAATAAACTGGTGGACCATTTGAAGAACCGACTGGGCGTGCATATTGCATTCCCGCCCAAGGCGCTCGACTTACTCACAGCAGCTCCTACCAACAAGCATCTTCTGAGCGGTTTGGTTGAGAAGCTGAAAGGTGATCCCGGCGCGGATTTCGGCCTCGTGGACATCTATGGTTTGCTATTAGCCGCAAGACTACTAGTACCCAAGGGGGAGCTCGGCGTTTCAGATGGTGACTTGAAACTCTCGAACCAAGGTCAAAATCTTCTGAATGGAGATCATCCCCTCCCCATTTACACCGCTGTTCGCCATGAGATCCCCATGATAGACGGTGATGAGGAATCCCATCACAAAAAGCAACCCATGACGGAACAGCTCATAAAGGAGTCCAAGAGTGAAGCCTGGTTTCAGTGGTTCGAATTTACGCCGTATGAATTCTTCTGCGAGGAACTTGGTGCTGGAATACCGACATGGGCTCTAGGACGACACTTCAACGGCGGCCGGAACGAGATTCCCGAAGGTCATTTTCCAATCCCGGAGTTGCGTGTCCCTGGTTTAATGGGTGTATGGGGGAGTGCTTTCTGCGCAACCTTATCCCATTATTATAAAGAGATACGCCCGATCGTCAGAGGCATTACTGGTTTTGGTGGAATTGATTCTCTGATTCAAGGGAAAACTAAAGATCTTGTCCGAGTACACCCAATCGACCCGGCAACTATCCCGAATTTCGTCATGGGAATGAAAGGCCAACTGCCTCCGAGCTGTCCTGTGTCCATCTTCCATAGCGAGCATCTGCGGCTTATGGACGCGGGGATGAGCAACAACCTGCCCATATATCCACTACTTCGCCCGGGAAGAGACGTGGACGTTGTCGTTGCTTTCGACGCTTCCGCCGATATCAAGCAAGAGAATTGGCTCTCCGTCGTGGATGGATACGCGCGACAACGAGGAGTCAAAGGCTGGCCACTAGGGGCCGGCTGGCCTCGAGCAGACTCCTCTTTAAAGGACACGGAGGAATCTCTCCGCGAACCCCAAACCATGACCCAAGAGGCCTTGGACAAGAAAATAGAGGAGGCCCGAAATAACAGCGCCCGCAGCGCAAACGCGATGGGGGACACCCACGACACCGAGCTTGGCTACTGCAACGTCTGGGTCGGCTCGATGCAAGAAAAAGTCTCTGACGCAGAGCCCCCTCCATCCAAACGTCTCTTCCACCCCAAACACGCCGACCACTCGGAGTCTGATTTCCATCTGATGCGTCCCGACGCGGGCATCGCCGTCGTCTATTTCCCTTTCCTCCCCAACCCGGCCGCTCCGGATGCCCTTCCTAGCTCTACGTCCTCGAAGTCCGGCATGCCCGGTCGTCCGGCCAACTCTCCCAAGGTCGCTGACCCGGCCGATCCGCTGTCTCCGCGCCCGAACTCCATCGATCCGGATGTCGATGATTTCCTGTCCACGTGGAATTTCGTGTATACACCTGAGCAAATCGACTCGGTCGTGGGTCTCGCAAGGGCGAATTTCTCGCAGGGTGAGGAGCAGGTGAAACGCGTGGTGCGGGCTGTTTATGAGCGTAAGAAATCGGACCGGCTGCAGCGTGAACAGGAGGAGCATCGACGGAGGATGGAAGGGTTCGTTCCGCTGTGATGAGATGAGATGAGAAGACAGTCCCTGACCTATACACATCAAACTGTCCTTTGATATCCATGGTTTCTGTTTCTGTTTCTTTATCTTGTTTAAATTGGAGTTTCAAAATCTTTCTTTTTACTTTGCCATGTGGACATGTACAATATTTCATAGTTCGTTGTCCCCTTCAGGCGTCCTGGAACATTTCATACCCATAAACCCAAGTATTTATCTATATTACAATCTAACGCACACATTTGAAACCCGGAAAAAAAAAGTAAAAATGCTTTCAAATATTGATATAACCGTATATACAGAACAATCCTACTTACACCTTTCCGAAGACCCGAGCAATCCAGACCTGAGAAGTAAAAAAGAGAAACACCCCTCCCTCCCCTTATCAACATAGCATCTATCTATCTATTCCGTGAAGGAATCGAATCATCCATCCTTTTTGCCAGACGATGCGTCTATCCCATTACTGTTCTTGCCATTTGCAAAATACGGCTGCGTTCCTTCAAAATCCCCATTCTCGTCTTTCTCCTGCGGCTGCTTCGATGGATCCTGGCCCTCTTTCTTGTCGGTGGCCTTGCCTTTACGCCGGCCCAGCACCGACGAGTTGTCGTCGCTTTCGGCAAGACTGACATCTTGGCTTTCGGCGGTCTGCTGCCGCAGGCCAAGCTCCTTGCCTAGTTCTTGGAGCGAGTGTGCGGCCGTGGTAGTCGCGCTGGCGGCAGTGGCGGTGATGACTCCCAGATAGGATTGGTTGTTGGATTGGGATTCATCTCCTCCTTCGCCCTGGTTTCCGCCCCTGGGCTGGTTGCCCTCTCGAACGGGCTCGAGGTTGATGGGGATGTTCTCTTGGTTGCGGATGGTTTTGGCGCTGTCTTTGCCTGTTTCTTGGCCGCGCCAGTCAGCTGGGCTGCTTTCGGGCGCGGTCTCGCCGGGTTTGGGCTCTGTGATCGTTTGGCCGGAGATGGGGGAGGTGCTTTCCTTGGTCGGTTTGGGGATGCCGAGCTGCGAGGGCGTCGGGTAGCGCCAGACAACCTTGAGTCGGTCGAGCGCTCGCGTGCCTTTCTTGCTGGTTCCTTTGATCCCATCCATCGCGTCCCATTCGATCTCAAATACGCCCGAGTCTTCGTTGTCGCCGCCTTCGAAGTACGTGTTGAACCAGACGTGGGCGATCGAGGTCGCCATGGCCCAACCGGTGTAGGCGGCTTTGCTGCGTCGTTCAAAGTCGATGTTTACATCGCTGGTGGGGACGATGACTGGTTTGCTGGGTCGGAAGATGACCGCTCGTGTGCGTTTGGAGGGTGTACCTGGTTCTTCGAATGACGAGGACGGGGCTGTCTGACTCGACCAGGCAGATGATTCTGTAATGGCCGATTGAGGTTCGCTGTTGGTGCCACTCTTAGCCTTGTCGCCGTCCTCAGTCGGCGTCTTCTTGCCGTTTTCCACGACGGTGCGTTCGTTGCGGTGGAACAGATGGAAGTTCTTAATCTTCTTGCCTTCATCGATGAAGCCCTCCACCGCGACCTTGACGCCGTCTCTCAGTCCCCAGACATGCACTTCGAGGATCTCCACCGGTCGCTCGATGTATTTCCGGTCCATCTGGTTCGCCCAGCGATCCACATATCGCACCCAGCGCAGCTGACTTGGGATGCTCACACCATGCCCGAACCCAGCGCGCATGCGCCTCTCCGTGAACCGCTGCAACGCATCCTCGATCTTCCACCCTTCCTGGCTGATCAGATAGCTGCAAGCGACGGTGCCGCTGCGCCCTTTCCCCGCCTTGCAATGCACCACCGCCACCCTCTTCCCTTTCTTCTCGTCGTCGGGCCCCTTATCCTGACCCTGACTCTTCTCCGACTCATCCAACCGCTGCAGCCAATTCTTCAGACTCCCCATCATGGCCGGAATCAGCACGAACGGCGGCGGATGATGATCCGGGAACGGATAGTGGTGAATGCGCCCGTAGACCTCCTCATCGGGGTACCCCGTACCCTCGGCGCGAAACTCCCAAATGCACCAATTCTCGCCATGTTTAGCGTCGAGGAAATTCACCAGTTCATCGAGTGGGTTTCGATATGCGCGCTGCGGGTAATTGGACGACGGGCCTGACGTTGCGATAACTGCGGTACCAGCGACGGGTAGGCTAAGTTAGCGAATAAGTTTAAGTGTCGTCGGCCATGGGAGGGTCACACACCGTTATCTGTGACGTAGCAGAGATCTAAATTGGCTTCTGGATGCTGTTGCCTGGGTCCAGCTACAATTTGCCGGAGGATCGACGCCTACAGTGGTTAAGAAGCCAAGAGGCAGCACGTCAGTCTCGGCAGGTACTTTAAAGTGGGACGCAGCAGTCTGCAAGGGGGGAGAGAGGGGAGAGAGGAGTATGGGGACATCATACCATTTGGTGTCAGGAGGACAGATGACACTTAAATGGGTTGTTATTGAATAGGTTCAACTTCCGAGAGAAAGAGGCAGAATGTAGAAGAGGAGATGGAAATGGAAAAGGGGTGAAAGAAAATGTGGAGAGAATCAGATGAAACTCACCATTCGCAGGGCAGCCCGTACGAAGTGAGTGGAATGTAGTCAGGAACGAACGCAGCTGCCAAGCGATCGGTGGGGACTATGTACAATGTAAATCTGGACTTCAGAAGCAGCACAAAGCTCAGTGATGAAGCTGTGACCGAGTAAAGAGGCAAGAACCAAAGAAGTCAAGAGATGCTCTGCAGAGGTCGGAGGTGCTGACGGGGACGGATGATGTCACCGCGTGCGCATCGAACAAAAGACTGGGAAAACAAGACAAGAACAACAACAATCAGTCTAGTTACGCGCTATCACTTTCTTCCATGGTTCTCCATGTCAACCATTTGGAGTTAACTAAATAAATATGTTTATGTCATTTGGATATATAGTCACAAAGTAAAGATCGTCATTAAAACGTCACATCCACTGGCGCTGTTATCAGACCAGACATTAAGGATAACATAAAAAGGAGATAGTATAGCTTTTGATCCCCACAAGCACATTCAATATGTTACAGGTATATGTGCCCGCTTTCATCGTCTCGCCTCCGGGTATCTAAGGTCTCTCAAAACCAACATTCTTCGCCGTCTGCTAATTGTCTCGAGGTGTTCTGGTGTCGGATAGGTAACCAATCCACACCCATCGCGTGTCACGCATCGGATATCCGAATTTAAGCAGAGCCAAAGACACGAGTCACCGGGATGGTGAAGTTCCCGGCGGATGCGGTGACATTGGTCTCGCCTTGGGCGTGGAAGGCAGCAGTAAGGCCCTGGCGCCAAGAGTGCTCGGCCTTCACGTTACGGAGAGAGTGAGACTCAGGGGTCACAAGGGCCGTGATGTTGTCGTTGGCACAGGCAATGTAGTCGCTTCCGGTCTTCTTGCCAGACGACGAGCAGGTGGTGGTGAAGCCGGGGGTGTTCTGGGTCTGGACGCCGTGGATGTTGAAGTTGTAGACACAATCTTGCTCGGCACAGGTCGAGGTGAAGTTAGACACCTGCCAGGTCAGAGCTGGGCTCTGAGCGCGACGGAGAGGACCGGCCGAGGCGAGGCCGGCAGCGGAGAGAGCAACGGTGAGGATGGAAGTGAGCTGCATGATGGCGAAGTTTGATATGGTATGAATACTTTCTTTTGGTGGTAGAGAAAGTAGTGGGAGGGTGCAATGGAGGAGGAATTAAGAATTAGGAGTAAGGGTTGATAGTAATCAGATTAATTGATAGTAGAGGGTGATAGTAAAATCGAGATGGTCCCTAAGGTGGATGGAGGGTATGCTTAAATAGCGAGATCGAGAGTGACTTCTTAAGAACCGAGTTAAAATCCCGCAATTTTTAGCATCAAAACCTCAAACAAAATCAAGAAGACAGGCCCTGTGGCGAAACGACGGATATAAAGTCTGTCCGACTAGCAGTGGGGAGTTTCGACCCCCATGCTCGCAAAGGGTTGTGCATTCTGTCGATCTCGGATTGCTCGCTGACTCTTTCGCTGCCCCATTAGGAGTCCCGACCATGTTGGTTACTCGACATCAAGGCCATCGATCTTGTCAGGAAACAATCAATGCCCTCGCTCTCAATGCGGTGTTCAATTCCCACGATGCAGCCATTCACCTGTCACCTTAATTGTGTGGACGCAGGTACGGCGCCATTGGACGAAGTATGCAGAAAGTGCAAGCCTCGGACTTGGGCCACCCTCCTCTTTCCGACTTAACTTGGCGACGATCACAATTTTAGCGGGCTTGTTTATTTATAGTACTGCAGCAGGATTATGGTTGGAGCTGCTTATTGGAACGGTTCGAACCATACTCCGTAGTTCCCCCTGGTGGAGCCCACTCGGCCGTCTCAAAACATCGGATTGCTCAAAACCGGGGTTCCCGGGACGGACCAGGCGGTTTGAGAACGCCTGGTTGTTGCGTCCAAAGTCTCAGAGTGAGCCCGGGACGAGATCGATCCCGTGGAACGAGGAACGGCTCGGTTGAAGATGGATCGGGCGGGCTGTTGTTATTGTTGGGTGTTGGAAGTTGGAAGATGTTGGGTTGCCCGCCATCAGCAGAAATGATCGGCACATCCTTGGGAATGCTCCTGACCAGGGTTGTGAATTCTGATCGATGGTCAGTCCATTGTGACAGACGGAGAATATTTGGTGCTTCGCGAGGATCGCTTTGATTAAACTATTGTACAGATAACTTCATTGGCTTTATCTACAGTGGGTTACTCGCTGGACCTGACTCGGGGATCAACCCCCCGGGCTCATAGTCCTCCCATCCTTCTTCGGCTCGAGTCTTCGCGATGGCCAGTCGCCGTCTCTTCCGTTTTCGACTTTCTTTGCTTTCTGCCCGCCGTTGTGCCCGCTGTTCTTCCTGCGTCTTCGGTCGCTTGATCTGGCGATGGCTATACTCGGGCGGTGGATCAGACAAGATCTTAAACAAGAGTGGAGAGTCTGCGGGAGATTCTGTGTCATGACGCGGTAGCTGTATCACTTCATCCCTGATAAGCGGGTGATACCTCAGTTGAAGTGCATATTCGCTGCTGGACCCGGAACAGAGCTCCCGAATCTCCACGCACACATCCTCGTCGGGAGTGAACTTTCGATCCAGCATGTCCTGGAAATACATGAGTGCTGATTGGAAATTGCCAGCATCCAAGCATATAACGATGAGATGCTGAAATGTCCTGCTGTCAGGCACCACTCCGAGAGATGCCATCTCGTTAACGACAAACATGCCAGGGTCGGGGGCTCTCGCTCGCCGACACATCCCGATTAGGGAGTTGTAAATCGAGGCGTCGGCCTTGGTCGGACAAAGCGCGTAAAGCTCCTTATATAATGCAATCCCATCGTCCACTATCGAAGGGTCGGCTAGCGCCTCCCGCTCGCACGTTTGAATCACCACCAGGGCGCAACGGAGAGGGATCTCGTATCCCAATTCTTTCAACCGCTTGAGCATGGCCCAAGCATCGCGCGGATGACTTCTACTCTGGATCATGTGGGTGAGGAAGGCATCGGTTGAACTCTCCTCCAGTGTAATCCCCTCTGCATGCATTTGACACCAAACCTCGAACCCGGAACACAAATCCCCGGTCCTAAGGTGGGTTTCGGCCAGCCTCTCATAGTCCTCCAAGCCAGGCTCTACGTCGATTTCAACCAGGAACTCGATCACCGATGTAGCAAGCTTCGTATTCCCAGCATGCAACGCGGTCGTCAGAACATTCCTGCAGATCCCATGTGAGGGCTTCAAGTATCTCAGTTCCACCATTTGCCTCCATACATGATAAGTAGCTTCATGGTGAGTAGCAGCGCTCGCTGCATCCAGCACGTATAGCCACAAATCTGGCGTCATGTCATGGCCTCGGCTAGCTCGCAGACGCATCAGCCGGACTACCTCGTCGAATTCTTCAAAATCGCACAGGTAGTATATGAACAGACTGTATAGCCAGTTCTCGACCATGATCTCTTTGACCTCCATCTTCTCAAGATGATCTAGGGCCAGTTCGAATTGGTTTTCCCGCACAAGGCCAGCCACCACGTAATGCCAGCCGGTAGGGCTTAAGGGCAGCCATCGATCTCGTAACGTGTGTAGGATTTCCTGTCGCAATATGTAATCCGGGTGAACCGCGAGGACCTAACCATGGAGGGTACCGTCAGCATCCAGTCGCTCTTGTATTTCTCACAAAATGACGGTATGGAATCACTCGTACCTGTAATGCAGCATGCAGAGTCCCAGAATCTGCAGTTATCTTATTCGCCTCCATCTCCGACAGCAGATCCCGAACGTTCTCGGGCGATCCACGCTCCGAATCCGTATTGGCCAATATCAACGCCTTGTAATGCCGCGTGTCGGGACGCACATGTCGGTCTCTAATGAGCGCTCGTAGAATTTGAACTGCACCCACAACCTTAGGGCGCTTGGCCGTTAATTCCTGCAGTTGTGCTTCTAACCTCGCCGTCGGCTTTCTCTTCAGTGTATCGGGGACCTGGGATAATCCCGGTGCGCGGGTATTCGGTCGACGCGACTGACGTGAAGCTCGTTTTCGAGATCGCGGAGTGTCATTTTCGTTCTCTTCCGGTTTGCGTTCCTTCTCTGCGTTGTGTTCCTGGTGGTTTGCGGTAAGGCTGCTTAAGCATCGCCATGCCGGAGCCGATGTTGAATTTCCTGGGACGAGCTCAATTCTGGGGCGACGAGTCTTTCTAATGATCGAAGATGCGGATTGGGCGAAAGTATCAGGACTGAAAGATGGACAAAGACAGTGCCAAAGTCCATCTAGCAATAGTGTCCCCCGAGGCATTTCGAAGCCTTGAAGGAAGGAAATACTTCTTGCTCTCTAGCTCCAAGTCTGTCCCGGAAAGACCTCAAGTATCACGTGATCGGTATCACTCTCGAAGTACAGCTGACCAAGGACACAATGCGATGAGAAGTCTTCTAGTGACGTTTATATGCGGATTGTGAGGAATATAAGTCTCTTTCAATTCGAAAGAGAAAAAAAAGTGCGTTGTCAATTAAAAATAGCATAGATGGCACAATTCCCATTGAAAATACAGAGCCATATACGCCAAGGCCATGCTCGACTAACTCGCCTAATGGATCTCCCTAGCAAAACTACCTGCTTGTTCTCCCCCGGGGTATCTATCTTCATCTTTCTCATTTAACCAGTTGCCATTCAGTCCTAGTTGCCGCCCCGGCCGCGTCCCCGACCACGACCCCGACCACCGCGGCCTCCCCTGTCGCCTCTGTCGCCCCGGTGGCCACCGCGACCGCGGTTTGGTGGCTGGTTTAGTTGTTGCTCCTTCACGACTTCCACAATCTCTTCGGGGATCCGTAGATACTTGATCTGCGAGGCGTTAGCGTTTCATGTTCCTGCGGTGACTCAAAGACCGGGGTGTAGGTTGTCGTCATACGTTGTTTCCTCGAATGTACACTTCTGGGAGTCTAAAAAACCGATCACCTTCGGGGCTGGTCTGGACAACCTCTTTGAGTATTAAGTTCATCCAGTTGTCGCAATTGGCAAGGTGTCCGTTCAGCGTCTCGCCATTCTTGAGTTCGACAAGCATGGGATGGCCCTGCGCGGCTGTCAAGAGTCCGAGGGGAAGCTATTCATTGGGCAAGTCCGGTTAGCTTCGAATTCTTAATATTCTCATTGTGCCAGATAAAAGGGTATTCTTACCATTCTCGATTTGGATTGCTCAGTATGAGTTGAAAGCCCTGGGGGAAAGTGGGGGGGTGAAAACACGGGAGACGACCTCAGAGAGGTTGAAATTGAATGCGCTGAAGAATTCGGTGGTCAACAGCCCAGTAATAATCCAGTAATGAGCCTGCCCGCTTCGGTGTGTTGAGTGTGATAACCAGCAAAAGCTCCGCAGCTTCCAGCGGAGATGATCGCAACTTGGGGAACCCCGGAGAAATTAAAACGCCGAGATCCGCCGGCCATGGATGCTTGTTGCGAGGCTGTGGCTTACTTCCTTCTTCTCACTGCTTGTCTCTCCAGAATCGAGTCATTCCTACAGGGATCTCTTCTTCTAGAATAGAAGAGAAGAATTATCATCTTTGTCTTTATTACATGGTGTGGGATTGACCTGCAGCAGCTCATCGCGATCAAGTGCGATCATTAATACATGTAGTTCTCCCCCCTCCGCTACTATGCGCTGGCCAGCGAGATTAGCATCGTTCTTCGGAGCCCTCGAGCCTGTGCTTTCACAGATTTCTGGTTTGTCAACTGTTAGTAAAGACACGCCTCCTCACATGCTGTTCCATCAGAGTTAGTCCATCGCATGCACATGTTTATCCCAGTGCCTAAATACCCACATAGATGAGCAAAATGCCACCGTGAGAGTCCAAGTCTTATGCCCCGGATCAGCGGATGGATACGATTCAAGACTGGTAAGAATGCATGCTTTTCAGATGGCGCTGTTCCTTGCTTCTGACAATCGATGTAAAGTCTCTAGAATTAAACGTTGGTGTAGCAAAAGTAGCTTGTGGCGAACAAGGCATCGTTCTGAATGGCGACGATCTGATCCACAACTGGAACGGCAGCTTGGGATCTGGATCTGGACTAATAACTCCACTCTACGGAACTGCAGCATTAACCGTCAACTGGCAGAGCCGATGCGTTCAACCACCTGCAGGGTCATCCGAGGAGGATGCAATCCAGCACCTAACAGTTCGGGTTGAGCGCATAGGAGATGTCTTTATCGAGGGTGAAGTTGGCCTTACCGCTTCTTTCAAGCAGGTACAGAGACCGGAAATTCTCCGAGTCTATACTTCACCATGGGAATTGTCCGACAGCGTCTCATTTGTCGAAACTTGGGACAGTACGGAGATGGCGGACCAATCTCGTGAAGAACAATCAGATGAGTCTATTGAACGACACTGGGGCCATTTGCTACAGTTAAAGACAAGATACCAACAATTGGCGCTTCAGATTCAAGAGGAAGAGCGCCAGATCCGAGAAATGCTTCAGCGGGATTGTCCAGGCACTCTGTCGAGTTGGAAGAATTGCAGAAGTTTCGGATGCAGGTTCAGGATATCATTGACCAAATTTCCCGACCTGATCCGCCAGATCAGATATCGATTCGGGCCTTTTCCACCGGCACTCCCTGTTAGCCATTGCTCGCAATGCCCACAGCAAGATGGATGCGAAGAGGCTTCTAAGTCAGAGTCAGGTCCAACACCAACCAAGCAGTCAAACAGGCCACCTCAGAAAGCACCTCACGCTACATCAACATCGACCATTCCTAGTTCTGCCGCCTCGAAAGCAATTCCAAGTGAGACCGAGTACTTTTATAACGCTCAGACCATCTTCACCATCTGTGTGATACTCGTTCTAGCAAGTGCCCTGCTCGTCTTCGGATTCAAGCTTTGTCGCAGCACCACATATTGCCGACGACGTCGAGTAGACAGGGCGGCGCGCCGCGAGGAGAGACAAGCTCGCTGGGCCTACGGATTCGCAGCCCACAGACTCCGATGGAGACAATGGTGGGAGGGAGGTTCTCCTTCCCACACACCTTTACCCGCCCAAGCACAACTAGAACTCACATCCCCACCTAACAATAACATGTCAGCCATCGAACAACCGCCAGAACAACCCCATTTCTCTGACACGGAGTCCTATCTCCCGTCCGAGCCGGGTGTCATGCAAGCCGAAATCCGCGGCTTCCGACAAGCGCTCGAGTATGTTGGGGAGCTTGTGCGAAGTCCAGACCGCCGCGAGCCGCGCTCTTCTTCGCGAATCGACCCCTCTAACTCGGACCACGAGATTGCAGAACTCCTCGGACGGAGGCAGGGCAGGCCTACTACTACTGCACACACGGCCGCGTCGTCGACAGCTGGTCTCTCGACGGTACTTTCAACGGGCACGAGCAGTTTGTTGACTCTAGATACTCCTTCGTCTGTGACGGTTGATACGCTGGAGGCTTCGGAGACTACCGGTCCTCCTCCTAGCTACTATGCTTGAATGGAAGCGATTGTATTATTTGGCTGTTTTTGTCAGTGTTTCGTGGTACGGAATATATTAATGACCATTTTTTTGATTCATGAACGTGTAGAAATACATTTGAAGCTTCTTTTAGACAACGAAGGCCAAAGAAGAAAGAAACCAAAACCGCTATCGCACCGCGGTATAAACAGATGGGGAAAGAAAATAGAAAGAGAAACCGTCAAGTTGTTCAACAAAGAAAGCCCTATCCGTTAGACCTTTGCCCGCTTCGTAGCCAAGTCATTAGCATCCTCCTCGTCTTCCTCATCCTCATCCTCTTCCACGGTGAACTTGCGCTTCGCGCGCTGGTCTTTACTGGCGCCCGCCTCCTCTACAACGGCGGTCGTTTCCGGATCGGCCAGATCGCCAAGTTCCTCTTGCCTGGCCTTCAGCGCCTCTTCGCGCTCGGTGAACGCCTTGAGCAGAACCTCGTAGCCCTCTTCCACGTTCGAGACAGTCTCTTCGAGCTTCTCGATCCGATCGCTCATGTCTAGCTGGATGAGCATGTCGCGGGACCGCTTGAAGAGACGCTGCTTGACAAGCATGCGCCACCAGTAGTATTTCCGTTCGCTGGGGTCCTCGGCGTTGGACTTCTTGATCAGAAGTCGAGCCATGTTTGCTCCGCCCTCGTGACGGTTCTTGGCGGGGATCTGGCCGAGGAGATACATCTCCAAGATGTGAGCGAATTGGGTCGGGGCGATCTTGAAGGTGAGGCGCATGTCATTTAGAAGTTTGGTGGGGATGATAGCGGAGGTCGGGACGCGACGAGGACGCTGCTTCTTGGAGTATGCGCTGTTAGGGTCGGGGTTGATGTCGACCTTCTGTTTCAGGAATTCGGGGTACAAGATGTGATAGTCGGCGGTGTCGCGGAGAGCGTCGAAGGCTTCATTGGGGTCCTCGACTGTCAACTCGACGATGGTCAGATCGTCGGTGCAGGCCGTATGGATGGTCGTGTACAGATGGGTGCCATGTCCGGAGCCTTGGTGGGGAGGGAGAATCAGGAATTGAGCGATGCGCAAGCGAGCGGGAAGCTGTGCAGGCCGGATCTCTGGGAACGGGAAAGGCTCGGTCCGAGTAACTGCTTTTTGCAGTTGATCTTTCTCGTAGAGCCACCAGCGATATGTCGTCGCATATCCAACCAGCGAGTATTGCGAGGCCGTCGAGGTCGGCGGTGTCACCTTCTCGTATCTAGAACTCAAGTTTAGCGTGGTGGACAATCAATCGTGGAACCAGCGGCGAAGGGCTCGCGCATACATGAAATAAATTGTCCATCTTTCTAGTGTCCACTCAGGGTCATCGGTTGCTAGAGGAGTCCCGGCTTCGATGAACAGAGAAACGAAGATCTGTGCCCGGTCCAGCAGTTGTTGCACCTTGGGGTCGGCGAGAGAGCCCGCCCAAATCTCATAAGATCTTTGCCCGGTGACATAGCTGTGCACTATCTTGCCCGGTGGCACGAAGTCCTTCGCGTCCGCCTCTTCTTGAACTGCTTTCTCGTAGTCGGGGAGGTTTATGAAGGCCTCTGGATCAAAGATTGACGTGAGAAATCGATGACGAAAATGAAAAAGCAGGACCTGAAACGTGGATGAGAGGTTTACCTTCAGGTAGCCAAGGCTTGAGCGTCTTCAAAAGGTCGACCGCCGAGGCATCTTCCACGGTTTTAAACTTCTCATCGTAAGAGATAAAGACGTGCGGGCGCAGGTCATGAGCTGCGAATCGCAAACGGATAATCAATCCTCTGTAGCCGAAAATTTGCTCCTCGTCACCAAAGATCGGATACGTAAACTGCGGGTGAAAGCTGGAGAGTGTCTTTGGCTTTTCTTCGCCTGGTTGAACGACGGTGATGTGAACGGCATCATTGGCGTCGCAGGTCCCTAGGAAAAACCGCTTCATGTCAGCTGACCTGGAACTCGAATCAGAGGTGAGGACAGGATGAAAGGATGGATTAATTACAGTCGCCTTCGCTAGCCATTTTTGCGACCACTGTAGAGAATGAAGAGCGATTCAAGAAGAGTGGGCGGGATTGCACGGTTGATTGAAGATAGCGAGGGTGGACCGTCGTCTTTTCTCTTGCCGGCGCGTGTCGAACGAGCGCTCTGGAAATCGCGTTGCGCGGGAGCTGGGAGGTTATAACCGCTTCGGGATTAGCGCCCCTGCGCCTAGGGATCCGCCGCGCTGATACGTCATTCTTCAGTCTTACGGAATAGGTACATACACCATGGGAATGTGTACTCATAAAGTTGGCTTAAAGAAAATATGAATGCGCCTCCAGTTCGGTATTCACTTGATACCTTCAATTCTTCTGATAGCTGTTGACCCTCTGGAAAGAGGAATTCGAGAAATGCTGTGCACTAGCCTTACTATTGCAGCAATGTGACATGCACTTTGTGCAGAATAAAGATTTCCGTGGAGATTAGAGTATATCATAAGGTGGATAAATTGTTGAATATGACTACAGTGTGACTGGTCTCAAAGTTCAAAAGACTAAATATACTTCGTTGACGCCATACCCGAAGTGAAAGAGCTAGCTAGTAGTAACTAAATGCGGGGGCACTTCACATCCTCGGTCCTTCTTCAACAACATCGCCTTGATAGATTGACCTTGATACTCGCGACAGCATGTCAGTTACGGAGACCCAGAGAATTGCCCTCGTTGGGCTCGGCACCATCGGCGTGTCTATGGCTGCACTCCATCTAGCCCGCGAAAATACCATAGTGGATGTGTTCGACACTCGGCCAGACTTCGAGCAATATCTGCGCAAAACGCTACCAATTTACATGGGCCACCATTTGACATCCGATATCTCCAAGTCTGACTCGGTATTATCAGAATCGGTGGTCACGTCACTACTAACCTCCGGTCGCCTACGAATCCACACCTCACTGGAATCCGCTTGCGCATCTGCCACCATCGTCCAGGAGCAGGGGCCAGAAAATGTCGCTTTCAAACAGTCACTCTGGAAACAGGTGGAGTTAATAGCACCGGCATCCGCACACCTCTGGACGAGCACATCGGGCATTGCAGCCTCGATCCAGCAAGGTGAGATGTCCGATAAGACGCGCTTGTTAGTGGTGCATCCTTTCAATCCGCCGCACATCATGCCGCTCCTCGAGATCGTGCCTTCTCCCGATACCTTGACAGAGCGGGTAGAGTTTGCCCGTGCATATTTCTCCGTGCCAGGGTCGAAGCATCGACCCGTGGTGATCAAAAAAGAGATCCCGGGGTTTGTTGGAAATCGACTGGCATTCGCGCTTCTCAGGGAGGCATGCCATCTAGTGAAGGAGGATTTGGTGAATGCGAAGGATCTTGACACCATCTTAATGGCCAGTCTAGGACCGAGATGGGCGGGCAATGGTGTGTTCGAAAGCTACCAACAAGGCGGCGGAGAAGGTGGTATTGGGGCCTTTTTTGAGAAACTGGAACCAACTATACAACAGGTGTGGGATGGACAAGGCAGAGTGAACTTGGTGGGGAGTCGTGAAGAGACTCAATGGAAAGACAAAGTGATCTCTCAGGTGAACGAGGCTTATGGATCCTTTAGCAAAGGGCAGGTTCTAGAGAAGGAGGCGAGGCTGAAGGAATTTGTGAATGTACAGACAAAAGGATATGGACATCTTGAAACCCAGGAGTGAGTACTTTCCAAAGAATATACATTCTTAGATGAATAGCCATCTGTCATGTTTCATGAAATCATCCATAAGATACCTACCGGGAATTTTTTTTTTTTTTTTGAGTTCATCAACACGAGCTTTGGGATCAAGCCAGAGTGAGAATAAATGGTAGGTGTTTAAATTCATTTCATTATCTTTTTCTCCTAGATAGAATGTACATAAAACAAGGGTCTCGTCTCCCTTGATTTAAAGCCGTCGGTCGGTTGCGGAAAAACCATTCACGCCTCACACTGTCCTCTGTGCCTTCTCCGTACGTCAATGCTGCATTTGAATGGAATAATTTTAAATGCAGATGACTTCTCGGTTGGTGCCCGTCCGCTCTTTCTGACGTATCCTACACAGTATCTGCTGCAATGCCGTCTGATACAACACCCTCCACGGAGTACTATTATTATCATTATTGATTATCATTGACAATTTCCGGGACGGCGATTCCCCTGGCGCTGTGGGTCTTCCCGTCGTCGGCCTCCGTTCCTCTTCCAACTGCGGCGGATCGCAATCTGTCCATCCCACGCCACGTCCTCGTCTGTCTCCCAGGTACCCGTGCAAGAAAAAGCTTTCCCCCGGTCTTCGCTCCCATATATTTCTATCGGGCTGTCTGGCGTCATTTGTCCAAAGCCCGCGAATTTTGGTTTATTCAGAGAAGGTTTCGTCGAATTGGCAGAATGTTTGAGATCCTCTAAAGCAGCACAGACGCGGCTCTGGAAATCGACTAGCCAACCATGGAGGGACTTTTCACTCTGCTCGCCTTGAGCATTGTGATGGCAATTACGTGAGCGCCGAATGCCTGCACCTTCTCTACGCCTGCGACTGTTTGATCGGCAAGCTGATAGTAACGTTCTCTCTGTAGATCTTTTGTCGTCGGCTCATTACCACTTGCTTTTACTCTATCGCCCTCGCAACTTAGACTCATATCTTCAATTGGAATGGGAGTTTTGGTGGGGACATCCTTGATTGTTATTATTCCAGAAGGAGTGGAAACCCTATATAGCGCGAGCTCAGTGAGTCGCCAAAAAGAACTCAGCACTCGTTCGACATCGGCAGTCAATTGGCAGCATGCAGTCATCCCGTCTGTTATCCCAAATGAAATCCCCGGCGATTCCGATCCGTTCCTACACGCCTCGTCAGGTGCCTCGGCCCCGCAGTCATCCACCGATGACTCGATTACGGTTCACGTCCCATCAGAGCATGTACAGCGGCGGAAGGAGAGTCTATCGGATGACGGCGCAGACCAGGACCACGACCATAATAAGCACGAAGGTAACTCACCGCATGCCTGGATTGGCATTGCGCTTATCAGCGGTTTCATTCTGATGTACCTGATCGATAAATTGCCGGAGTTTGCAAGCCCATCCAAACAACAAAGAGCGCCCCATCACATTTCCTTGGATAATCTGGGTTCCGGCCTGCGACGGAACTCGTCACCTTCGCGAGAGGGTGGGTTGTTAGATGCCGGCAATGTCCCTCGAAGCAGCCACAGTTTCGCAACAACTATTGGTCTTGTCATCCATGCGGCCGCCGACGGAATCGCCCTGGGAGCGTCCAGCTCCGATGCCGGCTTGAGTTTCATAATTTTCTTGGCTATCATGGTTCACAAAGCGCCGGCTTCTTTTGGTCTCACATCCGTATTGCTTAAGCAAGGGCTCTCTAGTCGTGCCGCGAGGGCTCACTTGCTGGTTTTCAGTCTAGCGGCGCCCGTGGGAGCCCTGATGACCTTCTTCTTCGTCCAGATCATCGGTTCTGGCTCTAGCGGCGACGAAACGGGCACTCGGTGGCGGACAGGCGTGCTTCTACTGTTTTCGGCAGGCACCTTCTTGTAAGTTTGGCTTCGCGTGGAGTCATATGCTGGATGGCAGCAGCTAACGTCGGTTCTCTCTTAGGTACGTTGCCATGCACACAATGCAGGAAAACAGTCCCAACTCGGGTGCACGTGAAATCCAAGTGAATGGATACGGCGATCCCCGAGACCTGCCATCTTCGTCTGAGAAGTCAATGAGAGACCTGATCGCCTCTGTCATTGGCATGATTCTGCCGCTGTTTCTGCAGATAGGTCATGCTCATTAAAGTTCTATATACCTTTTTTCGTACTTCGTGTTCCCCCCCCCCTCTTTTCTCCTTGCTTTATCTTTTTGTTTTTATTTGATTTGAAGATTTACTCTATAAAGTTCTGCTCTAGCACTTTTTGTCTTTTGATTTAAATCAAGGGTTCTGTTTAGACATGTACATTGGATCTCTCATGGGACATTGGAAATGATACAGTTGAGTGGCTTCTTTGTGGTTGGGCCGTGATATCCAGCATGACGAAGAAATACGTCTTGCTGTGCTCATCTATGCTATTGCTAGGTAATCATATATAAGGGTTGTTACCAGGAAACGCCGGTCATCATTACATGTTTTCAGGGTCATATTTACGTAGGAGTTTGTCTTATGGAGGGTGTATAAAGAGTGATATCTGCCCCGGCAAAGAGCAAGGAAATTTTTTCTTCATTACAAAGCATCGAGCAAAGTGTTCGAAACACTCGTCAGTCTGACATAGGGGCGGGGGTTGACGTCCCTTACTAATTGATAGTGATTGAAATCAGGCACCGACGACCCCGGAATTGAGAGGAATCTTGGTTCAACAGCTTGCCGAGCATCCGAAAGGTTAAATGAGGGTTTTACCATCTGGCTGGAATACCTACCTATCTTACCTAGTATACTCGGAGTACTTTGTACGTACAATACAGCTGGGCAGAAAGAGAAAAGTAAAGAAATGCGAGCGAATTGTAGGATGAGTTATGCAGAGCATTCTTCCATTCTTTTTTTCTTTTCTTTTTCTACGCCCCTGTTGCATCGGTCTACATCCCTCCGTTCCTTCACTGCGGTGTATAGAACCGGAGATGAATACGACAGAGTGAAGAACAACTAACGGATCAGGTCTAGGATCGGTATCCGATCCGTGGCAGTCTGCACTCTGCAGCGTCTCACCTCCCAACGGCGGCAACGTCTCGACCACGAGTTGTTCTCCATAGCGGGTGGAGCCCGGCATCATCGACTGAATCAGAGCCAGCGTGCAGATGCTTGGCGCCCTCGTCCAGGTCTTAGTGGCAGTGACCGCACCTGACTTGGTCCTTCCTCTCCCTCTCCGTCGCATGATCGAGACTTGCCCTTTCTCTAGCTTCTTCTCCGCTTGCTCGAGGCTGGCTGGCTGGCTGACTTTGCGATCCCATCTTCCAGCTCAAGCTCTCTTCTCTTCCCTTCTCTCTACTTTCTTGAACCCGTTCTTTTTATCCGTTCTATGCCTTGATCATCTACCATCTGCCTGTCCTCCTTTGACATTCTCCCCTCTTACTCTCTTACTACTTACTGGCTTGCCCCCCCTATTATCCCACCTCCGACTATCACCCGCCAGCTTCCCCCGAACCGCCCGTTAGATCACCACCCATCTTTAATCTTTCATTCTTCCTCCTACCCACCATCCCTTCGTCAACCTGAACTTTCGCTTACTCCTTTAATATTATTCCCCTTTCCCCTTTCAATACTTATTGTTTCTCTATTATTCTTTTTCCTTTCCTCCCTCTATCGCCATCGCTCGCTATCATTACTATCTATGAATGAACCGCTCGTTGGAGGGCGTGGTGCGAAACAAGTTCAATATATTCGTGCGAGCTAAGCAGAGTAATCTAACGCCTTAGTGCACCTTCTATAAATTCGGTATTATATGATCATCCCTTGGACGTGATTTTTTCGGTCGGTTCGCAGCGGGATGAGTCCGCGGAGTATTCCAGAGTCGCCGGCGACAGCGCAGTCCCGGCAGTGCGCGTCTACAGAACCTGTCGCTTCCCTTTCTGATAGCCATCCGAAGCCGGTATCCTCTTCGAACAGACCCATCACTTCGATCCCGGCAAACCTCCTACCCTCAGCACCGGCTTCTCCTCCCACTCCGGCCCCTAGTCCCACGCCTCACCAGGGACACCTGATATGGCAGCCCGTCGATGACGACTATGATAACTTCGTGACGAATGCGAGATTTCATTTCTCATCGCTGTCAAATTCCAAAAAACTGAGATTCCTGGAGGACATCCTTGGTTTATGTGATAGTCAGCAACTTAGCTTTGTCTCAAGCTATGTCGCCCCCCGTCTAAGAAAGGATCCCTTTGATGTGTTTCCAAATGAGCTATGCCTGAGGGTAAGCAATCTCCCCATGTTTGATGGCACTGGCCGGCTTCGGTCTGCGGTCCGTACTGAATTCTGACATCTCTCCTCTTTTGTGTGAACAGGTGCTCTCCTTCATCGACGATCCCAAGACTCTCGCAAGAGCTTCCCAAGTCTCGAACCGCTGGCGCGATCTCCTGAATGACGATATAACCTGGAAGAATCTCTGTGAGAAACACGTTTATGCATGCCGAAGGTTTTCGGAAGATCGGGACTTTGTCGAACCGTTACCCAACCGAGCCGCCCACAACGTCTCACATCCACGCCGTGTTAGCAGTTCGCAGTCGAGCTCGACTTTCCCCGGCCTGCAATCCCGAGAGAGCTTTCCCGGGTTGCCACACAATCTATCTGGAGACTTGCTCCCAGGGCTAGGGCCGTCGCGAAGACGTCGACCTCGCCCCTTGTCTTACAGGGCCCATTTCAAACAAAAATACATGGTGGAATCGGCCTGGAATAAGGCCGGGGTGTGCGCGCAGCGATATATCACTCCCGACCAAGGGGTTGTCACGAGTCTTCACTTAACCCCTAAATACATCGTGGCTGCGTTGGACAATGCCAAGATCCATGTGTACGATACGAACGGGAATAATCAGAAGACGCTAAACGGTCATTTAATGGGTGTATGGGCCATGGTCCCGTGGGACGACATGCTCGTGAGTGGTGGTTGCGACCGGGACGTTAGAGTTTGGGACTTGGTTACAGGGTAAGTGAATCCTACCGCCCAGTCAGAACCAGGTATGGCTGACAGCGCATGGTGCAAAAGGGAATCGATTTGCACGTTACAAGGCCACACGTCAACGGTGCGTTGTCTGAAAATGTCCGACAAGAACACGGCCATCTCCGGGTCTAGGGACACCACGCTGCGCATTTGGGACCTAAAGAGGCAAGTCTGTAAGAATGTCCTCGTTGGGCACCAAGCCAGTGTTCGATGCCTAGCCATACAGGGCGACACTGTTGTTTCCGGGAGTTACGATACCACTGCCCGCATATGGAGCATATCTGAAGGACGATGTCTACGGACCCTCCAGGGCCATTTTAGTCAGATATATGCGATTGCTTATGACGGTAGGCGAATCGCCACGGGCAGTCTTGATACGTGTATCCGGATCTGGGATCCCCAAACAGGTCACTGCAATGGTATCCTTCAAGGGCATACCTCCTTGGTGGGACAGTTGCAGATGCTCGGCGACACCCTTGTTACGGGAGGATCGGACGGGTCCGTTCGCGTCTGGTCTCTGACCAAGAATGGCCCCATTCATCGACTTGCAGCGCATGACAACAGCGTGACCAGCCTCCAGTTTGATCATTCGCGTATTGTCAGTGGTGGTAGTGACGGTCGGGTCAAGGTCTGGAGTCTGGAGACTGGGCAGCTCCTCCGCGAGCTTTCCACGCCCGCCGAGACCGTGTGGCGGGTGGCTTTTGAAGAGGAGAAGGCGGTGATTATGGCCAGTAGATCTGGCCGTACAGTCATGGAGGTAGGAAGACTCACTACCGTTGATTCCGCTTGATGGCTAGATCTCATTTGACTAACCATTCATGACAGGTCTGGGATTTCTCACCACCCCCAGAGGGTATCGATAACGACTCCGTCCTCGTTTATAGTGGCTCAAGTACATCTGCCATGCGCCCCTCACACGACAGTCGATCTCGAAGTTTCTTTTCCGACACGACTTCGCCGACACCTCAGGTCACCGAAGATGATCACATCATGGCGGATGCCCCGTCCTCTTGATGTCCACGATTCGATGTTCGAATATGACGATCATACAGTATTCCTTTCCTGTCTCACGACTTTAGACCTACCGCACGACATATTGTCAATAAGTCTCTTTTCCTTTCCAATAAACCGAAGGACCTCCGCTCATCATCATGGGGACACGGCCTTTTCCTAGCCATTTGCATTACGGGTGTTGGTTCAACTTGATCTCTTCCAGCTTTGTCGTTTTTCTCCTATATCAATGAACAACATTGAGGCGTTAGATTGTCGGGAATAGTGAGGCTTTTGCGCGACTGAATTATTTCGTCTACGGGCATACAGGGGGGGAGCAATTATCTCCATCGTTATTCCAAACTTTTCATTACCATTTTCTTATTGCTTTAGTTTTCTTTACAAGGGTTAGATGATACCATCATCGAAAGATGCTATATTTGAATCCAAAAGATTTCTTGTTTGCCTGCCTGTCTTTGACTCTTGGTACGTATAGTGCGACCGAGGACTGAACTCCATCCGGGCACCAGACAGGGCGGAGATAATCCGTTGAGAGCATCGAGCACCGAACCCCGAGCCCCGAGGGAGACCGCCAAACCCTAGTTAACATACCTTGGCGATGACTAATCGGTCTCCCCGGCTATGCTTCTCCGCTCGACTTTGAGAAGTTGGGGTTGTTATTACACTTGCCTGCAAACGATCTGTCTGATTTCGGAAGGGGAACTTGTGCCGAATCCAGTGTTGTCGCTTTTCTTATCCACGGGGCTACTATGCTATTCTGAAGAAGAGAACGCCGAGGTATCTTCACCTGCCGTATCCCAGTTCACTATGCCCGACTGCCAGGCAGGCACCTTCATTGCGAAAGCAGTCCGGCCGGTGAACCCACTCATTATTTGACCAGCGTCGCCAAGCGAATGCACTACAGTTCAGCCTCTCGTATCAGAAAAAATTACATTCCCGAAAGAGGCATCTTCTTGCCGTCTTATTGCCATTTTCCTTTGTTCCCTCCGCAGTGTAAACAAGCATGGTATATGGAGGAAAGCCAAGTACCGGGTGCTATCTGTGCCGCAAGCGGAAGATCAAGGTAGGACGAGATCCACTCCTCTACATGGAAGATGGCGTTGTTTGCGCCTCGTGTCGAAGCCAATGCTAAGTTCGACGTCCAGTGCGATGAAGCGGTGCCTCAGTGTCGAAATTGCCTGGTGTATGGGCGGCCGTGTCCCGGCTATCGGAAGGACACTATCTTTCGAAATGAGACGCAAAAGGTGGAGCAGCTCATGAGGAAGAACAGCGTTGTCTTCGTCGATCATAATCAACAACGAAGCCCGAGCCTGAGCCCCAGCACATCCCCTGTTAGCCGAGACAGTCGTACGTCTTCTTCCGCATCTTCCTCCTTGTCGCTGTACCGGGTTGCCGACTCCGGCTGGGATGAGCGAGCTGTTTGTTACTTCTTTGATCAATTTACGACTCTCGAAGATCAGGAAGTGTGTATTAATCATTTGGGGTTCCTTCCGTCTTTGTATGCGACGTGTCGAGATATCGGATACGATGGCTCCGTATCTTCCTGTCTAAGGCTGGCAGTCGATGCAACGGCCCTGATCACGCTGGGCAACGAGGTCAAGGCACCGCCCCTGATTGTCAAGGCCCGGGACTGTTATGGCATGGCGATCCGAGGGCTCCGGCAGGCACTGGCTTCGAAGATGCAGGCCGTCAAAGACGAAACCTTTGCAACGATGATCTTGCTGTGTCTGTTCGAAGATATTACTGGCGAACGGAACGGGCTCACGAGTTCGCATACCGCGGGGTTAGAGCTCCTCGTTAAGCTGAGAGGCGAGAGCCAGCTAGGCAACGCACAGGGCCGTGAACTGTTTAGCTTTGCATATGCTCACAATGTTAGCCACATCTCGACATTATTCCGTCCCCAGGTTTCTCCTAGATGTAACTAACACTCTTTTTAGCACATCGAGATCCTAGCGTTGAGAGAGAAGCCTCGATACGGCACGGATTGGATCGTCGAGCAATTGGATTGCTCTGACCCGGTGATCGGATTAATGGTGGTCGCGTCGAAACTCAGTCGGCTATTCCTCGAAGCTTCTTCCTACCAGGGGCCATTTGGACTCGTGGAAATCGAAAAGCTTGTCTCATGGATCGAAGCCGGGCGACTTATGGATCTGGAACTCGGTCGATGGACGCAACAACTCCCGAACAATTGGCTTCCTCTTGCCGTCTACTCGCCCACGGGCGAAGCGCTGCTCACCTACCAACGCATCTCCGTCGCGACCATCTGGAAATATTACCGAGCCGTGCGGATCATCCTGCAAAACATGATGCTCGAGCTACGCCAAACTCTCGCCTCGGTGGTCGGCGAGCACGTAGAAATGTACAAGGACGTTCTCCAGGGCAACGAGAACGTGAAGGACGTGATCCAGGACATGATCACCGACACCTGTCGCAGCATCCCCTACTGTTTCGGCGACGTTGACATGAGCGGGAATCCGCCCTCGTCCTCGATCAACGACAAGCCCCGCATCCGCGCCATCTACGGATACATCATGCTGTGGCCTTTGTGGTATATCTACTCGTGCGGGCTAGCGACGCCGAATCAAACAGAGCAGCTTCGGAGTGCTCTTGCCCGGGTCGGCTCTGCGCTGGGAATCCGACTGGCGCTTGTATTGGCAGGGGACAACGGGCCCCCAAGCACGCCGCTGGGAAATAATCCGTTTCTGAATCCCATGGGGGGGTTTGCGTTTCCCATGCAATAACACAACCCTCTATATAGGTGACATCTCTATTCCTTTTTTTTAATTTTTTAATTTTTTTTTAGCGAAGGCGTGTTTGTCGGGTACATATTAGGCTTTTTACTCTTCTCTTGTACTTTAACCCAGGTATATAATAAATAACTACATATTTTCTTATCCACAAGCCTAGCACATAGAGTTATGCAAGCATAACACTGTTCATGCACAAATGCACAATACTAAGTAGACTGCCTGATGATGCCATGATTGAAAGCGTGCCTGTCTCCCTGATCGATGCAACCGGCGGCAGCCCGCGGAAGTTATGACGTCATGATCATTCCCTGTCCTTCCAACTCATCCAGGATGACCAACATCGCTAGTTCCGCAGCCACCGCATCAGCTGTAGACCTAGCTCCCTAGGGGTAGATAGATAGAAAAATCGATATATCGAATAATAGGTAGGTAGGTAGATAACTAGATGGGGAGGTTGGCTGTCGGCACTCGGCATGCGTGGTCCAGATCTCCTAGATCCATACATCCAGCGGTGCCGGTCTAGCCGTTCGCATCGACTTGTTTGGGTGGACCGGATGGGGAGGGACTATTGACCTTGTCCATTTCAGCTCGAACGTGCAGGGAAACATCATGGCTGGACTCGATCGGTTCTTCGGCCGGGAGGGCGGATCTGTTTGCTGACGACATTGTCCTGGTTGGGGGGAGGTATTTAGCTTTGTGTAGCCTGTACTACATACCTACTACCTACTACCTACTAGACTTTTACGACCCTTTTCTCTTTCTGCCCCGACTTACCTGTCTTCTTCTTCCCTCGTGAGGTTAATATATTGTTGGCTGTTAATCCTTATATCGATTTGGCTGTTCTTGGACCCGGTCTGGGAATAGAATGGCGACTCAAGAGCGCAAGCTTCCCTTTGGGAAGATCGAGCCTAATTCTGCTAAATATTTCGCTAGCTGTACTGTAGGAGGCATTATCGGTATGTTCTCTATGATTGCCAGGGAGCAGCAGTGCTAATAATCGCTCTTTTCGTGGATTGACAGCTTGTGGTAAGTGTTTATCTTTTGATCTCGTGCGCAATTAACCCCCACGCAAGCATCCACTAATCAAGTCCTATGTACATTGTAGGACCTACGCATACCTCCGTCACGCCTCTCGATCTCGTAAAATGCCGCCGTCAAGTCGACCCCAGCATCTACAAATCCAATCTCTCCGCATGGCGCTCGATCTACGCTAAAGAAGGCCTCCGGGGCGTCTTCTTCGGCTGGTCCCCGACCTTCATCGGCTACTCGTTCCAAGGGGCCGGGAAATACGGCTTCTACGAATACTTCAAGTACCTGTACGGCGAGCAACTGTTCCCCAACATGAACCGCACGGCGGTCTTCCTGGGCGCCAGCGCCTCGGCCGAGGCTCTCGCGGACCTGGCGCTCTGCCCGCTGGAAGCGATAAAGGTGCGCATGCAGACAACGCTGCCGCCGTATGCGCAGAACCTGCGTGAAGGATGGAGTAAAGTCGTCGCTAAGGAGGGGTTGTCGGGTCTGTATAAGGGCTTGTATCCGCTGTGGGCGAGACAGATCCCCTATACGATGACTAAGTTCGCGACCTTCGAGGAGACCGTTAGTATTATCTATAAGACGCTGGGGAAGCCGAAGGAGAGCTTCAATGGCTTGCAGCAGACCGGCGTCAGTTTCTTGGGTGGTTACATTGCTGGCATACTCTGTGCGATAGTCAGTCATCCGGCTGATGTCATGGTGAGCAAGCTGAATGCCGATCGGCAAGGTGCGTTCTTCTATTTTCCCGAGGTGTGTATCTGGACTGACTGGTGAGTGCAGCGGGCGAGGGCGCGATGAAAGCCGTGTCCCGGATCTATGGGAATATCGGGTTCTCCGGGCTGTGGAACGGCCTGCCAGTTCGGATAGTCATGCTGGGAACGTTGACCGGATTCCAATGGTTGATGTAAGTGACCTTGCGAGGCTGTCTGATTGAGATGAATCGCCGATCGCTGACCCATATCGATAGTTACGACTCCTTCAAGGTGTTCCTCGGTCTTCCGACCACCGGAGGCCACTGATTTCTTTCTTGATTCGAGTGTATTTAGATTGTTTTTATAGCGATGATTTATGGTTCCGTTCAATGTCATGATCACTGTAAATGAAGCCAATGGTTTGAGTAGTAGAGAGTAATAGTAGAAGAAGAAAGTGTTCAGACGACAGTCAACACCAATGTCGACTGACCGCCTTCGATCTCGATCTGGCAGAAACGACGGGCATCCCGACCATCTCGACTTCTCCAGCCTTGGATCCTCCCGGCGATTGCGGCTGCAGCGGTTGTTTCACTCCAATTATTTCCTCTCTTCTCGACCATCTTGAACCGGAGAGTCTTCTTTATATAGGAACCCATCGTCCCTCCCGTCAGAACCTTGCATAGAGCCCCCAACCCGTGGAAAGGGATCGGACCAGTACTTTCGCATCCTGAACCCCGGAGCCATAAAGAGCACCAGCCTCGCTTTACCTTTTCTCCCCTAGAAAAGTTTGACAGCCAAGCCTTACTGTCCTGCGATAATCCACTGAATCCCTTCAACCGATTCACCCGAGTATCGCTGCATCTGCGTCTCTCATCTTCCTATCGCACATCCTTACCTCCCCGATACCTACCTGGAAACCAACACCCATCCATCCAGCCTTCGGCGCGCATACATCTCGACCACCAACAACCCAGACAAACCACAATGGAGTCCACCAAACACTCAACGTCAATACCCTCCTCCAACCCACCCAGCGTCGAGGTAGCCTACAAACGCAAATGCATCGCCCTCAAGAAGCGCCTAACCGAGATCGAAACCGAGAATGAACTCATGCGCCTCCGCAACCGCCGTGGCTGGCAATACATCCAGAAGATGCGCCTCGAGTCGTGTATCCTGCTGGAACGTCTCTCCAAGGTCACCGGCATGGCCGAGGAGGCCCAGTCTGGCGTGAACCCCGAGTTGCGCGCCAGAGCCGCCGCCTTGATGTCTAATACATCTGCGTTGAATGGCAGTGCGGGTGACTCCGCGAAGCATGCTAGGTATTATGAAGATGAGACGGAGGGGAGCTCGGACGAGCAGCCGCCTACGGTATGTTATCTTGATGTTGTTTTTTTGGGGACGATGTTCTCTCCCTTCGTTATTCTACGCGCCCTACCTACCTACCTATTCTCTAGGGACCTTTAACTAACTCATCTCCCATATGAAGCCCCAAGAACGACCCCTCCGCGTGAAACGCTCCCGAAAATCGAACGTCAACGACGGCCAAGATGACGATGGCCCCGATGGCCCCGACGGGCCCGACGGCGCAAACCCCGATGCCCCTGGTGCCGGGGGCGGAGGATCCTCGTCTCTCCCTCGTCTCGCGCCGGCCCCTTCGCAAGAAGAGATGACGTCCTCGTTCCGCATCCAAACGGGCAGCAACGGCTCTGCCAACGAGAAGGAGAATAAAGATTCCGACGCCAGTGATCGCGGGAGCCATAATCCGGAGCCTGCTGGCGCTGGAGACACGGCTGAGGAGGCCGGGGGGCCGGAACAATCGACTACGCCGATGGATATGGATTCGAAAGAGCCGAAGGAGGAGAGTTAGGGGTGGATTGATGAGGGATGATTGATTAGTATGTATTGGTCTGTGTTCTTTTGTGGTCTTTCTCGTTCTGGTCTGGTCTTGTTTTATCCTTTTTTTTTCATTTGGTATTTCAGATATGACCTTTTTTTTAACTAGGTCTACTTATCACTATCTATTCATCGGTCTTTTTTTCTTTCTCTGTCAAAACCTGTATCTTAATTAGGAGTCTTCCGTTATTCTTCTATGATCTTTTCATTTTATCAATTACCATCTCTGCAATATCGGTGGCAGGCAAAAAGAAGACAGCATATAAACTACTATTTCTATCGAGGTTATTCACCTTGCCTCCTTGTTTCTTTCTTTCTTTCTTTCTTTCTTTCTCAAAGACCTTTTCAATTGGGAATTTAATTGTCACGGGAAGATACATCCCATTACAACAATAAAATTAACATCTACTATAGATCAACAGTATACTTGAACGGTAGAATAAATGGATAGGTAACCTGCCCATATGAACATGATACACGACTTAATTATAGTACAGGGAAGTAATGTAGTGGTTCAAAGCAATGCAAGACTGACTGACACTGGCTGACTAGCTGGCTGGCTGGCTCGTCATTGCGCCTTAACTCCGGCAATATAGTGGCAAAATCAAGTAGAGTAGGACCGAGACTCCAAGATGGATGTAGGTTTGGATTAAAAAGAAAAAACAAAGGAGAAAAGAATAAAGCAACAAAGAAAACTGAGAAGAAACACCCTGTATAATTATCTCGGGATATTTAATCGACCCCGGCGTATAAATCAACCACGATGTTGATGGCAGCGACGAGAATTTCGGCGGCAATTAGAACGATGACTAGATTATTCATTAGTAAATGAGATTGGTAGATTAGGGGGAAGGAAGGTGCAACTTACCAATCCATTCGAGATATTCGCCATGACGGTGAGTCAACTGCTCTTTCAAGACAGCCAGAAGATCCGCAATCACGTCCAGACGCTCGGTCAAGAGACTCACTCGTTGGTCCATCTCCAGATAGCTTCGGACGGCTTGATAAACAGGTTCCAGCTGCGGTTCTGCCCACATGAGTTCCGGACTATCGAGGACAGAGCCCTGCAGATGGATGTTGATGCGCAAGATGAACAGTTCGCCGATTTGCATGTTGATTTGTCTCCGCGTAAGGTTGACGCTGCCCGTCTCGGCGATCTGGGCCGGTAGCGGGGCGGTATTCGAGATCGTTTCGGACACTAGATCTTCGAAGAGAGAAGTCTTGACGGACTGCGACATAGCATGTGATATAGCCAGTTTGGTCATGTTGCTCTTAGGGTCTCGTAGAGAGATGAAGTCATTGTATATCCGGGCTTGGTATTCGCGAGCGTAGTAGAAATTGAAGTTCTCGATTTGCGTGTCTTCCGGACTCAAAATAGAAGTCGCAAATTTCGAGGTGTCGGAGAGAAAACGCGATTCCTGCGCAGGGGACATGCCCCATATGACGACTGTGCCGTAATCAAACAGAAATACTTCAGGGGTATGTATCGTCGTATCAAAGTCGGGAGTCTCTGCGACATGCGATTCGGATATGGCATTTTCGGATGTATGAGCCAGCTCAGACGGAAATTCCGCATCGTGGAGATCAATCAGGTCATCCCTTCGAGCTTTGGCACTGTCGTCGATCTCAACCGCGCTATCTGAGTACCTGCGCTCTCCAGACGGTCTCTCAGGGGGCGGGCCACTAGCTGTGCCCAGGTTATCATCCGAGACGCTCCGGTAACCCGCCTTTTTCTCCTCAAATTCATAATCGTACGGAGAATAGACACACTCGTCGTACAATTTCGGGTTGGCCCCACAGGTGTTGGCCCGCGATTTGAGAAACTTGATCACGCCGTCCAATCGATAAGAATTGGCCGTGCAGTACGCCGTTACACGAGGGAGTCGATCTCTGTCTGCCTTTCCTAGCCTTGCAGCGTGACTTCTCGCGGCGGGTTCTTTGATTCGTGCAATCTGGGAGTAGACGTCGGACGGGAAATCGCCCTCGACCGCCTCCTCAGCGGCCGTCACAGGATCCGGGAGCAGCTTGAGCTTCTGGGCCTTTTTCGTTGTTCGCTGCGGACCGACTTTCGAGGCTGCAGCCATCGGAGCAGCGCTGTAAGGGGAGCCATGGCTGTTGCGACGACGGAGCTTGCTGTTCAACGCGGATAACCCGGTCGGGCGTTGGCCATCTGAAGAACTGGGAAAGGAAGAAGCATTCGAGTGCAACGGTCTAAAGGTCGGATCGGCAGAGGCGGCATCGTGGTATGTGCTGACCGTTGCCAGAGGGTTGAATGTCACCGTCCGCGGCGGGCGGTTTCCTTTCGGCGTCGGTGTCGGTGACGTATTCGAGGAAGCTGGACGCTGGTGATGCTGGGGGAGAAGAGGCGTTGTCTCTCCTGTCGAAGTGGAAGCCATGGTGGATTAAGGGAGTGTGGAAGAATCAGAAACAGTCCGCCATTGACGGACGGGTCAATGTTTCGGTCTGGAAGGAGAAACCCAGAGAAGGGAAAGAATGGAGGTGAGGTAAAAAGAACCGGACGGAGCAGAGAGAGCTCGAAGCTTCGCACGTGCGCCCGCCGACCATTTCGAGTTTGCGCCCTGAAAATGCGATGCCCAAGAATATCGACATTATTCTTCTCCTTTGGCACATCTACATTTCCCTTATGATTAAAAAAAAAGCAATTCTAATCAGAATCGAAAGAAAAAGAAAATATACAAAATCTAACCCAGTTCAGCCTGTTATTGATGATCATTAGCAACGAAACCATTGTAACTACTCAGTTCCGACCGGTTAACTATAAAACCCTATTTACTACAGCACTTGGAAGCTTGAGATCGGATATCCATCGGTTCTTGTCTTCGACTCAATGACGTAGAAAAGAATCCGGTCGCACGGTATTCGCCTCGGTCTCTTTTTGTATGCATGTCCCCTGTAACCCTTTCCGAGCACAAGCCAGCATGATCCCTTCAGATCGAATTGAGAGGGGGAAAGTGAGGGTGACCCAGGCAATCTGATTGCTGAATTTCCCGATGACACCTCAAAAATGACTCCGTTCAAACTTTTGCTTGATCTCTGCCAAGCGAATGACAACGCAGCAATGAAGATATTTCGTGGAAGAAGTGTAAGGTGGGTATTTCATCGCCGCACAAAGCCTGAAGGACCACCCTTCGTTCTCCTGAGGCCATTGACACTTCCCGTGCTACGGGATTTATTCAGCCAATTGTCCCTAGCATTGCGTCCATTTTTGGAGGACTTTGGCGCCAAAGACGTTTTGCTCTTCTTCTGCGGAGGTTCCCCATCTAGGACTCGGATGGTAACATCGCCCATTCTCACATCCTTCGGGCGTTGTTCGCTCTTCTCAAGGAACCGGAGTTTGTTGGGCTTCTTAGGGCCGGTTTCCAATTCTTCTGCGGGGGGCGTCAAAGGCCGCGTAGCAGGGGCCGCGCTCAGGATTTCATCCGGGAGGAGCGCCGGGAGCGCCGACCGTTGTACGTCCTGCGTAGTAGAGCCTTGAAGGGTTTCTGTGCTCTCGGAAAGCAGATCATCGGCGAGAGTGTCTTTCTTTTTGTTGGAGGTCTTGGCCTGTGTTTTGCGCAATTCATCCAATTGCCGTCTCTTTTCCTTTTTCAACTGTTCCTCTCTGTACAAGAATTAGATGGGATCTAACATAGAGGCGGCATGAATATCAGGTAACTCACAGTTGCTTGGCTTGCTCCAATTTCTTCGCTTCTGACCTGATCTTGGACAATTGCGCGGAGTTGTCAATTGCCTCAGGGGCCTCATCGTCACTGCTGTCGTCGTCGCTACCCTCCTTGTCTTGGGGCGTCTCTGTATTCTCTTCGGCCGGGGTATCTAATGGGATTTCTGGTTCTTCACTATCAAATCGGAAGTGCTTGGTCTTTCCATTTGTAGCCGGTTTTTCTTTGGGTTCGGGCACAGCTTCGGGCTCCGGTTCAAGTTCCGGTTGAGTTTCAGCTTCAGGCTCAGGCTCAGGAGCAACCTCGATTTCCTGCGTCGCCTCCGGAGTTTCGTTCTGCGGTTCGCTCTCTATTTCCTGGTTCGACTCCAGACTTGCTCTCTTCCGTCGCTTGCTGCCCCGAGTCTGGGTGGTTGGAGCGGCGGCAGTATCGGATTTGCGCTTCGATCTCGTATTTATCCGGATCTCGACATTCGAATCTGTAATCGGTTGCGCGACTTCAAGAGTCCGCCGTCTAGTAGCGGTAACCATGGTCGGTTTACTGCCAATCGCTTTTTCTGGCGAAGTGGAGTTTGTTTTGGGGGGCTTCGAGCGAGACCTGTTGGATGGTTGGCGAGTAAATAAACCTTTTGCTGCAGTGACAAAGTTTGAGAACATATGAGGCCAAAAGAATCCAAAGAAGAATTCTTTACGGGCCCAGAATGGAGGGGGAAAGTTGATGCGTCCAAAACTGGCGCAGTTTTACTTGTGAGGAAAAAACGGCAGATCGATCAAATTTCCACGGAACCACCTTTCTCCGAGGCCGGCGGTCACCTGAGGGGCTCATTTTGTATACAGTCTGTAGAACTAGAATGTAAAGTCCAAATGATATGTTAAACATTGTGGAATTGTGGTATCTCACATGCAGTCCAGATAAAAATAAGAAGAACATCGCTCATAACCCAGTGCAAAATGTATAAACTCACAAACAGCATATCAACCCAGTTCCTTCCTTTATATGATGGCATCCAAAACTCCATTCCCCCAAGATTTTGATTCTCTTTCCCTGCGCATTGAGTGATTAGGAGAATTAATCAAACGGCGCCAACGAAGGCTAAGCTAGCGTTCTTGCCCCTTATCAAGCACTATTTACCATTTGTGTGCGTTCTGTGAGTTCTTCATTTGCAGCAATGAAATCGTCCTCTCCAATATCACTGGTCTCGTCCCAGAATTTAGCATGCTCGTCGCCATCATCACCACTCACCGTCCACATGCTTTCTCGGAGACGTTTGTTTCGTTCTCGGTCTTCTTCAATGCGCTGTTCGATCTGTCGCTTGTCCACGCGCACCCCGCTGCCCCTCGTGCCGCGTGGCGTGCCACTTTTTGATTTCCCACTGCCTTCGGGCCCCTCCTCGGCTTCCAGGTCGAGATGTGCTGGGTGAGTTTCTCGTTCCTTGAGTCCGGCGTCAATTTCCGCTACCGTCTCGGCAGAGAGGATTTCCTTGGTCTGGAGGCCGTTCAGAACCCGGCGCACGTGCTTCACATTGGCTGCGCCTGAACCGTCTGCCGGGGCGACGGCGTCGACGACTCGCAGAATATCTCTTTGTATCATCCGGACGTAAGGGGAGTGATCTTCTTTGGTGGCCATTTCGCAGAATTGCTCGATGAAATACATGATATTAGCCCTGTTGTTCATGTTGTTCTATAAAAGCGAACAAGCCCGCGTCAGAATTTTGCCAGATCAGCAGCTGCGGTAGGAGTACTCACCCTTTCTAGCTGTTCCAGAATACACGAGTGAAGGTCCTCGTCCATGTCGCGGTATTTGAGCGCATAATGCGCGGCTTTCTGCGAGGAAGTGACGGAGGCATTCAGATGCTGTAGCTGCGCAGTGAAGCGCATGCGAACCTCAAACGGATCTGCCATCATGATGCCGGTTGCCACTTTCAAGAGGAAAATCGGAAATATAGCGTGCAGGTGTCTCCTGTATCTGCGAGTCAAGGTAATTGCGAGTCAAGGTAATTGCGAGTCGAGAAGACTATCAAAGAACAAGAAAGCCCGGTTGGTCTCCAAGAAGGCGGTAGGATTTTTGAACGGGCAAAAAATGCGGAGTTCAGCCGGGCGGGCCTAGATCGCCGCGGAGTTGCCAAGTCAAAGCACTTCTTACGGGGTACTTTGCTGCGATTCTTATTTTATGACTCTGGCTAAGTGACCCTTAATAATTCTAGGCAAAGGAATAGAGCGGGCGTAGATTTGGAATGACTGACTTATACTCCATCCTACAAGTTTATAGCAGATTAACCCTGTTGACGAAAAGATATAGTTATGTGGAACAATATATATGTACACTCTGCCATGGACAGAAACAACAGAGACTCATACAAGATGGATCCTGACTCCCAAACCATATCAATGATGTAAAACCAACATTAACAACGAGCCGCATCCCAGAATATAAGTCCATCTATCCAGATCATGAGAACCAAAACATGAGGGAATAAATTGCGCCATGATCTCAAGCAAAAACCCGACCCATATAGGCATATAGTAAAATTGTGAACCCCGCTTGTACTAAAGCGATTCTCTTCTATCCAAAGAGCTAGTGAGACTAGTCATATCGTCACCTTCGAGTAATCCAACTTCCTCTGCCACATGTGGCTGATGGAAGTTGTGTTCCCTTAAAGCTTCACCTTGACGGAAGCCTGACCCGTTGATGACGGACCAGACATCTTTCTTAGTGAGCAGCCCTTGAAGAACACCCTTATTAGAGAACAAAACGTAACGGAGACCAAGTCTCTGGAACATCTGCAGTACTATCAAGAATGTGGTACCGCTGTTGAGGGTTATAGGCGTTTGGTCCATCCAAGGACGCAGATCAAGGGTTTCCATCGGATCCGCGAATGGTTGGTGGGCAAATAGCACTTGAGTCGTACCCGGATATTTGTGGTCCGCCGGCGATAAGGAATGTTTCAAGGCGTATAAGAGCTCGCTGCGAGAAATGAAGCCCAGAAGAATCGGGTTCGATGTGTCGGTGACGACGGGAAAGCCACGGTAGGAAGTGGTATCGAGAAGATTGCGAAGAGAATCAATGGTATGGCCAACGGCAACGATGGCTGTAAGGTCATCGACCATTGTCATCACTCTATGAGCAGGCACATCCGGGGGAGGAGTATCGTCGCGGTGGTCTATGAAAGGATATTCGTTCAGGTGAATCCAAGACTCATAGATACCACGTTTCCCAAAGATATCACCACACCACTTAGACAACATGACCGCAATCATGATCGGAATAACGTAAGTCAAAGCGCCCGTTAATTCAAACATGATAACCACGATCGAGACGGTCATTCTTGTAGCGCCACCAAGAGCTGAAGCCGCACCGACAATTGCATATATCCCAGGGGTCACGCAGGGAATATCAGGCTCGCATCGTCCAAAGAGGAAGGCACCCGGGTACGCTTCTTGCCACATTTTGAATGCGGTGCCCATGGCACGTCCGTAAAGCGCCCCGATGGCGACCGACGGAAGAATTATACCAGCAGGTATATCGAGACCAAAGGTCAGCGAGGCCAGAAAGAAGCCAAGAATGGCGGCCATGAGCAGAAGAGCTATTGTGCTAACCGATACGGCCCCAGTCTTGCAGAGGCCGAACAAGTCATCGGTGGAATTCCCGGTGCCACATTCGGCGAAGAGGTAATGGACGAGCTCCGAGTTCTGGGCTCTCATGAATAAGTTGGGAAAGTTGATCAAGGCCGTTAAAAGGGCTATGGCAAACACTTCGACGACAGGGTATGACCAGCCCCGAGTCCGTCGCCATCTCGCAACTTTCAAATTCAGCCGAATTAGGAATGCACCATATAGCCCACCTACTATGCCAAGTATAATGAATGGTATCATTTCAAAGCGATGCCAGCCGCGTGTATAGGTGACCTCGTAAAGAACAATGTTTCCTGTTCGGAACGGGTTGATCGCTTGTAAGGTAACTGCAGCGATCATAGCACATACAAAACTTTGCCACATCGTCTTGTCCGGGAAGTAGTATGACAGTTGCTAGAGTATGTTAGTCACCAAGATCCGAGGCCTCATCTTCGAGAGATACATACTTCCAGACTGAACAGAACGCCACCGATAGGCGCTCCAAAGGCAACAGAGACCCCTGCAGCTGCAGCGGCTGACAGAACTTCACGCTTCCTCGCTAGGTATACTATCAGCATGGAACCAAAACATAGGCTGGATGACTTTTCTTTTGGAAAATTCGTATTCTTACCTTCATTGTTGTTGAGGCTTTCGAAGGGTCTCATCAACACATTGGCACAGCAACACGCAACATGAACAAGCGGGCCTTCTTTGCCCAACCACATACCAGAAGCCACGGATAAGCACTTTTGACACGTTAGCGCACTGAAGACCCAATCAAGACTTAAAGGGTGCCTACAAGACCTATGGACTTGATGGCAAGAGTCCAGGCTCCCATGAAATGCTTGATCACAAAGCCACCAAGAACCGTCTTGATCTCGGGGATTCCACTATGTCTTGCATAGATTGCATAAGACCTGACCAAGAGGCTAGCACAAACAGCAAATAACACCTATATAATCAGTCAGCGAAATCAAGGTAGTATTCTGGCCAAGTTTCCCCTACAGAGTAAAGGATATAGAAAATATATTCAACTGCAAAACCTCCACCCTTGGAGGTAACCCCGAACGCTTTCCCCCATGGTGTCCAATCTATACATTTCGACAGGTCTGGTTTAAGATATGAGATCAGCATATTTTGCGACGGAACCTAGAGACAACAGCAGTCGGCTCACCATCATGCCCCCAGCAGCAAAAATCCCGGTTCAAGTAGAACTTCCCTCCTCCTGAGCCGTTTCTGCAATAGCCAGTTTTGATATCTCCCAGCCAATTGCTTGTGATATCAATGCAAGCTGCAATGATCCCAACTGAAACTCCCGTAGCGATCAACACAATCCAGATATTGCCCGCATTGATGAGCTTCTGAACGTATCCTGTGATCCCCTGGCCGCTGGAATAAAGTACCCTCTTCCGTTGTCGTTCTTTGGAGTATTCGAAGATCCAATCGATCGCCGTGAGATCATCGTAGCCTACCCGCCGTCCGGGTCCTTCGATATACCAATCGAGTAGACCACCGTCTTTCTGTGTATTCAGGTTCTCGTTACCACCGATCGAGGCACGTCTTGACGACGAGGTACCGCCTGGCAGTTGTTGATTCCGAGAGGCGGAAGCATCGCTGCCTGTGAATATCTTCGACAAACTGAAAGCGGGCTGATGTTTTGGTTTGCGCTTGAAGGAGATTCTACGTAGAGATTCCCATTAGAGATATATAGCCATTCGCATGTGGTGTTAGTACTCACGGTTCGTTCCATGTCCCTGGCAGCGGGTCACTCGAATCGTGGGAATCCGGTGAAACTATGCCACCATCACGGTATCCACTCGGAGATTGTCTTGGATCGTGCGGCTGTTGCGTGTACGGGTACTGGTCGTTGTTTTCATGGTCGGGTTGCATCATAGACATAGCGTATCGCGCACATGAATCGAAGTCCTCATAGCAGAAGACGAAGAGGCCCTTATCCCTGAACCGGCCGATCTAGATGTTTGCGACAACTAGTAACCTAAAGAGTCTCGGAGGTGTGGCTTGAACTCCGCGCGTACAGAAAGAAAGGCGGTGACTGCAGCGCATGTGGGGCTGCGCCACATATCGCGGCAGAAAAACGGGCCTAAAAAAAAAGAGTCGCTATCGGGACGAGATATTTTCAAATTTCTCTCCCCATTAGATTTAAACTCGGCACATGAGTTCCTCTGACGGCAGGATTCAGCATGGACGCTACACCTGCCTACGAGAGGGCTCTCAATGAGTCCCAGATCCATGAACAGCTTCCGAATGAGATTGCGGAACTCATTCGCACAGCTTCTGGGACTCAGTACCTGAATGCGCTTGCGGTTGGCGCTTCAAGGTCAGGATGTACAGAAAATTTCTTTTGCATATTCGAACCGATTTTTGTGGACTTGGCAGCACGATGGATTTTGTCCGACTTTCAACTCAACCAAATCGAAGTTATTTCCGCATTTGCGCGAATCCTACCTTTCGCGCCGTATCTTCGACCCTTTGCTAGCCAATATGCCATGTCCCGGGCTGGACCTTTGTCGACGTTGGCTGCGTCCGACGAGCAAACACTAATGCAGATGGATGATGCTACAATTCGCACCTTACTTCTAGCGATCTTTCGACTTCTTTCATACGATTTAGAGACCTTTTCGAATTCCGTGTCACCGTCCCGACTCCAGCTCTTTTTCCGACACCGAGACTCGTCCGTTCGATACCTTGCAGTGCGATGCTTTGCTCTGTACGTGCGCGCAGCCGATGCTGCCACGGAGAAGTTGGTTCGGGCAAATATCACCGGGGAGGCTTTTGAGGGCAGTTGGGAAGGCATCGTTATCGACTATCGCTGCCTTGGTCTATGGGAAGAGCGCCGGTGGGATACTCTTCTGAAGCGAGTTGAGCTTGCAAGATCTAGTCGTTCAACTGTGGAAAGCTTATCTCAGGTTGAGAGCCTACGAGAATATTTCACTCCGCGAACTGCCGAGGTTTGTGGTGTCTTAATACCACGACTGAATGACACGGTATCTCCGGCGTCTTCAATGGTGAAAACACCAACCGCAGTGGGAAACCTGCGGAAGGTCGCTTCATCTTTGACCACGTCTAGTCCTCTGCTCTTGATCGGCTTGCCAAACTCCGGGAAGACTTCACTAGTCAATGACATTGCGGCGACAATGGGCCAATCGGAATCCATGGTCACACTTCATTTGAATGAACAAACAGATGCCAAGAGTCTTCTTGGAATGTATTCGACCTCCCCGACCACAGGTTCATTCGCGTGGCAGCCGGGTGTGTTGACGAAGGCGGCAAGAGAAGGCCGCTGGATTCTGATTGAAGACTTCGATCGCGCTCCCTCTGAAGTCATTGGCCTTATTCTCCCTATAATAGAGAAAGGGGAATTGACCATAGCCAGCAGAAAGGAGCGAATTAAGTGTGCTGAAGGATTCAAAATCATTGCCACCATGAAGTCTTCGTACAACATCGCTGGCGAAGAGATCGCCCCAAATACCACCATCCTGGGCAGCAGGTTATGGCAGCGAGTTTCTATCGATTCCCTCTCAATTGATGAGATCCGCGAGGTGATAACACAAAAGTTCCCTCTTCTAGAATCCCGGATCCAGATCATCATGAGCGTGTATCAAAACCTCTGTTCTTCCTTCCACGGGAGCCTTGCGATTAAAAGCTCCCAAGGCCGGACCCCGGGTCTTCGTGACTTAATAAAGCTTTGCAGCCGACTGCATAAGCGACTGCAGCGTCTAGGTGTAAAGACGGGCTACGAAGCTACCCCTGAAGGTGCTGACGACGAAATTTTCATGGACTTTGTGGATATCTTCCTCAGTTACATCCCCGAGAAGTCTATGGCAGAATCCCTGGCTCTGGTCGTTGCGGAAGCGCTTCAGATATCGCCTCAGCGAGCACAATATACCCTTCATGAGCGCGTTCCAGCATATTCAGACCAGGGAAACAGTCTTGTGCTTGGAAGAGAAATTTGCCGGAAAGTCAAGGTGCCTACGGGTTCATTATCCAAGATGTCTGCTGCCTCGTCACGCTTCGCTTCTACAAGATCTGCTGTCAGCCTTATGGAACAAGTTGCAGCTGCCATGCAAATGGCAGAACCCGTTCTTCTTGTTGGAGAAACTGGTATCGGAAAGACGACAGTGATCCAACAACTGGCCACCTTATTACGCCAAAAGCTCACGGTAGTGAACTTGTCACAACAGAGTGAAAGCTCTGATCTTCTAGGTGGTTTTAAACCCGTGAACATTCGTACTATGGCTGTCCCTCTGCTTGATGAATTTACCTCGGTATTCGAGTTGACATTCTCAGCAAAGAAGAATCACAAGTTCCTGTCATCCGTCTCTAAAAGCGTTACCACGGGAAATTGGGTACGCTTGGTAAATCTTTGGCATGAAGCCGTTCGGTTAGCGGAGGGTGTTTTCAAAGCAGACAATAGGCAAGGGAAAGAGTCCGAGGAAGGACAGCCAGCCAAAAAACGAAAACTCGATTCGCCGAAATACCAGCAGTTGCGACAGCGATGGGAAAGGTTTGCGGCACAGTTGAACGATTTCGAGGCCCAAGTTTCCCAGGGCGACGCCAAATTCACCTTTGCTTTTGTCCAGGGTAAGATCGTCCGAGCGCTACGCAATGGTGAATGGGTACTCCTCGATGAGGTCAATTTGGCATCGCCAGATACTCTGGAAAACATCGCCAGTCTTCTGCATCATGGTAGCGATGGTACACCTTCCGTTCTGCTTTCAGAAGCCGGTGATGTGGAGCGCGTTTTCGGGCATCCCGAGTTCCGTATATTTGGTGCCATGAACCCGGCAACAGATGCAGGGAAGAAGGATTTACCTCCTGGCCTTCGCTCTCGGTTTACTGAAGTATACGTGCATTCTCCTGATAGTGACATTGATGATCTGTTGTCATTGATACAGAAGTATCTCGGTGACTTGGCATTAAGCGACTCCAGAGTCGTATCAGACCTTGCCCACCTCTACATGGAAACTAAGAAGCTCAGCAACGAGAACAAGCTCACAGACGGAGCCGGGCAACGTCCACATTTCAGCATACGAACGCTCGTCCGTGCCTTGATCTACGTGGCTGACCATGCACACATATATGGGTTACGCCGAGCTGTTTTCGAAGGATTCTCCATGAGTTTCTTGACTGTCTTGAGTCAGGAATCGGAAAGGCTTCTGGCGCCTCTACTGGAGAGACACATTTTCAACAATGCGAAGAACGTCAGGGCGCTTCTTGGACAAACCCCTAGACCCCCAAGTGATGGGCATTCTTATGTGCAGTTCAAACACTACTGGATGCGGCAAGGGAACACCATTCCCGAGGAACAGCATCATTACATTATCACACCTTTCATTGAGAAGAACTTGAAGAATCTAGTTAGAGCAAGCTCAACTCGCCGATTCCCAGTTCTGTTGCAGGGCCCAACTTCCGCTGGAAAAACAAGTATGATTGAATATCTGGCGAAGGTCTCTGGGAATAAATTTGTTCGGATCAACAACCATGAACACACAGATCTCCAAGAATATCTGGGGTCGTACGTTTCCGACGAAGACGGAACCCTGCGTTATCAGGAGGGTATTATGGTAGAAGCTTTGCGAAATGGATATTGGATCGTTCTGGACGAGCTCAACTTGGCGCCATCGGATGTCTTGGAAGCATTGAACAGACTTCTTGACGACAATCGTGAACTATTCATACCTGAAACCCAGGAGGTGGTTCACCCGCACCCGAACTTCATGCTTTTTGCCACGCAGAATCCAGCTGGTCTTTACGGTGGTCGAAAGGTGCTATCCCGCGCTTTTCGCAACCGTTTCCTTGAGCTTCACTTTGACGACATCCCGGAAAGTGAGCTCGAGTTCATCTTGAAGGAACGTTCTCAGATCGCGCCTTCATTCTGTACCCGAATCGTATCCGTATACCGGAAGCTATCCCTACTCCGCCAAGCAAATCGACTTTTTGAGCAGAAGAATAGCTTTGCCACCCTGCGTGACTTGTTCCGATGGGCGCTCCGACGAGCAGACGACCGTGATCAGTTAGCAATCAACGGTTTCATGCTGCTTGCAGAGCGTGTTCGCAATCCACAAGAACGGGCGGCCGTGAAGAGTGTTATTGAAGAAGTCATGAAAGTCCGCATTGACGAGGATGTGATATATGGTGCTTCGGCGCTAGACCAGCGAGCGCCTCTTCTCAAAACTCTTGCTCCTGGAATTGTGTGGACGAAGGCCATGCGAAGATTATTCATTCTGGTTTCTGTTGCGCTGGAGAACAACGAGCCTGTCCTGCTCGTTGGAGAGACGGGTTGCGGAAAGACTCAGCTATGTCAAGCCGTTGCAGAGGCTTACAGGAAGCAATTACTCATCGTCAACGCACATGTGAATCTGGAAACAGGTGATCTTATTGGAGCTCAGAGGCCTGTTAGAAACAGGGCAGCCATCGAACAAGCTTTGCTGAGTGACCTTCGGTCCATCATCCCTGGAGAAAATGTTGAATCAAGCTCGGTCGAGGAGTTGAAACAAGCTTTCAGCGCGTTGGGCGCTGACCAGTTGCAAGCACACGACCCCGAGACAGTGCAACGAATCGTGAAAAATATTGCGCGTGTAAATGCTTTGTTTGAATGGTCCGATGGAAGCTTGATTACTGCCATGAGAACGGGGCAGTTTTTCCTCCTCGACGAAATCTCACTGGCTGACGATTCGGTGTTGGAAAGATTGAACAGTGTTTTGGAACCCCATCGATCGATTCTTCTTGCGGAAAAAGGTCCGGTTGATTCAATGGTAGTCGCTGATGACGGTTTCCAGTTCCTTTCTACCATGAACCCGGGAGGAGATTATGGAAAGCGTGAGCTCTCTGCAGCCCTCAGAAACCGACTGACTGAGATATGGGCTCCGCAGCTCTCTGAAGACGAAGACATCTTACCCATCCTCCAAATGAAGCTTGAGATGAAGTCCGAAGATATCCCCAAGGGCATGTTGCAATTCGCGAAATGGTTCAAATCGACCTTGCAGAATTCTTCAACCGAATCGCTTTCTATCCGTGACCTCCTTGGCTGGGTCGATTTCGTCAACAAGTGTCAGACTACAGACCCTCTATTTTCAATTGTGCAGGGTGCGGCAATGGTCTTTATCGACACTATTGGCGCAAATCCAGCGGCAATGCTCGCGTCAACGTTGCACGATCTGGAAGGGAACCGACGACTATGTCTTGCCAAGCTACGAGAACTCTTCAATGTGGATGCCGAGAGCATTTATCTCCAACGCTCCACCATTGATATAGAAAATGGTTCCCTACGCATCGGCCCATTCGTCCTTGATATGAATGGTCAGACAACACCAGACCCGGAATTCATAATGGATGCTCCTACGACAATTGCCAACTCTGTTAGAATTGCCCGTGGTTTGCAACTTCCGAAACCCATTCTTCTCGAGGGCAGTCCAGGTGTAGGAAAAACCACACTTGTGACAGCTCTTGCCAAGGCATTAGGAAAGCCTCTTACTCGGATAAATTTGTCTGAACAAACTGATCTTACAGACCTGTTTGGATCAGATGTGCCGGTGGAGGGTGGTGATGTTGGTCAATTTACTTGGCGCGATGCCCCGTTCCTACAGGCGATGCAGCGTGGTGACTGGGTTCTTCTGGATGAAATGAATCTTGCCTCGCAGTCTGTTCTTGAAGGTCTGAATGCCTGTTTGGACCACCGTCAAATGGTTTACGTTGCAGAGCTTGATCAAACGTTTAAAAGACATCCCGACTTTGTCCTCTTTGCTGCGCAGAACCCGCATCATCAAGGTGGTGGAAGAAAGGGTCTTCCGGCCTCTTTCGTCAACCGATTCACGGTTGTGTATGCGGATAGCTTCACCAACGATGACCTGAAGAGGATATGCGCAAAGCTTTTCCCTGGGAGCCCTTCCGCACAAACTGATGGGTTGGTGGACTTCGTGTCGAGGTTGAATAGGGCTATTGTTCAAGAACGAAGACTAGGCGCGGTTGGAGGCCCATGGGAAGTTAATCTACGAGATATCCAAAGGTGGCTCCAGCTAGCAGACCGTGGGTATTTGCAGATCCCGACAAGCAACTTCCTTGATGTCATCATCTCCCAGCGATTCAGGTCTCAAGAGGATCGGCAGTTGGTCGCTCAGATTTATGAGCAGGTTTTCAAGGATACACCAAGAATGGCCAAAAACTACTACCACAACCTCACGCCAGACTACATGCAAGTTGGTTTTGGGACAATGCGAAGGGATCCGTTCCTCCAGCAGACCCCGGAACCCCAGATGAAGATACTTCCGCGAGATCTTTCGATTCTTGAGTCTCTTATGCTATGTATCGAACAATCATGGCCCAGTATCTTGGTTGGACCTTCTGGCTGTGGCAAAACCACTCTGATCCGAAAGCTCGCGGCCTTGAATGGTGCCAGCCTTGTTGAGTTGGCCCTGAGTGCTGACACCGACACGATGGACTTGATTGGTGGCTTTGAACAAATTGACCATAAGCGGGAGGTGTCGTCTCTGATGCAAGATATCTCCCTATTGCTCCGACAATACATCATTTCTGCATACTCCTCGGGGAGTGGTTTTGATGGAGTTCCCGCCTTTCTTCAACTCTATGAAGCTCTGCAGGACAAGGAGATCTCATTGGACAACATTTGTTCATCGCTTACGACACTATGCCAACTTTATTCCGAAAAATCCCTTGAAGATCTCCTTCTCCGTGGTCAAAATTTGCTGGAAAAATCAAAACAGTCGGACAAGATGAAAGTGGGATTTGAATGGACAGAGGGCGTCTTAACGCAAGCTGTGCAACATGGACACTGGGTTATTCTCGATAATGCCAACCTTTGCAACCCCTCTGTTCTGGACAGATTGAACTCGCTCACTGAACCCAATGGTGCTTTGATTCTCAATGAGCAACGGACTGAAGACGGTTCTGCTCGTGTTATTAAGCCGCATCCAAATTTCAGGCTATTTTTGACAGTTGACCCTCGTCATGGAGAACTGTCTCGCGCCATGAGGAATCGTTGTGTTGAGGTTTGCTTCTTACCTCAGGAAGATGACAACATAGCGGGCACATTCACGCCTTCCTATACATGCCAGTCTTCCTTGTATCGCCTTCGCTCTATCTGGAACTTCGATTCTCCGGTCATCACTGAAGACCTAACGCGGGTAGCCTATAAGGTGTGCCTAGATCACCTTTCCATCGGAGATCTTGCCTATCTCCAGAGAAATCTCAATCTCTTCCTACCGTACTGTTCGGATTCTGTGAAGGAACTGCTCTCGTCGATACTGCCTCAGTACGTGTCCGTTGTGCATGACAATTCGGGCTGGAAGCCTCTTGGTTATTTCAACAGCACCGTTGCACTTGGCGGTGCTTCCTTGTCTATTCAGGGACAATCGCAGCCTCTTCATCCTTTGGTCAATGAGCCACTAGCTTCAATCTTGTGTGATGATGTGTCGTTCACTCCCCTTGCAATTCTGGCGCAATTACAAGAGTCCAAGCTGGATCTGTATCGCTTAAGACAGGGCCTGCAACAAGCAGATGAGTCAGGAAAACAACTGAAACCGAGTCAAATGAGTCGATTGGAGCGGTCCCTGGCTTCCGGGCGCATCCCGGCTCTCATGAAAGATGCAACTCAGCCAGTTGGCTCTTTCCTGTCGGACTGTGGACAAGCAGTGTATGACTTCATACAGGGTTTGGATCAAGAGGTTCTTCAGGCACCTCAGCTTCTCCCCATCCTTCGAGCAGTCATCGACTTTTCCATGGATATCTTCAGACTAACTACAGCAAGTGAGGTGGATGAAGGTGAGTTCCAGGTGTATCTCCAAATTGGCAGAGAGTTATCTGCCTCTCTAGCAGACTCTTGGGCCCTTTTGAAACCATTGGCGTTTGCCCTGTCCCAAGCGCTTGACCGATTCCAAGAAAACTGGGCACTTAAAACCGGACTTAGCATGCAGAGACTGTGGGAGTCCTGGAGACCTGCAACGCCCTCAACACAAAGTCAATTAAAGTCCATTCTAGACCTGGAGGCGGTGGCTTCCGAGTTTACCGATATTGCCATCAAAACTCGTCTTGATTTGTCTAATCTAAGTCGGGTTCGCGACTCACTCATCAACGCCCAGCATTCTATTCTCGTTGACGGCGCAGACGAAGGACTCCTTGTGCAGGTATGGTTTAATCCTTTGTTTCCATCCCTTAATTCGCCTCCTTGCTCTCACTTTGATACTTCCCTCAGTCCCCAGATGCTTACTTCATAACAGGGTCTCAAACAAATGGTAGCGGAGCTGGCAAATGCCACACAGAACCGCGAGGCAGCTCAGAATCCGTATTTCTTGGATCAGTTTGAAGCTCTCAGTCAGTACCATGACATATCCTCTGTCTCTCGAAGCAACAAGAGCAGTGGCCATGCCATTCAATCGGTGCTTCCTTTACTCGCTGGTCGTCCTGCCCGTCCTCTGGATGCTTCAATGTTTCAAACTCAAGTGCCCAGTACCCTTCACAAGCTGTCACTATTCTCAGGATCGGGGCGTTCGTCGGCATTCGGCACCGCTATCAACGGCACCTTTTCTTTGGACCTACTCAAGAAATTGACTTTTGTCGATCTCACGATCTTAGGTCAGATGGACGCCCTCGAAGTGGAGAAGCAGACTCTTTCCAAGAGTTTGGCCCTATCTTCCCATGAGGTTTCCATGGATCAATTTAGAGCCCTCAGGCGAGTCTTATGCGAACTCACTCGAGAGCTTGTCCTTGTGCACAAGGATTTCTTTGAGCCGCAGTCATTTGACCAATTGGTTTCTACGTTGAAGGCGGTCGCTGAACAAGGCACTTCTACTAGCCCACTATCGGTCAATATTCACTTGGATAAAAGACTACCTGGTGACCATTATTTCAAGGCTTTTGCGGAACGAGCACTTCCAGCTCTTCTAGTGTCTCTGGCGACCGATTCCGTAACTACAGAGGATGCTCAAAACGCGGGGGCTGCTGTGGTCCAATTAGCTACCATACTTCTGCGACTTTTCGTTCCGGACAAGCCATTTGATCCCTCTTTGAGCTTAGTTGTTCAAAGGAGTCGCCATGCACAGCGCACTTCCGAGCTCACTACCAAGGCACAGGCGATCTCCTCGTTCGAACTTGGCTTCTCCGGTCAAGCCACGAACATCCGCCACGATATCCTGCAGGGACAATTGCGCGATTTGGGCTCAGCACCTCCCCCCTCTTCTATTACTCGGCCGCCTGTCTCAGAGATGAGTCTACTCCATGCGGAATTCTCAAGCTTAGTGAGGTCTGTTCTCGATAGACATCCCGAAAACATCGTAAACGCCCCGGTTGAGAAGGCATCTGAAGGCTTGGTGGGACTATTGCGAGATAATATCCGCCAACTGAGCCAACGTCTGAGCACAAACTACCGATCTTATGACGACTTGACAGTCCCTGTTGTTCGCTTCCTTGAAATCCTGGATCTCGGTCTTTCCCTTGCTTCCAGCCGATTCCAGTCACCAAATGATATGCAGGCCGTTCAGACCATCAGCGAGAGCACGCCGTTCCTTGGAGGCCATGTTCATCCGATTTCGGCCTTCGAGAGTCAAATCACTGATGCCAATCCAAAGCGTGCTATCGAGCTGTGGTTCCACAAATTATCATCCTTGAGAGTGGCCGGGAATGCGGACGCAACAGTGCTTTCTACTCAGGTGGGACGCAACGCTCTTCGCAAGCTATTCGATCACTTCCATTTGTTGTGGAAGGCAAAGCTGCGGGAGGATCAGGAAGAAGAGGCGCAGAACTCCAATCTATACCACTACAGGGGATCCTGGGAAGATGGCGAGGAAGTTAACGAGAAGGAACTCAATGAGCTTTTCCCTACATATGACGGCGATACAGCTGAAGAAGGTGCCAAGCCTACCCGCATTGATCCCAAGGCTATTTCCCTCCGGCTCGCCTCCCTGCACGCAAAATTATTCCGGGTCGAAAACCCTGCGAGTGTTCTCACAGCCTACGTCAAAGAATCTGCTACACTGCTCGGTTCAATCTGGTCTGAGAAAGAGGGTTCTAGTTCTTACGTTCATCCTAAGGAGCATATCTCCGGTATACTCCTGCTTTTGGAGGACGCCCTCAACATAGAGGCAGACTCTGTGAACAACTACAACTTCTATACTGATGCAAACATCGGAGAAGCCCGGAAACTTGTCTCTTTGGCCTTGTCCACACAATCTCGATTCCTCCAGATTCAGAAGTCCTGGCCTGACCATGCTGTTCTCGAGGATGTTATCCTATGTTGCAAGGAGATCCTCCAGTTCAAGCACACCGAGCCTGTTGCGAAGTTCATCACCAAGGTTGAGAAGCTGCATGGGCTGGTTCACGAGTGGCAGCTTGTTGCAAGCAGAGAATTCTCAGCGGCAGCTGTTTACGACGAGATCACTGCCTTGACCATCAATTGGCGACGACTTGAGTTGTCCACCTGGGCTAGACTTTTGGAGATCGAAAGAGAGAAGTGTGGACAAGATGTGGGCTCGTGGTGGTTTGTTGCCTATGAGGCAATCATTGGTGCCCCTATTCAGATCGCGGAGGCTAGCTCGGGAGAGTTGAACAACCACGTTCTCGAGGTTATCTCAACATTGGAACAATTCTTCCTCTCAACCACTCTGGGCCAGTACAGTGGACGCTTGCAACTCATTAAGGACTTCCGCACGTTGTTACTGCTTTATGTTGAGGACCTTCCTTCCCTGAAGCAACTCACCTCCGCCTTGAACAACTTCATTCAACGTTACACGCAGTACGAGCCCGTGGTGCACAAGATACTGAATGAAAGAAGAGTGGCGCTCGAGAAGGAAATCAAGGAGCAGATTCAGCTCGCTAGTTGGAAGGACACGAACATTGTTGCTCTCCGGGAAAGTGCCCGACGATCGCACACCAAGTTGTTCAAATTGGTCCGCAAATATCGGGAGATACTAGTTCAACCTGCTCAACAATTTCTGGAGCAGGACATGCCGGATGATAACGAAGAGCTCAAACCCACCCTTCACCGACCAGACCTATCCTCAGCAAGCTTCCCGGGCGCTCTTGAAATGTGTCAAACAATTGATAAAGCCTGGGCTAATCGGCCGCCCAGATTCAGAGATCCAAGTGGTACAGTGGGCAACATGACACACATGTATGTGTCCATTCCTGCCGAGTTTGATGTGGCCGGGGAACTTGAAGGCTTTGTCAAATTCTTCATTGAGAGCATAAAGGAATTCAGGACACAAACACCCAAGGTTCTGACCGAGGAGAACAAGGATGGGGTGCAGCATCTGAAGGTCCAAAAGCGTCGCTTCTATGCGGACACATTGCGTCGCATCATGGAAATGGGCGTCAAGCGCAGTGCTAGCATGAACTTGATGGAAACGCAAGCATCCGTTTCACATGTCCTTGCTACCAGCCCAACCTTGGGAGGCGAGGCCATGCAGAACGATACCACGAAGAGTGCCGACCTGTACTTCCACAGATTCTTAGACCTCCTTCCTCGTGTGCGTCAAGCATCGCGCAACTACTCTGAAGATCTCAGCAACGTGGAAATCTCAAGAAGCTCGGGATCTATTGAACACTTGCTGTTCTTGATTCGCAAGCAGAGAACTGTTATCTCACCCGCGCTATTCGACTTGGAAGCACTCAATTCAACGCTTGTCAAGACCGCAAACATGTGGACCTCAGGGTCCAAGTCGATCTACAAGCCAATTGCCGGGTTCTTAGAGCAGACGCAAGACGTGTCACGGGCCGTCTCCTGGTTGGCTCCTATACTTGGGCTGGCCGCTACAATTGTGGAACTGCATGCCAAGTTCTCCGGCATCGACTGTCTGGTCGTCTCTAATGGTTTGCGCTCTTGGAAAGAAACGTTTGACCGCTTGCGAAAGTCGCTCACCAGCCTTCCGGAGCTGCCAAAGGGTGTATCCTCACAGGACCATAAGGGAGTTCTGGAGGAGACCTCGTCCTCTTTCACTGAGCTGAACCAACAAATCATCCAATGGACTGAAGCCCGTCCTGATCTTTCCTTTGCCTTGTCCCAGATAACCCCTTGGACTAACGTCAACATCCAGGCGATTGAAGGGTTGCGTACTGATGATGGATTGGCGATTGAGGACTTTGATCGAAGTCTCCTCGCAGCGGTTGACAAAATTCTTGTCAGTATTCAAAAACTCAGAGAGGCACCGACTCTCGTTGCATCCCCAGGTCTCCTGGCACGAAGTGACGAGTTCTTCAATAAGGCAGTCAAGGCTATCCACGTGGCCGGTATCACTTCGTCACTCGATTCTGTCCTGGAAACGCTTCAGCATGTTCAAGAGCGCGCAGATTCCGGACTTGCCTTCGCGAGCGCACTACTCGCCAGTCTGCTTCCCATCATGAACAAGTACTGCCACATCTGCAAGGATCTTCTGGATCGATTCATCACCGTCCACCGCGAGACGTGCAAGATGTCATATGTGCTCGCCAAGTCCTTCAACCAGATCGCTTCCGAGGGATTCTGCATGCCCGCCGAGGCATCCACAGAAGAGAGCAAGTCTGGGCAATTGGAGAGTGGAACGGGTCTCGGTGACGGCGAGGGCGCTGATGATATCAGCAAAGATGTCGGAGCTGATGAAGACCTCTCGGAGCTTGCCCAGGAACAAAACGAAAACCCTAAAGAGGACATGGACAAGTCTGCGGACGCAGTGGACATGGACCAGGAAGACATGCAAGGCGAGGAGGGTGAGCGCAAGGAAGACGACGAACAAGACAATGACGAGAGTGGCGACGAAGAGGAAGATGGTGATATCGATGAGGAAGTAGGAAGCGTGGATGATCTCGATGCCTCGGCAGTGGATGAAAAGATGTGGGATGGCGCCCACGACGAGCAGCAAAAGGAGACTGAGAACGAACAAGGCAAGGGTCAGAATGAGTCCGACGAGCAGTCTGCAGCGCACGAGGAGAAGAAGAAGGACGAGAATGGAGAGGAGGCTGAGAAAAAGGAGGGCGAGGATGAGGAAGAAGAGCCGGAAGAGGATGAAGAATCTCCCGAGGAAGAAGGCGAAGCTGTTGGACGTGAAGATATGGATGTCACAGATCCACATGCCAAGGAAGAGGAAGCTCTTGACCTTCCGGATGAGATGCAACTTGATGGCGAGGAGAAGGGCGACGAAGGCCAAGAAAGTGACGACGGTCTCGACGATGACCTGTCGGACTTAGGAGCTGCTCCTGCAGAGGAGGAGCAGAACGCAGATGGTCTAGACGACAACCAAGAGAACGATGGCATGGAGCCGGGTGAAGAAGAGCAAGACATTGATCAAGCCGAGGAAGAAGCCAATGAGGATGACAACATGGGCGAAGCCGAAGCTGATGGTGAAGAAGAAACCGAGAAGCCTGGAGAGGAACCCGAGGAAACGCCCCAAGACGACCTTCTCCTCCAGTGTGACGAGAACGAGATGAATGGAGAAGACGTGGCACCTAGCGATGCTGTCAATGGTGGACTGGGTGCTGACCAGGACCAGAATCAAGAAAAGGGCGCATCCGGTAACGCACAGCAAGAGAACGGCTCTAAGGACCAATCTGCTGAGCAGCAACAACAAACCGGTGCTTCTAAGGATGGAGACGACAGTGAGCGGCACAGAGATGCAGGAGGCGCGGACGATCCCAACCCCGAGGACCCTCAGCTGCAGGCATTCAAGAAGCTGGGTGATATGTTAGAGGAATGGCATCGCAGGCAGAAAGAAATCAAGAACGCCTCCAACCAGGAAGACGAAGAGTCCCAAGATCCTCTGCCTCAGGATACAGACATGGCAGATGCGGATTTCGAGCATCTCGCAGACCAAGACGATGTCGCCGATACTCAAGCCCTTGGCCAAGCAAATGAGGAGCAAGCAAAGGCCCTCGATCAGAATAAGGGCGTCGAGTCAGACATCAAGCCTGGAGAGAACGAGCCTCTGCCGGACTCGGACGAACCCCAAGACCTTCCGGGCAATGAGCTGGAAGATGAAATGCAGCTGGATCAGGGTCCCACGGCTGCTGAAGGACAATCCGCAGGCGCGATGATCCCTGGCAACTCGCAGACCCAGGAGCGCACCACTGACGCTCTCGGTCAACAAGAAATCAACGAGGAGCTAGATGAAGTGGACGCACATCTCGCAGCCATCCACCTTTCGTCCACTCTGCCCCCTCTCACCCCCAGGGATGAGGCCCAGCGACTCTGGTCGCACTACGAATCCGTCACTAACGACCTCTCCCTCTCTCTGACCGAACAACTCCGCCTCATCCTCGCACCGACCATGGCAACGAAGCTGCGCGGCGATTTCCGCACGGGTAAACGGCTGAACATCAAGCGTATCATTCCGTACATCGCGTCGCAATACAAGCGCGACAAGATCTGGATGCGACGATCCATCCCCTCCAAGCGCAACTATCAAATCATGCTTGCTGTCGACGATAGCAAGTCCATGCTGGAGAGCGGAAGTGGCCAACTTGCGTTCGAAACCCTAGCGCTCGTATCCAAGAGTCTTAGCATGCTCGAAGCCGGCGATCTCTGTGTCCTCGGATTCGGCAGCGAAGACCACGTCCGTGTTGCGCACGACTTCGGCAAACCGTTCTCGTCGGAAGCCGGCATGCAGGTCTTCCAGCACTTCAGCTACCAGCAGACCGGCACCAACGTGCGCAAACTGATCGCCGACTCGATCGCCTTGTTCCGAGAAGCTCGCTGGAAGCAGTCTCCGGGAGGAAGCAACGCCGACCTCTGGCAGCTGGAGCTCATCATCTCCGATGGTATCTGTGAGGACCACGACACTATTCAGCGCCTTGTGCGCCAGGCCCAGGAGGAGCGGATCATGATTGTGTTCATCATCGTCGATGCCGTCAAGGGCAGTTCGATCCTGGATCTCAGCCAGGCTAGCTTCGAACCGGACACTGAGAGCGGGACTGGAGAGATGAAGTTGAAAATGAAACGGTATCTGGAAGAATTCCCCTTCCCTTATTATCTGGTCGTACGCGATGTTAAGGAGTTACCGGCTGTTTTGGCTACGGCGTTGAAGCAATGGTTCGCAGAGGTTGTTGATGTTTCCTCTTAAGATTTCATGTTTGTTTTTTTTTTTTTTTTTTTTCCTTTGTTTTTGGTTATAAAGAAAAGTATGACGGTGGCTGTTTATTTATGGCGCATGTGAATATTGTTTTCTTCAAGGATTAGATTTTTTGGCAAAGTTAAAATTTAAACATTTATTTATATGAAATTGTTTTCTGACACTTGAACTCCCCGGTGATATTACACATTTATGGTATCAAACTATTTTTACCCAAAAACATCAACGATCAAATGAAGAACAGAAAAAGCTAAGGTCCATATTAGAAGGAATTGAAGATAACCAAGCTCACCATCCGTATTTGGATCCAGCTTCCTGCTTGTTCCTCCGTCCAGAGGCAAAACTCTCCTCCAGAGCCTCCCGCTGGTTGCTCGCTGCATTGACCAGCTGCTGCAAGCTGTGCTTTCCAGGCGCAATCGGACGCACGGGATTGTGCTGAACGGCCGCAAGATCCGTGTTGTGCGCCGCCTCTTGGTTTGCGATGTACTCTTTGTCTGTGTTGAAATGGAGGACTCGGGACTTGGACGATTCGGCATTGCGACCAAACAGCTGTCTTCTTTGGGCACGCGACAGATTGAGATCGTCGGCAATGTTATCCAACGTTTCGGCGGGCCCTGTCGCTTGTGACTCCTGTGGTTCTGGGGCCGAAGGTCCAGCGGCAGGAGCTTCTGAGGGGGCGCTGTATACTAGTGGTTCGTAGGTGGCGCTTGTCGTTTGAGCAGAGGGAGCGGCGGCAGCATCCAGCTCTGCTGATGATAGCGAGAAAAGACTGACTTTCGGTTTCGGTTTCGGGGCAGCAGCAGGGGGGGGAGTAGGTTGAGCAAGAGGGGCCTGTTCTTTCGGGCCATCGGCAGCAGGTAAGGATCCCGTATTTGTGTTCGTCGCCGTGGCCGTTGTAGTCGTTGTCTTGGGGGGTGCTTTCTTTTTCTTCTGCTGCGTTCGTCCCACCGACAAAGGCTTGAACATCATAGGATTGCCCTTCAATTTCACCTCTACCGGCTTCTCCTTTACGCCCTCCTCCCCATTATCCCCTGCCGTGTTTTGCGACTCCCCAGCTTCCTCCGTCCCAAGGCTGCCAGCCTTGGGTATCGTCTCATCATCGTCAAAATCACCAGTCCCTAACCCCAGTGCTTGATCCCTCCGCATTTCCGCATCAGCTTCGCGATCAAACCCTGGCGCAGCTCCCGTCTTCAAACTGAACACTTTCCGCGCCGGCGCGGCTGTCTTCTTATTCTTCTCTTTCTCCGCCGCCGCGGTCGCAGTATTCTTCTTCGGAGCGGGCAGGAAAGAATTAAACCCCGAGAACAATCCTCCTCCACTGGCGCCACCACCTATCCTTGGTCTCTTGCGCGCGGGTCCATCGTCGCCGGCGTCCGCGTCGGTGGGTTTCTCGGGTTTGATTTCGGGCAGGGCAACGCGGATTTTGCGCGGGTTGCTGCGATCGACGATGGATGGGGGTTTTGCGCCGGTGGAGGGTGCAGAGGATAATTGTTGTTGGGCTGGTGCGGGTTTTTGGGTCTTTGGTTGGGGAACGACGGGGGTCCCGGGTTCTGAGTCGGAGTTTTCGGAATCGGAGTAGGATACGAGGGCCATGGTGGGCTTTTTTTGTTGTTGTGGTTGTGTTGCAAGTGGTGGTTGATTGCGGCGGAGTTCGGATTCCGTTGGCTTTCTTTTGGGCACTTTTGGACAAGGGCAGCTTGAATGACTAATCCGGTGATAGCTTCTAACTAACTAGTAAGACAGCCAGCCACACCTTCAAAGAAACACTGTTCGAGTAGTACATTATGCTTTCCTTTTTCCAGACACCAAAATGCTTTATGTCTGATGTACTAATACTCTCCAACTAATCTCAACGCTTCATGCACACTCACTCAGTCAGCCGAGTTCCGATAATAAGTAGATGTATGTCTTTATGTTGTTCAAATCACCCGTTCCCTGCAACTTGTATTTCGAGTATCAGCTTATGTACTCTGTACTACCAATAACTCTTTGTCTCTGGTCTTGTAATTACTTCAACGAACCTGGAGGTGGACCTGGCCTCACTATTAGCGACAGTAGGGGGGCGGGGGGGGGGCCGGGGGGGCGGTTATAATTTGAATGTGGTAGAGACTGGGGTCAGAACGGAAAGTCCTTCACTGTAGTTCTTGAGCGAGGCCTTGGTACTTCTCCCATGACACTGTCAAACACGGTGTTTCGATTAGTACTTTATTGATATCTACCACTGGGAGATCATGTATTCTAGCAGGTTCTGATAGTTAAAATATATACGACCATTATAATTTTGCTATTGCTAGAGCTCAGTTCGACTTCACATTGAATACACAATATTCAACACATCATCTCAACCTGTTGGCAGCCTAGTATTACCAAAGAGACTGACATTAGTCAATCCCAAAACCTCATTACCATATCACCAGACGTATAAACAGCAGCAGATTGCCAGACCAAATTAACGAAAGACACCTCAAGACTGCCTTACCTTTAGCCAGGTAGCAACCCTTGATCACCTATGACTCCCAAGACCAAGTAAGTCCTACCAGAACGAAAGCATAAGCCCAGAGAACTTAAACCCACCAAAAATGACATCATTCAGAGACAACCAAAACCAACCAGCGATCAGATCAATCAGATAAGATAAGAAAAATGACCGATTGGTGATTACTAAGACCATTCATCCACTGGCGCTCCTTCCCCGAACTTTCTCTTTGCGAAAGAAACGATCCTCATGCTCTCTAGAGACAAAGACTGTCTACATCACCGACACCTTTATCTTTACTATGCACAGCCTACCTTGAAATCTACATCTACACCTGCACGTTGAGTCCAAAGCCCAAAGCCCAAAGCTCAAACATAACCATGCCGACAACAAACGAACAAGAGCCCCCCGCCGCCGAGGCAATACCACCTCTTTCTACAGAAAACCTCTCCAGTAATCACACTCACACTCACGCCCAATCCCAAGCAGACGATTATACTCGCTCCAGCAAGAGCGGCAAGTTCCGATTCAAATCCTCGCGCTCGTCACGATCGGACTCGAAGCCGCGCGACTATAGGGATCGCGAACGTGATCGTGAACACCGACACCGTCACCATCACCGACATAAGCGCAGTCACCATGACCATGACCATGACCGTAAACGAACCGACCATGCCTCCTCTACAAAACGTCACAAATACGCTCATCGCACACCCTCCCCCAACCCGTCCTCGACGACGACGAACCCAAATCCCACCAGGGGGCTCTCGCCTAACGCAGCCTTCCGGGAAAGTTTATTCGATGCGCTAGGAGATGACGAAGGCGCGTCGTATTGGGAGTCTGTGTATGGGCAACCGATTCACAATTTTGCCGTGCCGTCCGTCCCGAACGGGCCTGAGGGTGAGCTGGAACAGATGGGTGAGGAGGAATACGCTGCGTATGTGCGGACTCGCATGTGGGAGCGGACGAGAGAGGGGATGATCGAGGAGCAAGAGCGGTTGAGGGCTGAGCGGATGAGGCAGAAGAGACGCGAGGAGAGGGGTGCGAGGGAGGCGAAGGAGCGGAGTCGGTTTGAGAGGGATATGGAAGAGAGTCTAAGGAGGGGGCAGGCGCGGAGGCGTCTGAAAGCGTGGAAGGCGGTTTGGGAGGAATATGCAAGGTCATGGGATGAGGTTGATCGGGCCGCTGCTGCCGCTGCGGCAGGCCCAGCCGAGGGCAAGAGCAGTGATGAACGGAATCGATTGCGCAATCTCCTATACTGGCCTGTCGAGACCGGGAAACGAAGAGATGTGTCGAGAGAGGCAGTTGAGGAGTTTATGCGGCATGCGCTGGTGTCATCCGGCGATACAAAGGATCAGTCCGGCGCCGCTGATTTACTATCGACGCTGAAGGCAGAGCGAGTTCGGTGGCATCCCGACAAAATCCAGCATCGCTATGGAGTACTGGGTGTGGACGAGGTCGTCATGCGCAGCGTTACGGAAGTTTTCCAGATTGTGGATACCATGTGGAACGGGCTGAAGGAGAAGCATTCATGATATGGTGTGGTTTTGGCCGTCTGGTGTTGATATCGATGGTCTACGGAATGGCATTGCAAGGACTGCATTCTAGAGGAGGCGTTCTCATTTACAGCATTTGATATGATACCCCTGTTTTCTTTTCCTTTGTTATGTACAATATCGACGAGAATGGTTTATGTGAGCTGCCGTTTTAGACAATGTTGATATTACATCCTTTGTTGATGCTGCAGACTATGAAAAAAGGTTGTCATTGCGCTTCAACATGCACAAAATAGACTTCCATTATCAGAAACTCCAGCCCCATACAAAGCCAAGGAAGGCCCTTGAAAAGAGTAAAGACAAAATACTCATCAGAGATGAGAATGAGCAAGAAAAAAAAAACCAAAAAAAAGAATGGAACAGTGAATGGAGAGGCGGGGAATCGAACCCCGGACCTTTCCCATGCTAAGGGAACGTTATACCACTAAACCACATCCCCTGTTCGATATATGTCTTTATTATTCTTTGTTACATGAGCAGGACAATGATTATTAACTGCACAGCATATCTAAATGTCAACCCGGTATCTTGTCTGTCAACAACTTCACTTGAGATGTATTTCTTTCTTCCTTGCTCACGAGACTGTAGCTTATTTGTATATAGTGGGTTACGGATATAAATATCCAAAAATATGGTTGCTATATTTATTTGGCTGGCTTCGTTGGAATTACAGTATTTTATTGTCGCGAGGCGCTTGTATGCGCACATCGTACTAGTGTTGTCCCAGAACTGGACATCCACAAACCCAGTCTACTAGTATATACGGAACAACCATCATTTAACATTTTAATTTCGTCTCAACAGCAAAGAAAAACCAAAGATACAAACATGACATGGCTATGCAAAGAGCGCAAATATAGACGAACCTGGTTGATCTCGTCGCATTTTTTTTTTGGCAATTTTCATTCAATTTGTATAGACCCATAATACTGCCTCCACATACCACCCCTGTCAACTAAAACCGCGAGTATCTCTGCTTAGTCCGGTAAATGGTGTACCCAACGTAAGCACCACCGACGGCAGCGAAGAAGAGAAGAGTCTTGAAGATGAACCAGCCCCAGCTGCCCTTCTTCTTTCCGGAGCGCTTAACGCGGGCGCGGTCGTTCTTGGGGCTGCTGGCGCGCTTGCTGTCGGAGGAGCTGCTTCGGCTGCCGCCGACGCCGTACAGGTTGTTGGACTTGACGGAGATGATGTCGTGGTTGTCGCTCAGCTCGCCGGTCTCGGCGGAGAAGCCGAGGTAGGCAACGGAGGGGATGGCGATGTTGGTGTCCGACGCGTCGAGCTTGAAGCAGTTGTTCCAGGTGTCCTCGGACTTGTATTGCAGGTCCAGCGTCAAGGTCTTGTCTTGGAAGTAGGTCAGGCGGGCCTTGGTCGGGATGGAAGCGCCTCGGAGGCCACGAGCCTATAGTGATCCTGTTAGTATTTGCTCTTGTATGTAACCCGCAGTACTGGTGATGCTTACAGAGCAACCGGCCAGTTCGTTGGCCTTGCCGTCATGCGCTTGGTCGTAGGTGGTCTGTCCGTCGCCCATCATGGCCATGACGTAAGGGAACGAGGTGCCGGGGCGGTTGTTCTTGTATGTGTCGAAGAAGATGCCGAGACCCTCGAAGTTGTCAGTCGATCCGAAGACGGGGCCCTGCGTCGCGCGCTGCTTGGTCAACCACATGGCGAAACCATCGCCGTGTAGGTTGCCGTTGCCATGGATCTTGAATTCGACCTCGATCTAAACGGATGAGTTAGGATTGAGTGCTCGTATTGTAGGACTCCGAGGTCTCGTGTCGAGTCGTAACTAACCTCCCAGTTGGTAGCAGTGAGAGGAACACGCGAGAAGATCCACCCCTGCTGGGACGGACGGTCCGCTGTAAGACGGACATATCTAGTGGTTGGTTAGCCCACACACCGCTCCACCTAGGAAGTATGATGGTAGATAAACGAGGGGCACGTACTTGTCGGCGCGAACTATAGTATCACCGCCAAAATCGAACCAGCGGCTTTGGAAGTCCGAATCCAGGTATGGCTGTAACAATGTCAACGGAGCTGCGCGAAGCGAGGGAATCGGCCCGCTCGAGCCGCCGAGGGCCAAGTATGACAGATGGAGGGGTGGGGACCCACTGGAGCGAGACTGTGAGTTCGAAGCTGAAGGGATTGATCGGTTAGCTGGAGACGTTTGGTCGAGGTTGGCGGTCTGTACGTACTGGGATGCTCTTGACGTTGTCGTCACCATCGTAAGCGTTGGCAGCTGGCAGGCTTGCCAGACCGACAAGGCCTAGCAGCGTCGAAAGCCGCGGGAGGAGCATTGCAAAATGGTGTTCGGTGGTTCGAGACGAAGTTAAATAGGTTGGGGAGATAAAACGATCGTGAAACTCGGTAGGGTTTAGGTAGGTAGTGAAAGACCGACTGCAGCTAGCTCAAGTGTTGGGTTCTCGCGGTTAATATCACCAGGACATCAACAGTTCAGAGGAGAAGTTGGAGCGGAACGTGATTCGAGAAAAGAAAAGAAAAAACAAAAAAACAAAAATAGTGTCGTCGTCAGAAGAAGTAGGATAAGAAAGGAATGGAAAAGTGACGGATCACGGAACAAGAGGAAAACGAAGGAAACCGAGGATTGTGGCGGGAAAGCCTACCGGAACAATTGGTAGTAGTGGACAGATCGAAGCATCCCCGACGGACGGAGAGAGACATGGAAGACAAGTAAGTAAACACTCCTTCCGGTTAGTCTCCCGTCTGCTCCGTGTGGCGCAGGTCAAGCTCCCTCAGCCACACCTTCGAAGATCCTGCCGGAACTCTCGCGTCGACTGTCACGAACTATTAATCCATCCTCTGCGCACTAGACGTCATTCTCCCCCGTGAATTCTCGCTACACCATCAATCCACCACCCTCGTCCCTTTTCTCTCCGAGACCTCACCCCAATTCCAGCAAAAATGGCTCTCTTCGGCTCCGGCTCCAACAATGCGGCTTCCAACCCCCAGGAAGTCAAGACCGCCATCATGAAACAACTGCAGCAGGAGGCCGCCATGAACAACGCCCGGACCTTGATCGCTGTATGCTCGACATCGTTCACCTCAAAGATCTGAATCCGCAGACCGCTAACAGCTCCCTACAGAAAGTCAACGAACACTGCTTCGATAGCTGCATTCCCCGCCCCGGCTCGACCCTGTCCTCTTCCGAAGGCACCTGCCTCTCCAACTGCATGGAGAAGTACATCTCCATGTGGAACGTCGCCAGCCGTTCGTACGTCGCTCGTGTTGCCATCGAGAGCAAGAAAACCGGCGGGGCCCAAGAAACCATTAACATGAACGCCCTGGCCACCGGGTCGAGCGACAGTCTGTAAACGTAGAGGGCGGAGGATGACACAACAACAACCTGGCGGATGCTATGATATAGATTTGCGGTCTTAATGCAGATTTGGTTTTTTTTTTTTTTTCCCCTTGTCGGTCTTAATATGACGGTCCCTTTCCTCTTGCGACTTCGTGTGCGCGGTGCACATTGCTTGTCGACTTCTGCTGTTTTTCTCTTACACTCTTCTTACACTCGCATCCCCCTCGAACGACTCGTCCGGAGCTTTATCCTTGTTGTGTGATGGTACATGTATGATACAGGCAGGTTCTTATTTTATTTTTGTATATCATTGGTCTAATCATGCCAGAGCTGGAGGATGGTAGGTGCTGTTGCATCTACGGTAGCCTAGACGTGCCATAATCAGTACGTTCGGTGCCAATATATTGCTGAAAGTCATGCCGTTTGTATATCCAAGGCCTACTTTTATTGCAATAAAAACCGGAAAAATAATATATATATGTACATTATACAAATGTCCAAACAGAGCAAGACAACCAAAGATCAAGAACCAAATAGCACCAGTATTTGCAATCACTATAAGCAAAACGAATCCCGTAAGCAAGAAGGCACCACAGGATCGAGGAACAAAAGATAATTTACGTCGATGCGGCCTGCCCGCCTCTCAACGGCCAGACCAAAAAAGTTTTCAGCCCTCGCTCTAAACCCACTTGGAAACAAGACAACGGGATAGGTGGTCTATCTTCATCAATCGAGTCCAAAAAAAAGATTAGAGGAATATATCAAAAAAGGAGCCCCAGGACCAAAAAAGAAAACAGAGGGCGAGAGGAAACACAGAGAAACCATGCCACATATATAATAAACAGTATTCCGATGACCTCTCCCAGTAAAGATAGAAAAGAATCAAGTCGGCCAGCGATCATTGGAAAGAAAAACAACCCGACATCACAAGACAAGTACAGAGATGAACAAAATATAGAGAAACCCCACAGCTGCTAATTCGTACCACAAGCAGAAACTGCAGGGCGATGTCATTTTTATGGGTGCAAACCTTTGTTAAGAGATACTGCGTTGCACCCCACCAGAGCAGGCCCATTTATGGTGAAATAGTCATTTCATCATACCTCATTTCATAAGCGATCAAAAGTCGGGGAACAAATGACCATGACTATGGAGTAATGGATTAGTACTTGGAGCCACCGCGAGGATAATGGAACCGGCACGCAGGGGAACAACTTACAGATCTTCACCTTCCTGTCCATATGATTCCGTCTCCTCCGGATAGCGATCGTACTGACTGGCGTCGCCCTGACCACCCCGGATGGGGGGTACGTAGGGGGCATCGATGTCCTTCCTTGCCAGACGGTCCCAGGTGACTTCGGCGAACCACGGGTGGTTCTTGACATCCTCCGAGCCGCCGTGCAAGTTGCCCAGACGCTTGGTGAGATCCGCCGTAATCAGTTGCGAAAGAAGGTCGACCGCATCCGGGTGAAGATAGGGCGGATATTTTACTCTGCCCCGGAGAATGTTTTCATATATCTTGACCGGCGAACCACTGTCCCAAAATGGCGTGAACCCACACAGCATTTCAAAGATCAGGATTCCGAGCGACCACCTTTTGACCAGGTTAGCAGTTTGCCTGATTGTGTGACAGAATAGCGAAGCCTACCAATCCACTGATTTGTTGTAGCCCTTGGAGGACACGACCTCGGGGGCCAGATAGTCGGGCGTTCCGCAGAGCGTCCATGTAATATCCGGAACCTCCTTGGCGAAGCCAAAGTCAGTGATCTTCAAGTGACCGTGTCGGTCCAAGAGCAGGTTTTCCGGTTTCAAATCTCGGTAGATAATCTGCTGAGAATGCAGATACTCTAGGGCGAGGGTAACCTCAGCGGCGTAAAACTTGGCAACCGGGTTGGGAAATCGCTATGATGTGAGAGAAAGGTCGAAGATCAGCATTCTCCGGCGTGCGATCCAGAATCCGAAGCGTCGGAATGGCTCACCTGAGATTTGCGGAGGAGACTGAACAGCTCTCCTCCCTCGACGAAATCCATCACCATGTACAGGTTCCGCGCATCCTGCCATGTACCCCACAAAGTGACCAGGAACGGGTGTCGGACTCGGTTGAGCATGCGTCGTTCATCGTTGGTGTGCTCAATCTGCTTCATCTTGACGACCTGGGCCTTCTTCAGGACCTTGATCGCATAGAAGCGGTGGTTGTGCTTCGACTGCACCAGGTGAACGCGACCGAAGCTGCCGGTACCGAGGGTGCGCTGGAGGGCAAAGTCCTCCAGGGAATATTTGCCCTTGGTGGTGCGAGAGTCGGACCGCGAGGTCTGCTGGGAATTAGCATTGCTTCCGGAGCCGGCGTGCGAGGCATCCTGCTGGGACGAATGGATTATGTTCTGGATACTCGCGGCATTGGACTGGTGCGACGGCTGAGGGAGGCCGGAAGCGGGGCGGGAGGGCGAGGCGTGCGACGCAGCGGATTGCATGGAGGCTGGTTGACCTTCAGCGGCTTTATTTGACCCTGAAGAGTGATGGTGGTGATTAGTGGCCGAGGGATGGGATTGCGAAGAGCTGACGGTGGTCGAAGCCCCGGCGTTGTTGGTGGCGGCGGGCTGGTGGTGGTGATGATGGTCGCCAGCGATTGGTGACGTCTGCGTCTGGGCCGTGGTGGGTGACGAACCGGCTTCAAGCTCCTTGCTGAGGGTCTGCGAATCCTTCGTCCGTCTCTTTTTCAAGAGACCTCCTAGACTAGGCATCGAGAATAATGAAGAACAAGCAAATCATCTAAAAAAAAAAAGAATAATAAATCCGGTGTAGCGCAGCCCCTCTTTCGACTATCAGAATCAGAAAGGAAGGAGGGGGAAGAGCTGCCGTGACGAGGATGAAAGCCTCTCTCTCTCTCTGTCTCTCTTTCTCCCTCTTTTTTTTTTATTTTATTTTTTTTTAGTATTATCCTTTTCGTGTTAGGAATAAGCTTGGGTCTTGTCTTGTCTTTGATGGTTCCGGGGTGGATACAACGGAAACTCCGCGAGTGACTGAGGGCGAAAGGTTCGAGGGAAAGAGGGAGACGAGAGTTTAAAGGGCGGTCAAATAGTTCAAGTTAAATCAACAGTCGTAAGTAGCGCTGCTCAATTGGGCACGAGTCTCCCCAAGCAACAAAGACTGGGGGGGCTTTTTGAGATGGGGATTTCCTGGGCCAAATATTCAGAAAAAATAAAGGAAAAATCCCATAAACATGCAATTGCGACGGTTTAGAGATTGGGGGAACTATCAGGGCCAATGGGGATCAAGTAACGATCATATAATAATAATGGTGATAATAATCATCCATGTTGATTATTCCGGGTTAGAGGAGGAATGAGGAAAAGGACAGGGCAGGGAAGAGAGCAGCCAAGCCAAGCGGGGTTGGCCTCGTTCGCCTTTCCGCATGGCCTGCATCAAACAGTCGGACACCTCGCATCTCCTACATCACCAGCATACTCCTACTGACATCCTCCGTTTACTACACCCCGATACATGACGAATGAGACCAGTCCTCAACAATCTCCATGGATTAAATTGAATTATGCTCCCAGTCCCCCGGTAAACTTGCCGTCAGTCCGACCAGCGATCACGACTAATGAAATGATGAAGTCATTCACTCCTCCATGCAACCCGGACTCCGGCAGACACCAGAGATAGTTTAGTGCAAACTTCTCTCCCAACCATGGGTCGCCATTCCCACTTGATCATTACTCAGTCTTCCGTATTAGTTAGTTAACTAAGTAAACTGCGTGGTGACCTCATCACCAGCATGCGCCCGATTTTCTCACGGGTGGATCGGTGGAACGCCCCCTCCCCGCTTCGGAGATTCGTCCTCTGCTGGGTTCCATCCGTCGCAAAAGCTTCTCGTCCTGATTGCATAACTTTACATTTGGATGTCCCTCGTTGACTCGAACCTAATTCCATTCAGACATATATCTACCGCCGAAACTGCATAACCCAAATTTGTTTGAGATTCGGCTCGTACCGCATTGTTTCCGTGAGTCAAAAAGGGAAAAAAAAAGGTGCTTGGCCAACGCCGATGCTCCATCCCGCTGTAGTCCATGACCACCCAACATGCACTCAAAAGGACGACCAGTAAAGAAAAAGAACAGAAAATAAAAGGAGACAGAGGCAGGGAAACAAAGAGAGTGTTTAAAGAAAAAGAGAGAAAAGAATCTTCATAGTACATATACGGAGATTTCCCAGGACCCGGCCTGCAGCGGATACCTTATGCTTTATGTCTTAAATGCGATAATGCGCCATATTCTTCTTAATCTCATCCACAATCTCAACCGCTTCGAGGGCGTTGCGCGCCTCGAAATCGTATCGCTTTTGCTCGTTCGCATCGTTGCCCCGTAGGACCACCACCCGGAAATTTTTCGGATGCCGTCGACTGACCTTGCACCCGACCACGTCGTTGAAGCTGATCGATCGCGTTTTCGTGTCGGACGCGGTCTTGTTCGTATCCCCCGGCATGATGTGCAAGTAGTCGTTGTCAAACGTCAGGGTCCGTTGATTCGACGCTGTAAAGGACATCGACTGTTTGCGGTACACCAGATACCGCCGGTAGTACCCTCCAATGAGATCCTGTTGCTGAGTGAGAGGATGAAGCATGCGCTGACCGCTCTTCTTGCTCTTCTTGCTTTCTTTGCTGGCGGGGTTGTTGTTATCGACTAGGAGCGGAGCGTTCGGGGATGAGCTCCCAGGGGAACCGGTCAGAGACTGCGGCCCGAATCGTCGGCGCACGAGGTCCAGGTCGGTGATGTTGCCCAACGCCTCGACGGTACGGTCCAAAGGCGCTATCGTATTCGAGCCCATCACTCGGAGCAGGTAATTGCCCTTGTCCAGTCCCCACCGGTTGCACACGGAATCAAGTACCTCGGCGATGTAGCTATCGGCAGACGTGTTCATGGTGGTCGATTGCGCAGAGCCCTCTAGGTTAATAAAGCGGATCTTCAGATTCTTGGTAACCCCCATGCGAGGGCTAGCATGGGAAATAGGCACCGCTGGCCGATCGGCCGGAGTAAGAGTGTTATCATTCAATGCCGAGGAGAACGGTTGCCCTAAGATCGGGTTCTGACGAGGCATTTTGTTCTGAGCAATTGGCTGGCTGGTGGGAGCTGGAGCCGAAGCCGAAGCCGAAGTATCGGCGCTCTCTTCTGAGGGCACGGCCTGACTGTATGTCGGGAAACTGCGTTCATTCTCCTCAAACTCGGCCTGAGAAGCCTCCACGAGAGCAAATTCGTCATACTGCTTCCCGCGAGACCGGCCTCGGGCACCGGCCGCCCGGTTGTTGTTTGACGTGAAATCGGCGATGGGAGACATTCGTCCAAGCGCCGGGAAATCATATTCCACTTCGCCATCTTCGACCATGCGCAGGGTCCATCTGTTGACGGTTAATTTGCTGCGCTCGATAGGCGGACTGCACCCTTCCTCCGAGTATCTCCAAAGAGCAAGGCCGATAGCCTCGGCCACTATAACGGGTGCTGGTTGCTCCGCCAATTTGGATTCTCGAGCAATTGGAAGATCCAGCGGATCTTCAGGCTCGGCAGAAAATGGTACATATAGCTTGATGTTCAGCATATCGGCTAGACCTTTGCCAGAAAGGACGGCGAACTTCTCGACCGGATTTGTTGGCGCGCGTTTGCGCGCGTTGAGAGCCGTAGAAAGTAAACTCACGGGCTGCACTGTGCTAATGGGTCGCGGCGGTGGCAGATCTTGCAATTCAGGTGCAGGGGTTTTGGGCTTCCTCGGGGATGCGGTTTGCGATCCCGCACCGTGTTGTAGTCTGTGCATCAGCGCAACGGGTGATGAAGAGTCTAAGCTGCCTGTTATACCAACACCTCCCAGAAGAGACGCCGAGCCGGCCGTGGCATCGAATTCCGAAGATAGAGCAGAGCCCACGGATTCAGCTCCCGAGTCCTCTGCTTGCTCATGTAGATCTTCAATCGTTCTATTGCCGGCGAGTCTTCGCCCTTTACCCAAAGGCTCTATCACTTGATCCTGACCGGAAAATTGGATTTGGCGTCTCTTGAAGGACGGATCCATCTCGTTCTCGGAAGACAAATCACTGCTGGTCGTTGTCGTCGTATCTCGTCGCGGACGTTCACCGACCGAAACCGCTGTGCCCAATGACCCAGTACGGTAATGAGTACCGATCGTAGGTTGTGACGGAGACGTAACCATGACTTGCGGGCCTTCTTGACGATCAGTTGTACGTATTGGCGATGATCCAGCCCGTGTTCGTATCGGCATCTTGGGGAATTTGATCTGACGAGAAGCTCTGCGAGAAGTCAGAGAAGGCACCAAATCAGCAGTGGTTTCATTACCGACCTTTGAGCACTTTCCCCATCGTCGTCACTTTCGTCGCTGAGATCACTACTATCCTCATCGTCATCCTGTTTCTGCTGCTCTTGTTGCTGGCGGTCTCTTCGATGCGTTCTTTTCCCAGCACGCCCCGGAGGCCGTCGTCCGGTTACGCCCGCGTGGCTTTTGCCCGTGACCATGCCCCCTTCCTCATCGTCCCCGCCGTCGGCGAGCCCAAATCGTTGCGCGTCATTGTCGTACTGAGCACCGATGTTATAATACTCGGAGGATACAGCGGCCGTAGTAGGAATGGGAGGGGAGTATGTTCGTTTAATAGAGGCTGCGCTTTGAGCGTTTGGGTTGGTGGAGGCCGAAGACCAGCCTGCCGCACGGAACCCGGGTGTGTTCAGGACGGAGTTATTCACGTTGATAAGTCGGTCGCCTATGCCGTCTTTGATCGTGGACAAGTAGGATGTGCGAAGCTGCCATATCGTGAAACTAAAACGCGTTTAGCCCCCAATTTGAGTTATGTGAAGATCCAGGGAGGTCAGACGGCTAGTGATGCGGAGCAAGCATCTTAGAACATACTCTTCGTTGTGAAGCAGAGACATTTTGTAAGCGACTGGCGCTGTATCGCGCAAATACAGGAAAAAAGAAGATCAAGTCAAGGAAATGATTGAGCGATTTGTGGCTGAGAGAACAAGGACAGTCTCGTCGGCGCTCGAATGAGCATGGCCTCAGGTGCGGCGTAAATTGGCTAAGAAGAAAGTCGCAAGGGCGTATGGAAGGAGTGAGTTCCCCCTAAACAGGGCCAGCCTGATGAAGAAGAGATGATGACAAGAAGAAAAAGGGATTTGAAAAGAACGGTGAAAGAAGTCAGAAGCCAGATTGAGGTGTTATCCGTCAAAGCGGGAGGACGTAGTGAGCCGTGGCGGCCTGGTGGCTCCGACAGGAAAGCAATCTGCAATTTCTCTGCAGATCAGCCAAGACAATCTTGATCGTCTCCAGACTAATATTAATTTAACTCTAGCTGAGGCTCAGCCTGACTGCAACACCGATCATTGGATGTCCTGGGTGAATACTGAGGGAGGGAACAAAAGGTAATACAATTGGAATTAATCATTTCCGACCACATAACGCGCTACCATTAAAGGATACATGAATAAATGCAGATTACAGTTCAACCCCAACAGTCGGGATTGATAGAAGATCACCAGAAGATCACCAGAAGACACGCCTCAAGTGGCTTTAGCCTTGGGTTTTCGGCCCTTGCCCTTTTTCGGTTTCTCTTCGTCGTCGATGGAGTCATCATTGGTTTTCTTTGCCTTCTTCCCCTTTCCAGCACCGCCCTTTGCGGTTTTCTTGGGTACTCGGACATACTTGTCTTTTTTCAAGTCAAGTTCTTCACTTTCGTCATCCTCTTTAGTTTCCTCCTCCACTATTTCTTCGTCGGACTCTTCAATGGCATCTTCTATGTCAGGTTTCTCCTTCGGCATCTTCTTCGGAGCAACAACATTGCTAGCCTTGATGAAAGGAAGGGGATGCGAGCGCTGGTTGTAGAGTCGTGTGAACGTGGCTTTTGTTTGAGTTTCCAGCTTGACCTTTGACTCGTCCATTGGACCAAGCCCAAGCTCGATGAGGGCATCCCAATCCTCGCGGGTAAGGAAGTAGCTGTCCATAAAGTCGATGACATCGTCCACACTGTCCTTGCCCTCGACCATTAACCGGCGGACCAGTTTATCCCAGATAAGAGGTAGGTATTGCTGCCTAATTTCATCGCGGTCTGCAGAAGAACGGAGACGCATATGGCCCTGGATTTCTTTGATCTGTCGCCAGAGTTTTCCTGTGAAGTTCATATTAGTAAGATGAATACAAAATTGGGGGGGGGGGGTAGTCTTAAGCATACCTTGTTTGCTGTTCTGTCCTAGCCAGCTAGTGAAACCAGGACGTTCCATCATGTTGCCATACGAGAAACTTGCAGGCCGGACAAAACTGAAGACCGCATGTGTTGGCATCAGACTCCATTGCTGTTGTGAGCCATGAATCATTTTGTCAACGAGATCACCGTCACTGATACTTGTCGCCGCATTGTCCGCCAATTCGAGCAGCTTCAGCTTTTGCTCCTTGCCTTGATAACCACCGCCCAGAGTAGGCTTGGTCCTGAGATAGTTTTCCTGGAGCATGAGATAACTGAACTCGTGGTCGTTGAAATAAAGTTCAATCTTGTCGTTCAGCGTAGACTTTGAACCGGGCGAGAACATCTGTGCGTTCAAAATCTTCGAGACGATGTCCCAGGGCTTCAGAATAACGTGTTTTTCCCAAGCCTTGGACATTTCACGACCTTTTTCGTAGTTGAGATTCTTTTGGTCTAGCTTCACTGTCGAAAGCATGTTGATGACCTGTCGAATGTCGGCGTGTGTTCCCTCAATGAGACTGTCAAGAACTAGCGGAGGAATTTTGAGGCCCTCTCTAAAACAGATGGTCGAAAGTCTGGACCTAATTTGTTCTGCTGTCGGGCGTCTGAAAGGGAGCTCAAAAGCAACATGATCAAAGGGCTTCATTTTCGGAAGCCTTCGCTCGTTACAGATAAGAATAAGCGGGATCTGTGTTTTCTTAGCAATGGAGGCCAGCGCACCCACGCCACCGCGATCTCCAGCAGACATTCCATCGACCTCATCCATGATTAGCACCATATTTTTCTTGGTGCTTTCCACCTTATTACCAGCGCCTGAGAAATAGCCCTGCAGAGACGTCGTGTCCAAAACACCGTGAAGGCCAGTCTCGACCAGCTTCTTACTTCTTGTATCACTGGCGTTGGTCTCAACGATATCAAACCCTTCAAGCTTTGCCACTAGATGAGCTGCAGTTGTCTTTCCAATACCAGGGGGTCCATGGATCATGACAGAGCGATAGGTCCCAGATCCATCTTTCCCAGGCTTTGAGAAATTTGACTTGGCATTCTTCCGCCAATTGCGAAGCCAAACCTGAAGTTTTTCTACAACACCCTTGTTGCCGCAAATCGTGTTCATCGATGTTGGTGCATACTTGGTAGTCCATAGCAAATCATCGGTTTTAGCGACGGCTGTATGAGCGGTACTTGTTTGAGCGGTACTTGATTTGGCGGCGGCTGCTTTAGCCTTGCGCTTTTCTTCTTCTTCCATCTCAGCAGCCAAGGCACGGATTTTATCCTCCTCCACCTTCATCTTCGCTTCGTACTTCTCGGCCGCCTTGCCATCTCCACCATTGGCTGGCAGCCGTCGGATGAGCTCGAATAATCCCTCTTCGTTGATTGTCTTCAAATTATGCTGCTTAATCGTCGCAAGTTTTTTGGGCCCTGCGTCGTCTCCTAAAACAACATAGCTTGTTTTGGAGCTAGGAGCCCCGGTGACTTTACCACCATACTTCTTGACCAGTGCCTGCCCTTCGTCACGGCCTAGGTTGCTGAGGACACCAGTGAAGACGAAAGCCAAACCCGCAAGGCAGTTCTCTGCACCAACTGGCATTTCAGAACTTCCAGAGTCCACAGGATCCCGGGATCGCTGGGCCTGAGCGGCGAAATTGAACTTGGGCTTTTCCCCTGACTGAGGCGGCGGCGAAGGGGGCCGGACTATCGGAATGCTGTCGAAGATGTCTTGGATCTCTTTGCTCTCAGGTCGGTCGTCTGAAGGAGAGGCCTTCTTCCTCTTGGCTGCGGGGGTGGAGGATGCTGTTTTGGAGGGAGCAGCTGCCTTCTTCACTGGACTGGGTGTTTTGATGTCTTCATCCTTACTTAGGACCTCGGATTTTCGCTTCCGCCCAGGCCGTGCTGCTGCCGACTTGGATGCTTTGGTCGATGGTGCGATATCTTCCATGACCACGTCGTCGTCCGATTCCTCAACGGCTCGTTTCTTGCGTGTCGACCTGTTCGAAGACGCTTGAGCTGGTCTCACCGCAAGCTCCTCAAAATCGCTATCGTCATCGCTTTTCTCGGCTTCCACGTAGTCGTCATCTCCCTTGCCTGGGTTTCGGAACTCTTCTGCGTGAATGTCATCGCCGCCAAGCTCATCGTCATGCAGTACTTTTGTAGACTTCCGCGTAGATTGACGAGGTTTCCGCTTAGGAGACTCTTCGACCGCCGCTCGCTTCTTCACTTCCGGGGATTTCTCGGCCTTGCGACTGTTTTTGGGGGCATCGGGGGATGGCTCGGATTCTTGGACCGGTGCGACGGTACTATTCTTAGCAGGCCGTCCTTTCTTCTTGCTTGAGGCGAAATAATCCGACGTGGTTGTTGGTTTGCCCTGGGAGGGTTCCGGTTTCCTTTAACAAGAGAAAATAACATTAGAAAAGATTGACGGCGGCAATTAAGGGTTTGAAAGACCAACGGTTTGCTAGGTGTTTTCGGTTTGGGGCTTGGAGCTTTCGCTACCACCTCTTCTTCATCCTCACTATCATCCACAACTTTTCTTCCACCTGTTTTTATCGTCAATAGGAAAATCGAAGGTATGTCTTTGGTATTAGATCTTACGTCTTTTTCTGGGGGCGGGTTCCTAATGGAGAATAAGTCAATTGAGAAGCTTATCAAGCCAGGTTTCTGACCATAACAACATGAAAAATGCTCAAAATGGGTAAGAACAAACCTCTTTCTTCGCAGGCGATTTCGTAGGCTTCGCAGGAGAGCTGTTGGAGCCTTGGCTGGACTTCCCGCCAAAAAAGTTCCTAATATCAGCAGGCATGATGATTATATCAGTAAGACCATGACTCGAAGTGCTAATATGAACACCGACAGTCAAGTATGACTCCGTAAAAGCTTCAACAACAGTCCCTCGCAATGACAATGTCAGTCCGTTGAGCGCGATAATTCTCCAGGCAGCGAAACACGACGCGCTCGCTCGCCGCCTACACGGGGAGACGTGATCTAATTAGCTTATATAAGCAGAGCGCCGCTGGCACGTGCGCAGCGCTTCTTGCCCTGTTGGGATGGGGAATATCGGACTGGCAGAAACGCCGATGCTCAGAGTCGCTCCGCTTCGTCCATCCTTGTTCAATTGGTACGAGACGGTCGTGAGCATCCAATATGGCAATGAGACCACAGACCAAGCTCTTTTCGGGGCTCCAGATGGCCCTTTTCCGGCCCACGTGTTTGTCTCCCCCCACGATAGAAAAGATTTTCTCTTCTTCCGCGGCGATTCCAACTGACTGATATTTATCGCAGGCTTAACGACGCCCTCGCCGGCCCAGTCGCTATCACGATGCTTCTCGACGACCTCGCCAGCCCTTGACTGGCTTACTCCGAAGTTTATGGAAAAGTCGAAATCGCCCAAGGGTCGTCCGCATGTCGCAACTGGTGGATCTTTCCGGGGTACAACTGTAGTCTGGGGCGACTACGGATTGCGGATGAAGGACCACGATCGTCGACTGCCCGCCAAATCGCTCAAAATCGCAGAGGAGACCATTAAGCGACGTTTGAGAGGTATGGACTACACACTCTACAAGCGTGTGAGTGCCAATTTGGGTGTCTACACCAAGGGTAATGAACAACGTATGGGTAAGGGTAAGGGAAAATTCGACTACTGGACGGCGAAGGTTCCCGTGAGCAGGATTGTGTTCGAGCTCAAGGGTAAACTGCACGAGAAGGTCGCAAGGGAAGCTTTTCGATTGGCTGGCCACAAATTGCCCGGTATGATATTATACCACCACCTACAGAACATCTCTGTGGCGAGTGCTAATTATACAACCTAAATACAGGAATGTGGGAATTTGTGCAAAAGGGAGATCCTCCCGTCGTAGGAGTGACGAAGCTCGGCAACGGCGTGACTCTGGAAAGTCTCAAGCGGCCACGCAGAAGCCCGGCCTTGGACACGGAAAATATGGACACGCCCCCCAAATCGACCTCATCTAGCCCCTCCGCCTCTCAATGAGCGTGGTCACACCCATGCCATTCTCATCATGTCATTTATATACCTTTTATGCCCCCACCCCGGAACCAGGGCCATATCCTTGCTCCCTCCTATTCGCTGCCTCGGCGTCACCTCCGGTCTCGGGCTTCAGGTCTTGTGTATAATATTTTCAGCTTTGGATTCTCTTTGCGTACTTTTAATCGCAGATGTCGAATGTTTTCATCCACGGATTTCAATAGAAAGAAAGTATGATCGACTGTACCTTTGTCTGTGTATCCCGAAGAACCGGCAGTGGCTTCTCCCAGTGCCAACTTCCTTGCCTGCTCGGCGTCTTCTCTCCTGTCTTCCTTTTCCTTCAGTTCAGAATCATCACTGCTGTACGAAACTCCCGGCTTCTGGGTTGTCGTATGCGCAGAGTTGCCTAAGATTAAATTAGCTTCAAGAGCCTATTTCCCGCATCCACGTTTCGTTGAAGCATACCACCCAGTTGCCCGGTCTGCTTCGCTGGAGTCACTGTGTATTCCCGGATGGATTCGTATCTTTTATCCGAAGGCCTATTAGCTCAAGTATGCACAGTTTGAGAGAACAGAAGGATAACGTACTGGGTGCTTTCGCCACCGGGCTGGATATCTACGAGCTGGTCGGACATGATGGGTAGGTATTGAATGGGTAACAAAGAAGAAAGTAAACGGCAATCAAAATGCGAACAGAATAATCGATTTCTCTTTAAAAGAATTAAAGAATTATTGAATAAATAGGCGCAGGTAGTCTGTTTGCGTCGGAAGGAGGGCGAGTCTTCCATTTAAAATGGAGGAGGCACCTAATGACGTATCTCTCCCTCATGCTCGAGCAAGTTATGGCGGGACCCAACCTCCATTGTCCTGGGATACTACAACTGGAAATGATGGCCATGGTTAATTAGCGGTGTATTGATTGAAATCAAGCTAATTATACATTAAAGCATATACCCCGTGTGTCATTGCTATGGATCGTGTTTCTAGAAATGTACTTATGTTGAACTTTACTGTCTACTAACAGAGCACACTCATGCTAATCCCAGGCTTAGCTTTAAGATACTACCTAACAAATGCCATAACCGCTTTTAAATAAAGAATACTATTTGTATTGTACAATGCTCATCAATCATCGATTATCTATCTGAGATTAAAAGTCCATACCCATCAAGTAACTGTATCTTGGTGTTAGATGCCGGCTCTCAGGGTAATAGAGAAGATGACGAACCTTTCATAAATACGCATAAATTTGGCAACAAACGCTTCAAGGTGGAAGATAACTTTCTGTATGACTCGTTAGCTCCGGGAAAGTTAGAGTCGTCGGGGTCATCATACGCTGCCTTGCTTGATTCTGTGCTCATAAAACGCCGACCACTTGATCACGTCGGGCTTCAGCGCGTCATCAACCTTCGCAATGAGTTTGAACGTGAGTGTCTACGAATTTGTTAGTATGAACGACTAGCATGGGCTCTCGAGGTGGCCATACCTTGATAATGGTAGTAGGCGGTATGCAATGCGTCAACAGGTCATACAACCGCGCGCGAACCTGCAACAATCTAGCAGGTGACCGCTCAGCCAGAATTTCGTCGGCAGTCAAGGAAATGAGGGCTTCCCAGTCAGGCGGGGGAACGGGCGTATTATCCGTCACTTTCTCGCTACATTTAGATAAGATGTTAGAGATGCGCTTTTCTCCGTCTTCTTGTAGTAAGCTTACCTTTGAGCATAGACGGCCTCGAACATAAGTAGCGCCCGGCGAAGATTTCGTTGACTGTCTTTCGCTATCCTCTTGTTCAACCCACTTGCCTCAGGCCATCCTTCCCTCTTACCCGCATTAGTCAAGACAGAACATATTTGCTCTTCTGTTGGCGCGGCAACCCTAACCAGCAGGGTTCGCGAGCGAATGGGGGCAATGATGTTAGAAGTGCTGTTAGCCAGCAAAATCAACCGCATATTAGGACTGTATTTCTCCATGGTCCGTCTCAGAGCTGCTTGTGCATCGCGAGTAAGATGATCCGCCTCGTTGATCACGACGACCTTGAACCGCTGCTTCGCCGAGAGATCGACCTGTTGGGTCTGCGCGATCTCCTTTAGAAGTTCTTGGACAACGACGCGGTCATAGTTGCCGACGTCAGACGGCGTGATCTCAAGGTGATAGATGGAAGAGACGATGTTGAATTCCAGTTTCCGATTACTCGTCGTCTGGAAGACTCGGGCGTCGATCTTGATCTTTTCGACTCCGGGACCGTACAATTCCTTCAGCGTTGCGATCACACGGGTTTTCTTGCCCGCGCCGGAGGGTCCATAGACGAGGAGGTGAGGGAAGTCTCCGCTTTGAGCCTAATAGTGAGACAATCATGAGAAATGTTCTTCCTGTCATGAATTGGTAATAATGGCTTTTACTCACTAGGGACTTTAAGCGTGCGGACAGATCGTGGTGGTACGAGAGAGCGTCCAAAGAGCGCGGGCGCAGCTTGTCAACTAGAAGAGCCATTTTGGTAACTTGCAGTCCGGCTGTGATCTAATCAACGAGCTTCACTTCTGTTGACCACTGGACAATAACTCGAGCGTTCGGGATAGCTTCGATTGAATGTAGACGCGTCGGTTCGTGACGCGCGAGCTTAATTGATGATCCGTGCACGGGGATACTGACTAATCTTACCCAGGAGCCAATGATGGCCGCCCATTTGGGCACATACAAAACGAAACTAGGATAGCTTTCCGCATGATGATAGTAAATTGAAAAAGCGAAAGATAATGAACAAAATAATCCTAGCCCGGTGTTTGTAATATTTACATTCATGAATTGATATAATACAAGTATCTCTCGAGGGAGCAGGTCCCAGAGAAGATGGTACAGTACAGTTTAGTTATGTTTTTAGAGAGGAGATTCGAGCTTCCTCGCTGAGGTTAAACCGTCCCAATGCAGAGGGACTTGAGCCTGGAAGATTCCCAGACCTGCCAGGTAATCGCCTCTAAATGATGCCATATGTTCGACACACCACTTTCACGGGCACTTTCTAGAGCGCCATGGCATTGAGGGCCGAGTCCGGTGCTTATGCATGTTCGATGTAGAGCTGTCCGTCCAGTTGATGCAATCAGCTCTACGCCATAGGCTTCAGAACGCCGTTGTCGTCGTATCGCGCTTCTATTTTGCTGTTAGTATACTGTTCAAGTTGCCTTCTGTTAGTTGGGAATCTTACTGAAGAAAGTATACGAGAGCGTAATGGTATCGATCCCCTGCATTGTCGGATCCTTTGCGAAATCAGGGTCGATGAAGAAGAACACCGGCATGTCCACAGATTCTCCAGCATTTAACTTCTGTTCTTCGAAGCAGAAGCATTGGATCTTGCTGAAGTATGGGGCGACTTGCCCGGGCGTGACACTATATGTCGCAACTCCGATAATATCCGCAGGACCCTTGTTCGTCGCAGTGTAGAAAGCCAATGCCGTTTCACCGGGGAGAACTCGAACTTCTCGCTGCTGTGGCGTAAATTTCCAGGGAAGGACGTCCGAAACTGAGCCATTGAATGTAATTCGAAGACGGCGGGAGTCCGTCACAGGCTTTACGCGATCCGCGGTATCGCCGTCTCCTGAACGGTGAGTGAGGATGGGCTGACCACCCCAGCCAGTCTGCTGACAGATCTGTAGAAGCAAAACCGTTAGTTTCCGTTGTTATCTGAGCGAGTTCATGGTGCGGGGATTAGCACTAACCATCTTGTAGAGAGGGACAGAACCATAAGCGAGGGCAACCGTTCCCAGAATGAGACTCGCGGCATAATACCTGCCATTGGGATTAGAGGAGTCCAAGTGGAATAGCAAGAGTCTGGTATTACATTGTAGATGCATTTCGCTCTCGTGATTGGGGGGTATTGAACGGCGCGGAGGCGGCATTTTTCTTCAAAAGTGGATTATGACTGAAATACCTCCTCCCAAGGTCAAGCCCTTTGGATGTATTGCATAGAGACGGTTTGAAGCCCGTTGCGGGCGACGAAAACCGGCCCCATGAGGAAATTGGACGGGCGAACATGGTTATAGATTAATGACTTGCGGATGCAAGTCGGAGTACTCGGCTGATCACTTCGTCCGGGACAAGATATAGCAAACACGTGATCCGGTCTTGGCGCCAACGCTAGCGATAAGGGGACAACCAAAGTCATCATTGAAAGCTTGACTCTATTGATGAGACAACTGTTCTAATTAGGAATCTGGATTTACTTGAATCTACTACCTTGTGTGGATTCTGGAGATGGCGTGGAATTGGAAAATTTAGGTCATAACAAGGGTTCATCATTAGTATTGGTGTGTAGTATATTATGGAGTATGTGGTAATACAGATTCCGTCAGATGCAACATTCGACATTCTATGACTCCAAGGAGATAAGCGTGAATGAAGTAGAACTAACATGTTATAATGCCGCAAATGCTACTTCAAAACGCTGGTTGCAATCTTCCCGAAGACACCTCGAACCAAGCTGGGCCGCTCTTGAAGGCAAGTTAGAAGGATGGCAGCACTGATAGTAAATGTGGCGCGTTCTCGGTATTGATACTAGATAAAACCCAGAGATATTAGAATTGATCCAAGACCCAAGAGCAATTGAAGAAGTTGCACGAAAGCCAAAAACCCAGACGGGAGGACAGGACGCCGTATGGGGAGCGTAGTTATTGCTTGCTTTGGAGTGCTTAGGACAATTCAACTTTACCTTCTGATCATAATATCTTGGCAGCACAGTGGCTGCAGCTCTGGGTGCCACAAATAAGGCAATTTCCTGGCGTTTTCGGGCGTTCTCCACGAGTATACTCCAGCCACACATAAGACATCCGGCACCGACACATAACCCGGAGTCCCACATCAAAGGTGTTACCGTTCCCTTGTCAAAGATCCTGGGTCCAAGTCGGGTTCGAGCGAGGCAGACCGAATAATAAAAGATGCTCACAAAGGAGGCAAGAAAAGAAGACGATCGCAAGGCATCGGAAATAGCTCGATACATTGCTGACTTTGATTTAATATTCCGAAGGCGAAAAGCGATTTGAAGGGGTATGTAAGTTGCACAAGCAAACTTAAAGGTTCGAATAAATCGATGTGCGGCATGTTTCTCACAGCTAGGACCACAGCCCATATGCACCATTTCACACGGTATGGGGATTGTCTTCATTGGGTCTCCCCATTCCACAGGCCAGGAATATTCTTCGCACATGGGTTGGAGAAGAGGAGCTTGGCCCGTGTCTTTCCCATAGACGAAGGTCCCTCTTCTGGCTCGGCGAAGCGCCTCGATTAGGCGATTGTCTACCTTTGCGGCTTCTCCAATCCATTTCCCGTAAGACCTTGGTAGCCGCTCAGGCATATAAAACCATGCCCACATCACTATTGCGGCGCTGGCTGCAAATAAACCTGCATCAGTCAATTGAGGCGCAAAAGCCTCCACGAGAGTCCAGTGACCTTGTTGCTTGCGTCGTAGTCGCCATCGCGCCCACGCCATACAGGCCATTGAATCCACCGCTCTAGTAAGACTGAAGAGAGTAAGATCCATTGTCCTACCGGCAAGTTGAGGATGACCATGAGCTGCGGGTTTACCGTCATGTTTCCCGGAAACATTCTTTATCCCTGCACCATTGTGGCGTTCCTCGAAATGACTTGGTAATGCAATGGGCTTCTTATTGAGGAGTCCAAAGGTGAACCAAGCGGAAACCAAGGTAGCAATAAACCGGATCAACCGCAGAGATTTCGCTGAATTAAGGGTGGCAGCCCGTGAGCCAAGAGCACGACTCGCACGCTGCAAAATGTGAAGGCATAGATGCGGCAAAATGCTGGAGCCCCCAACAAGAAGCCCGCAGAATGTTGGGAAGCTCTCTAGTCTTAATGAGTTTCTCAAGACCAAAGACAGCTGCACCATAACGTTAGCCGGTCAAATCTACCGCTTGTGCACTTCCAATAAAGACCCAATAATACTGATACATGGTTGTGACAAGGGTAGTAGTCTTTAAGACCGAGCCCAATGCATGGTTATTCAAAGAAAGATCAAGACATACCTCTTTGAGTTTCTGCTTATGATCCAATTCATTTTTCCAGAGGCGTTGTAACCATGATATAATCCTGGGTGCAGTTGAGGATATGTGCCCTAATGCATAAGCGCGCAGAATTCTGCAACAATGGCAAATCAAGCATGTCAGTACTCCTTCAATCATAGACTTGGCGGTGTAACATGGCTTGATGTTCTAGACTGCATGAAAGATGGGTAGAATAGCTGATACTTACGGCTTTAAAGCTTGGATGTTGACCTGAGTTCTGCGAGGAAGTCCTGCAGAGTCCATGATTTTAAAATGCTGCTACTTCATGACCACGCTCTTAGATGCAAAGCATTTCGAGAGATAAACAAACAAACACCCTACAGGGCAGTGTCAGGAATCGCTGCAGGTTAACGGACGATCAAGCATAGTAGGCCCTTATTCACATATAAACATACGTTTTTGGAGGTTTTGGATGGCCAGCATGAACGGACAGATTTAGGAAGTCCCCGGCAAAAATGATATAACAGCAATGTCATGCAAGTCTGGCAGCATTACAGAACAAGGAGACGGCTAATACAGACAGGGACTAACTGCGTAGAGAGCACTCGGGTCTGCCTGGCAGTCTGCAAGCAACGCAAAGACCAAGCGGTCCGCGGTTCCAGCAAGTGAGCAGGAATCTTTTGTGCGATCTTCCGTGGAGCCGTACACAACCGTGCGACCTAAAATTCGACCTCGGCCCTAGAGGACACGAAGAAAGCGGTTTGGTAAGCCCGGTTCAGGGGTAGGAACTAAACAGTTGGTTGACGATCCTCCGTATGTCAGAGTCTCAAACTCGGGGTTTTGTTGATGACGCCCGTGGAAACAACCCTGCGACTTCCAGTCAGGTACAGCTTTGTGGGGCATCAAAAAGGCAAATTAATTAAACAGGAATTTAGAGCAATAATCGGACGTACTGTCATCCACCTTGACAAGCCTAAGGACGGAGTACTCCGTCCGTGTACTGTGGTGGTAGGCAAGGGGTTTTCAGAGAGTTTTACAGAGAAGAGAGAGAAGTAGTACTAGAAGGAGGAGGGAAAAGAGGCATAGATAAAAAGAAAAAAAGAAAAAAGGGTGTCCCTCTTGCTCATCTGTTGAGCTGGACGGACCTGTACCTAGGGAAGCCAGGGTATGCAGCGGGCAGCCAGGCAAATTAATCGATCGGACTTGGAAATTGGACCGAGAGCCTCCGATCCCTTCCTAACCCGATTTTACTATACTGAGACCGTCGCTGCCGGGAGTGGGTAGGTATTTTTCGTATTGGCGTTACGTCACGCGACCTCCGCTGCAGCGCGAGGTTTTCAGCATGTGATCGACTCGAAAAGACCGAACGGTTTCCATGCTCGCTCTCTCTCGCTCCACCATTTGCTATCTACAACCTCGTCACTTTCCCTCTCTTTCTAGCTCATATGAGCCCGAAGTGGAGTTACTGATCACTCACTCCTCTCCATGCACTTTCTAGGCGATAAATTAACACCCCATGTTCTGGACGTCTGACTGACTTTCAAATCGCATCCACTTGTATCCTTCTGCTCCGCAGGAACCAATCCATATCGAGAGAAAAAGAGCCCGTTATTCCCCACGCACAACCTAGCCGTCTACCCCGGTTTAGCTTTTCGCGATTTCGAATCGTACTATTGTCAGATTTCCGCTTCTCACGGAGATCAAATATCCTGCCTGTCCGCCCAAGAAAAAAGGCATGTCCTCGTCGACCTACTCCGTGTTGCTCTCGACGATCGAGTAGCAAAACCTTCTTGAAGCTTTGGCCTATCCTCGAACCGTCGTCGCTCCTTTCTCTATATTACTCCGATCATGAACATGAACGGATCCGAGGCCCAAAATGGGCGAAACACTCCCCAACCTGGCCCATTCGGTTGTATGTGCCTCTAGCTCAAACGCAGAGTTTTGCCTATCTCTAATCAGTCTTTCCTTCTCCCCAGATTCTTTCCTTTCGCCCATGGATACTCCTTATGAGCCCGCGCCTGCGCCGCCCCCAGGCCCGGCTCTACTTGACGACCAGGAATCTAACATGCTGGATAACTTTTTCACCAATATGAATTCCAATCAGTTCAGCAATGAATTCTGGCTCCATGGCAACCACAGCAAACCTTTTGGCTCTACCAACTTCGAATGGTCAACTGAAATGCCCCCGACGTTCGAAGGCTCCACGACTTCACTCTCCCAACCTTCGGCCCCTCATCATAGCCTAGAGAAGCCCGGGTTTGGTGGGATGCCGAACAGTATGGGGACGAGCTCTGACATATTTGCGGCCGCTTCCATGCTCTATCACAATGGGATTCACGGGACCGAGTTCAACGCTGGTGTTGGAAACCATCCTTTCCCCGCTTTTTCGGACGTGGAATACGGCAATATGAGGTCGAACAGTGGCGGGAAAGCCGAACAACACAGTGGCCACATGCCCTCCAAGCCGGTTCCATCGCGTCCACGCGTACCAAGTGGTTTTCACACGTCCGAGATGCTTTTTGATGTCCGAGAGCCGATATCTGTTGAGCAACAAGCCGTTGCGAAAGTACGGCCTCTTCATTGGGGCTCCGACATCAGTTTTATGGACCAAGGATACGTGGCACCACCCGATCAACCAAATGAGGAAGAACAAACAAAGGAGCTACTCGGTCATCTGGATTGTTTCGAGCGACAGAGCAGTGCTGCCAACACCAGGGCACCTAGCCCAGAGCGGACCCTGGATGGCCAAGGTGCTTCCTGGACGGGATCAAATGCCGCGGGGCAGCTCAGCGATCTACGGAGGGAGTATAGAGATGAGGATCCCTCGCAACCGAAAAAGAAACAAAGGACATTAGTCAAGGAAGAGGAGGACGATGAGAATTCGGACATCGACAGTTCAAAACCAAAGTCAAGGAGATCAAGGGCTTCAAGCTACAATAAATCCAGGAGGATGTCCAGTGGCGCGATTCGCAAATCAAGGCTCCAGGAAAGCGCAAAGGCTGCACGAGAGAATTTGACGGAAGAGCAGAAAAGAAGCAACCATATCCTCTCAGAGCAAAAACGCAGGAATCTCATCCGGCAAGGCTTTGACGACCTGTGCACGCTTGTACCTGGATTAAGAGGCGGCGGGTTCAGCAAAAGTGCAATGCTTACGCAGGCAGCTGACTGGCTGGAGGAGGTTCTGCGTGGGAATGAAATTCTCAAGGCACAGCTATCCGAGTTAAAGACTATGAATGGCTTGGTCATCCCGATGTGATTTTTGCATTCTAACGAGACCACGATGTGATATTTCTGTTTCCCACGACGCAAGGCATGCGCTCACTCGCAGTCTGTTTTAAATCCAAGCAATTCAGCGATTCGACGGGGTGAAATCTCCGTGTTTGGGGTTGCGGGCGTTCCTTTTGGTGAACATGGGTTGAAGTTACGAGATCCTCTACTGGACGGAATCCTGATCATCTCCATGACATCCGCTCATTCATGTTTACTCTGCATATGTTGTTTTTAGCACCACAATACCCTTTCTGGTTCAATCTCTGATGAACAGGTATCTTTTAATTAAAATAATGAGCGAGATAGAGAATGCCTCTAGTGAAATATATTCCCATAAAAGTGGCCTCCCTGAATGTTTGGTTCAATCTGTGTTACTTCTGAACGAACTCCACCTTTGTGTGTGAATATAAACCCCAACTCTGTAAAATAGCTACATAAGTGAATGAGATGAGAACTGTGGAAGTCCAGTTGCTGTCCGACACCCCGCAAAGTCCCAAAGTGGCTTAGCGCCATTTGTTATTTGGTTGGCATGTGACGGTCACTGTCCGGAGAGTTCGACCATCGCGTTTTCAGTATTTGTTTACGCCAACAATCTCAACTGTTACTCCATTCGGCACTTACTTTTTTTAGCTGAACTTGTCCTTGAACACGATTGCCTTGCACTCCTTTCCGACTCTCTATTCTACTTATTAAACCCACCTGCCGACTGCCCGACAAAACCGCAATGCCCCCTAAGAGGAAGCGTGCCAATGATGGTCAAAACGCCGATGACGGCGCGCGCAACAAGCGATATGCCTATATGAAGCCCCAAGTTCGCCAGGTCTCAGAGAAAACCATCAAATCCAAGTGGTCCACGCTCCCAGAGCCCGCTCAAGACAAGGTCCGGGACATGTTTCGCTCCCTTGAGCGCCCGGTCATAGTGCGACACCAAAATGAGCGCAGGCGCATTGAAGCGCAAGCGGCCGTCCAGGTTGTGGTGAAAAAGTGAGTCGCTCCGACCGAGCGCGCCTACAGTATTGCTTGGATTTCGCTGACATTTGCTGTCTGAAGTCTAGGAAAGCGGTTACCTAGAATGCCATTCCCGCCAATTGCCAAAGATTCGGTTTTCGAATATGAGGCGGCGCTGAAAGAACACGTACGCTGCCCCTATTCACACCGACATAAAACGGTACTGACTTGCTCAGTCTTCCTTAGAGGCCAATTTGGCCACGGTGAAGGATAGTACGGAACTTCTGAAGGCCGAGGCCGACCGAGAAGAAGCTTTACTTGCAAAGGAGAAAAAGCAACTCCAGGAGATGGAGAAGAACGCCAAGCGAGCGGAAATGGAGACGAAGCGACAAATGAAAAATGTGAGGACAATCTCCAAGTCTGGTATAGAAAATGACGGCTAACTTTTCCCAGGAACATCCCGTCCTACGCAAATTGAACGATGCCCCTAGCACGGAGCACCGGATACTAGCGGATCTCAAAATTGCCGGCGAGAAGAACCCTCAGCTAACATTTGATGGGGTATGGCTTGACCTTCTATTTGGACTTCGGGGTACTGACACATTTGCCAGCTTGAGGATGATCCTGATACATTCGACCTGTTGAAACAACTAAGCGGCCACCTGAACTCAATCCAAAATAATATCACGCCCCTAAACGGACTTGCGGATGCAATCACCCGATCGCAAATCGCCCTGAGCCTGACCTCTATGCCCCAAGACTGAGCAATCTCAAACCGCAGGCGAAAGGTCAGAAAGCAGACAAATTAAGGGGATCGCGAATATCCCAGGTCTCTGGGCAACAAATCAATCCGACCCGAACGCACCCGCATGCGTGGAGTGCGACCGCCGTACAACCGGATGTGCCATTACTATCGAAGAAGCCGGGAACAGTAACAAGCATCATCTATTGCTACCGCTCTACGCAGTGGCAATGACAGGTAGCAGCCAAGACCAGGTCTCGTCTGTTAAGATACTGGGGGTTCCTGCTGCCGACAACATGCCACCCGCAAGTAGTCTTACTGGCTCCCACCGGTCGCTAGGTTCGAGTATGGTCAGTTAGATCTTAGAGCATGCAGCGCGAGAAGAAGGCCAAGAGCCAGGCGTTTGTCATGCGCGTGAAGGAAACGTGGCTGTGTATGAAAAGGGCAGGGCGTGTTGGGATCTCTCTAAAAGGCAAACTAGACCCATGCAAATACGTGGAAACACGAGTAATAATAGCCAACCAGTTGCTAAGTGATTTGCTCCGTGTAATTTGAAAGTCTCCCAGTAGTCCAGGTAGAATGGAGGTGTACATAGTGCCCGAGGTAACTAGAGTCGTGGCACATGGCGTTGGCCTAGCGATTTCCCCAAATGCGGAGGAGCTCGGGAAAAGAGGGCGGCCGCCCGGCGTCAAGTCCCGCTCTCGGCGGGGAAACCCAACCCTGAGAGAATCGATCGCATGCGCGCCTATCCTCATTTTCAATTTCCCGCGGCACCTCCAACGGCGCATACCTGCTACAAATGACCTCCATCCCTATTCCGCACTGAGTCTCGGTCTATGTCTGCAGCTTACCACCCGCCCGGTTTCTTTCGTGTTTCAATCGACTCCCACCCCAGCAGCGAGCCGGACTCTGCGCAACCACTTTGCGCCTAGCGATCGATGACCGAGAAAAGCGCGCATACGGCCACGAGCCCCGACCAACCATCGAGTAATGGTACGACAGAGCAATTAAAACTCAATATGTCTGAAGGAGAAAGAATGAGGCGGGATTCCAGCGCAAGAGACAGCGTGCAAACCTCCCCAGTGTCCAAGCCTGAGAACGGCGCTGCGGCTTCCTCCAGTCCGAAGAAGCGTCGCAAAGTTAACCACGGTAAGCAAACCGCTTTGCCAATGCTTTATTACAAGGATGATGGCAGCGGCTCCTCGCATTTGCTCCATTACAGCTGTCCGGACCTCGTTGCTAACGAAGTTGCTCATGCCTGCAGCGTGCGTCTACTGTCGACGATCGGTAAGTCATTATAACTATTACCGCTTCCCTGATTTCCCTCGTACTGTCTTCTCGCGGGAATATTCCTTTTTTTACTCGCGAAAGATTCGCACCAGAAGAATTTTTCTGAGGACTAATTTGCTGACGGGATGGTACTTGTTCACGTGGCACAGCATATGACTTGCGACTTGGTACGACCTTTCTGAACTCTACCCCTACAGCTCATGCGTGTGAAACGTATCGCAAACCGGCTTTCAGAAGATTAGTTGCTGACTTGTTTTGGTTTGGGGAACTAAAGGAGCGACCCTGCACCCGATGTATAAAACGCAATATCGGCCACCTGTGTCATGATGAGCCAAGGGAACCTACGAAGCGGTCTCGGAGTGACCAAGAACCTTCATTAGCGGACGACGACGGCTCTTCAAACAATGAATATCCGACCGTTATGCACCCAATGCCTCGAAGCGTCGATATTCAAGATGCTGCTGGCCAGCAAATGTCCACCCATGGACTTTCATCCTCGTCTGTGAATCCAGTGCAGCATGGTAACATCCCGGATTCTTCAAGACAAGGACTTGGGAACCCCCAGCAGAGTAAGCTTGCACAGTGATACTTCGATTTCCTAACCGTTTGCTGACACAATGAGGTAGTCCTTGGTTACAATGACTGGGTTCCAGGGCAAAGCCAATTCCAAGACATGCACACGTTCCATCCTTCGTACATGTTCAATGCACACGAAGTAACGAATGAATACAACCTTCTTGGGGACTTCCTGAGCAATAGTCTATTGGATGATGGAGCCATGTTCCAAAACGATGATCTACACGGGATATATTCTGACCCAACGTTGATCAACTCCATGGCTACGCTCGGCGGTGGCTCCAATGCAACCCTCCTTCGACAAGCCCAGCCTGCTCAGCCGGCCCCCAGCCAGCAAACCCAGGGAGAACCCATCCAGCAAGGCCCCAGTGCCGTAGTGGGCAATGACAAAGCCAGGGAGACGTATTATATGACTGCTGCCGATCCTTCGGGCTCTGATCCTCCTGAAGAGCGAATGAACAAACTCCTCAAAGCCAAGTACGATGCAGGTCTTCTGCGACCTTTCAACTATGTGAAGGGTTATGCGAGGCTGAATCAGTACATGGAAAAGCATCTGCAACAACCCTCACGCCAGAAGATTCTTCGGCAACTAGACAAATTCCGGCCCAAGTTTCGAGAGAGGATGCAGAGTCTTACTGATATCGAACTGATTCTGGTGGAAATGTGGTTCGAACGAAGCTTAATGGAATATGATCGTGTTTTCGCCAGTATGGCTATCCCTGCCTGTTGCTGGAGACGAACGGGCGAAATCTTCCGAGGAAACAAGGAAATGGCGGAATTGATCGGTGTTCCGATTGAGAACCTGAGAGACGTGAGTTTCCTGATAGGTACCTTCTACTTGTTACGTTAGACTAATATGCCAATGTGCCACAGGGCAAGCTGGCTATTCATGAAATAATCGTGGAGGATCAGCTTGTCAGCTACTGGGAAAAGTTTGGAGCGATTGCATTCGACAATACCCAGAAAGCTATGCTTACTAGCTGCACCTTGAAAAATCCCGACTCCAACTCTCCTGGTGATGGCATTCCATGCTGTTTCTCATTTACAATACGAAGAGATAACCACAATATGTCAGTTTTCCCCCGTCGGATTACATGTCAATTGAATCATGCTAACAAATTTTCAGCCCGTCACTCATTATCGGGAATTTCTTGCCATCTCGACGAAAGAGTAAATGATCATATGGGCTCAAAAATCGTTCTATCGGCGCTATCAGATTTCTGGGAATTATTTGTTTCTTTGCATGGGAAATTAGAAGATATTTTCATGTGCTTTTTGCCCACGCTTCGATTTTATCGTTGAAAATTGTGGATATACATTTCTATCGGTTTGTACTGTTAAAGAATATTGTAGAGTGAGGCCCTCCGAAGCATACCTAGAATCCTCGCTCCCACCTGATCGCTATGTTTGATGGATTTGGCTAGCCTGGTCAGGTGGACGGTTCTCAACTTTGCCTCCCTCTCAACCTGTAGTCGGCGCAATAAAGCTCACCTCCTGGTATCCTGACAAGCTCTCCGGATCATGAAAATTGATCCGGAACCCAAAGGCTATCAACAAGCCACTCGTCTTATCATGGATCCGACACATCCAGACATCTCACGAGCAGAGGCCATCATAGGTAAAGCCTTCGTCCCAGAGAGCACCAGACTTGTGGCAGCATTTTCTCCTTCTAACTTCTTAAATTACCATAAGAATTTGCTAGAGAAGCTCAGACTAGGCTTTCTGAAAAATATGACTTCAATGAGGCTCTCGACCACGATGCCCTCCGTAACCTCGACAATTTCATCGACGATATCCATTCGCCTGGTGGAGCGGTCCCGCATGCCCTTCGTCATCAAATGGACCACGAAGGTGTTGAACTGTGGAACATATGTGTGCATCAAAAGTTACATCTTGAAGACAATAGTAGGGACATGATGCTGGTTTGCAAGAGTATTGAGACATAGACGACGATATTCCTGAGCTTTACTGAATCAGCGCAGTGAAATGCTTCGCTTACTTGATGATCGAAAGTGTGGCTTCTAGACAGGGTGCAGGTAAGTTACGCTTTTCAAAAGGGTATAATGAAGAGCTAATCCTTGGTAGGAAGCTTTCGAGCTCTGAAGGTAGCTTTGAACACAGCCAAGGCGTGTGCGGGTATCCCCACCCCCCAACTCTCTCGCTCATTACTAAGGCTAAGATCGCATTCCAGAAACAGGGCAATTCGATTTGAGCCAGAGAATAATTGAGACCATAGCCGTGAGGCTAGATGACCTTGAGAAATCGATTACCCAACACGAATATCCCCAGCTACAATCCGTCACTGTTGAGTATTACATGCTTCGTACATACCTGGTTAGCAAACCAACGAGTCTTTCTGGAGGATATATAGTTTGACTGATAGAATGCACTAGTCTTGGTGCCGAGGGAGGCCCGATATAGCAGATCATCTGTTCTCAAAGATACCGGCAGCACACATTGACAAGAACCAAAGATGTGTGCTAGACGTATGCTATAAAGTTGGCAACCTAGCGCTCTTATCCCATGAATATCATGCGGCTGTAATGTGGCTAGGAAGGGCTTTGAAGGCATATGAGCAGTTGAGTAATGGTTCACAAGAGCCCGACACAATCTTGGAGGAAAAGAACCTGCTTGTCACACATGCTTTTGGTAGGTTGCTTTAATAGATCTCTCGCCAGGGCAACAATGCTTACTAGAACAGTGCGAGCTTGCCTCTATCACGACAACCTGGAATCCATGGAGCCTTTCAATAAAGCCCTCGAATCATTACGAAGCGTGAGATTGAACACATTATTTGCGTCCTACTCTAATAACTGAACAGAGACACGGCGATACGTTTGCTGTTCATACCCTACAATTAGAGGCGCTCAGCGCCGAAGAAAGCCTCGATAGCCAAAGTTACTTGCAGAGTGAGTGCTACAGCGTGGCATACGCACAAACGGAAGACTGATAGAAAAACTCCAGTCGTTCAATCTGCCTTCAAGACAATGGAGCATAAACATGCCCGTTTGAACATGTGAAAATCTGTAACCTAATATAAAGGGTAGTTAATTCTAACCAAGAAAACAGACTCTTGTGCTATATCCAAAATCTGAGAAACTCAAAGTGGGTTCCTATATTATCTTGTTATTTCCCGCCAGACTGACACATAGTAGCGCAGAATGCTATGTTCAGGCACTAAAGCAGCTTCTTAACGAGATGCTTGTTTCTCCCGCAGAAAGGAACTTGATTGAACCTATATTTATTCGGCTGATCTGGACGTTGACGGATGCGAGTGTCGAGGTCCAACATAACCTTGATATTTTCCAGGATGCGTCGAAAAGGCTCACCGAAACTCTGGGCTCTTTGAGTGAGGATGCGACACATGCGGCTTTGATTGTAATGTTGTAACATTCTAACTCGATGGTATGTGCTTATAAAGATACAGCTGGTCTGGAAGTATGTCGACCTCAAAATATCCACCGATGATGCTTCGACTGCCGAAAGATGGTGCTCCTTTGCTCTTGAGCAACCGATCTTTCAAATATCTATAGAGACCCGCGGGATATTGCTGAGGTCAGTGCTCGTTATATTTGCTTACCTCAATCTAATACAAGTTAGAAAATTGATCATCTGTGCTTTGAGTAATTCGGTCACCTCCACATTGCATAGCATCTTCAACAAAATGCCAACCCAATGCCAGCAATCTCCATCCACCTTACATCTCATGTACAAGTTTGCTCTTTCACGAGGGAACATCTCTGAAGGTATGTTTTTGTCTCTTGTATGTGCCATATCTGACAGGTTAAAGCATCCGTGTACCTCAATTCCCTCTGTGAACAGGGAGATCAGGCAGACGTCTATCTTTTTCCGTGCATAGGCGAGGCGATACAAATCAGTCAAAGTCTACACGCAGTCAAGATATTCGAGCGAATACTCGCAAGCCTAGACTCTAGCTGCTTCAAGGCATTGAGCCTCAAGGATCTGTTCCAGTATGATACACCCCCCCCCTTATCCCGCTAGAGAATGCCTGCTAAAAGCTGCTTCATACCGGTACTCCGTCTTTTGACCAATATTGAGGCATGTGACCAGGATGAAGAAAATCACATATTCCAGCAGACCGTGTCCATTTTTGAGGCCGGTACGTTTCGTTTACAATTGATTTACCGAGCTTAGGTCACTCTAACATTGAGAATGCCAGCTCTCAAAGAAGCCCAAAGACAAGACAAAGCCCAGTTCTCATCCATCCAACTAAAGTGGCTCTCTCACAAGAGTTACAATACCGCATTGCGATTCCACGAACATTCCCAACCGAAGTCAGCATTGCAGCTACTAGGTATATCTATCAAGGTGAACCAGCTCTCTCACTACCCCCAAACATAGAAACCACAAGGCACCAACATATCCAGCTCGCCGAAATACACCAACAAACCCTACCACCAGAAGGCCAGCTCAATGCACGCCAACACGTTCTTCTCTGCAACTTCCTCCTCGCACTTATAACAGCATCCAAAGCCCGCAAAGCAAAGACTAACCCCCAAAAGGTCAGCTCAGCCCATTCTTTCCTCCTACCTTTCTCCAACAAATCAAAAACTTATAAGAGTCAAATCTAACCCACCCAGAAAAAACACTACCAAGACCTTCACAATCTCGCAACCCACTTCCACGCCTCCATAAACGACCACAACCCACCCACCAACCAAGAATGGCCCCTCAAGTACCGCACCATCCTATCACTAGACTTCGAAGCCAGCATCTTTCTCCAAAGATGGGATGACGCCACCACTGTGATCGAAAAAGCAGGCCCGATAACCGATGCACAACTCCCATCCATCTTCATGGATTGCGTACTTCGCTCTGATGCCCCGGTGAAAGAGATGGCGAGGTTAGTCAAGGTAGGGCTTTCATCACTCCTTCCTTCCTCTTCTCTCTGCCATTGTTCCTTAAACCAACTGACCTAACCCTCAATGTTTTAGATAGTAATCCGCACCCTCCACACCTCCCCCTCCCCACATCTCAACCCCCAGGACTTCCAAACAGCACTTCCGCGCTACCTCCGAGTCCTGTTCCAGCTCTCCCTTGACGCGAAAGACGACTCGCTCGCTGAATCCGTCCTCGACCAGATCCTTGTTCTTGTCCGGGAAGCGCACGAGTCTTCTCCACCTCCTTCTGGATATCGATACACCTATCCCAATGAAGAGATTCAATGGATGTCAACCGTCGGGTTTAATCGTGCTGTGGACTTTTACCGCACGTCTAGAGACCAGGAGTTTCGGCGATGGGCGGAGAAGGCGATTGGGTTGGCGGAGTTCATAGATGGGGTTCATGCGGGTGAGTTGGGAAAGTTGCTACGGCGTAACTTTGCGAGGTTAATTTGAGGAGTAAAAGGGAGATATTTTCGAGAATGCCAGTAATCAGATTGTGTAAGTAGTTTTATGAGGGTCAATTTGTTTTGGAAGAGGGGCTGAGGTTAACTTGAAAGATTACTAAATCAATGTATTTAGCATTGAACCATGCTGTAACAAAACGGACCTTTTCAGAAATCCGTTCGAAAATGGGGTATCATGTGGAAAGCAGACAAATTTTAATAAAATATGGATGGAGAAGGGACCTCGAAAAGGCAACCATCCCAAAAACAGATATAGAAACAAAGCAAAGGCAGAACGACCGGAAATAAGTGAAGTGAGTGCAATACAGCCAGACGGTTTGTACAAGAAATGCAGAGCAAAAGCCGCACGCGAGTGTTGTGCCCCAGACTCCGTAGATCGCTATTGTACCCAGGGAGGGACGATATCAAAATAAACACCGGAAATGCGAAAAAAGTAATATGCGCTTGAAAGAGAACCATAATGGCCTGGGCTTGTTCCTGTCTGGCATAGAGGAAGTCTTTCCTATAAAGAATGTCCAGACAGTATAATGCAAAGGAAAAATAAAATATAGAACGAGACGAAATCGAAATCAGAAGACGAGTAATGGAATGGAATGGAAAACAGATGGTTTTATCCCGCATTCGCATCAAAAGAATGACTTCTCAGGACCTTCTGTGATTCACGTTGGCCTAGATTCGGGGTTGATGGCATTCGACGTGCCGTTCTATTGGGCATCGGAACCGCTAGCCTTTCGTTTTCTTTTCCGCTGCTATCAGTCTCAGTGTCTGCGCTATCACAGACTTTAGTTCGCGAGGTCAAGACCCGCAGAGTGAGATTCAGTTCCCGCTCAAGCTCTTTTTGAGAGTGAACACTATCTGTAGATCCGTTGAGCTTCTTTCTGTAAGCTCTCAACGTACGGCAAACTTGATCGGTAGATGTATCTAAATTTCCAAAATCATTTCTGTTGGAGCTTCGAGTACGCGTACGCAGTTCGTGAGAGTGGCGAGCAGTGTTACTTGAATGCCTGCTTCTCTTTCCGAACGCGGACTTGGGACTCGAAGGCGAAGGCGATCTGTGTTGTTTCTCAAAGCGATGGCTCGAAGCAGAAGACCGATTGAATGAAGAGTAAGGCGGAGTTGTTGGCAATGAGTGACAGTGCTTCCCAGATGAAGGAGCGAGCGACATCTTTGACAGTTTCCGGGACAGCGGCGGAGAATGTTCGCGCACTGGAGTCGGAGTGCCAGGTATATTTTCTTGGCGATGAAACCCAGCAAGGTCGGTTCGAGACAATAATTTGCGCAGAGGAGGGTTGGAAACAGATAGTTCCTTCGGAGTCGTGTCTTCGTCATTTCGCTCTTGACTCTGCAGCGGCTGCACTGACATGTTCCATATCATAACAATACCATCAATGCCTGAACTAATTATTGTTCGAACAACGGGTTGCTCGGGAGAACATGACTCGCGTTCAAGCAGACAAACGTCACTGACACCCTCTGTATGGCCAAATTCACCGGTAAGAAGAGCTGCCCGATCTATATCATAAACGCGGATCGATTTGTCTGTTCCCGACACCCCAATGAGAAGCCTGGGACTTTGTCCTGGAACTTCCTCGGCAACTGTTAGGGAGCCCATAACGACTGTATCACTGGAGTCGGGGTCGGCAGGGCGAAAAGATTGCAAGAGGCGACCAGTAACCATGTCGTAATGCTGGACATAGCGGTCTATCGTGGATACGACGACAACGTTTGCGTCTTCAGGGGCCAGGGTCATAGAGACTGGAGACGCTTTTAGCGTGATCACTTTTGATACCAGGTACGCAATTTCCGTCGCCCCGTTGTCCTCTCGGGTTACACGATCCCGAACACGGATAGTACGGTCGGCAGAGCCAGAGAGGAGCCTTTCGCCGTCATTGACGAAAAGCAACTGGCTGATTGCTCCAACATGATCATCCATGGTTTGTATTAATTGAAAGTCTTCGTCGGACTTTTGGAAGAGCTGGACCATGCGGTCACGTCCACAACTGGCAATTAAGCAGGAGTCAAAAGCCGAATGCAAAGCAATGTCTGTAATTTCGCCTCCATGTGCTCGAGCTTCATTTGTACAACTCCAAGTTTTGCCATCCATTACCCTAGCGTCATGAGTTAGCAAAAGTCGAGATCCTTCAAAATAGGGGAGTCGCTTTGATACCTTAGGACACCAAACCTATCCCCTGCGACAAAGAGATCCGTGTTCTCTGTCGTACGAAGAACTTTTATTTCGTTTGAAGAGTCCTCGCTAGTCCCAGAAGCCTCTAAAGGGACTGTTTGGGTCGCTCGATTCCTTCCCCGAATGTCCCAGAAGTTCACAGTGCCTTTACATGACCATGTGAAAAAGTCGGCGTCCAGATCGTTTGGCAACTGCAAGGGTCGGACACCCAGTACAGCATCCCTGTACCCAGGGAGAGAATTTGCCGTATGAGCCAGCTCATTTTCATCGTCCAGTGCCTCAATGATGTACACATGGGTTCCCCTTGTAACATCAAGTGTCACCAGGTGCGAGGTGAGATATCCAATACAGCTTATGGCTGGTTTCTTGTCTTGGATTTCTGTTAGGAAGGACGATTCTGAATGGGTTGGCGATGGAGGTGGAAGCGAATTTTGCAAAATGCTCAATGGGACGCTTTGTATTTGCCCGTCACGGCCTCCAATCCAGATGCAGGATCTATCTGAATCGACCGCCAAGGAAGTGATCCCGAAGCCCATGTGCTGAACGAGGGATAACTTCTGAGAACCCTCGTTATCATCGATAAAGCAAAGTGACCCTTTATCTGTGCCTACGACGGCACCAGTATCGGAGACGCTTGCCACGCTAGTAAACGTGCTCTCCGCCAAAGTACCTAGTAAGCAATTTCTCCCTGAAAGTGCCTTTGGAGTAAGATTCGGAGAGCTCGGGGCCGATTCCAGGGTTAAGCGTGATTTCGTAGGTGATCCGGGCCGTGCGTCCGCAAGTCTCCAGACTTTCACATGTCGAACTCCGGCACTAGAAATTGTTTAGTACTAAATGACACTGCCGTGGAATTTCACAGCAATACATACGTGATCAAAGCTTGTCCCATCCAACACATGTCGCGGATGTGAGCAGTACACTTATTGGTCGAATGGAGCTGTGCAGCGCCATTTTTCGGGCTGATCGACCACACAAAAAGAAACCCGTCATTCGCATCCCCCAGCGTCGCTAAGTTCAAGGAATTGGAGCTGAAAGCAAGACTGCGGACTCCGAATGTATGGTCGTTCATAATAGAGAGAGGGACGTCTGAGGGGGCATCCTTTGCCGTTGAAAATATCAGAACTCGCGGGCTATAACCGGTCTGCGACACGTTAACAACTGCTTCTATTCGTCGGAAGAAAATCCATCACTAACCTCCCCAACTGCAAGTAATCTCCCATTCGGACTTATAGAAACACCAGTAACCGCTTTCACTCTTTCTCTCGATGACCAGGGTCGGGGCCCGGCAGTTTCTGCCAAATCGCTCGAAGGAGATACATTGTGGACGCTGGCGCTTGATGTAGGTCTCAGGCTTGATAGAGCTTTCGCACGAGTGTCCGGGGTGGTAGGAGGAGTGGACTGATGGTAGTATGAGGTAACCGGGTTGACGCTGGACACGGAGGGTCGAGCTCTAAAAAAGCGTTGATTCACATTTCCCCCCTCGTCCACCTCTGCCAAAACAGCCGCGGAGCCGGCACAGAACGCAAAAGACTTGCTTTGGTCGTGACTGGAGAATCCATTGGGAGTGGTTGTGGTGGTGCCGATTACCGTCTGGAGAGTTAAAGTACTCTGGTGCAAGGGAGGCTTGCTGGGGGTGCGCGGCGGCGGGCGTAGATTGGGCGAGTTGGAAGGAGTAACTCGGAGGGACGATCCGGGGCCGACTGGCTTGCTTTTCGCGCTTATCGAAGTGTATGCCATTGTTAGCAATGGGTGTTGTCAATCATCCACTGTCTCTTGAGAATAGCGAAGTCTTCATTCGCGTTGATTGAAATGGTTGTAAGGGCGTTGTTTCTGGCCAAGTATGCAGCAAGCTACTTTCATTGCCCACAAGAGGCGTGCGCAAGAAAAGCAAACGGAGGAGGAAGCGGGAAGGAACGAGAAGGTTTCTGATCTATATCTTTATGCAGGCGAGGAATGTTTTGAGCGCGTCAGATCGAGTCGATCCAGTTTGGCGAAAGAGGCGTTTTGCGGTCGGCCGGGCAGATATTAGGAGGGGAAGAGTGTCGGAAATTGCACATGAGAAGACAAAGAAATAAAAGAAAGGAGAGGAGACTGAAAGCTAGGAATAGCAGTAATGAGCGACGGTCGAAATTAACGAGAGAATGTAGGGGAGCGTTTGAGCCGGAATGAAGCAAAGAGTGGACACGGAGCTGTCTATCTATTCATGTACCTTAGCATAAACATGAGCACCAGCATTCCAGAAGGCGGAGAGCCAAAAAAAATGATTGACGAACCTATCTATCTTCGACCCTTGGCGCTGGGATGGAAGGATCTGACATTGGGCAGAAAATAGTCTAAATTAAGTCCGCTTAGCTCGAGACTACTTTAGTAGGGAGTAGCTCAGTAGATCAGCGCAGGAATGGGACTAAAGATCATTTTGCTGGACCGGAATATGATCAAATTCCAACGGCGGGGAGGTAAAGTACTCCGTCAGGGAGTATGCAAGGAGTGCACAAGCAACAGACGAAGGGCAAGAAAGGAGCCCTGATCCCATACCGAGGAGTGCCAGGCATCATGCCAGGGACGGGAGGAAGGAAGAATCGATGAAGTGTTGAGGCGGGTGGATCAGCCTCAGGCCGCCAAGTGGTCCCGCGTCATGTGGGGACGCCAATCCTGCCCAAACGGGAAGCTACGAAGGACTCCGGTTTGACTTTAGGGATCTTATTATTTGGTCTGAATATAAAGTATTGACTACGGAGTAGATATAATTTAATGACGAAGATAGTAGCACTCGCGGCAGGTCCTAGAACCAGGTGGGGTGGTTGACCCAAGCCCTCTGAACTGGCTCGATACCCCTGAAATAGGAATGTATCGACGGCGGAGCTGCCAGATATATTTTCCGCCGAAGCGACGGGGACACAGATCAGTCCGATATGATCGAATACGGAGCTGGATTGTGACACGGATTCCGGATCAGCTCAGATGGCCGCGTCATATATAGACACACCTCGTATATTACTCCGTACACCGTAAGGTTGTCCGTGTCTACAGTAGACAGCTCACCTAAAAGGGAAGGCCATCCTTATCGCTACAAGATCACGTGCTCCATATCTTATCGGTGCGACGCCCTCCCTGCGCCGTCGAGATTTTCCAGCGTCGCCAGTCTCCAAAGTCTCGACTACAGCATAATTAACCAGAAACCCGGCGTGTTTGATTAGTCCTGGGAAAATGTCTTCTCTGCGAACCCTTTTTCGCACTTGTCTTCGGACCCAATCCGTCCATGAATCCCATGCTCTTCTCAACGGCCGGAATCATTTGATTCCTCACGGAACCTTCCTTCCCTACCGCAGATGCCAGAATGCGACGCAATTCAGTACACACTCGGGGCGTCGCACCCCCGAAGTCGACCCGGAAATTATTTCACAGCAGATACTCATGTCTAATACGGATCGACCTTCGTCATCGCGGCGGCAAAAGAAGAAACAAGATCAGACAGATGCGACGCGGAAGCCGAAACGCACCGCCAATACGGCAAAGTCTCAATCTCGTACTGGCTCCAAATCCACCGAGAAACGGTCGTCAGGATTCTCGCGCACGAATAAACACTCAGAGACGGACCGAGCTCCTCTACAGGCGAAATCAAAGAAAAAGCCGGAAGGGTGGCAAATTCAGAAAGCCGCCTTGAAGGATAAATTCCAGGACGGATGGAACCCAACCAAGAAACTCTCGCCGGATGCTCTCGAGGGTATCCGGCATCTACATTCTATTGCCCCGGAAAGATTCACCACTCCCGTCCTTGCGAAGCAGTTTGAGGTGTCGCCGGAAGCCATTCGACGGATCCTGAAAAGCAAATGGCGAGCGACCGAGGAACAATTGAACGATCGCCGTGAACGATGGGAAAGACGACACGATCGGATCTGGAGTCATCTCACGCAGTTGGGTCTTCGGCCGCCAACAAATAGTACCACACTCGACGATGTCGGTATACTGTACGAGAAGCGTGGTGGCGAGAAAAAGTGATGAAGGTCCGCCGTGGATAGCATATATGTTACCAGGTGCATTTGAAGTCGGGATACGAAAAGGACCCATTGTATTTCTACTAATTATGTATATATGTACGCGTTAACCCTGTATAATATCAGAGAGAACTGGATTTGTTATCGATTTGGTTGTCAATCCTCTCATGGTCGATCCTTGAAACGGCCGTGTCTGGAACATGGGACGTGTCTGTTGGAGCCAGGCGAAAACTAAAAATTAGTTTGAATAGCCAATTCAATACTACGAGATACAAAATATCAAGTAGGAATAAGTAGTTGAAGGGAATTGCCGATGCTTACCCACGGAGTACCCGCTGGAGTTAAGTCCGCAGCCAAACGAACCGCGTCGCCGACAATCACGCCGGGGACTTGACCTGCGCCGGGTCTGACTTCCTTCCGCTCTACCTTCTCTTCCCTTCCTCGCCCATTCTGCCTATGAACATGAACATGAACGTGAACGCGAACATGCCGCGCTTGATTTGACAGCATGCCCTAGACGGCCTTTTATCTTATGTATTTTCATTCGCATTGTATCATACCCTTCTGCGCTTGATCGCAGACTCCGGTGGCGGCTGGCTCCCACCTCTCTCCCTCCAGATTCTCTTGATTCCTGCCTACCCTTCTCCGTCCCTATGGTGATTTTTCGACAGTCGCCATGTCATCGGACATCCAGGTCTTCGTGAAATGGAAAGATCAGACTATATTTGCGGGAGAGGACGTGGAATGCACAATTACCTTCAAGAACGTCGCAGATGGTGCCGGCGAATCGAAGAATGGCGGGCCACACTCGCACCAGAGGAAGCAGTCCCGAGCTGCCAATGTCACTCCTCACTCGGATTCCTTCTTTTCCCTGAAATCCCCTCATAATCTCTTTTTTAATAATAATCGCCGCTCATTTCCGTCGCGAAACCCGCACCACCGCTTCTCTTCGTCGCTGAGCTCCCCGTTAATCGGCTCTCATAGCTTCCCGCCCCCCTCCACCCCCCGAAGTGCCTCGTCCTACAGCCATAAACATAAACGCTCCGTTTCGATTCTTTCGATAGATAGCGAAGGCGGTGGTGATAAGACTCCAAGGACATCCTCTCAGTTCAACCGTCCCCGGCCGACACGCGGTCATGGACGCTCTGCAAGCTTACAAGTTGTACCGAGGCGCTACGAAGGCTACGAGGAATCTCCTCAGAAAGGTACCTGACTCGCCCTTATAGGTAATGGACGCATGGCAGTCTGACGGTTTTGATCATCTAGCTGCGCGCTTCCCCTCCCGTGGCTTTCCGTCTCCTGCCACCCCCTCCGCCAATGGCCCGAGACTCGATATGGAGCGGCGAATCAGTCGCACTGGATCCGAGGTCGCTAGTCCTACCAGGCCTACCGAATCGCCGTGCACTCCAGCTCGCAGGCCTCAATTGCCGCCGATGGACTTCAAATTCCCCCCACCTTCTGACGCGAACAACCTTCGACCTGACGTATCACCCGCGGTGACTCCAAACGATGAGACTCCCAATGTAGTGGTTCCGGCAAGAGCGAACGGAAAGGATACATCGACTCTAGCCGGGCCGGGCCAGCTGCCCCAATTGACCAAGATCATGTCGACGTCGAGCTTAAGTGGAAGTCACAAGAGCAGCGGCGAGTTTTACTCAGCGGGCAACAACTCGTCCGAGACTCTGCAATCCGAATACACAAATTACTTCCTTCCCCCACCTGGGCCGGGCGGTCCTCGTCACTCGCGACATATGTCCAGCTTTGAGCCTGTAGGCATTTTGCCGAATAGCCAGACACTGCTTATGGGATATGCGCAGATCAGTGCGTCGTTCACCGTGGATGGCTCATTGATACAGCAGTCCGCGTTTGATGATGTCAAGCGGAAAGGCGTGGTTGGTGGACAAGGAGGCACTTCTGGAACGCCCAAGGGAAGGCCCGGGTCGAGCCACGACAAAGGCCGAAAGACTGGTGGATTTTGGGGCGCTTTAAAATGGAATGCAATCGAGGAGTCCATCAATGGGCTCCTCTCCAATAACGAACTTGATGGCCTGCGGGACATGCGGGGAGTCACCTCGTCCAAGTCGATTCCGTTATTGTCGACATCCCAGTCACTTCTTTTTGTAGATCTCCGATTGGCGCCTGGAGAAGAGCAATCTTACTCCTTTGCTTTTACCCTACCCTCTGGACTCCCAGCGAGTCATAAGGGCAAAGCCATCAAGATCTCATATAACCTGGTCATCGGCACTCAGCGCCCCAGCAGGCCAAACGAACCTCAGCGGGTCAATCGCATCACTATTCCTTTCCGGGTGTTCAACGGCGTCAATGGTAAGCCTTAGCTTCTTCCTTTGTTCCCCCTCATTTTCGTTGCTTTCTCTGTCCTAGCATGACTGACTGATTGATGGTATGCTAGACCAAGGGGAAATACTCGGCCATGATTTAATGAACCCTTATGTGCTCCTGCGCGACGAAGCTCGGGTGCAGAAAGTCGGGAACCCCTCTCCCCCGGTTGCAAAGCCCAAGAGTATTAGCGGCGCAAACTGGAAGTCAGCTCCCGACTTTTTGAACTACGTCGATGAAATTCTGGAGCAGAATGCCCGCAGTAATCTGCTCCAACCCCCAGACTCTTCATCGGATAGACGTTCGATCCATGAGGTTTCGACGGGTCCAATTTCTTGTAAGGACTCTATTGACCTGGCTATTCTCCGAAGTAACCAGGCATTCAGCTCCTCGCGCAGCCCGAATAGATTCGAGATTGCGCGCAACGGACGCCGAATTGCGGTTGTGGTACTCAACCGCCCGGCCCACCGACTGGGTGAAACCATCATGGCAACCGTGAATTTTGCGGATGCTTCACTTCCATGCTACGCCATCCGAGCGACTCTGGAGTCCTCCGAGAGGGTGGCGGCTTCGTTGGCCGTGCGGTCTGGGGCCAGCATCCGGCGGGCCACCCGTCGCGTGCACGCCTCTTTCTTTGAAAATACCCTATACTCGACACGTGTGGTCTTCAGCCCTGCCGTGCCAATTACTGCCACGCCCACGATCCTCACTAGCGGGGTCAATTACGATTGGGAGTTACGGTTTGAATTTGTGACGACTAGCGTGCATAATGAAGGAGAAACAGGTCCCTCGGGCGAGAGGCTCCTCGAAGCGGTGCACGAGGATGACCGGGGGCGTATAATGACGGCGCTGGAGAGCCTAGGATGCGAGTCCTTCGAGATAGCGATTCCCATCACCATTTACGGCGAGACGGTTCGCGAGCGAGTGCCGGAAGAAAACGAGGGATACTCTATATAATCTAGAGAGGAAGATTTTTGATTTTTGCATCAGCGGCGTGTCTGTTTGCCTTTAATGTTGTATGAGTCGCTGTTGATTTCTCTTTCTTATGTGCCATTATTTATTACTCGTGCGATTTTTGGATGACCTGCTTGTCCCTTGTTGAGGGAAGTCATTGGCAATGTGTTGGATATACATACACCGTCTGTAGTCTCCAAGAAAAGACAGGGAGTTTTTCTCCACCGCACTACTGGGTAGCACAAGTAGGAGAAGATATAAACTCGGCACTAACAAGTCATCCAGTCTGCAGGCTAAGAAAGGGCTACCCAGGAGGAGCAGGTCACCGGGGCAACGGGCGGACGGGCGCATAGCATCCATGGAACGAAGGCGAGACTTGGGGGAAAGACAGGTTCCGCTTGTGGGAATCCGTGGGGACGCCTGCCACCGATGACGGAATAACTCTCCCCTACCGTGTTTTGGTGCACGCGGTTCTTGATTGATTGATTAAGGCAAATAAATACCACTTCCATCGTCAGATCGTCCGTGCACCAACACGAAGATCCCTCGGATTTCTCTTCCACCGCCACCTTTTTCTGCTTCTTTCCCCCCTTCTCAGCTGACCGCGATAATCCCTACGGTAAGTCACGACCGTCGCGAACCTCCCCGGCCGGTAGACAGCTTCAACTGACTCCATCCCTTCGATCGTTCCGTCTGGAATGTAGGCGCATTCTTAACCATCCTCTGTCACGCCTATCAACGACCTTCAATTACCCACAAGGTTTGAATCTGGCAAATCGGAGGATTCGACGGAGTGAAGAGGAATTCGAGCTCCCTTGAGTGTCGCTCGTCAGGGGACTTTTAGTGTCGAGGAAGTCGAGAAGGAAAAGAGAAGTTGAGAATGGCCTCATTTATCACCACCATGTCCGTGCCCACCGTTGCTTCCTCTGCTACCCCGCCATCACATCCACCGTCATCCTCCTCTTCATCCTACCCATCCTCCACACAAATTCCCCAGTTGCTCACCCCTGACACCTTCTATGACACTGTCCGCACCTCTCATGTCCCTCTCTCTGAACCTCCCTCCTATCTGTCGCCGGCCGTTCGCGCCCTGAAGCACGGTAGCGTTGGACTAACATATCCCAGCAATGCGCGCACGCGAGCCCCCTTCAAACCGCGATCGGCGGCCAAAGGCACCAGCAGTTACCAGTTGAGACAATTTGCAGAGGCAACGCTTGGAAGCGGTAGTCTCCGGAAGGCCGTGATTCTGCCCGAGGGCGAAGACCTGAATGAATGGCTTGCGGTTAATGGTAAGCTTGTCCACCCGTCCTGGTTTCGTGCACCTCAACTAATACTTCGTGAGATAGTTGTCGATTTCTACAACCAGATTAACCTTCTCTACGGGTCAATTACAGAGTTCTGCTCGCCGCAGTCATGTCCGGAGATGAAAGCGACAGATGAGTAAGGTGTCTTGTCCGAAGCACGGAGAACACGGGGACTGACACCGGACACTCAGATTTGAATACCTCTGGCAGGATTCGGAGAACTTTAAGCGGCCCACGAAGATGTCGGCCCCGGAATACATCGAGCACCTGATGAGCTGGGTCCAGAGTAATATCGACAACGAGCAGATGTTCCCCAGCAGGCTCGGTATGTATACTTCCGAGACGGCCCTTCTAATGCGAACCAGACGGCTAACCCACACTTGTGTAGGCGTCCCCTTCCCCAGAGCGTTCACCAGCCTAGTGCGACAGATTTTCAAACGGTTGTACCGAGTGTACGCGCACATCTACTGCCACCACTACCCGGTCGTGGTGCATCTGGGACTGGAGCCCCATCTCAATACGAGTTTCAAACACTACGTGTTATTCATCGACGAGCATCGGTTGGCGAGCGGGAAGGATTTCTGGGGACCGTTGGGGGATCTGGTGGAGAGCATGTTGCGCAGCGATTAGGTTGTTAGGTTGTTAGGCTGTTCGAGTAGGAAAAAGGCGGAAAGGAGAGGGAGGATCCTCGGCGTTTTGCGGTGTTGGCATTATTCGCGTTAGATTCATTTGCCTGGAACAGGCCGGGCGTTGCGACGTGACATGACCGATTTGAGGGAGACCGACGTATAGCTGTATCAGTGGAATAATTATCACACTATAATCCAAAGAATTCCGCCCTCAGCGAGAATATAGTCAGTAGTCGACGGAGGACACGGTTATAACCGAAAACTCGGCGTGTGCGGGAACTCACGTGACCGACAACCGGGAGAAGTTGGACGTTCGACCTCAACTCCATCCCAGCACGACGGCCCATTCGCACCCCCTCCGATATCGACGTTCGCTCGTCTCGCATCTATCCACCCTTCTCCTCTCACTCGTCCGAGGCTTCCTGCCCAACCAGTCGCTCGTCACAATGATGTCCGCTCGTGTCGCCCGCGCCGGCCTGCGTGCCACCGCCCAGCAGTTCGCCGTCCCTCGCACTGCCGCCCTGAACGGCCTCAGGACCTATGCCACCCCGGCCCAGGAAGTCAAGCCTCCTGTGTCCCTGTTCGGTGTCGACGGTACCTACGCTACTGCTCTGGTATGCAAAGACACCTTTTCCTCCCGGAAGGACTCTCCCTTCGGACCCAGCTCGACGTGTTTTTTCACCCTCTCCGTTGCCCCGGGTTTGAGAGAGAACTCTTTCAGAAACCGATCTCAACCTCATACACCTACCCCCTCCCCCTTCCAAACAAGCTTAGCTTCTCAGAACCACTTCATTTCCCCTCAATTTCATACCTGCTAACACCTTGCTTCCTCAATCCAGTACACTGCCTCGACCAAGGCTGCCGCTCTCGACCAGACCGCCAAAGCCCTCACCACCCTCGGTGAGACCTTCAAGGCCGACCGCAAGTTGACCAGCATCATCTCCTCGCCCACCCTCACCGTCGGCGACAAGCAGCAGATCGTCCAGGAGCTGCAGAAGCTCTCCGGCGACAAGGGCGACGTCGTCAAGAACTTCCTCGAGGCTCTGGCCGAGAACAACCGTCTCGGTCTGCTCGAGGGCATCACCGAGAAGTTCGCTACCCTGATGGGTGCTCACCGTGGTGAGATCGAGCTGAACATCACCAGTGCTCAGGTTTGTTTTCCCCTTCCCTTCGCCTTTTGGATGAGGTGGTGGAGGAGGTGTTGTTTTTGTGGACGTGGTTGGCTTCTGCTTCTTGGCAGATGGGATTGGATTGGATTGAATTTCGTATGGAATGATTTGATATGATTTGCTAACGTGATTGATAACTTGCAGGAGCTCGACAACAAGACCCTCAACCGTCTCGAGAAGGCCGTTGCCAAGTCCGAGGTCAGCCAGGGCAAGAAGCTTAAGGTCGTCTCTAAGGTACGTTACCATCCTACCTCATCCCTATCTTCATTATCCTCTCCACCACAGGACCCCTTACCATGTATATACTAACCAAGCAAAACAAAAAACAGGTCAACCCCGACCTTGTCGGTGGCCTCGTCGTTGAGATCGGTGACCGCACCATCGACCTCAGCGTTTCGTCCAAGATCGCCAAGCTGAACAAGGCCCTCACCGATGCTTTGTAAATTAAGAAATATCCCCCGTTTTTTATACGCCCCCCCCTTTGTAACCCGTACCTTCTGCACCCGCAAGTTCCCCCCACACTTTTCTTTGAAAGTACTAGAGTATCTAGCATGAACTCTTGTTCTGGAGATATGAATAGACAGAATTGAGTTGATATTCTTTATATATATATATATATATATATGGTTTTTGTTTTTGTTGGGTTTCGTTTGGTTGGGTGGTGACTACTCCGTATGGGGTGCTGCTTTGTAGATTTGATTGGTGCTTGCGTGAGGGGTTCTTAGGGACTAGGTAATATTAGTGAATGGGAATGGGAACGGATTCTACTAAGATGGGTAGATCATATGTAAGTTAGATAGCTTAGATTGGTAGGGTAGGGTAGGGTAGCAACGTAGGTAAAAAAGCCAGAGCTATTGCATATCTTTTCTATTAATCCTTTCAATCTCAGCCCTCGTAGGATGGCTTACTTAGACTAAGCATTACAAAGTATGTATGTACTTCGCTGTGGAAGTGTGTTCATGGGATCGAGGGAAAGGTACGTGGATTATCAGTTGGAATGGAATAAATCGTTCGAGTATTTGCCGGCTTTCTTTTCTACGTTGGAAGGTTTTGTCCATATCAGTAGTTAGTTAGAATGCGATGTAAATATAGAACCTACCTGTCTGTCGACTTGTCTATCCTGGAAGAACTACTGATACAGTACATAAACGGATATAGACAGATAGAAGGCCATATGTGTGGTATTGGGAATATGAACAATCTAAATCCAAAAAGTTCTGGCTATTCCAAAAATATACTCAACTTAAATGACAATAAGATGGCATCTCTAAACAAATATGGCGAGAAATGAAAGTAAGAATCGACCGAAATATATCGTCCCCATCATATCCGCCAGCTTTAATGCCCATTCGGAGTCCGATCCGCCTGCGTCTCAAGCTCATCCTCATAGTCCGCGATAGACGTCTGGCTGCGGACCCGTTGCAACTGGGTCGAAACATAGCTCGAAACATGCTCGTCGCGATCTCGGCGCTCATCCTCGTCGTCGTCGACGACGCTCTCGGCAGCGGGTGTTTCACCACCAGTGAAGGCCGACTCGAAGTCGCTTCTGTTGCCGATGGAGCGGCTGGTGGAGGAGCGCCGGACGCTGGGCCGTCGGCTGCCGCGGGGGCGGCGGCTGAAGACGTCGTCGAAGTAGTGGGTTGCGGCAGCGAAGGGGGTGCGGGGGGTCTGTGGAAGGCGGCAGTTGATTCTGTAGCTGTTAGAATGGGACATCTAATAGGCGGGGGGATGGAGACAGGAGAAAGAAACATACCCAGTGTCGTGGATGACTTTGGCGATGAGGCCTGTCCACCCGCATTGGTGAGAGGATCCCAGGCCTCGACCGGTGTCTCCGTCGAAGAACTCGTGAAACCACATGTAGTCCTTCCAGTGCTCGTCGAAATCGAGTAGGTCGGAGCCGTCGTACACTGCGCGACGTCCTTCGTCGTTCCGAGCAAAGAGATGTTGCATTCGGTGCTGGATCTCCTCTGCTACCTGTTGTAGATGCATGTAATCTCCGGAACCTGTGGGACACTCGATCTTGAAAGAGTCCCCGTAGAACAGATAGAAACGCAGCAGCGACTCGACAAGCAGGAAGTTAACGCATAGCCAGACGGGCCCGCGCCAGTTACTGTTGCCACCAAAGAGAGCACTGTCTGAGTCACCAGGGACATAGTTTACGCGGAATTCCTGGCCGTTGACAGCCATGGAAAACGGATGCTCCTCATGGTGCTTGGACATGGATCGAATTCCGTGCTTGGAAAGGAACTCGGTCTCGTCGAGCATCCTCTTGAGGATTTTCTCTAGCCGATCTCTGCTTACTAGCGACAAGAGCAGTCGTTCGTCCTTACCACGACGCTTCATGCTGGCAATGTTTCGCTCTGCGACATCCTGTCTATTCTCAATAAACCAGTCCAACCGTCTCTTAAACGAGGGAAATTTCTTGATAAGTTCCGGTTCAAGGGTGAGAACCGCATACAATGGGATCAGACCGACGAGGGACCGCACGGGGAGCTGCTGAGTCCATGGCTCGCCGTATGAGATGGCGTCGTAGTAGAAGCTATTTAGGTTAGAATCGTGAAGACAAACAAGCCAGAGTGTGTGGATTTGTACCCGTCTTCTTCGTTCCAGAGAGACGTCTCTTGTCCTCCAGACCTGAACGTCATAGCGTCGCTGATAAGGATGAAATGTTCGAAGAATTTAGAGGCGACTTGGACCGTTAGCATGATCTTCCTCATTGGCATCATGTGGGCTGTTACTTACTGTCTTCATAAATTCTTCGATGCTTCGCAAGCTCTAGAGCAATGTTGAGCATGGTCAAACAGTAGAAAGCCATCCAGCCAGTGCTGTCTGCTTGTTCCAAGACACCACCCGTGGGCAGGGGCTCAGATCGGTTGAATAAACCGATATTATCTAGTCCGAGGAACCCTCCCTCAAACACATTCTTCCCGTCAGAGTCCTTGCGGTTCACCCACCAGGTGAAGTTCAGGAGGAGCTTTTGGAAGACCCTTTCGAGGAAGTCAAGGTCCTGGCGACCGTACATTTTCCGCTCAATCTTGAACACACGGAATGTGGCCCATGCGTGGACCGGAGGATTGACGTCACCAAAGTTCCATTCGTACGCCGCAAGCTGCCCGTTCGGATGCATATACCATTCACGAGTCAGAAGATCCAACTGCTTCTTCGCGAATTCCGGATCAATCATCGCCAGCGGAATGCAATGGAACGCAGTGTCCCAGGCAGCAAAGAATGGATATTCCCAAGAGTCCGGCATCGAGAGGATGTCATCCATATACAAGTGTTTCCACTGTTGGTTGCGAACATGCTTCCGACCCGGTGGCGGTGGCACCATTGCTGGATCGCCATTTGCCCACTGGTCCCAAACGAAATGGTAGAACTGCTTCGTCCACATCATTCCAGAGAACGCTTGTCTTTGAATGTTCCGTAGGTCATCACTCATGGGCAAGGGACTGATGTTATAATAGAAGTCGTCGGCCTCCGCTTTACGCTGATCAATCACATCGTCCAGCACCTCTTCGTCAACAAAAGGTGCGGATTTCCTGGACAGTCTAAATCGAACAACGGCGCATCCTCCCGGAGGAACCCCCTCCCCTTGATCGAAGGAATACCACGCTGCAAATTTCGTACCTTTCTGCTCCGGGTTCACCGCATCCTCTTCACCATTGACGATATGACGATGAAAAGCATCTTTCACGTATGGTTGATCATTCTTGGTATTCCAAAGCAGTTCGTTGTTCGTCTCATTTTCCGTGTACAGCATCCGAGGCATGATATCATCCTCGGAGTTATCGGGCGACGGGGAGGGAGCGAAGCGCGCATATCTCTCCCCAAGCTTGTAATGGGTGGACTTCGCAGCGAGCGGAGTCTCCCGCTCGATGGACGGTTTGAGCGATTTATCCCCCCAACCCCAAGCCCATGTATTTCTAAACCAAACATGGGGAATGATATGCAAATGGGCAGGGTCTGGGCCTCTATTGTAGGCAATGACGCGGAACAGGAGTTCCTCCTCGTCATCCTTCTCCTTGGCGGTTTCGATGAAAATGTCCCAGTAGCGATTCTCTGCAAAGGCGCCGGTGTCGAGGATCTGATATTCACGCTCCAATCGTGAGCGGCGAGCGTTCTCATCTACAAGATCCTGGTAAGGGAACTTGTTTTGAGGGTATTTGTAAAGGAATTTCATGTAAGAATGCTAGGAGAGATATGATCAGAGAGTAGAAACCCTAACAGACGAAGGTGAGGTACCGTCGGGGTGTTGTCCAGGTGGAAATGCGCCTCCTTGACACTCTCTCCATGATTGCCTTGAGGATTGGACAGGCCGAACAGACGCTCCTTCAAAAAGTCACTGTCGGCGGGGATGATAAGCTATGCAATCGAGGGAGATGCGCGAGAAGGCGACTTAGACGTACTCCTTCCCATTCCAAAATGAAAACGCGATGTTCTGCAAATTATGGGTATCGGAAACACCGGCAATGCCGTCTTCGCCCCAGCGATAAGTTCTTGAACGAGCGTGGTCATGCGAAAAATCTACCCGGGGAATAAATGCATGTGAGAATTGGCCGTAGATAGTAGAACACTAGATTTGAGATGGTGGAGAAAGACAGCACTCACAGCTCCAAGCGTCTCCATTCTCGCTGCAAAGGCGACAAGTTAGCTCGGATTAAGCAAGGAAAAAAGAGGGGGCGGGCGCGACTTACGAATAATCCTCGCGAACTGCGGGGGACGAGAAATGAGGTCATTAGTCCGATTGGAGAGTAAGGGAGCAATTGAGCAGCATCGGAGACTCACCCGTCGCCCATTGTCTTTCAGCGACGTAAGGCCCCCATCTCTTCCAGTAACGGGTGCGTTCCTTGTCTTCTTTCAGACGAATTTCCTCCTGGGATAGGTAATTGTGCTTATCGATTAACACCATGGCGGGGAAGCGGGACGGAGCACCGCCGTGGAGGTAGGGGAAAGAAACGAGGTGTTGAAGGAACGAAGGAAAAGAAAGGAAGAAAGAAAGAGTAAACGCAAGAGAAAGAAAAGAAGGAGAAGGTATAATAGAGCAAGCTAGACTAGAGCTGCGCGTACAAGTCAGCGACGGGGATGAGAACCGGGAAGGGAAGGGGACTAAGAGTCCAGACCCCTCGAGGGGTCCGAGCCGGGCACCTGACATCATGTGCTCCCCCTCTTTTTCCCCTTCCCTCTTGTCTCTCTTTTATCGCGCCTTATCGGTCTAGCACGGTTGGTCGCAGCACCATGTCCACGTTGACCGTTGGTACGCGTTGATTGAATCCTCTGAGTATGAATGATTGATCGGCCTGCCGCTGGAACCCCATTTCGGCGTGAGCTAAGCCTGCTGGGAGACGCTAAGGATACCACTTCTACCCAAGGCACTCATGAACCTCTTCAAAGCTCACCCCGTATCACGGACTGGGATTGAAAATCGTTCGATAAAGGGAAACTGATGGCCGCAACGGTGATGATCCGCCTGCTCCATCTCCATAGTATCGGTTAAAAGGATGCCGATGGTGGATGCGGGGGTGGGGATTTGGAGAAATCCACAGGGTAAGCATACCCTGAAACACTAAAAGTAGCTGGAAGTAGCTGAAAAACAGCCAGAACCATCAATATGGTCAGCGATCTGACTGTATTTCTAAAATACACCTCAAACCCTCTCGCGCGGAGATAGAATTCCGCCAAACATAGCGGCCCGATCTCCATAAGCTCGGAGAGCTCGGGCATCGGGTATACTCAATGACGTGGGAGAGACCGTGATCAACATTGTCACGAAGGAGACTAGTCCACTCCCCATGCACCTTACTTCAGACTACTGCAACCGATACTTGATCTCAACATCCTGATCATGTCATCGCAAAAAAAGAAAACAAAAGCGGCAGTCCCATCCCCGCAGTTCTGGGGCGATGAGCCATGTGACTTTCTGCATGGGCCGATGGGTTATAAATCGACGGCCCCTCTTCTTCGAGTCGTGCAGAGCACTGTCCTAAGCATTAAAAAGTGCTAGGAATTGAATCAAGTCATTTGAAAATGAATGTATGTTGTACACCACAGCAAGACCCCAACCCGTCGTCCTGACCAATCTACTAGACCCTCCAAATGAAAGCCCTAGTCTACAAAGGGCACAGCAAATTCGGCGTGGAGGAACGTCCGATCCCCCTCCTGGCCGCGCCTTCCGATGCGATTGTCAAAATGCGCCACACAACTATCTGCGGCACCGATCTGCACATCCTAAAAGGCGACGTTCCCTCCGTCAAACCGAACCGGGTCATCGGCCACGAGGGGGTTGGAACGCTGATCGGGAAAGGATCGGCAGTCACAGGGCTCCACATCAGTGATACAGTGCTGATATCGAGTATCAGTGCCTGCGGTGTTTGCAAATCTTGTCGAAAAGGACTCAATGCGCACTGTGTAGATGGGGGCTGGGTGCTGGGAAACAAGATCGACGGAACGCATGCGGAGTATGTGCGGATTCCGCATGCCACGACGTCCTTGTACAAGCTCCCCGCGAACATCAACCCAGCGGCGGCCGTGGCGCTGTCGGACGCGTTGCCAACCGGCATGGAATGTGGCGCTATCAGTGCCTCAGTGCAGCCTGGCCATCTGGTTGCGATCGTGGGAGCTGGGCCGGTTGGCCTGGCCGCACTACTTTCTGCTAAGCTCTACACACCCGCAAAGATGGTGGTGATCGATAAAGACGAGACTCGGCTTGAGTACGCCAGAAGAATTGGGGTGGATCATGCTATTAGCGCAGATACACCTGATCTCGTGAAAAAACTGTACGAGATCACCGAAGGGTCTGGGTTCGATTCGGTCATCGAAGCTGTGGGTATACCGAGCACTTTCGAGCTCTGCCAGCAGTTGGTTGCCCCTGGTGGCACGATTGCCAATGTTGGTGTTCATGGTCGGAAGGTTGATCTACATCTCGATCAACTGTGGGATCGTAATATCAGTAAGTGCCATAAGAGGGTCTCATTTCTCGCACAGACTGACCCAACCTAGGTATCAAGACCCAGCTGGTTAACTCTCATTCCATTCCGACTCTCTTGAGGCTTTCACAAGCCGGTCTTATAACTCCGGAGACTATAGTGACTCATTGTAAGCACTTCATTATCCTTAAATGAACCATTCGGGGCGCCTATAAAGCGACAGAAAAAAGAGCATTATCACTAATTCAGAACACAGCTTTTCCATTCTCGGACATCACTGGTGCTTATGCAAGCTTCCATAATGCCGCAGAATTAGGAACACTCAAGGTAAAAATTGATTTCGAGCAGGATGACAAAGAAAAGGCAGCTACCATGTTCAGACGAAGGTCATCATCCCTTCACTTCTGAGCAATCCGGCCGACGCAAGGCCAGCTGTCCGTCTCACCCGAACAGGGTCTTCCACAAGTAGATAGAGATAGCTATGATCGAGACTGAGCTCATACAGAGCTCAGTCAATCATTGTGCAACGTCCAAAGATAAGAGCTCCCAATCGTCCCGTCCTTGAACAAGGTGTTCGATCGCTGGACTGGGGAACTTGGACTCTCCAACCCTATGGCGCTTTATTGAAGGCTGTCAGGTCTATAGATATATAGAAAACCAAGAATAGCAAACCTGGAAAGAAGTGATTATACAAAATCCATCGATTCCAACGCCAGCAACATTCCTCATAGACTGGCGCTTTTTCTTCCCCTGTTGCACTTCTCAAGATGACTACACTAGTCAGCGCCTCAATCACGATATACTCATCTGCAGGTGCCATCACTGAGTCCCCGGGCCGAACTTCTGCAACACCGCCGACCAGTCCTCTTTCTCCATAAACTCCTCCAAAGTCGTCATGGGACATTCAATTCCGGCCTAAAAGAAAACAAAAACAAAAACATCAGCCAAGTCCCTCCCCTAAACATTCATGAACCAACTCACCTTTCGTATATCAACAGCCCTCAAAAGCCTTTCATCCCCACCATCATACCCGGGACTAGTCGAATAAAGCAACATATCACCAACCTCCCGACCAAACTCCTTATCAGGGGTCCCCTCAATCAATTCCTGCAAACTAATTTGTCGATACGAAGCCTCCATCGAAGTAACCTTACTCCATAGCGCCAAATACTCGCTCCAACTACACGTGGTCCCTTCAGCCAGATACCTCTTCCGCGGCGGCATTTGAGAAACAGCGTACACAAATGTGCCCATGTCCGCATTGACATCGAAATGAGGAACCGGGCTATGCGGCGCCGTCGGGAACGCCATCTCACATGAACCGTCATCTGCATGGTGAAAATATGCATCTGGGACTAGCTTGTGACTCGTCATGAAGAAACCCGTCTGGACGCAGGACATCTTCTGTGCGAGACGGGGATGTTTTTCTTGCACATAGTTTGGGAATATGTCGGCTTTGGCATCGAAATGGTACAGTTCTTGGAAAACACCTTTGCTAGCCTTGCGAGCGTGGCTTAACGTTGACGCGATGAAGCCGTTCTCATCGAGGGTATCGACTGTTGAGGCTGCCGCGTCGGCAATGTTTTGTCCCTGCTGACGCTCGACATCGTAGGCGTATCGGCGACACGAGATGCGCTGTTGTGCGGCCTGTTGACGATAGTCTGTACGGAAGAATGGCTCCCAGTAGTTCGTGACGCTGAAGATGTGGGTTGAGCCTGCGAAGGCTGTTTTCAAGCTCGAAACATCGTCTAGGTCGGCGGGGATAATTTTGATACCTTTCTGGGCGAGGGTTTGAGCTGCTGGGGATGACGGATTCCGGGTGATGCCTCGGATATGGTAGTTTGGGTCTTGGAGGAATCGGTGGGCGACTGAGGAGCCTTGGTTACCGGTGATGCCGACGATGGTTAGGATCTTTGTGGGGCTCATGGTGACTCTCGTTTGTGGGAACTGACTGATAGGGCTCGAATGATAGATAGGCTGATTGATGAGAAAAGTAACTATTGGATGATTTGCCAAGCTTTTCGCCGTGTGCTTACCCCTCCCAAGGTACCTTTTAGATAGGCAACACTACGGAAGACCTCGATTCTTCCTACTTCAATCAATCACGTGCATCTATTCATTCATTTCATCGATCTTGAGCACTGGAAATGTCAACATGTTCCCGATTTTGGGCCTTGTAAAAAACCTTGGAGATTATTTATTTCTTTCATTAAGAGTCAATACAGTAGTTATTCCATTTTAAAAAGAGTTCAAAATATTAACTATCTGCAATGGACACCAGACCAATATACCATACTTTACATAATGACGACATCCTGACGGTGATTTTTTATGCCGGAATCATATCTCCGGCCTATCATTTTCTACCTAACGAACTATTAGGCATAGTATGACAAATTAACCACCGAACTCTAAAAAAAAGCCAACCCATTCTAGCGAAGGCTTATTACCAACTGCCGATATCCCATATATAGATGATTTATATCCTGATAAAAGCCAACATCGCAAGAAAGCCTAGTCCAAAGAGAAGAAGCGTCGAGAGCACCAACTTTCAAGTCAACATGGCAAAACAGCCCAGCGCAAAGAAAAGAAGCGTTGAGAACACCGGTATAATATCATCCAACCATCTCCTGCGCCCTCTAACAAAGTTAATGTTTCCTGAATCTAACCTACCAGGCTTCCAATCCGAGTCACGCCTCCTTCCCTGGGAGCTCCGCAACATGATTTGGAAAGCCGTGGTAGACAACCAGTCTTACCTTCTGCATACTATACCATATCGGTGGCACCATAAAAGGGATATTGTGACTACACAATGAAGTATCTTACCTCCTTCTTATTATACGACGACCTGCCTCTCTATGCACCAGAAATCCTCCAACGACAATTTTGAACCACGAACCCTTACAACAAACAACAACTTGAGAGACCAACACACTCGCCTTACTGGGGCTCTCAGATGGCTACGTACATGCCGCCTTATTTATAATGAGGTGACTCCTCTAGCCAAAAGCTCTATATCTTTATATATCTGCGATCATGAGGCCCTAGTTGCTGCGCTAGATGGGCGAACCCCATCTCTTCCCATTTCAAAGATCAACTCCCTTAATGTCTGCGTCACGATGAAGGTTGGCTCTTATTTGAATGGATTCCGACCCGCATCCAGACACGGACCCCCGATCGTAAGGATCCCAAACGACAACGCTACGTACAGGGAGACCTTCAAGAAATGGCGTGAATGGCGTACCTGGCAGCATAATGTGGAATCCCTTTTACTGGCATGGCAGCCCAGGAAATCACCAAGCTCGAAGACGCTGAACATGCACGTGGTTTTTGGATGCTTGGCTTTTCAAGAGAAGAAGCGTCCGGGGATTGAGGATAACTGTGTCTAGAAGGAAATCTTACATCAGTCGGGACGCACGGGCGTGGAGAATATTAATTTTTGAAATGATCTTGCGCCAGCTTCGAGGGCTGGGGGCGGAAATAAACGTTGAATTTGATATGAATCGCGTGAGGCATGATCCGTAGAATGTGTGTCCGGATGTGCGCGATCGGTGCTGGTGCCACGGGAGAAAGATCGATGAGAAGAGTGTGCCAGTGGAATGGCTGAGAAGGAATTTTAGGGAGTGGATGACGTAGCTGGAGATGTTGAAGGATGAAAAGAAAGAGATGGATAACTAAGTGTGGCTAATTTGCTTTTGCTCTTCTTTTATCTAATTTGCTTTGCTTCTTGAACAGGATACTGGTCGCGGCGTCTCCACCTCATTCCTCCCCATCCTAGACTATGACTCATTAAGAAGGAACGCTGTTAGCATCTTATTCGCCGGGAGTCTCATAGATTCATCTCCCAGATATGCACCCAGAGGAGTAAGCGAGGAGCGAAATAATTAGCAGCTTGCCTCAGGCATTCAAGTGCCTACATCAGGTATAGAAGTTTGTCTAACCGATTGGAGCCTGGGCTGAATTCCTGCCAATAATACGATAGTAGGATCTATCGCTATACTTATAAACTTGACAATAGTATCCCCAGCAACTGGAGGTGAAGGCTTGTAGTTATAATATAACAGAAGTAGGCATCTCACAAAGTGGTCGAGCAACGTTTGCGCATGTGCTTTGCTGGGGAGGAACTTCGATCTAGGCTGTTTCGCCGCTGGCAACTCAGGGCGGCTTGGAGGAGGAATACGGACACATGAGATGTTTCTTCGAGAGCATGTAATGCATGTCATTTTGTCGTTGCGATCAAATTTGAGCTTCATTGTGTGACAGTAGTCACAAGGCGAGTGAAGGGTAGGAATGATACTAGGAGTCGGTCGATGAACCGTGGAGCTTGTTCCAACCCTCTGGCGCTTCATCTTATCAGTCGGTCACACAACAGAAGAATATCAATGAGCCACGTAAGGATTATATCCATCAGAAAGCGAGAACCAATATCTTGATGAGAGGCGGATTACTAGTAATCCTGCTCCCTGAGAATGCAACAGGGGAAGGAAGCGCTGCCTTCCCAAATCAGGAACATTGTGGACATTAGACTTGCCGGGAGGTGGCCTAGAATTTTGCCAATAGTTCTATAGTATCATCTCTCTAGAGTACATGGAGTATATCAAAAAGGTATCTACAATTATGCACAACTCTTACCACCCCTCCTCGCTTCCACCTCCTCCACCAGCCGATCATTCATCGGCGTCTCCACCCCAACCTTCCTCCCCATCCTCGACCACTATCCATTAATAAACCTCACCTCCGTCTCTCTCCCAGCCCGCAGATCCCAAATCATCGAAGGCGTGCTATTATAATTCTTCATCAGAATCCCATTCACCGTCTCCTCCAACCTGTCGACGGAAAACCGTTCCGCGACCCCCGGCACGCCAGAGAGCTCCGGCAGCGCTAGCACGACGTTCGATATCTCGGTTAATAAGGCCCTGCGCGTGTCGGGGATTGTGAAGAGCCATCCGTTTGGGGCGTCGTTGAGTGCACACAACGGGTTGCAGAAAGAGTTGACGGCTAGTTTCTCGAGCTGGAGTTGCAGCACGGAGGTGTAGGTGTAAGATGTAAGGGTGAGGCGCGGGGCGTGAGGGAGGGTTTGGAGGAGGTAGTTGTCGCTGCTGCCATCTGGATGAAGATCTGAGTCCTCTGATAAGTTCTCACCATCACGAGGAATCGGCCCGATAGACGTCGCAGAGAACCCGGTATGCGTGATATCAAACGACGAGTTGAGCGTCACGCCGTGCGAAATGATACCCACAAGATACCGCGGCCGGGTCTCTGGGTTCGTAAACAAATGCGCATTAACATCCTCGATCATCCCCGATCCATTCTGCAGGAAGAGAATCGTCGACGCGGGACCGAGTCGGTGGACAAGTGGCCTCAGGGCCTCCACGGTCTGGGTGGCTTTGACGGAGATGACCAGGTTTTCGATGGGTTCTGAAAGGGGCTCTTTGATGGAGACTGGCGCATCTTCCGGGGAGGTATGATACCATTTGTCTCTATTTTCGAGGACCTCAAAACCGTACCCGTCCGAGCTGATATGCTTGCCTTCTGGCGTCTGGACGAGCATGCGATTGCCGTTCTGGCGGTATGCGTCCAGAAGGGATTTCCGGTGGAGAAGCAGCGTGACGGCAGGACCGTTACTGATCTCAGTGATGCAATGCGCAGCGAAACAGCCGATGCTGCCGAGTCCGAGAACGTGGACCTTTGGCGAGGCCGAGGCTAATGAGGCCGGGACTGGCCTGGGAGACGCGGTAGAGAAAGAGGTCATCTTGGGACGCATACGATATACGCAGGATAAATGGTCTAGGAGTTTTCGATAAGGGCGGAAAGATCGCATCTTTTCTGGGTTTTATACAGGCAACTCCATCGATTATGTGGATTTTTCACGTCTTTTTATCTCGTGAGTAGGGCGTGTTAGGCGTGCATCTCCGCAGGGCGTCCTCCCACGCCCTGCGGGGCAGTTTGGAGAATGCCCCATTTTTATTCGGGTCTGTATCAACGAGCGAGTTGGCTGTCAGTGAAGCAGGATATCTAGTTTTCTTATTATTAGGGCACAGAGAATCTTCAAATCTCGTATTATTTTATTTGTAATCACGCCCTAAGCCCTGGTTTAATAGATGCCGGCCCCAAAACATGTACATATAAAAAGCCTGAAGACATCTTAGGCAAGGAACCAGATCACTGCCCATCTCATTTCCATTCATCACCAAATCTAAAAGACTTTTCATCTAGAAACACAATGTCTTCCTCTGAGCATCTAAGTCATGATTTCCTCCCCCCTTCGGTCACCCAGCTCCTTGCCTCCCAAGCACGATGGACCGGCACAAGCTTCGCCACCTCTCGGCTCAAAACAAAACTAACTTCGCATCCGGCACCAGTCCCTGCACCGAACTCGCAAGAAGTGCTGAAAAGCTCCGTATGTACAGACCACATGGCGGTTGTACGCTGGAACCAAACAGAAGGCTGGACAGATCCAGAACTCATCCCCTACGGCGCCATCCCCATGATGCCAACCGCCAGTGACTTTCATTACTCGACGGCGCGCTTCGAAGGCATGAAAGTCTATCGGGGACACGACGGCAACGTGCGTCTTTTCCGGCCGCAATATAATTGCGCTCGCATGCTGGCGTCGGCCCTCAGGATCGGATTTCCGGAATTCGACCCAGACGAGTTGCTGGGTTTAATTCGGGGGTTGTGTGCGATTGAGTGTCCGAAGTGGCTGCCGAAAGAGCGCGCCGGAGAGTGTCTTTATATTCGGCCGACGCTGATTGGGACGGATGCTAGTCTTGGGTTTCAGGTGCCGCGAGAGGCCATGCTCTTCATCGTCATTTCTTTTTGGCCGAATCCTAAACCTGACCGTTCTCTCGGCGAGGGAGGATCGGCTCAAGAAAAGACGCTGCGTCTTTTTGCGAGTCAGGAGGGCATGGTTCATGCTTGGCCGGGCGGTACTGGGTCGGCGAAGATCAGTGTGAACTATGGACCCTCTCTTCTGGCTCATGGAGAGGCTAAGAGTAAGGGCTTCGACCAGGTGCTCTGGCTGTTCGGTCCAGAGGGATACGTGACTGAGGCTGGATCCTCGAATTTCTTTGTCATCTGGAGGAACTGCGAAGGAAGACTGCAGCTGGTCACTGCACCGTTGACTGAGCATACAATTCTGGCCGGGGTGACAAGAAGCATCTTGGATCTTGCGCGCGAAAGACTGACTAGTGGCTCATCGTATCAGTGGGAGGGGGAGTCATTGGAAGTTATTGAAGCTAAGTTCACTATTTCTGATATAGTTGAAGCTGCTGAGCATGGCAGATTGGTGGCCTCTTTTGCTGTTGGCACTGCGTGTTTCATTGTTTCCGTGTCCCACATCGAATTCGAGGGAAGGGGAATTAATACCCCTCAAAATGCAGTCCCTCATGTGTCTGCTTTGGGAAGTGGATGACTGGTATTACCGCTGGCGTTGAGAGCAGTAAATGGGGAGATGTCGTTCAGGAGAAGAGTGCCCTTTTGTAGCGGCGAAGCAGTTACAATATTGTGGCAGTTTCCTGTTGATAGATCTTGATAAATATGGTCAAATACCAACGAAGTTCACGAATAAAAAGGTGGTAGAAGGGCTTCAATTATCGTCGGCATGTGGTTGCGCATCCTGTGATTTGTTCAGATGTTGACGTCGAAAAGCAGATAGCCATTCTGGATTGTCGGCAACGGTTTGATTCCACGAATCTTGGGGGTCGTCGTAGAGCACTCGTCGAGACTCCTGCTGGAACATTTCGTCGGTAGGCAAGATGCCCTGCTCCATTTGATTCCGCGCAAAGCGGCTTAGATGGGAGGTCAGGATTTGGGCGAAAGAACTGAGTGGTACATCGTTGGTGTGAAGTTGCTGGAAAGAGGATAATAGAGGAGTTTCGTCATGGCCATGAGGTTCTTTCGGACGAACATGATCGGCCCGCGATGAGATCTGAGCAAAATGATCCCTGACATTGGAATTTGTTGCCGAGAATGGGACCATGGTGCGCGATTCTGACTCAATAAGATAAGGGGCCACATTGTTGGTCACTTTGGCAGCGATTGAGCTTGGGAAATCATGGTCGCCTCGCCAATCGTCCATATTAGCTCCTTGACGAAAATGGTCAGCCAAGTGCTCGGTGCGCTCATCCCAGCTTTCCATCCGATGATCGCAGAAGCCGCAACGAGATGTTACTGCTGTGTTATCTGTCTTCCAATCATCTATGAGTGGGACAGTGTCCAAATGGTGGGTGAGTCGTAAATGCTGAACGAGATGATCCTTTCTCCTGAAAGTCCGAGACTTGCCTAAGCATGCACGATGTTTATGCTGTTCAAGATGAGCCTCTGTTGGGTCTAACGCATTGCAATAAGCGCAATGCTGCCTTCCGGTGAGCGAGGAGGCCACGCTGCCTCCATGTGGCGTACATATCCAGGATCGTAGATTCAAGTGCAAAGATCCTTCATGTCTAACCCAGTCGTACTTGGTCTTAAATCGATCGCAACAAAACGTGCAACAAAATTTACGTTGATCTTCCTGTGTCGGTTTCTTGGCCGTATCTCGACGTGTTTTCCGGACGCGACCATGATGCGACTTAGAAGGACCAAGCCCATTTCGAGCACTCGTAGATGTTGCAGATCTACTTGAAGAAGCAGAGTGCTGTGATGAGGCACTGGTACCACTTATGGAACTGGCGGTGGATTTTGGCCGGCGATAATCACGAAAAGCGTCAGGACTTGGAGAGTTAGCCCCACTACCTGGACTCGACCTCACTCTACGGGGTTGTTGGTTTTGTTGGTTTTTCAGAGCATTGGCTATAGCAGTCAATGTCGCCGGTTCATCTTCGGGTGGCGAATCCTGCCACCGTTGCATAGGATCTGCCGAGTTCAAAGAGTTCGGGATGAAGACGGGTCCTGTCCCTGCGCGACAAAGCTGGTATCGACTTCTGCGCCTAGGAAGGCCTTGGTTCGGGCGGATTCCTTGGATATGGGGACTCCGGACACCGGACATAGGGCTTGACACAGTGTTCTGGTTTGTAGGCAACGGAGGCGATTCAAGTGGCCTCAAGTCCAAGACATATGAAGCTTGATGGGGCAAGTGGCTCGACCCATGGCTGGCACTAAATTGTTGGGATAGATCACTAACGTAGGATGCAGCCGAGTCCCCGGGCCACTGCTCACCATGGACGTTTTCAAGGGGCCAAAAGGCATTATCAGTCGCAGGAAGAAAGTCCTGGTAGAGTTGAGAAGAATCAACAGCAACATCTCCGACAGAGTTTGCATCTATCTGCTCCTGAAACGTGGACAGCTGCGGATCAATGATAGGAACTCCGCCAGCAGCCTGAGAGGTTTCTAAGCCAGGTATCTCCTGGGAGAAATCTGACTGACTATTGACTGCTTATAGTCATTGTCTGCTTACGGAGTATATATGCGAAGTAAGAGAAGTCCACTCACAATGAGCTAAATCATCGAAGATGAAATTGTTGATCTCATTCCAATGATCATTCGGCAGTGGCGGATTAAGATCAGCGGAATCCGCGCCTTGGCGATCGCCGGAGCTCTCATTCTGAGAAATTGATATTTGTCGATCCATAGGTCGACAGCCGGCGGTTTCCCTCCTGTCCAGCGACAATGACTGAGCATATGAATTGCGGCGTGGGTTCGTGGAGGGACGTTGCTCGACTCCGTTATTATGTCACTGAAGGCTACGGAGATTACCTAATCAGCTAGATCCGATTCAGGCTAGCGCGGTTTCGCTTCTTTTAACTACACCCGCCAGTTTGCTTCATGATTTGTATCCAGTTCGACCGAACAATGTTGCTACTTCAATGGCAATGAACACACTGGTCCTTCCCAGCTAAGAGTTTCAGTGTTACTGTTGAAACTCGCTTCCATTTTGAGAAGCTATGAATCAAGGATGATCGGTGCCGATCCTGCCAATGCCGAAGGCACTTCAATCACAGGAATGGTATTGCATGAAAGGTACCACTCATGAAAACGATGACCGCGTATGATAGAAAGGGGGAGTGTCACAGTTGTTAAACTTGAGGCGCCGTCGTACAGTTCATGATGCATCTTATATTGTGCTACAATGACGAATATCCTATCCTTGGCGTCAATATTCATCGACCAATTTATTGACGAACCAGCATGTGTATGACGAAACAGAAATATCTCAAATATTCCAGACCAAGAGAGAAATAAGTCCGAAGGGAATCCTCTACGGAAAGGGCATCTTCGAGCGATATTCTAAGATCCTTTGTCGAGCGAGACACTAGTGCTGATTTACCTAGCCTTAGTGCAGATCGGGCCAAATCAGAGCAAAGCAAAGCTTGATGGCGTTGGCCCCGAGTCCTTGAAATCCCGAGTGTTAGCCTTCCCTTGCGAAATCCGGGCGTTCTGAGCCTATGGACCGGTGAGTGGCTCGATTCCTGTAGGCTCGGAGATAAGCCTCGGCCACTGGTTTGGATATAACCGATTCGGACGTGGGTGATGGGCAGTGATTCAAGGATAAAAGGGATATAGTTGGCAGACTTCCACGTTCAAACAGATCCTCAGAAACTCCTTCATATCTTCCCGCTCTTCGTTCTACCCCGTGGCAAATTCTTAGTACAATCCATCTTCGTCGCCCCAGTTCTGGCATTAAAATCGCAATGACCGTCAACACTAAAAACAGCGCCGCCTGGCTGATCGAAGCAAAGGCGCATCCTATCCAGGTTAAGGAAGCACCATCTTACACACCCGAGGGGAACGAAATCCTCGTCAGGAACCATGCTGTGGCCATCAACCCAGTGGATGGCAGCCTGCAAACCAAGGCCTGGTGGCCCATGAACTACCCGACCATTCTGGGCCAGGATGTCGCCGGCGAGGTCGTGCAGGTTGGCCCCAACGTCACCCGATTCCAGCCTGGTGATCGCGTCGTCGGCCATGCCGTCGGAATGGCAACCAAACGTGTCCAAGACAACGCCTTTCAAGCTTATACCATCCTACAAACCAACATGGCCAGCGAGCTTCCCAGCGAGATCTCTTATGAAGATGCCGTCGTCTTGCCCCTAGGTCTGTCTACTGCCGCCTCAGGCCTTTTCCAGGACGAGTTTTTGCATCTCCAATTCCCCACTGTGCCGCGTCCGTCGGCGACCGGCGAGGTCCTACTGGTCTGGGGCGGAGCCGGCAGCGTGGGCAGCAACGCCATCCAGCTGGGCGTGGCCGCGGGATATGAGGTGTTTACCACTGCGTCGCCCAAGAACTTCGAGTATGTCAAAAAACTTGGAGCTAGCCAGGTCGTCGACTACAACAGTGCCACCGTCGTTGAAGAGCTCGTCAAAGCGCTCGAGGGGAAGACTCTGGCCGGAGCGATGGACTGTATCGGATTCGCCGCCACCCCACTTACCGTCGAGGTAGTCGCGAAGTCCCGCGGAAGCAAGTTTGTCTCCACCGTCAAGGGTGGGTTTCAGGCGCCCGAGGGGGTAACGGTCAAAAACGTATTCGGTACGACGATCAAGGATAACCGGGTGGGCAAGGCCATCTACGAGGATTACCTGCCTAAGGCTCTGAAAGCCGGGACTTTCATCCCAGCTCCTGCCCCCCTGGCTGTCGGGAAGGGCCTAGAAAATGTGCAGGCGGCGGTGGATCGACAGGCGGCGGGGACCTCAGCTCAGAAGGTGGTGGTTTCTCTATGATTTCTCGAGGGCCAGACGTAATCTTCCGTTGCATAGCATTTTCAAGGGCTATGATAGAACTACCAATATGAACCTGTTTTGCAACCAAACAGCCGTACTAGATTACTTTGGAACAAACTCGTATGAATGTACCTTTCTTATGGATCCTCTAGGATGTGCCCTAGTAAAACTGAAAAGCACCTGGCAGAGTCGACTAAGCCCAGTCGGCCGAGAAGGGTCCCTTGGTTATTTCTTGTGGAGTAATTCTTGCCCCTTAGGGAGCCCTGTACCCCACTATAAAAGCAATCAGGCTTACCTAGTCAAAGAGGGTCCATCGCTTAAAGGTACTGACGCCATTGGGTTCCAAATAGACCGATTGAGAAACTCTTTCCTCGGAAATGTTGGCCTAGTCCGTAGAATTTGTATCTACTCGGTAGGGGAAATTGAAGAGCAATTTCTTGACATTGTTGAGAAGCTTTTCTCTCTCATCTTTGACACTCTCCTTCATTTCCTTGAGCACAATATGAATTTGATATGATGCTCTCTTTAGGCGATCCAAGCAGTTATAACGACTTGTATGGCATGCAATTACAGTTAAAAGTGAGGAATAATTGAAAGCAGGGGCACATTCTGGGCCATTCAAGCTCGAGGGCCCAAAAAAACAGGGCATTCTCCACAGAACTTGGAATAATGGGTACCTGGTTATCTATTCTCCTGTCACCCATCTTCTGCAAACCATTTCAATGGATTAAGTTGGGAGTTTCCTCGAGATACAACTGCATCGGAATTGAATAAACTGATGATATTGACGAATTCAATTGAGAGCGTGCAAGTGTCCACCGGTACAATATAGAAAAGATAACCTGTAGCCACATTAGCCTGCTGCCTCCCGCCACATCCAGCGCATGGCCCAGTAAGAAATATTGTCCCCTATAGGTTGTATCGAAAACGTTTGTTTTCCTTATCTGTCAGATCCGAGCTCTCGATGGGGGACTGAGTGCTAGTATCTGTATCTCGGGAGCGGTTTTCGGCGACAAGAGCCCATCGAAGGGCAAACGAGGCGCAGAAGCAGATTGAAAAGCACACCATGAGGCCTGTAAAGCTCTGATTGTGCCGTGGAGAGTATTTTCTATTTTTGACATGGGTTAACGTCGCCATCTCTGATCCTGGGGCCAGCAGTCACTCACATATCGAATATCAACGGTCCTATTATATTTCCAATCGAATAACCCACGAATGTACTTGCGGCGTACACGGCATTCTTCGTGTGACCAGCCGCATTCGACGTTCCTAAACCGATACACTGAGACCACGCGGAGGAAAAGAAGTTGATGAGATAGAACCCGACAATGCGTCCTGCCAGCATCAAGGCTGGGAGTTGCCACCTGGGGAGAAAGAACCGTAGCAGTTAGTATTCTCAATCTTAGATGTGTTTTGGAAGTTGAGGGATGTATGGTCACTCACAGTAAGGCGCAGCCAAGGATGACCGGTAAGCAGGAGCTGGCAATGATGTATAATCGAGCACCTGCGAATTTCCTGCCTAGAAATCCAGACCCAAGAATACAGATAAAAGCCAAAACACCAATGGGTAGATTCATCAAGAGTGATGTGAAGGTGTCGAAACCCATATCGTGGAAGATAATCGAGTCAAAGGTAGTCACTGCCCCAGAGCCCGTGGTTGAGGTAATGGAAAGGACAAGAATTGCCAACAGCTGGTAGTCCATCAGGCCCTCCTTCAGTTGATAGGACTTGAAATCTCGATTCTCCCCACTCGAGTTATTAGACCTGATACGCTCCAGTAATAACTGTCGTTCTTGATCGGTGAAGCCTGAAGCCTCCTCAGGGCTGTCCGGAAATAACCACCATAGAGCGACCCCCCATATTAAGGTTGTAGCCCCGGCAATAAGGTACATATACTGCCATGGACGAGAAGCGAGATCGGATATGTCCCGACAAGATATCCGAAATAGAAGATGAGAGACACCCACGAGTATTTGAGACCATCTTCAATCTCCAGATCCTCTCTCAAGCCAAATATCGCGACCTGGCTCAAGACAGCCTTGTCATAGTATTGGAGGGCGTAGGTGAAGCACATCTAAATCGCATGATCTTAGGAAACTAGAAGCAAACGATTGAGTCTTAGCGTGAAGAAACTCACAACTGGCATGAGCTTCCAGTCAATCTTTCTCAATAGCTTTTTGGCAGTCGCTTCATCCATCTCTACATCTTCAAGGTTATCGACCTGGCCCTTGTCGCTACTGGATGGGCAAGATGGGGCCATAGTTCCGTCGTCCTTGGTGGGGAATTGAGTAATAGGATCAAGAGGGGCACTGCCTTCGCATGGACAGTTAGTGACTAAAAAGGGGATTCCTGTTGAGAGTCATATAAAATTCGACCGAGAGTTGGCATAACCTACCGCGTATCACCGACAACAGCATAGTGCTGTCTCCTGGCATGTCCTCTTTGGTAATATCCGTACTGTAGTGTCGGATACCCGATTGGGAATAGCCGGCTGCACCTCGGGCCGAGCGTTCGACGTCGCCCTCTCACGCAAGGGGCGAGTTCGTTCGGGCGTGATGGTTGACAAAGCTCGGTTTCATTTATAGTATTATGCCCCCTACTACCAGACCCAGCTAGACACATTTTACTGTTCACCGTTCTGGTCAAAAAAGTGAGGTTCGGGAAAATGTCGGCAGCTTTAGCCTCAGGGCGGACCCATCTGTTACGAGGGATACGTCGCTTGAGAACTCCAAACTCTGGCGTGCAAGCAAGATCGATATCTCGTTCCACAAATTTGAGCGCACCTATTACTTCTCGGAACATACTTTTCGCATGTGGTGGAATTCTGCTCGGAGGAGGGGTGGCTCTTGCATTGAGTCGTGGGTCGTCCCCTAGTGTTGATACAAGCCGTGGGTCTGCGATATGGGAGCAAACAAGTAGCCAGAGTCAAAACCGCAAGGAATATGCCGATAATCAAACGATGCTTAAGGTAGGTATTGATTGGTCCATCAAGCTGGTTGACTCTTTTTGTCTAAACACGCTGAATTCTTTTCTAGGCTGTCGAGGAGATTCAGGAAGCCTTAGGTGAGGGCGCCGTCAGCGTGGACGAGACGGACCTGGAAAGCCATGCATATTCAGAGTGGTCCACCAGCAACGCAGACAAAGCGCCAGTTGCGGTGATTAGGCCACTTTCAACAGAACAGGTTTCCGTGATAGCGAAGATTTGCACCAAATACCGTGTCCCCATGGTCCCGTACGGTGCGGGCTCTAGCGTGGAAGGGAACTTTAGCGCACCGTACTCCGGCATATGTATTGACCTATCGGCCATGGACAAAATCGTGGCCTTTCATCCCGAGGATATGGATGTGGTCGTCCAGCCCGGTGTGAATTGGGTCGCCCTCAACGAGAAGATTAAGGACACAGGGCTCTTTCTACCGCTTGATCCTAGCCCCACCGCGACCATTGGTGGCATGGTGTCGACGAATTGCAGTGGAACTAACGCAATGAGATATGGGACAATGAAGGACTATGTTGTTAACCTGACTGTCGTGCTGGCCGACGGGTCGGTTATCCGCACTAGACACCGGCCGCGGAAAACGTCGGCCGGATACGATCTGAACTCCATTTTTACGGGGTCAGAAGGAACACTTGGAATAATCACTGAGGTTACCGTCAAGCTAGCGGTATTACCGACTAACTTTGGGGCAGCTACGGCAACGTTTCCTACGGTCAAGCATGCTGCTCTTGCCGCTTCGCAGATGATTCGGAAAGGTGCCCCTTTGGCTGCCCTTGAATTGATGGATGAGGTACAAATGAAGGTCATAAATATGAATGGTGGTACAGGGGGCAAGAACTGGACCGAGCTGCCAACTTTATTCATTAAGTGATCGCATCTGTACTTTCAATCATGCCCGTTTTAGGAGTCTAACGTTCGTTCCGTTAGGTTTTCTGGTAGCGAGCATATTATTGACGATGGTATCGAGTCCGCGAAGGAAATTTCTCGGCAGAACCAGTGTCAAGGCTTTGAATTTGCCAACTCAGAGGCAGAAATTGAATCTCTCTGGTCCGCCAGAAAGCAAGCACTGTGGTCTTGCCTAGCGGTCAGGCCAGAGGGAACCGAGATTTGGTCGACCGATGTTGCCGTCCCAATCTCTAAGATGGCGGAAATTATTGGTGAGTTTCCAGGGAGCCAATCGAAAGTGCAGGTTCTGTCTACTGATATTTGATCATATGTAGATCAATCCAAGGCGCGTGCGGGCAAACTGGGTCTGTTCAACACGGTACTAGGACACGTGGGAGACGGGAATTTCCACCAAGCAATTATGTACAACCCTGCCAAGGAGGATGAGAAGAAGGCCGTCGGGGAATGTGTTGAAACGATGATGCACCAGGCGCTTGTTTTCGAGGGTACGGTTTCAGTGAGTGCCTCTCTACCTTTGCGCAAATGCATTTTATAGTCAGCTCACAGGTTGAACAGGGTGAACATGGAATCGGGATTGGAAAAAAGGCAAGAAAAAAAGTTTGAACGTGAATAAGGGCTTTTCGAACTGACAGCTTAGTAGGGATGTTTGGTCAAGGAACTTGGTCCAGCCACGATTGGTGTCATGAAGGCCTTGAAGGAGACTCTAGATCCCCAGTTAGTCAAGTTCGGTCTTACAAGCTAATACCGTGTAATACTGACCATGAAGCAGCTGGTTGTTGAATCCTGGGAAAGTCTTTGACCGTTGATTCTTGACATTGAAAGTAGGGACAGTGTCTGGAGCAGGATAATTGATTTAACCGGGGTGTGTCATGAAAGAAACCGTGGGTCAAATTGGGATACGGAATATATAGCCTAGGAATAAGCGATGAAATTAGGGAGCACTCTGTAAATAAGCATTAGGTACGGCCGAATGCCAAAATATTCACTTGTCTGTGTCGATTTGGACCAGATTCAATAGCGAATCCGGTATAATAAGGGAAATCAGCCGTATGGTCCAACATTCCCCGCGTTTGAGTGGAGACATTCCAGACTGTTTGACAATTGGCGAGATGATGGTTGGACATGATAGACGGCACTAAGTAGTTGGAGGAAGCTAAGGGATGACCTCGCAGCCCTTCCATAGAGAAGCCCGCCCCGCTGCACCTAGTCTCTAACCCACAGGGGACCGATGCTCGATTTATAACCTCAATCCCAATATATTCGAATCCAGCAAAGCTAATTGTTTCAACAGATCCAGGATATTTTTTGAATGCCTGCGTCGAAATGGAATACTACTACACCATGATGTACAGCTTGGCTCCAGCATCCCAAACGCCCGATTACCTTAAATCAAGCAGTGGTCTGGCATCACAATCACCGAGCAACCCGACAAGTGTTTCTCAATTCGCACAGCAAGACACGCAGGCGAGCTATGCCCTACTTACCATCGTCATAGACATCCTTTAACCAGCTGGCCTCCTGACTTATCTACCGGTCCGCTGCTGGCTTTTTATTGTGGCCGCCAGCCTACATTTGTTGAAGGTAACGACCCCAATGGCCTAGCCTTAGCGCCGTAAGTGCTCTTTTAACTCATACTTTAATATACAGGCCACGGTTTGAGGAGATCAGGCTAGATCCAGTTCGCAATCAAATATCATCCTTATCAGAATGATTATAGACGCGCTGGGAGAAGGCTCCCCGGATGATACACACATGGCAATGCGGTACTCACGATTCCTTGACAGTCTTCTCAAGTCATATTTTGCGCCTCAGTGGGGCACAGATATCTCTTTGTCGGGTATGGATGAGAGAAGTGGGTATGTAGGTGCTCAGGATTGGACTTCTTTGCAGAGCATTGGGTTGGCAGTATTTGGAGACTTTCCCGTTCCTTTTGACCCAATATTTAACGACTTGATATTCATGTAATTTTCTTCAAACGTTCCAATGCTCGTGTTTTCCTATTTACTGATATCCCATACATATCTCTTTCCTTCTTGTTTATTTCTCATCTAGATTATAACAAACCCAGAATTACCTAAATGAGCTTGGAATACATCTTTAATTCTCAAGACCCTAAAAGCTCGCCATAAAATACTCAGAGCCTAGACAGATAGTACTTTCCAGTGTGACAAAAAATCAAGGTAGGATCCAAGCTCAATATATGCCCACTCATACGTCCTACCCTCAAAACATCTCATCATAATTCAACAAGACACTGGTGTCCCTTAGGGGAAAGCAAGAAATAGCTTGCCATTTCCATATCATCGTCACACATTCCTTCATGGGTCGACATCTTTACCGAAGGGAAGGCGCGGAAAAATAGAGATGTGGCAAGCCGCAGTTCAATTCGAGCCAAATGGATTCCAAGGCATACTTTTTCAACACGAACACTATTGTTAGCTTCTACTTCAATGAATCGATTGGTTTTTGCAAGATACTCACTGCGAGATCCACCTCCGAATGGTAATGATGCGTCCTTCATCGCCTTGGTGGGCGCAGCCCACCGTTCTGGATTGAAAGTGAGCGGTTCGGGAAAGATATCCTCATCTCGGTGCATGCTATATGCCTGCGTTGACACGATCGTCCCTCGAGGGAAGTTGAATCCGGCCAACTGAACACCCTCTTCCGGGACGACTCTCGGCAACACGCCCGGAACAGCCGTGTAGAGTCTCAATGTCTCATTGATTACTTGATTCAAGTATGGTAGATTGCGGGCATGTCTATCGGTGAAGTCTTCGGGAAGACTCATCAATTCTGAAACAAGCCTATCACGGATATGACTGTCCCGGCATACCGCATACACAAGGTAGGTGAGTGTTACTGCGGTCGTATCGCTGCCGGCCACGATATACCCCCGCGCCTCGCTGCAGGTCTCATGCTCCGAAAGGCCTTTTTCGCCTGCGTCGTCCAGTTTTGTGAATAGTGTACTTTTGGCGTTCGATGAATCCTTAGCGACGAGCGACTTGTGGCGCGCAACTGACTCTCGTGCATATTCGTGGACTCTTGTTCCTGCCTGAACGGCCTTACTAAAGATAGGTAGAGGGAGAATAGCGCCGATCTTGATGAGGGAGGGAAATGTTGTCCGTATAGGTGCTAATGAGCCTAGGTATTCCAGATCATGGCTGTATTGATTTTTCTAAGCAAACCGAGTCAGTTCAATCTGGGCTTCTATATAGCAAAGGTTGATCTTACCTCTCCATTTTCCAACATCCGAAACGATTCACCAAAGCTCAACTCTCCTATAATATCCGTAGCCATGAATAGCCACCACTTGAACACATCCACTGAGCCCTTGACTTTCATTTCGCACGACATTTGGCTAATTGCAAGCTGCACCATGTGCCGAATCTGAGGCTCGAATCGCGTCAGGGACGTATCCGAAAGTGGCGAAGCAAGCAGACGTCGTCGAGAGGAATGAAGATGAGGGTCAGGCGTAGAGAAAACATTCTCGAAAGGGCGTGGGATCAGAAGTCTATACCATTCTGATTTCATGAATCGACCGCCTGTTCTATGAATTGCTCTTGCTGCGCCGACATCGCAAATGTCGACTTCGTTTGTGGCGATGCGGACGACAGGGCCTGGATGATGAGTTTTTATTGTGCATCAGAAATCGTCTAGGTCCTGAGATTACGTACCGTATTGTTTATGTAGTTCATCGACATAAACCGTCTTTTTGCCCTTTAACCAGTAGTAGCTCACAGCAATGTCGGTCCATCGTGATAACGGGGGTCCTGGGATATGAGACAGAGGGTTTAGAAGCCCCCTATAAAGATATCTCTGTGCTGTATTAACACTGAGCCGGACAGGAATAGAGATATTAACTCACAAAAACGATAGCCAAAGCAAGAGCTCCGATTAGTAGCGTAGACATGTTCGTAGAATGCGATACAAAAGTGCTTTTGTCCCATGTCATGCATAGGGAAAATTGATCTCTCTGGCTGTTAACGTTCTAAATATTAAGTATGGATCGTAAGGAAGAGAGGCATTTTATAATCGAAAGACCAAATTCCGCCATGCAGCAGTAACTTGGAAGTCAATTACCCCATGACGCGGCCCGCAAGGAGTAGAGACGGCGCCACTATGCGATTTACCCATGGCGATCTTGATGTCATACTTCGTTGTCATACACCGCTTGAAAGCCGCCGATTTGACTGACTGCATGCCAAGAGTAAAGTCCTATATTGCAGTCTAGTGGATTTCTGCGTGTTATCCAAGAAGCGAACGTCATTTGCCGATGGCCAACGAAGATGAAGATATTTGATGATTGTTTCTGGGAACGATAACTCTCGGGAATCAGAAGCACCGATACCGAGTCTGGAACTATACAAGATTCTCGGGTTTTGCGGGTTTTGCGGCCTTCGGACTCTCCGAGCGGAGCGAGAAAGTGCCGTTTTGGCCGATATTTAGTTCAATTGAGATTTCTACTACACACTGGAATACAAAATTGATTGATTAGGGCATTGAACGTGAGTTGTTTTTCTAAACTTCCTACTGATAATACTAGCATACGTCGTGCGCATGATAAAGGTCTATTTCCCTTATCTAGACAATGAAGAGATATATTCAGAGTAGCCTGTAAATGCCTGAGACCCCAGTAAAATACTTGATATGTAAGCGCATTAACTTTTCTATTTTCCATTTTTCTTAGTAATATAGATGATGTATTTCTTCGCTCTTCCTCAATCCCATCCTGTAAGTGAGCTATAGGCGAAGAACATGTTGCTCAATCCAGTATTGTAATGTTCCTTGGCATACTGATAGGGATGTTATCAGTCACATCTCCAAACTTCATCGGACCTCTCTACTGGACCACATTCCATCGCCTCATGGCGACTCCATAGCACAAGCCACAGTTGAAGAGGTACATAATGCTTAGTAATTCTTCACTAGCTTCCTGGTGCCTATTTAGGGAGCTAACTCCCTGCCTCTCCCCGATCCATGATCATGTCCAATAACCCTTGAATGGCCTAATGTCACCTCTTCGATGGCTGCCCTTGACATCACGACGTACAATCTTCTCCTTCGCCAAAAAGTTGCCTTGGAAATTATCGTCCAACTCGGGCCTCCAATTCCCCAGAGCGAACTTGTCGACGAGGAGATTTGTCCTGGCTATAATCCGACAGCCTTCTACCCAGCAAAGCCCGAAGAAGTTCTGGCCAACAAATTCCAACTCCTTAGTCACCCAAGGCTCTCAGGACAGGCACATTATGCTCATCAGCTGCTAGTAGAAGTAATAGATGAACTATCCTACTCACGCGACCAGTGTCATTCCTTCGCTCTACTTCGCCCGCATTCGATACGACCTAGATAAGTAATAAAGTTAGTATACGAGAGGGACCCCATATAAATCTGACCTGTTCCCCGCAGCCCCGCTTTCTACTTAAATGCATTGATCTCCAAGCTGAGATCCAAACAGCTCTTCCCAGGTTTAACATCTATTTATCCCATTTATCAATTTATATATCGGAGAAATGTCTACTAACCTAGACCACCCGTCTCATATCTCAGGCGGCTGCTTGTGTGGTGCCATCCGCTATACAATTGACTTTTCTGATGAATCCAGTTGGCCTCCTAAGGTACGTATCTCGTAAAGCAAGGTAACATCTATCTGCACTATCCTCAATTATAGTCTAAAATATGATATAGTCCTCCACCTGCCAATGCACCATGTGCCGGAAGTTTACCGCCAGCATCTACCCACAACTACTCGCTCTATCTATCACACAAGTCACGCCGCACGATCTCTCTACCTTCGAAACCTACAAAGAGTACCGCTCTTCCGAAAAATGTCTGCGCGGATTCTGCTTCGCCTGCGGTAGCTCGTTGATATTCCGCAGCGAAGAAGAGCCGAATCGGATACATATCTTCCTGGGCACGGTAGACGAGGAGGCGTTAGTAGGCGAGAAAGTGGCGGGATCGGACCGGGAGACGGAGTTTGGGGTCGTGTGGGAAAGAAAGGGAGGCGTGGGAAATGTGTTAGCGACGCCGAATTCGGTTCAGTTGTATTGGGAGAACGTCATTCCGGGGGTTTCGGATTTGTTGAAGAATGGGGAGAGGCTTTTAGCTGATGTCAAGGATGGGAGAGCGTTAGGGTGATTATCCTTTTTCTTAGTTCATTGTATATGTTATGAAATGGTTATGAATATGGAAAGGGATGTTATCAGAATGCTTGATTTGTGAGGGTTTCGTTTGCCCGAGGTGTACCTCAGCTAGTTATTATCTAGCCAATGGTGTGATATAAATGAATGAGCATATATGTTTAGTGCGATAGGAAGGTTTATGTGATAAATCTACTATTCTAATTTGCTTATTATGGTTTTGTTTATTCTTCGCTATTCAATTGGAGTCTGAAATGAACCCTCGTGCTACAATGCAAGAGGCACACCATCCGTAACAGAGCCAAAATCACACCAGGTCCAATTCCCAGAACAGGCGTGTTCGTACTGGGCTTTCGCCACGGTGTTCTTTGCACCTTGAGAAACGTTGATAGTTCGCACCACCCATCATCGCGGTACTCGCAGTCTGAGAGGCTGACATGAAGAGGTATAGTACGCTCGTTCAGAATGAAATGCACGTAGCTTGTTGGGCCAGTTTTCGAAATATACTGGTCATACCAGCGATCCGAAGAGCGTTTTGTCGAGACGGCATGCGGTGCCTCAATAACTCCAATGTGCAATCTTCTTGCATAAGGTGTTATCTTTCCAGTAACATAATCATAGTGACGCGGGGTCCGGTTGAAGGGAGAAATGGTTTCGAGAACTGGGTCAGGCCGAATGTTGAAAGGGGACGTCGCCAAGTCTGCATCATGAGCAAAGTTGAAGTAGATAGACTGTTCATCCACCTAACTTGAGCTGTGGACACAGTGATTGTGGAGGTTGACTGGATTTAGAGAATGTTCCCAAAACCTCGTAGAGAGGCCAGGCAAGATCTCACAGAAGAGACAACGAGCCAGCCTTGTAGCACACTGATATAAATCAGATTCTGCAATCAATTTAATAAGACCTTAGTAAACAGGAAATGGTGTTCATCCTGTTGGGAAAGGCTACATGCACGGTGTACATACATCCATCCTTGAAGACACTCTTGAGCTCGCTTATTGTTCCAAGGGTCTTTTGATTTTGCATCAACGAATGGCAAACTACGACATGCTAGGCTTATGATATCATTATTTTTGACCCTTTCCAGGGAGCTAGTAACATGCCCAATCGCCTTTCTCCTTATACATCTGAAAGAATTTCTTTTAGCCCCACAACCCTAAGCTACTCCGTACTCCGTACGGTGTACTTCGTATTTAGTGTGCCAAGCCCCAACTCATCCGGAGGCAATGATAGCTCTTATTAGCCACACGTGGAGGCCTCTTCTTCCCCTGATTTGCTCCGTACTATGCTTTTCATGCGCCTCATAGTTCGAATAAAATTAGCTCGAATCTTTTCCCGCATTGAAACATGATAATGTACTGTAATATGTACTCCGTACTCCGTACTAACAAGCATTCAGGGCTGTATGGGTGCCATTGCCGTGATTCTGACAGAGAGAGGGGGGTCAGAGCGCTTTCTAATTTCAAAAAGTTTTAACATTATTGGGCACCCTGGTGTTGCACGATCGGGTGCCCGAAGTAATCACAAGACCTCTAATGTGTGGCTCGACTGGGCAAGGCGTGGTGAATGTTCGTCGGACATCTTTGGAACTACATAGTGATGCTACTTTTTAGAATGAAACGAAGTTTTCCAAATCTTCCTTGCTAGTTACTACCTATGTTTGAAATCAAGCTTCTACTCCGTACACCGTAAACACATCACCAATCAGAGACCTTTTGGTTTGTACATACTACGATCTGGTCCGCAATTTGCGGATAAGGATCTAAATCGGCCACAATCTACACTAGTGTAGATTGCTCATATCCGTAGCCTTCCGAACCACTCACCGGCGAAAATATCAAACATGTCAAGTTGTTGACTTGGAATTCTGGTCTTTTTACCTATCTACCTAATCCGTAGTAGCTCCGTCCCACAGACCTACATACTAGGCCAGAAGTAAACAAAGTTTAGGCTACCTACTGCGGCTGTGCTTAAAGAAGTCTTTGCCTGGGTCAAAGGAATAACAAAGAATCGAAGCATTTAGTAAGTTATCTCTGAAGCGTTAAATTCGTCCCCTGAACTAAGATCAATAACATTATGGAAATCCATTTTGTCCTGAGTACCTGGAAAGTGCGATCTTAAGTCATTGTTACAACTCTTACTATCATTGTGCTTGTTGTTCCTTCTTTCGCCTCAGCATCCGCCTGCTTCCACGAACCCTCGTAGTGATGTGTGACGAGAGTATCACCTTGATCTGCCTGATATCCGTTTTGAGATGCAGCGAACGAAACGCCTGGCATGATGAGAACATCCCCAACTAGTTTTGGGTGTTTAATTCCTGAGAAGTCGCGGTCGTCGACGGGCCGGCCTAATAACTGGCTGAGACTTTCCAAGATCGCAATCGTCATAATCTTAGGCCCGGTCACATTAACAACGTCCTTAAGCATGTCCAGCTTGATACCCGAGACACTGACGCCATTGGCCTGAGCGACCTCTTTTAATTTGTTAACAACAGAGTCAACAATTATCTTTAGATTGCGCGAGGACGGTTACGCGGCGAATACCCAATTACAGAACTGGGATGCAACCTCTTTCCCTGGTCCCCGGTATGCAAAGTCAAATTCCAATCCAACAATCATATCAATGTTGTGGTTTTTGTATTCAGACGACACCCAGTGGCTGTTTGGCTTCTCCGATGTGACGTCCAAATCACTCCAATACCCGCCCTCCGCGAGAACTATCAAGTAACGAAGAAAGTCCGCTCGCAAGATCGGGATCGGGATTTCTTTGTAGACCTCGACAATATCTGGTCGAGTTTTTTTTTTTTGAAATGGACGCTAACAAATTACTCCCCGGAACGATCGGTCAGTAATTCTTGACGACAAGAGGGATTTGTCTTTGTCCAGCTGTTGATCCATACGCGTTGCTGTTCCGATACATTTGCGTCTTTGGCAGAATGCCACACTTTGTCCGGGATTTTCCAAATTACAGTTTTGGACTCAACTGAAGAGTTTCTCAACTCACTGGGCGAGGGACTCTGTTTCGGTGGCAAAATGTGTGAATTTGAAACATTGCTGGTCGGAGTCACTCCTGAAGAGGTCCTCGGACTAGGGATAGCCAACTATATTGGATTCCAATACACATAATATAGACAGAAGAGTATGGAAGGGCTGATGAGAGCGACAACTAAGCGCACAGAGCGTGAAGACTTGAGGTTGGAAACCGATAACATGAGTGGCAAGTAGGGATTCGCATCAACGTAAGAGGGAGCCCTCTAGCAGGAGATCTGCCTCTTCTTTCAAGCGGCCATATGTCTCAGAGTGTCCAATTGCGAGAGCAATACTAGGCCATATTCCTTTATCTGGGACAATGAAACAACCGGCATTTTGAAACTAAAACCTTGGCATATGCTGATAATAAAGGAAGGAAGATTGTAGGCAAAGTACCTCCCTGAAAAGCGGCCACTAAATCCTAGCAAGGTAACTCCGCCGCAAGAACGTAATTATTTGCGGTCGATATATCCTTGGAATTTCATGCCGCTTTGCTAATCATGAAACCAACTCACGACGCTCCCGTGTATCCATGTTGGCATCTCCACGTGAAGAGTATCAGTGAAAGAATTATAACAGTGGCTTTTGGTGTTCCTGTCAGAGATTGCACTTAATATTATCAACAGATATATCGGTTCCCTATTCGCTCAAATAGCGCATCGAGAGAGTCGTAGAATCCTGTCTCCTTTGCCTGACTGATCGGAAGGTGGTATTGACCCCAGCCCTTGGTCATAAGGTCGTGTTCGATTTGTGTGAGAAGATCCATGGTGTGCAGTGGGCTCGAAAAGCAGATATGGAAAAGATTTATGCTGGTCTTCGGCGATTTTAGTAGTAAATAGCAACTAGGGAGCAGGAGGTAATCAAAATCGAGACAAAGCAAAGACGTTGATAAAGTTCGAACAGGACCGAGGGTGATGGTAGAAAAAGACGTGAAGAAAGATGCGAGGAAAAGAGTTAAGTAATAGTTGCGTCGTTGTTGCGTCAGGCCTCTCATATATGTATACCCATGGAAGAAGGTATGCTAAAATCGCGTTTGCTAGTAATTATATATACAAATGTAAAGAGATACAAATGACCTGAATTCTGCATCTTTAAAAGAAAGGACTTTCTAAACGCGGATTAGAATGGGATTAAATACTTAGGTTGGACTGCCAACTGTATGGCCTCGCTTGCCTGGCATGGCTTGGTGTACATTTGACCTACTCCGTAGTCAACGGTCTTCGATGTCTTTCATCGATTGAAGAAGGGCTTGGTTAGGAACAGAGACTACATCAAACTTAATGCTGACATACTTCATTTCATCCTCACGTCTAGTGGGGGAAAAAAAAAAGGGTTCTCACCATGCGATATGAAACAAATCCAGCGACCTTGTAATACGTTAAGGACGGTTTCATTCTGGATATCATCAGTGATCTCAGTGATAACAGCCGATGTTAATTCAGAGAGATTGCATTAGAAGTGGTTTTACATATGAGGAAGCTATGTAGCATTAAATAATGTAAAGCGCCGAAGAGGCCGGTTAATGTACTGAGAATCGACATGCTCTATCCACGCACCTAAAGAAATTGCAACACCAAATGGAATTAGATTTTATGGCATATTTTTGGATTAGGAATTCTTGTTGTTCCACCTGCATTAGGTTAGATACATGTCATAGCACTCTAGCCACCATATGAGCCAGCAAATCGACCAGCGAAAGGATATTCCTATAGTTAATCACCCCCACCCCATAGGCTCAGAACCCAAGGTCTTCAAAGGAGAGCATAGAACAGCATACAATCGCGAAAGCTCGCTAGATTGCATGTACCCGGACTACTACTAAGAGATATGTGTATCAAATTTCCCTACTAAAATATACCTATCTTTGAATTAAACCTACTATCAAGAAGAAATACATACATACATACATGTAGAAATTCATCTCCCAGCCACAGAAAACAAAAACATAAACTAATCAAAATACCGACCCCACGCTTATTATTACCCCATTCATCGCCGTTGAGCCAACGGCCCGTGCTGCATTTAGACCGGAGGATCGGCGACGGCGCTATTTCTGGCATAGAATACGATGGAAATACGATGCTCAGGGATTGGTTGAGATATATGAGCGTTGAAGTACCCCGAGGTTCGATTTTCGCTTTAATTTCTTACTTTTCTATATTATAGTCTATACCTAGGCTCCGGGTAGAGACATGTGCTTCTTGGGTCGGTTGGTGGTGTTTTTATTGTATATTTCGAGTATACCTGTTTGTATACTTCTCAAGTAGATTACTACTTATGACCTGCGATAAAGGGAGGCTGACATGTTTGACAGGCACATTTCGAGTAAAAATACTCGCTGTCTGGCCTTTGTCCCTTAAATGAATTGTCCTGATTATTGAACATTGACACCAGTTCCCATGGTCCTGAGAAAGTGGGCACTCACTTCCTCGGATTCGGGAAGATCATCATCATTATCCACCCACTCACCTGCGGAGAAGGTACATACTAAAATGAACAGCCCTATTTTTGAGAAGCCCGTCGTGAAACCCCCAACGGTAATTATTATTGACCAGGGTCAGTGCGGGGTCAATTATAGCTCTGTGAGTAAATCAATGACTCAATAAGATGAACGGATAATTCCCGACTCCATCAAGTCCCGTCAGGGGTTGGTTGTCGATCCCTAGGTAGGTTCTCCGTGCCGGATTTTGTGACATGCCCTCTTCTGGTAACCAACCCGGGTATCCTGGTTAGTAGTAGAGGATCGCATAAGGCTGATCATTCCATTCCGAGAATGGATCGATGCGAGTTCTTGGGTTTTCTCATGTGAACTGCTTGGAACTGTTTCGGGGGACCCTAGGGGTTGGGATTTATATACTAGGTTCTTACCCCCTTAGTGCTCATGATGTAGCTGCGTACTATCTAGGGGAGGTTATTATTCAACTTATTGTGCGTATGATAACATTTCTAAAATCATAAGTCCCCAACAAAAGCAAACATGTGGCGAGATTACTTATTCGCATTGGCTGCTCTGCCCATGACAGCCATGTGCGCGAAAGAAGGACAAACCGCCAAAGAAGCCTGCACCAATTTGAATGAGAAACACTCCGACATCACCTATGGTGGTCTGCATCCGAAATATATCAATGCGAATACAGGTGAGCGAGTCCCTGTTTCTATTCTATTGCAATAAAGAAAACACAAGACTGACATGCTCGTTATTCATAGAATACTATACATCCAGCGCGTGGCTCGGACCCGCCTGTGTCTTCGAACCAACAACCAACGCCCAGCTCAGCGATGCAGTGCAGATCCTCAAGAACCTGAGCACCCCGTTTGCGATCCGAGGAGGCGGACACATGCCGATTGCCGATGCCGCGAATATTAATTCGTCAGGCGTGCTGATCTCCAGCTTCGGGTTGAACCAGCTGAAGCTGTCTGAAGATCAGTCCACGGTCAACGTCGGACCGGGAAATCGATGGACGAACATCTATGATTATCTTGAGCCGTATGGTCTGACCGTTGTCGGGGGTCGATTGGGTCATGTTGGCGTTCCGGGATATGTTCTCGGTGGTGGGGTGTCGTTCTTTAGTAACGAGTATGGATGGGCGTCTGCGAATGTTGCTAGTTTCACGGTATGTTTTGCACACAGTCTAAGTTATTCGCGAAAATAAAGAAAAGAAGGAAGGGCTAACTGAAACAGTGCGTTCTCGCCTCGGGCAAAATTATCAAAGCCACCCCGGACAACGAATATTCGGACCTCTTCTGGGCTCTACGAGGCGGGTCCAGTTCCTTCGCACTGGTCACGAACTTCGAGCTCAAGACGATCAAAGCCCCAGGGGTGATGGTCGGGCAGGCATCGTACGGCTCCGACGTCGCCGAAGAATTCATCTCGGCCGTGCACGACTTCACCATGTCAGCGCACAAAGACCCCAAAGCAGCCTCGATCCCACTCGTCGAGTATATCCCTGCGCTCGGAAAACCAAGCTACAACGCGATGTTGTTTTACAACGGCAAGAATGAGACCCCTGGCGCGCTGAGCAGTTTCCTAGAGAACCCAGACATGAAGCCGTCGTCGAACAGCTTCAAGTATCGCTCGATGAGCCAGTGGTCGAAGGAGTTGGATCCAGCGATGGGATTGATTAAGGGAAGTAAGCAGCGATTCTATGTGTTGAATATCCACGCCAAGGATAAGAAGGCGATCAAGATCGTTCATGATACCTATCTGGCGGTCGCGAAGGAGAGCATCCCCAGTGGAGTCCTGGTCGCTGCGCTGGCCTTCCCCGCCGTCACGGAGAAGTACATCACCGCGTCGCGGGTGAATGGTGGCGATCCGCAGAGTCTGGATCTTGCCGGTGCGCCGTATATCTGGGTGGAAGAGAGCATTACGTCGTTGGCGACGGTCAAGGACGAGGATGTCGATGCGTTCTATGAGAAGGCGAATGCGGAGATTATGAAGAATCTGGACGCCGCGGGGATCGAAATGGCGAAGTTCATTTATCTCAATGATGCCAATCCGTCGCAGAAGATTTTCGATACTTTTGACCCCGAGAATGTTCAGCGGTTGAAGAAGATTCGGGCCAAGTATGATCCTGCGAGAGTGTTTACAGATCTGATGCCGGGTGGATTCAAGGTCGAGCGGGACTAATGGGAGTATGAGATCAGAGGGGCAGCGATGGGATTTGTAGATACCTCCGTGGATAATGTGGAATAAGTTATGAATATCAATATCAATATGGCAATGGGAAAATTTCAAATATAACCGATAAAATGTGCCCTTTCTTCAGAGTCTCAGAGGGAGACACCGTGTGCGACAGAAATGTCTGAGGCTAAAAATAGAGGGCGAATCCGGGTCATCCACTGATGCCCTACTAACCCACCTCTAATTTAACGCCTCCCTTCCAGATGAACATCCAAATAATGAGCGGAAATAACAAACTCAAACAGAACAAGTCTCGTGAAATAGCCAGAATATATTATGCGACAATAAAGCAGAATATCTCTGGGCCCGTGGACTCGTTGCATGGCACATAGATACATGGATTCGGCCAAGTGCACTAAGCAATGCGACGGGCGCCAGGAATGCAAGACAGCGAGCGAGTCTCGATCTCATACTGCAGAGATGAAGCCCGGTATTGCCCGACCGGTGATCGACGCGGCGCTGAGGAACAATGATAAAGGAACAGAAGAAAAACACAACCAAATGCTCCAGACGTCCCCGCCTTGTAAGAAGAGTGAAGTCAAACCCATCCAAACCCCAGTCTTGACCTAAATGTATTGATTCTGATTTCCGTGATAGTGGTTGTGGCTGCCAGCTCCGGCCGGTGCCACCAAGTCACGCATTGCCTCGGTAGCCTCGTAGCCGTTCATCGCCGCTGGAATATTGGCCTGCCGTATCCGTTGGGGACGTCGCTGCCGACGTGGAACCTGGAGTGAAACAAACCGACGTTAGAGACCGTGTTCCTTCAGAGCTCCAGGTGTATCGAGGTCTTACCTGAATGGTATCCTTGGTTGTTGTGGGTCGCATTGTTCTGCGAGGCGGTTCCATCATAGGGAGCCGACTCCCGCGCTTTCAGGCGCTCTTCAGCTGCCCGGATCTTGGCCTGGAGTTCTTCCAACTCCCGATTCTGGATCAACATCTGCTGTCTCCTGAAGGGTGAACCGCGTTAGCGACATTCTCGGGTGTAGTGTTGAAGCTCGGTCGGGAGGGGGGTCAAAATGTGGGGAGGCCGTTGCAAGAGGGAAACTCACTTGTCTTCGAGACTTTGCGAAAGGTTATCAACACCCGGATCCAAGGAAAATGCGCTGTCTAGCACCGATGAGAAAGCCTGTGCCATGGTCCTGCCATGTCTTGGTCAACGCCAACATTCGACGGGTGGAGGGAGCGCATAGAGCGCGAACGGGAGTACGAACGACTGAGGGCGACCACTAGGTTTCCAGCCTTGCTCTGCATCCGACATCTTGACGGTTGATTCTAGGCTAGTTTGAATGAAGATTGGAGATGAACTGAGTGTGGTAAGGCTGTAAAAAGGGGGGGGGGGTGACAGGAAAACGGGCAGAAGAGTATGGAAAGGCAAAAGAAAAGCGGGAGAACACGCTTTTCTGGAAGGAAGATAGGAGAAGAAGCAAGCACGCGCGCCAGGAACACAAGGGTGGGTATAGATATGACGAGGTGGAGCTATGCGGTTGGTATTGTAGGAGGGAAGATCAGAGAGTCGAGGGACAAAATTGCCGAAGAGGGTGAGATTAAAGTATATTGATGAGGGGAGGACCAGGACCAGCTGAAGAAAGAGATGACGATGTATAAAGGGAACAGAAGCAGCAGAAGAAGGGGGTTTGGGGATCGATGGGAGCGATCGCTAGAGCTGGGAGTGGGAGTCGGAATGATCGAAACGCTTGTCGCACTAGTAAGTTAAGTATGGGCCGGGAGGAGGGAGGGAACCACTTTTTTAGTAGCAGGAAGCGCTGGAGCTGGTCCTTAAGAGGGATTAAAGCCCAGACGAGGATGAGTCGATGACAGACAGGGGCACCGCACGGCCGGAGGGGAACTCAGGAGTATAGGGATTGGGGATTCACGCGAAGTCCGGAGTATTTCGACGTGATCCTAAAGATAGCGGTGATAATAATAATAATAATACCACAAATAATGATAATAAATGAAAAAAGACATGTAAATAATAAGAATAGTAAGAATAGTAAAAGTCGCGCAGGCCAGTGTCTAAACTTCCTTGGGCTATTCAATAGTCACTACCCACCCTGTCGGATACTCCATAACAGGTGCAAAAGGAGGAAAATCCAAATCAATTAGAAGGATCATAAACAAAGCGCCATTTTCCGGGTGTCCACCGCGTCAGAAGGGATTCGTATTTAAATATTTAAATAGGAAAAGGAAAGGGAAAAAAGAAAAGTCGATGACGCGCATCGACCACTCTACGGCGTACGACGAAAGTCAGACATTCCAGGCTAAAAGTATATTAAATGAGGGGAGGCAAAACCCATGACGATGATTCTTTTCTGACACGCCTTTCTAGCTTCAGGAGGCTGAAGAAAGCCGCGACACCCAACCACGGATTTGGCGGAGAGCGCGAAACCGAGCGAGACAGAGCTTTGAACAAAGAAAGGGGCTGCCCCTGACACGGTGGGGTTCGAGGGTAAGGGTATTGTAAAAAAAAAAAAAAAGAATTAAATAAAAATAAAACCTCGCCACTAGTTTGCTGCCGTGGATAGGGGATAGGGATGTTCAGTAGGCGAGCAAATCATGATCGTGATAAAATGAAGTGCACTTGGCCAAACACGCATCTGGAATTACCAGGAGGATGGGATTTGACCAGGTACATACTCAGTATGCAACACACTCTCGTGCCATGGAATGCAAATCTTTGCCTTGATCCCGAGAGTTCCGTGTGAATCCGGGATATGGATGTGCATTCCTGGGGATAAGTATGGCCATCTGTACCTGTCTACATTCTGACAGGAGCTGTATCTATTAGGCTACTGTACAATCAAGTCTCTTGGAAATCCCGGGGATCATGGAGCGTTCCAAGAACCTCAACTCCATAGTCCGTACGGAATACATCTTCAATTTCCCCTAGATTAGCGGGCAGTAGTACGCCCTAGATATCATGAATCATGATTAGACTATTTGGATTACCTAGACGGAGTAGTTAGAAGTGATGGGATTGGACTATCTAACAAAGTAGTCAGTAGTTACATTTACAAGTAGCTCACTACTTCCGTACGGTGTACAGTATATACGCCGTGGAAAGGGGTATATCAAGCCATCTCACGGGCTCATCTCTTGTGCAGTTTAATCTCCGCAGTCCGCACACTCTTCCAGAATAGGACATCATTTCTGATAGATCACTGGATTTTCCAACTTGAAACCGTTTATTTTTGTTCGGTCAAATCTCCCGTTCCGCGATGGACGAAGCTTTCTACCTAGTTTCTACCCTCTGACAGGCTTTGAAAACCCCAGTTTTCAATCGGAAACTGTCAACGCTCGGTAACGGCACAAGGTGATTGCGTACATAGTACTCGTAGATGGCAGGCTCAGTTGACTCGATTCCCAATGAGGACTGTAAGGAAAGAGTGGCGCACAGAAGCCAGCGTTACTTTAATTAGGGTAATTAAAAGAGTACATCTTCATCTCATTAGATTGTGAATTGTATTGGATGTCCACATAGGGCCTAGGGCCCGCAGTCAATTTTTAATTTTTAGCTTGGCGAAATTTGCGTCGTGATTCCATTACGAAGTAAGGACACAGTACCTTACTTTCTAGTTTCTACACTGTACATAGTGTACTAACTGCCGAATAGCTTCCCAAGAACTCACTGGAGCACATCGGCTGTCACCCTGACCAGGGAAAAAACCTCTGACTGAAGGGTTGCGTCAAGCTGCTTCCAGAAGGTTGCTCGGCAACCGCCCTATCGTCATTGTGCATGACCGGCGGGGCTGGACAGGGAGGAGTGTATGGTATGGTCACGTAATTATCCTTAGTCAGAGGTCCGTTTGGGCGGCTGGGGAGAGCGAAAGGACAGACTGCGAATATTGCCAGGTCGCGCTCGTCCGTCCATCCATCCATCCCCCCATCCCAGTTGCTGCTGCCTCACCATCGGCCTGTCCTCTTTCCATCCCTCGTTTTATCGCTTCCATCGTCCCTCAGAAACATTCTACCTTCCCAGCATCTCCGGATGATTTTTTCCTAATTTTTGCTGGCATTTTGTACTGATTGTTCCCCAATTTTTATTTCCCTGTCTCCCTCGTGACACGGTCGCGTTCCTACTCCTGACTTTTTTTCCCCTTCTTTTTTTTTTCCTGCGCTTATGGTCTGACTGGTCCCCCTACTCACCCCGGGACTAGGCAGCGCTATCGATCGGTTTCATCGATTGACCGACCGACCTTGGCGGGCCGACCACTGTACCACCCATCACCGTGGCCCCCATCCCCAGATCTACCTCCCCCAGTGGCCGAGTACACGGGCAATGGGGGATGCCTCCTCTGTCGGCTTACACGCCTTTTGAATCCCTCCTCTTTTTCCAGTCCCTGGCCGCCTTGGACGCCCGACCCGCTAATTTTGTCTCCATCTCCAACGGTCTCTGCAACAATCGATTCGTGCGCGAAAATGTCGCCTTCGACGCCGGGCGACTCGCCCCGGATGCTTTGGAGGATTTGTACTCTACACTGACCCGCGATGGCACGGATGCCGTCGCGAACATCTCCCACGGGCCGAACGGACGGCATGACGAAAGCCCTACCGCTCACAATTCAAAGAAGCGCAAGATCTCCAGTCCTAAGCCGGACGCGTTGACGGAGAAGGGAATCATAGGCCAGGCCGGTATCGTCCCCGAAATTGTGTCTCATTTATATGCGCGATATCGAGATCTCGTCACGAAGGAAATTAGAAACGAGGAGAGAAAATACAATGAAATTCGAAATGAACTTGAACGCCTCAAGGAGGAGCGTGAAGCCGTCCCAGAGCCAGCTCCGACGCCTGCGACCGTCCAGAAACCCACGTCGGAGACCCCGGCGACGCAATATTCTGCGCCAGACCCGATGGATGTAGATACCCAGAACGAGATATCCACCCAGCAACCACGCCCGGATGTCGCTGGGAGCTCTGTTGCACCGAAGCCGAGCCCAGAGATCAAGCAACCGCCGTCGGAGCCGCCGCGCAAGGAGGTAGAGGCTCCCAAGCAACCGACACCGATCACGCCGCGACCAACCGCACCGCAAAAACAGCAGAAGCAACTGCAACCGATGCCGGCGCCCTCACCAGCACCCTCTGTCAAGCAGCCGCCGAAGGAGCCTCCCACAAAGACACCTTCACAGCCGTTACCCTTGAAACCCAACCAACCGCAACCTCTCCTACAGCCTCAGCCTGTTCCCCAGACCCCTTCTGCGCACCCATTCCAGACACAGCCTCCGAATGGGCAACACTCAGTATCTCAGCCGCCTAGTTTGGCTCCCCGCGACATACCCACGCCCAAGGGATCGACGGACAAGGTGCCCCCTCCGCCGCAAATTCCTTCACAACCTCCACGGGAGCCTCCTGTCGGTGTAGTGCAAGCTCCTTCAGCGACGGCCGTGCAGCCGTCACCGATCGCAAAGCCCCCGGGTCCTTCCCCGGGTCCGACAAGAACGCCACAAACGGTCAAGGCAACTGGACAGGAAGCCTCTTCGACTCCGGCGCCAAAGACGAGTCAACCTCCTCCTTTACAACCTACTATTCAACAATGGTCATTGGATCAGTCCCCTCAAACATCGCAGGTCCCGTCGTACCAAAAAATCGAACCTATGGGTCAGCCTCCCGCTGGAAAGCCGTTACCATCCCCTTCATCACAACAAACACCGAAACCCCAACCTAAAAAGGTTGAACCTAAGAAGGCCCCTAAAGCTGCGCAAGCCGCAAGCGTCCCGTCGACCCCATTACCTGTGTCTGCAGTCCCCAAGCCGCTAGGACCGAGTGGTCTCGGCGCAGGTTATGAAACTCCGGTCACAGCAGCTCATGCTCTATTACAATCGCAGCCACGGTCATCTCTCCCCCGGCTCTCCATTGATACGTCAGGGTCGGTTACGCCGTGGAAGAAGACTCCTCGCCTAACCCTTCCGCATTCCCCTCGATCGCCGGATCGACCCCGACCCGAAGATGTCAGCCCGATCAGCGAGAAAGCTCCCTCTCTGATGGGGTCTCGGGAAGCCACCCCAGAAGAACCCGATCCCCCGCGACGCAAGCGTCGTGCTGAAGCCAAGGGTTCCTCTCGTGGTAGAGAACCCAGTCCACCGGCTAGCGAGGCAGACCACAAAGCCGGTCCGAGAAGCAAATCAGACAAGTCCACGTTCGCAGTGAACAAGCGACGCGATCAAAGCACGGCTTCCTCGAGGAGCCGAGGGCGATCGGTTTTATCGCGCGAAGACGAGCCCGTGGTCGATCCTCCCGGAAAGATCAAACGTGAAATGCCCACTACTCCGGCGGGTGTGCCGGACGTGGCTGAAACGGAACACCGTGCCTCAGGGAGTCGTAAAAGCGTCACTGCCGTGGCTTCGGAAGAGCAACGTCCTGGTCGGGGCAGGCCGAAACGGAAACGCCCTCCTAGTGAATCATTTGACACCGAACCTCCTCAACCCGAGATCACCCAACTCAGCCGCCTTGATCCCAACCAGTCGACACCATTTGTTGTTGCTGCACGCAACTTCCCCAAAACTGGCCAAGCGATCATGAACAACGTGACGACCCACAAACACGCGTCTGTCTTCAGCAAGCCGTTGACGGAACGTGATGCCCCGGGATATCGCGACCTCATCTATCGCCCGCAAGATCTGAAAAGCATCAAATCCTCCATCACGCAAGGCAGCAAAGCGCTCGTTGCCGCGACCGAAGCGGCCAACACGCCCGTAGCCGATGGCGAATCCCCCATCCCGTCCGGCACCCCGTCGAAGAACTCCGTCCTCATGCTGCAGAAAAGCGAAGACGTCATTCCGCCCAAGGGCATTGTCAATTCCGCACAGCTCGAGAAAGAACTCATCCGCATGTTCTCCAACGCCACCATGTTCAACCCCATTCCCCAGCGTGGCTTTGGCCCTGCGTTCCCTATGATCGCTGACGGCGAATCGGGGGAAAGTACCATCGTCCCTGAACCCGACGAGGGGGGCATCATCAAGGCCACGCATGAAATGTTCGAGGATGTGGAGAAGGCGGTCACCGGGTGGCGCCAGGCGGAACGTACTTCTGACGAGTTGGCGAGTAAGAGTATCTTGTCGCTGAGGAGAGGGAGTGCGAGTGATATGAACACGGACAGTGCGGATGAAGTTAAGGGATCATGACCATGACCTTTGTTTGTGTGGGAGGTTACTTTGACGAATTAGGATCAATCAATCAATGTATGTATTAATAAATAGTGTTACTCTTTTTGTACGTTGTTCTGGAATCAATCCGTGTGTTGATGGATGTTCCGGATATGGAGAAATATTCAATTTTCTGGTTTGCACACTTTTGCACCTACGGAGTTCTGATAACTATCTATGTAGAATAGATCACCTCACATTTAATAAATCAATACCAACGAAGAGTATCCAATTCCAATTCATTTCATAATGCAGTTCCGTAATGCAGACCGTCGCACTTAAGATCGTTAGATAATGCGGAGTTCTATAGTTATATGTCCAATGAAACTTTTCCCCATCCAATATCTATTTCCAATATTCGTCGCCACACACCCGACGACAGCCTACGCACTCCCAGGAATCGCCTGACTCGGCTTCGTCCTCCCCAGCCCCTCCTTCGCATAGAAGTCCATCGGATAGATACCCTGATTTGACGTCTCCCAGCCCTCCTTCACCCCCAACGCGATCAACGCCTCGTACGGCGTCAGCAGCGGGCGCGGGAACGCATACCCCCAATCGATACTCAATCTTGGGCAGGCGATCTGTACCCAACATTCCACGTCCGCCATGGAGGCCAATTTTCCGGGGAAGATCTCAGACAGCAGTAGGTTGACGAACGGGATGCCTTGCGCGTTGAGGTGGTTCTCGATCATGGCCATTGTGTTCGGGTTACCCTGGCGGCCGAGCGAGCCGAGAATGAGACCCCATTTCTTGGCCGATTTGGCAGTGCTGATGGCGTCGCGGCGCAGCGTGTGCATTTCGTCGTGGTAGTATGTTTCTCGGGACAGAGTGCGCGAGTACGGATCGTATCGGTACGCCGGGATGGTGGGGTTATGGATCATGGCGGATTCGAGATGGAAGCGACCGTCGCCGAGGTAGAGGAGGATGTCGATTTGGGAGTCCAGCTGGGGGGAGGTGCAGCCGAGAATTTCACCCTTGGAGAGCGGCGTGATTTGAGGGATGATGACTTTGAAGCCGGCGCGTTCGAGGACCGGTTTCAGGCCGTGCAGCGTGGCGTTGAATTGGATCGTGCCGACCGTGGCGATTGTTTTGCCCGGTTGGAAGTTGCGTTCCAGCGTCGCGAGGAGGTGCGTTGTGTCGATGCTGATGTCCACGAAGATGTATAGCGTCTTGATCTTTGTCACGTCGACCGGGATCAGGCAACTGTGGGCGTAGTGGACGAGGAGGTCGCAGCCCAGGGCTCGCGCGGTGTAGTCGTCGATGCAGCAGGCGCCGTATGTGACGTCGCCCATGATGAGGGTCTCAATGCCGGGGCAGAATTGGGTGAGGATGTCGGAGATGGTGGTCGCGAAGATGAGCAGGCCTTCGGGGAACTGGAGGGCGACTCGTTTGGCACCGGAGGACCGTATGCGGTGGATGGTCTTGGGGATTTCGAAGGAGTAGTTCTTGGGGAGGAGTTCGATGGCGGCTTGGATTTCGGGATCTTCGAGGATCTCGGGAGGGACTTGGTTTAGGGTTCGAGGTGTCCTTCGGGGAGCGGCTATATGGAGTCAATTGATGTCAGTTGAGGGGCAATGCTAATTGTTGTATGATTTGGGCGCAAAGAACCGACCTTTTTGCACGCTAGTGGATTCGACATCTTTTTGACTCGACGAAGTGTCTTTCTGTGCCTGAGCGTCTGCCGTTCGTCGCCCGACGAATCTCTTCTTGGGTTGGCGCAGCTGGCCATTTGGCGTTGTGTTTGCAGTCTGGTCCTCCATCTTGTTGTCCGGTCTTTGCGCAAAGTGGGATGATTCCGTCGATCTCAGAAATTCATGAAAATGTCCCGCCTGAGTCAGCAGGTCAGGTGGGGGGAGGCCCGAGACTAGCCTGTCCGGGCGGTGTCTTCTCCGCATCGCATGTTCCCCCATCCTCCACTGCTGCGTGGCTGGCTTTCGTTCCTGCTATGTAACTCCAACCGTGTGTTTGGGCTGACTTTGTCTTTCTCTGCTCCCCATTGATGTTTATAATCTCTCGTATCTCAAAATGATGAATCTTCGTCCTCGACTGGGTCTATTCTCAGCCTTCCGAGCTGCTCCAGCAACTCGACGGTTTGCGACAGAAGCGCGGTTAACTTCGGACCATGTTCGCATCGTCGAAGTCGGGCCCCGAGATGGCCTGCAGAACGAGAAGAAGTCCATCTCGTTGGGGACGAAGCTCAAGCTGATCGAGAAACTGGCCAAAACCGGCGTGACAACCATTGAAGCTGGTTCCTTTGTCCCTGCGAAATGGGTACCCCAGGTATGAGCTCATCGCCCCTTGCATGAAGTCAGCTTGTGTCTTCAGGCATCTTTTCGGATCGCTTGATCTATCTAGATGCTTGTCTTGATTATTGACCAATTGCTTTTAGATGGCAAGTACTGCGGAGATATGTGAACGTCTTCTTCAATCGCCGCCCGAATCGCAAAATGCCATCGCCTACAATTATCTAGTCCCCAACGTTAAAGGGCTAGAAGGCCTCATCAAAGTGCTAGACGCCACGGGCTCCTCAGCCGAATCCTCGAAATCCGCCACCACCACCGAAATCTCCCTCTTCGCCGCAGCGACCGAAGCGTTCTCTAAGGCGAACACGAACTGCACGATCGACGAATCCCTCGAGCGCGTTCGGCCCATCGTATCACTGGCCAAAACCAGGAACATCCGCGTTCGAGGCTACGTTTCCGTGGCCCTCGGTTGCCCGTATGAGGGACCCGAGGTCTCGCCCTCAAAGGTAGCGGATATCACGGCAAGCTTGCTTGAAATGGGCGCGGACGAGGTCTCTGTCGCCGATACGACCGGCATGGGCACGGCTCCGCGCACCATGCGGCTCCTTCAGGCTCTCAGGGCAGCGGGGATTGCTAACAGCGACTTGGCTCTGCATTTCCACGACACATACGGGCAAGCCCTCGTAAATACCATCGTGGGCTTGGAGCATGGCATCCGCATCTTCGATAGCAGCGTTGGCGGTCTTGGCGGGTGTCCGTATTCAAAGGGGGCTACGGGTAATGTCTCGACAGAAGATCTGATTCATACTATTCATGGGCTTGGAATGCATACGGGCATTAACCTGGAGGAGATGTCAAAGATCGGCTCCTGGATTAGTGGGGAGTTGGGACGGTTCAATGAAAGTCGGGCTGGAAAGGCCACTCTTGCCAGAATCCAAGAGTGAAGTACCGAACAGACATGTTTCGGCTTTTGCAAATAATTTTACTCATTCTGCACAGTGGATAATCACAGTTTCTATGCATCATTGTTATTCATCGTCGCATGTTCCTCATCTATTCATATCAGATCACAACCAAGAAATCACATAAACTAAGATACCGTACTCCATCCAACGCCCAAACCCAACCTATATACAAATAGCACACACAAAAACACGAAAGAAACCAAAACCCTCACGGCAGATAATGTCGCTTGAACCCCTTCCACCGATCTCCCCACGAGGACCTTCGCCTCCTATTCTCAAACACCTCTGATTCCCCAACCTCCGGTATCTTCTCCTCTACCTCCTCCACTTGAAAATCTTTATCGTTCTTGACCTTCTCAGGAGGCCTGGGATTGTCATCTGAGAATGAACCTTTCCGGTCCCGTTCTGTTTCATCGATACTCATTCGCTCATGGTGGCGACGCACTGCCGCTTGGATGGGCGTCTCGCCGGGGAGGATTCTCCCGCTGTAGCGAGTCACTTGGATTGAGGGGTCGATGTAGAGGGGTCCGCACATTTTGTTGTCATGGATTTGTTGATCTTGCAATGCGAATGGCAAATGTTATGTATTTGGTGGTGGATTGGTATGTAGTAGGTAGATAGTATATGCAATTGTGATAGATGAGACGGATTAGAACCCAGCAGGGGATACAGCTATTTGATCATATAGATATAGATACGCAATTTCAACGGAACTGAGGCAATCCTGACCGATAGAGTTCAGGAAGTAATCTCGCGGCCCCACGTTGGATACATCATGCCAATTGGGGGCTCTGGATCGCCACGCGTCGTTCGCTACGATAGTGGTCCGAGTCCGAGATGACTATGTCATTGTTCGCTGTTTGGCATTGTCCGATGACCAGAGCTGGGGCGTTTGGGAAATTGCCCCTTCGACCAAGATTAGATAGGGTGGCGAATGAGCGTGGGTGGAGGAGAAAGAACGTCGTCTAGACCCCCGAGATGTATGTGGGTTAGACTTTTTGCATGGGCTCGCTTGGTTCTCTTTCTGTTTTCTTGACTTTCTTAAGTGGCCTGAACAGTGCACCTTATGTAGCTGAAGTAAATTGCTGAATAGATCATTATCATTTAGAGATAAGTCGATATAGTTAAGATAATTGCAGGCGATCCTAATCGTGTTCCGGAGGGAAAAAGAAGTTTAGGCCAAGTAAGTGTGTCATAATTCATAATAACATTCTATGCTGAGAGCAGATCCCGACTGAAGTTTCAAACAATGAGGAAATTGCACTCAGCCGGCTGCCCTCTGGCAAAATCAATCCAAGATACAAACTCGTCTGCAGCCACGTTCCACCAAGACTGCAAGAAAGACAGAACTCGGGACCGATCTAATGCCTGACTAATATGTATCACAGTCTTGAAACCATTCTCGATGATGTTCTGGCTCGCTCGATCACCACGGAGCTCCGTTCCAGCGATGAAGAGCGGCCAGACGAGATCCTGGGTGAAACGTAATCCGTTCCGAGTGAGGGATAGCAACTGTAGGTAGTTCAATATATGACCGCAAGCTTCTTTCTTATCTGTTTCAGTCGTCGATAATTCTGAAAGTACTTGGGCGTATAGATTAGCGTCGCGTAGTAGTACATCCACACGACTAGCTCGAAGTCCCGGCGTTCAAGATCGGACCAGAACCTGATGGTTTGGTTGACATGCAAGCAATGGGACTTGGCCGACTCGATCTGTGCATAGATCGTTTGGACCTGGAATGCGGTCGGTGGGGCCAGATGAGAAGCCTGAGAACGGGTCTTGAGGCGCTCCAGTTGGGTGATGGAATGGATGATGCGGACAAAGTCAGCCAGCACGGCGTCTTCGTTGCTGGTGGGCGGGTCTATTAGAATCTCGTCAACTTGGTTAAAAGTCGTCAGGTGTGTCCACACCGAGGTGGAATAGAACTCTTGTAAGAGAAATTCTTCGACGCGGAAGTGCGGATGATGAAGGCTCGAGCGATTGGCAGCGGCGAAGATGATCTCACGGGCCGCAAGCAGATGAACTCGCCACTATGATGTATGCGCTTTCAAGAGATCGCTGTTGCAGATTATCATCATGGATGCTAAAGTCAGAGAAAAGGTGTTGTTCGAGCCAATCTGTGCAGCAGGCCAACTAGACAAGCTCTGCAAATCCCGTGCTAGAAGAGCGAAAGCGTGATTCAAGCGGGTATTCGAGATATCTCTGAACCTTTGACACCAGGGGTCATTCACGGGGTACTGAGAGGCGAGGTCATGCGCCGTCTAGGTGAGAAGAGATAAAGAAACTGCCTCGGAATTCTCAGCGAGAGGAAGAATCAACTGCCACCAAGGGTTCTGCGGTCCATCGATCCACGCCAGCCGATGTGCCACTTTCTCTTTAAACCAGGTGAGTAACCGTGGCGAATGAGGAGAACGCGGCCCTGATAAGTAGAGACTGGTTGATGGCGCTGTGGATGGCCTTGGCACCAGAGGCGCATCGGACTTGGGCAGTGACCTTCCAGTCAACTTACCTCGACTGGCGACTCCTTGGTCCCATCTCAGCCTCACTCCATATCCGGGACATTCGAGGCTACGTTTGGCGTATTTCCTACATCCTGGCAAGGTGAGGTCACACTTGAGACGTCGCTTTTGACAAGTTGAGCAGCCTAGAGGAGATTATGAGCACTGCATTTTTGAATGACTTTTGACATCAACAATACCTTTGAGTGGTGTGCGCAAGGATGGGTTATCCGACATATCATCACCCGAGGTGGATCAATTTAGCTGAAGAAAGTCCAAGTTGGCGGCCAAATCTTTTGCTCCTAAATAATCGCTAACGGTTCAGTCTGCCCCACTGCGCTAAACCGAAGGAGGATGCTTGATAGAGAAGTCGATAAGCGAATTGTCCAACTGCAGTATGAGTGGCTCATCGTCCGCGTTTCTGTGGGCCCGTGGCGGCGATCTTGAGAACCAGAGTATACGATGTTTTCAAGGATCGGATCATAAATTGCTGGCCTTTAAGAGACGAAGTACCCCGAGAGCAAGATTTTTCTGTCCTTGCTTCAGATTCTTTCCTCTATTGGCCCTCATTTCTATTTGCTTTTCGCACTATTATTCCCAAATTAACCCATCGAACCGTTGCTAAACGAAGCGAATACAATCTCTTTGACGATACCGTTGATTGCGCCAAATGGGAGAAAAATAGAATTAACAACCGGGCTCTTCATTAACAACGAGTGAGTGAAAGCAACCAAAAATGAAACTATCACAAGTATCGACCCAGCGTGAGTCAGCACCTCTCCGATGATCTAGCAACAAAGATCATTGACTGAGATCATGCAGGAACCAAACAGAAATCGCATCTGTCCAAGCCGCTACATCCGAAGACGTCGACATCGCTGTAGTCGCAGCCCGAGCCGCTCTCGAACACCCCAGTTGGGCAGAAATACACCCATCAGCACGAGGAGAGCTGATCCGAAGACTAAGTGATCTTGTTCAAGAGAACATGGAAGACATAGCAACGCTGGAGACATGGGACGGTGGAAAGCCGTATCTAGTCTCATTGAACGAAGACCTCCCAGAGGTGGTTAGCTATCTGAGGTACTTTGCTAGCTTCGCCGACAAAATTCACGGTCAGGTTAACGAAAGTGGTGCGACCAAATTCGCTTATACAGTACGAGAGCCGATTGGCGTGTGCGGGCAGATTATCCCGTGGAATTACCCCTTGATGATGGCTGCTTGGAAATTGGGGCCGGCTTTGGCTGTAAGGAACTAGCTCTAAATAATAATTCATGCTTTGTTCTGACTGAACTGCAGTGCGGGAACACGGTGGTACTGAAACCATTTGAGCTGACTCCCCTCAGCATTCTCTACTTCGCCGACTTGATAAAGAAAGCTGGGTTTCTCCTGGAGTCATCAACATTCTGAATGGCCGTGGAGAAGAGGCAGGAACGGCGATCGCCACCCATCCTGGAATCGACAAGATTGCTTTCACCGGAAGCACGGCCACAGGGAAAAAGATCATGGAAATGGCCGCCTCAAATCTGAAAAATATTACGCTCGAGACCGGTGGCAAGTCCCCTTTACTTGTGTTCAATGACGCAGATCTTGAACAAACAGTGAAATGGGCATATGTTGGTATCATGAGCAACCAGGGCCAGATTTGCTCGGGGACTAGTCGTATCCTCGTACAGAAAGGTGTATATAAACAGTTCATTGCAGCTTTCAAGGAATATGCAGCAAGGACCAGCAAAGTCGGTGATCCTTTTCGGGACGATACATTTCAAGGGCCGCAAATCTCGAAGATTCAATATGACAGAGTCTTGTCATACATTGATTCTGGGGTCAAGCATGGAGCTCGTCTGGTGCTAGGTGGAGGACCATCAAATGAAGACGCCCCAGGCTTCTTCATATAACCGACGATTTTTACCGACGTCGCTAAAGATATGAAAATATCCCGAGAGGAGATATTCGGGCCCGTGGCTGTCATTTCAACATTCGAGACCGAAGAAGAGGCCGTTAAACAGGCCAATAATTCACCATACGGCCTTGGATGTGCCATTTTCACGCAAAACCTGGAACGGAGCCATCGGCTGGCTAGAAAGATCGAAAGTGGTACGGTGTGGAGCAATAGCAGCAATGACAGTGATTCACGAACCCCGTTTGGGGTGTCAAGCAGAGTGGCATTGGCCGGGAACTTGGTGAAGCTGGGCTCGCGGTGTATTCTGGCATCAAGTCTGTTCATGTCAACATAGGCGCTAAGCTGTAGCGAGGTGTTTAGTAGCTATATATACTAAGCTGTCGAATACTTTCACCCAAGTAGTGGTACCTTAAGTGGAGAATTTACGCTATTGTAGAAAGTCAGGTATGTATGGCCACATATATACATGCCCGGAGGGGAATCACGAAAGGCAGATGAGCCTGGCAGGCGTGAGACATTGCGAGACGGCAATCCCTCCGATAAAAACAAGTGAAAGTCTAGCCGCAACGCGCAGCAGAGTACAAACGCCAGCGAATGCAAGAATTATACAGAACGAGCCGAGGACCCAGTTACCACAACCAAATGCGCTCGCCTCACAGCAACCAGCGGAAAGTCAGGATCTCTAGAAATCAGTGACTCTTCCACCATAGCTCCAATCTCCCCCAGACCCCCATCGCAAAGGCTCATTCTTCGGTCCACCGACTTCTCCTGTCTGGGGGTTCTTCTCGCCCTCGAATTCAGGCTGCACACCGTATCGCACGTCGGGATGCAACTCCTCACCCTTGCCGGTGGCCTTGATCTCGGCCGACTCGGTGGCGGGCGCAGCTTCGGGTTCGGAATCGGGGGACTGGTTGATCTTGGGGGGCGATCGGGGGGTGCTGAAGGCTCCAGTGGATTGCTTCTGTAGTTGCTCGAAGATTTCTTGCTCTTCTTGGGGAAGACGTGGGGGAGCCGGTCCGCGCGAAAAGGCGAAGGGAGCTTTGCCGTCGGAATTGCGGAGAACGGGCTGGCTGGAGAAGGTGCGCGAGGAGAGTCGGAGGGATCGGTTTGCGGAGGCGAAAGCCCGACGAGAAATGACGGAGAGTGCCATGGTATAGTATAACCAGAGAGTGGGTGGGTGGGTTGTGTTTGACAGTTGGGACTTGGGAGTTGAGAAGGTGAAGGAGAGTGGAGTGCGGAGTGGCGGAGACGAAATCCCAAAAGTTCCCGATAAGCGATCGTCGCCCGATATCGCGGCTTTTTTCTTGACCGAATGGCCTGCTCTGTTCCTGGTCCGTGACTCAGGTTTCTCCGCTCGCTCTTCATTAAATTTGGTCCCTGTCCCTCGGAATTCGCTCAATTCCCTTTTCTTTCTCTCATCATTTGATTTTGGTTGTCGTTCTTTGAGCCAGTCCTTCCCACGCCCTCGAGATGTCATTTATTCGCGTGGCTTCGCGGCGAATGCCGCTCGCAAGGAAGCTCGTCCCTTCCATTGAGTCACCGCTTCAGCGCCGATTTGCTTCGACACAGACGCCCAACGTTTCCCAGGATGTGAAAACCCAGGCAAAGGTTTGCTCTACGATTTCTACTCTGAATATCTCAACATTAACACCATAGCAGAAGGAGGCGTCGCTGCCCAACCCCGATCCCGCTGCGGATTCGGCGACGCAGGCTTTCATCCAGGATCGAGCTCCGTATATGGTGCCTACCTACGTTCGACCGGCCCCGATGATGGTGAAGGGACAAGGATGTTATCTGTGGGATATGGAGAACCGGCGGTACCTGGATCTGACGGCAGGCATTGCCGTTAACTCTCTCGGCCATTGCGACCCTGAGATTTCTAAGATCATTGCCGAGCAGGTGCGTACTCGTCTTCCAACTGCCGATGCAAGGGAGAATGTGGTCGCTAATAGAACGCCGATCGATAGGCCGAGACTCTCATTCATGCCTCCAACCTCTACCATAACGCCTGGACTGGTGCTCTCAGCAAGTTGCTGATCAACATCACCCGCGAGTCGGGTGCCATGCGCGATGCCTCCCAGGTGTTCATCTCCAACTCCGGCACCGAAGCCAACGAGGCCGCCATTAAATTCGCTCGCAAGGTTGGCCGCTCCCTCGACCCGTCGGGCGCGAAGTACGAAGTCGTTTCCTTCCACAACTCCTTCCACGGTCGCACGATGGGCGCTCTGTCTGCCACGCCGAACCCCAAGTACCAGACTCCCTTCTCGCCCATGCTTCCGGGGTTCAAGTACGGAAACTACAATGATGTCGAGCAGCTGCAGACCATCATCAACGACAAGACATGCGGAGTGATCGTTGAGCCTATCCAGGGCGAGGGTGGTGTCAACGTTGCTACCCCGGAGTTCCTCGTGGCGCTGCGCAAGCGCTGCGACGAGGTCGGAGCCGTCCTGGTCTTCGATGAGATCCAGTGCGGTCTCTCCCGTACCGGTACTTTCTGGGCCCACGCCCATCCCTCTCTTGCGCCTGCCTCCGGCGAGGCTGCGCACCCCGATATCCTGACCTCCGCCAAGGCCCTCGGCAACGGTATTCCCATCGGTGCGACCATCGTCTCCGGAAAGACGGTTGCGGAGCACATCAAGGCCGGTGATCACGGAACCACCTTCGGTGGCAACCCTCTGGTCTGCCGCGTTGCGCATCACATCGTTGAGCGTCTGGGCTCGTCTGAGCTGCAGAACTCGGTGGACGTGAAGTCAGCTCAGCTGGTTTCCGGCCTGGAAGCCCTCCAGAAGAAATTCCCTGGTGTCATCTCGCAAATCCGCGGCCGCGGTCTGATTCTCGGCGTTCAGCTTTCCCCTGAGTACACGGCCAAGGCGTCCGAATTGATCACTGCCGCGCGGGAACGGGGCATGTTGATCATCACCGCTGGTGACGGCTGCCTTCGATTTGTGCCTCCTTTGACTATCACTGAGGATCAGATCAAGATCGCCTTGAAGATCTTGGAGCAGGCCTTTAAAGCTGTCGTCAAGGCATAGGGCGATATATAGACAAATGATTTGGGCTAGAAAAAAGATCTCGGTTTACTCTTAATTAATTCCAATAGATGACGATTGTCAAATGTTTATATTCAATGACTAACATTCTTACCTCGTCCATACTATCCTGTTACTCCGTATGACCTCTTTGGTTAGTTGCTTGATTATCCCGCACTCTTATGAAATGATACTCCCTTTCTACAACACCGCGGAAGTAAATATTTCTTTACCCCTAGGACAATTATGCTGCTACCCCTACTACGAGTATTAGTACTACTACTTATTTGGACTTCTATAATGAAAGTTAAAAGTCTACATATACGTAGTATCTTAAATACTAATGTCATAAATATGTAGGCTGTGTCTTTTCTAGATTTACCACTGTAGCATGAGTAGCTATACGGTATGTTCAAACAGGAAGGGATCGGCGATCGATTTAAGGCATCGATTGCAGTCACTAAGGCACTGATAGTAGCAGCTGGTCACGCGCTACGACCGACCGTCAACGACCGCCCCCAAAGTCCCCCCGATTTCCTTCCCATCCATCAGAACACCTGGATACCAATGGCCCACTAGCAGCAATGACTCTTCCGTTCTGATATTTAAACCCACGACATGAATCTTGATGCTTGCTCTTGAATTTGTAGCCAACTAACCAATCCATCCTTGTTCTCCTGTGATGCCTAGAACACCCGACTCAGAAGACACCCCCATGCTACCTCTCCCCGGATCCCCGTCATCCTCATGGGCCCGATTTCGAGAGCGACTCGGAGCCTTGTTCAGCGGTGCTGACCCCAGAGTTTGCGTCGCGTTCTGGCTCTTCGGTAAGTCACTTACTCGATCTGTAGCCTAGAAAACCTCGGCCGCTAACGTGCTGCGCGAACCCATCTTCGGATCATAGGTTTAATCAACAATGTTCTCTACGTCATCATCCTATCGGCTGCCCTTGACCTAGTTGGTCCCAATGTGCCCAAAGGCGTCGTCCTCCTCGCAGACGTGATCCCCTCGTTCGGAACCAAGCTCATCGCCCCGTACTTCATCCATGTCGTACCATACTCCGTACGAGTCGTAATCTTCGTGGCCATCTCCGCGATTGGCATGCTCTTGGTGGCGCTGAGCCCGGAATATACGGATGGAGGTTCGCTTTCCACAAAATTGGCGGGAATCGTGCTGGCTAGCTTGTCTAGTGGAGCTGGGGAGCTGAGTTTCCTGGGCTTGACACACTTTTATGGTCCCTTCAGTCTGGCCGCCTGGGGAAGTGGGACCGGGGCTGCTGGACTGATGGGAGCTGGTGCGTATGCACTGGCGACTACTTCGCTTGGACTCGGCGTTAAGGCTACCCTTTTGGCGTCGGCTTGCTTGCCGGCGGTGATGCTGGTCAGCTTCTTCACTGTCCTTCCCCGGTCTCAGGTTCATCTGTCATCGCGAACCTCCGCTGGATATCGCGCCGTGGAGGACCGGGATGTGGTGGACGACGAACGTGGACTGGACGACGACCGTGAGGTTGCTGTCGACGAAAGGGAAACGCTTCTAGGCTCATCTTTGGACTCGGGCGATAGTCAAAAAGCGAAACCATCGGGCAATGGTGGCATTCGGTGGCACAGTGTCAAGGCGAACTTACAGCGAGCCAAGGGGCTCTTCTTTCCGTTGTAAGTGTGGTGGTAGTGCAATTGAAACGGTTCCTGGCTAACGATTCTATTTAGCATGCTCCCCCTCCTGCTGGTCTACGTTGCAGAGTACACGATCAACCAAGGCGTATCTCCGACTCTGCTATTCCCTCTCGAAGAAACCCCGTTCGCCCATTTCCGTGCTTTCTACCCAGCCTATAACGCAATCTATCAAGTTGGAGTATTTATCTCCCGGTCCTCAACCCCATTCTTCCGCATCCATAATCTATATCTCCCTTCGTTCCTGCAGGTGATCAATCTTGCTATCCTGTCGCTCCACGCTTTATTCAACACCATTCCCAGCGTGTACCTTGTCTTCGCCATCATCTTCTGGGAGGGACTTTTGGGCGGACTGGTTTACGTCAACACATTTGCCGAGATCGGCGACCGCGTACCCAAAGAGGATCGAGAGTTCTCGCTGGGCGCGACGACGGTTAGTGACTCTGGCGGTATATGCATTGCTGGCTTTGTGAGCATGGTGTTCGAGGTTTGGCTGTGTGACTGGCAGGTTGCGCGTGGGCGGGATTATTGTCGGCGATTATAATTATAGATCGTGTTAGTTAGGTGCGATGTAGAATTTCGGGATAATCAATTAATTGTTAGAGATGTGTGAACTGTCAGATGACGACAGTCACGGGATGCGGAAGAGGCCAGCATGTGACAGGGACTCGACCGGGACTCGAGAATTCCTCCGGAGTAATCATCATCGATCCACTCCGTCGCCTCCCCACGATGCCCCGGAATGACTGGTTTTGGGCCTTGTCCATTCCTGCTCACTACCCCACATACATTTCCAATCAGCTCGTCGGTGGGGACTTTCACATGCCAGGCCCCCGTGTCCATTCCCGCCAGCTTATCCATGGATGCCCTCATGCCTGTTTTCTTGCAGGCCTGTCCTGTCTTCATTGTTCCTCGTTCTTTGTGCCAGGAGGCTCAGCCATCTTTTTTGATTGACCGACTCACTTGTCGCGGTGTCCGTTTTGAAGGGACTAGAGACTCCTGCGGTCTTGCTTACCTACGTCGCTTTCTCCAGGTTCCGTACAAATGGCGGACTTGTCATAATTGTCCTAAACTGACTTCGCTTACTGCTTTGGTGTACATTATAACCTGGTTTCGCATTTGGGCCATCCCTTCTTAACTGCAGCTCGATTTTTGCATCCCCTAAGCGTTTCACCGAAAGCTCTCGGAGACGCAAACAGCTACAATTTAGCCGGAGATGATAGGTTGGTTTCACTGCATGAGAAAGGGCAATCATATTTTAACAAAGAGCAGATCACGTCTTAGGACGGCCGTCGACCAAGTTTCGCAAGATCCAGGTCTTCGCTGTCTTTCTGTTCTGGTCTACCTATCTGCTTAGGTGCGGTAGTATCCCTGTTCACCCTGCTTCCGAGAGGATGTAACTGACAATGGACTCAATAGAGGGAACAAGCATGGTCCCCCGGTGATACGAAAGCTCTCGTCCCGTCTCTCCCAGAAACTGAGTGTCTGGCAAACCACGGTATTCGTTTTCCTATGGCTTTACATCTGTCGAAACTTTGCGAAGATCGTGGGCTTGGAGTGTCCGGAACCCTTGTCCAATTTATACTCGCGTTCGTTCTTCCGGGCAACATGGATTGCCACGGCTCTGGATGCCGGGTTCTGGACGGCTATGAACGTCAAGCCGAAATGGCTGCGAGATATCTCCTCGTTAGTCTTCACGGGCTACTATCTGTTTGCGGCAGAGCAGGCCGATGAGAAGGTCCGTCGGGTTCGAGCCACCCTGACGGTAGAGCACCTGCGAGTCTCTTGGAACAAGGCTACCACGCCGTATCTCTGGGCTTTGGCGAGTATCATGCGACCACGACTTACCAGATATTCGCCGCGTGCAATCCGGATCCCTCGTCCGGGACAGTCTTCGTACACCGAGCCAACGAATGCATGGCTTTACTTTGATGGACCGTTGAGTTCACTGCGCGACCAGACCTGCATTATTCTCGATATCCCGGGTGGTGGGTACGTGGCTATGAGCCCTCGGTCTTCGGAGGACCGACTACTTGCGTGGGCAGGAAAGACCAAAATCCCGATTCTCAGCCTGGACTATAAAAAAGCGCCAGAGTATCCTTATCCGTATGCTCTCAACGAGTGTTACGATGTCTATCACATGATTGTCTCTACTCGCGGCCGTTGCGTGGGACTGAGCGGGCAAACGCGTCCACGAATTGTCTTGACCGGCGACAGTGCCGGCGCGAACCTCGCTGTAGGGACAACACTCATGGCTCTCCAGTCTGGAGGCCCGAACGCTCCTCGGTGGCAGGGCGACAATATCCTGCCGCGCCCTGATGGCTTGGTTCTGGCATACCCGACGCTGAGCATGAAGGTTGAAAGCTGGATGACGGAGGAACAGATGTCTTTAATCCAGGAGAAAAGCACACGCCGGACTAACCAGAGTGTCCTGCAGCGGAAGAACATGGACTACCAGCGATTAACACCGTTCACCTCCCCCGGTCCCTCTGTCAGCGACTTTCGAACCAGTCCTTTATCTGATGGCGAGGCAGAAGCGGATGGGGTCGTGAAGGAAGCTTCAAAGATAATCGAGGAGGAGTTGGCCCAAGATAGCATCGCGGCCCAGGCCGTTGAGATGGCCGAGAGTCAGCCGAAGCAGATCCGAACGCGGTTGGCTGTCTCTTCGATGATCTCATACGTCCACGACCGCATGTTGACACCCGAGATCATGAGGGCCTTGATCATCTTATACATCGGTCCTCACAACCGCCCTGACTTCGGTACCGACTTTCTTCTGTCCCCCGTCCTTGCGCCAGACGCCCTGCTTTCCCGTTTCCCGAAGACATATTTCATTACCGGGGAACGGGACCCCTTAGTTGACGACACCGTGATCTTTGCCGGTCGACTACGGCAGGCGAAGTTGCATCAGTTCCGCGAGCGTCAAGAGTTGGGTCTAGAAAAGTCATGGCGCACCTTCAAAGAAAAGGACCACGTCGAGGTATCTTTGTTGCCCGGGGTGTCGCACGGCTTCCTCCAGATGGCGGGATTCTTCCCGGAGAGCTGGAAGCACATCAATCGATGCGCCTCGTGGATCCAGGATCTGTTTGAAGCGGCCGAAAGAAAGAAGGCCTCGCCCAGTTTCCCCCAATCCTTGATCGATACCTCCAGTTTGCACAAGACGCCGAGCAAAGCAAATAGCAACAAAGAACGGAGCCGCAATCACAAGCGAAGTCTGACGGGCGAATCCTCAGCCGACGAGGATAAACCGTTGGAGATGAGCATCGGCAAGATGACACCTCTCAACCCGGGCGAGAGCCATCCTGGTCACACTCGCATTCAGCGATCCTTCAGCAGTGGCGCCCAGCTGATCAGCCAAGGGATTCATTCCGACAATGAGGTTCCCCGGTCCCGAAGCGTCTCGAGAGGACGCACCCCGCGGCCCAGCGGACTCGCGAGAAAACGGCGGTTTGCGCCTACATCCCTGAAAATGCCCAGCGTGAACGGGTACACGTCCGACGGAGCGGAAAGCCCGGCGTACTTTCGACGCAGGGAAGGCAGCATGGACAGTCTCTCCAGCGAGGAGGATCTGCTTCACCGCCGAATGACTGGGATTGCGGGAGGATTGATGGGGATTGGCGAGAGAGCGCAAACCCCGTAAGGTCTGAGTACGGAGTACGGCGTAACGACGCAATGCGAATATGACAGGGGTTGGACACGGGAATTGGGTCGGGATAGAGCGAGAATGATCTTTCTTGATTTTTTATGTTTATGCACAGCACAAGGATTAGTACAGCGATAAGAATAGACTGCTATCACCACCCGATCTGATTCGCATGTGATCGTGTCCACGCTGGATGCAGAACATGTGATTGTGGACCGCCCCACGACGGTTTTCTTGCGACTATCCAGAGTCGAGAACATATCTTTGGCATAACCCAGGACGTGGGCTCCGTGTCCGCATCCTGTGCTACGACGGAGGATTTACCCTTAATTCCTCTTCTGCCTTAAGAAAATCAAGGTTCTGGAAGATGACATTCGCATAGGGCTACGCCACACGCACCACCCGGGTTGCTATGGCTGCCAACCGGGTTGCCGTTGTCGGCCCGATGGCTCGACACTATACCAACTGAAGATGTCCGTATCGTAGGAACCGAGTCTGAAGCTGAAGAATCAAACCCGCCAATTGACATGTGACAGTCACATGCGCCCAGAACCCCGTGGTCCAGTGCTAACCCCATTCGGACTAGCGCAGGCAGGTGACTGCAGCCCTATCGCCCGATCTTTCTCCGTCGGAATCATGAAATCCAGCATCTGTCGGCAAGGATGATGAAATAATCAATAATCCATCGTCCTTCCCTCCCTGGCCTGATTCATGCCCTCGGACGCCGCTGACCGAATATGCTGTGTTGTCCCTCGTGTCGGTAGCCTGAACGTGCCTGTCTTTTCCCCTATTAGGATTACTCCCGATGCTGTCAGCAAAACCTATTCTTATCCGCTGTCAGCCCAGCGTTCTGCCGCCCCGTTGTGCTGTGCTGTTAGTTCATTTCAGTGCCAGAGCCTCGGCAACCCGAGTCCCCGATAAGGTGAACCACCGGAATTGGGTAGCCTGACACCATACCTTACTATAGCCACCACAGCCATGCGGATATCATACCCTTCGGAGAAAACCGACGGGGACTGGATCCACCGTTCTTCTTCCAAGCAACGTTTCCATTATGTTATCTTCGTTCGGAAGCAGTTTGTTTGCTCCTCTCTGCCAATGTCGACGGCGATGGTCCGGTTTTTTTCTACCCTGCGGCTCTTGGCATGATGAGGACTTTGCAAGGCTCCGGGCCTCGTTCCAGCTGCCCCGTTTGCCATTGGATGGGAGAGTCGGTAGAGTCGGTCAGGTGGGTATAATGGTGTGTAGAGATTAGATGTGGGCGAAAATGTGAATAGTGGATATGGGTGGCCTGGTCTTGTTTTGAAAAATTGCCCCTTGGTATATCTTTATCTGCTGGTCTCACTTGGGTTGGCTTGGATTGTATTTTGTTGTTGATTTTTCGCAGCATACTTCCTATTGTATCACTTTACTTTCATGTCCATACACGGCATATCTTACATTAATTTTTCTCGAGTCAATTGATCATGTCGAGAGCACCCAGTGTCCCTGACTCGGCGGTGACGATGAAGGCCAGGCCCTACGTCGACTTCGATGGCCCTGAAGATCCTTTGAACCCTCTGAACTGGCCCATGAAGAAAAGGTTTGTCGCATTGATTGAGGTTTGACTGAGTGCTGACAGTCTGTTACCTAGGGCATATATTTGCGCTATACTGGGCCTGAGTACCATGGTCGTCGCTTTCGCCAGTAGTATTTTCTCCCCTGCCATACCTGCTTTGATGGCCGTGTACGGTATCAGCAGAGAAGTCTGCACCTTGGGTATCTCCCTCTACGTGTTCGGATTCGCCTTTGGTCCTCTGGCTTTCGGCCCCTTCTCCGAACTGAAAGGGCGATACTTTCCCCTGCTTGTCTCCATCTTCGGTTTCACGGTCTTCTCCTTCGCCACCGCCGTCTCGAAAGATGTACAGTCCCTCTTCATCCTCCGCTTCTTTACCGGCTTCTTCGGTTCCGGACCTCTCACCCTCGCCGGCCCGGCATTCGCAGACATGTTCTCTCCGCAGCAAAGAGGCATCCCTATCGTCATGTTTTGCTTGATGGTCTTCATCGGACCCCTAGCAGCGCCGTTTGTCGGCGGCTTCATCGTCATGAATGACTCCATGGGCTGGCGCTGGACGGCCTACATCCCCGGAATCATGGGCGGCTTTGTCCTCATTCTGCTCCTGCTCTTCGTCGAAGAGACCTTCCAGCCCGCTATCCTCACCCAGAAGGCCAGCCGCCTGCGCCACGAAACGGGCGATTGGTCACTGCACTCCAAGCAGGAGGAAAAGCGCATCGACTTCCACACCATCCTCACCGAGAACCTAAGCCTACCGCTGAAGATGCTTACCCGCGACCCCATCACCCTCTGCATGTGCGGCTTCGGGGCGTTTGTTTACGGCTTACTGTACCTCTTTCTCACGGCCTACCCGATGGTCTTTCAAGGCGTCCACCGCATGAACCTCGGTGTCGGAAGTCTGCCGTATATCGGAGTGATTGTCGGGCAGCTCTTCGGGGCCGTCGCGATCGCCGCTACGCAGCCGTGGGTGCTACGCAAAATGGAACGGAACAACGGCGTCATGATGCCTGAGTGGCGTCTTCCTGTGGCTATTCCCGGCGCGGTTGCCTTCTCCGCCGGATTGTTTTGGCTCGGCTGGACGGGGTATAAGGCCAGTTTTCACTGGATTGTGCCGACTTTGTCTGGCCTGTTGACGGGATTTGGTCTGTTGACTATGTTCCTTCCTTCGTTGGCTTATCTGGTGGAATCTAGTGAGGACAGGTAACACTCCTTCTGTCCCTTTTTTCAATCATTCCTCATACCTCGAACATAAATCTAACGGATTCAATAGAGCTGCATCCGCTGTCGCCGCACACACATTCCTCCGATCAGCCGCCGGTGGCGCATTTCCGCTTTTCGCGAAACAGATGGTAAGCCCGCCTCACCATCCATCACATCCCTAAGCCTGTATTACTTGAACTAACGAATTTGATAATCTAGTTCGACGGCCTAGGTGTGGAATGGGCTTGTACGCTACTGGGCTGCGTCGCCGCCCTGTTCATCCCCATTCCGGTTCTTCTATATATCTACGGGGCGAAAATTCGGAGCAAGAGTCGGATGGAGGTTTAGACATTTTCACATTCTGTTTGTTACTATATTTTCTTCTTGTTTGAAACTTAGACTTTGGTTTGATATGGGTTTATTGTTTAATATCTTGTGGTCTACGAGACTGGCATTTGGAGCCAGGTCTTTATAAATAATAAGAGCATATACTTATTCTTTTTTTATAATTTCACATTGTCTTGACAACTATGCCCTAAACTTAATCTTTAAGTTCAATGAGTATTTGTTCTTATCAATTGACTGAAGCTTACATTATTTTGTACTCAATGAGACAGTTTCATCCCAACGCTCGAATGATCCTATCATTTATGGATTGGTAGGCAGCATACTGAATGGAATGAATGACGTCGGCTACATAAAATTGACCCATCAGCAGCACCAAGGTGTCCTGACGCCAGCTTCCACCCACTCTTGCGAATGCGCCATCCTCACTCCATCACCCGTGGAATCAATTTACACATCAACGGAAGCTTCTCCCAGAGGGTGTAAGTTTTTTGCTGATTCCAATGAAGACTCTCAGCTTGAAGCTCAAGATCGAAGTTCCACAGCACACGCGCAAGGATGACGCGCATCTCGGTGTATGCCAGATTCTTCCCGATACAATTCCGCGGTCCCACAGAAAACGGCTGCAGGACGTCGCGCTGGTCAGCGAAGAACGGCGACGACGGGTCGGTCTTGACTTCGGGGAACCAGCGCTCGGGAATGAAGCGGTCTGGGGCGTGGAAGTTCGTGGGGGAGATGTATGCGCTTGATTGGTGGACAGAGACTTTGGTCTAGATAAATAGGCGGTTAGTGGGTTGGGGAATGAAGGTTGAATGCATGACTGGGAAGCTTACCTTGGCTGGGACCTTGTAACCAGAAATCACGGATGGGTCGAGGGTCATGCGTTGCAGATCCCCGGGCACTGGCGGGTACATACGAAAGGCCTCGCTCAGACAGGCCATCATATAAGGGAGTCGAGTCGTGACGTTGTTAAAGGTAATGTCCGCTTCCGAGGCCATGGTGGTCCGGACTTCCTGTACAGCCTTCTCCATGGCATCGGGGGACTTGAGGAGCCAGAACGTCACGCCGGAGAGCAACGTCGCCGTGGTCTCGCTGCCGGCGATGATCAGGATATTCGCATTGGCCTCGAGTTCGGACTTGCTTAGTCCGTCTTTTTCTCCACGATGCCGTAACATGGAGTCCATGAAGTCAGCCCGGTCGTGAGCAGGAGGATTGCGGAGTCGTTTTTGAACGGTTGTTCCGACGTGCTCGATTTGTCGCTCCCTAGCTTCGAGGAATGATTTGGGAATGAAGGCGAGTAGCATGCTGCAGAAAATGGGGTACGAGTCCCTCGCCTTGAGGAATGGGATAACCTTGACGAAATCAAAGACGGTGGACACCCAGTGATGGTATGTTGAGGTTTCCAACCCACCAAAGGGCTCGCCGAACGCAAGGTCTCCGATCAAGTCAAACGTCGTCAAGTTATACCACTTGACCATATCAAGTGGAAGACCTGATTCAGCAAATCCCTTAAGCCGCTGGATGAGTCTATCCACGTATCCGTTGATGAGAGGCTCCTGTGCCTGAAGTCCCTTGGCGGAGAAGGCGTGGGACAGGGCTTTGCGGAACCGAGTATGATCTGTGTCATTGGCGCTGATGATATCATCTCGATTGCTGGCCGAGGATAGGACTTTTGGTAGCTGTTTGTGACCATGGCCGTAGATGTCTTTCCAGGCTTGCGCGGTAGTGAATGATACACTGTTTGGGCTAAGTCGGACGGCTTCTCCAAATTTCGCGTGGAGCTCCCGTGTGTCGATGTCCAGTCTTCCTCGGAGGGCTGAAATATGCCTAAGAATTGGGAATGCGATCCATAGTTTTGGTCCGGGGATGTGTCGCAGTGGATGGAAGAAAATGTTCCAAATTGCTGTTGCACAAACGTAGAAAAGATAGATGGAGGGGACAGCAAAGAGGGCAGGTGACATCTTAGCCAGGAAAGGAAGGGGTTCCACAATTGAGCGAGTTTATGTATTTTTCATTCGGTATGTAGACAGACAGTAGATACTGCTACTTCAAAATAATGCATCAGGAATTTGTTCTGCTTTTTATACTTCCTGAGTCGTCTTCTTATTGCTCCTTCTTTCTCTTTTTCCATGCTGGCCGATCCAGTAGGGGATACAGTGTCCAATTGCAGCCCAGAGGAATCAAACACAATAGCATCATTCCATCATGCACGTTTGTGATTGACACTGGCCTGACACAGTGCATGAAAATCCTGATCGGGGTGAAGATTCTATGCGGGGTATTGCAGTACAGGACGTTCTTATGAGCTACTCTCGTTGCATAAATTGTCGATTAGATCTTGATAAACCAGCTGAAATAGGCTACATTGACACCAAATAGTGCAGAGAGTATAAAATCAAACAGAAATGTCATAAAGGCACAGATGCCCTGTATAGACGCGGTCATTTCCTGCCGAATTTCAGGCATAAAACGGTGTTATGAACTATTCTAGCTGCATAACCCGCCAATCCAAGACTTCACCAAGATCAACATGCATTGAAACAAGTCCAGACCTCGCGGGAATCTCCCCGTAGCGTGCATTTGTATTCTAATTATGCGTAACCAACCCACTTTTACTTGCCTGATGAGGCAACCGGGATTTTATGCTTGAAATTCGGCCCGTCCCCGCCTCGCGACAGTAGGGCTGGGGTCATTGCCCGCTTTCGTGGCGTACGTCATGCAGAGTTTACGATTCAAATATATTTAGCATCATGGAATGCATAGAGGACAAGCAACATCTCCAGAAAGGCATTGTCTTGAACTCCGCAGGGGGGTTTGATAGGATCTCAGAATTATTGGTCTAGCTAACTGAAAACAGAAGAATACCCCATGGCTATCTCTTACAGACAACGTCTATCTATCTATAATCAGTTGTTGCTAATTTCAAAAACCTAACTAGAGTATTATCTTATATGTAGCTTTCAATGTTGTGGAGGACCCAGGGAAAATTCATTGTACTACCAAGCGTGGCCTTCGTAGCCCTAATCGATTGAGCTGCTTTGGTATTAAACTCCTTTTTGAACAATACCGTGCGTGGGTCTTTACCTACTACTCTAATAGAAATTTAATTGGTAAATGTATACAATTATGGCGTAGGTAATAGATATAAATAAAGAACTATTAACGCCATGTTTCTTCAAGCTACTGACGTTACGATAACAGCAATTCGAGCGTGCCGTCGATGGTCCGCTAACTTATTCCGAGCGACTTGCATAACAGGAAATCACTACTAGATAAATATCTTACATATCGTGACTGAAGTATTAGGACCTTAACTGTTTAACGTGTGCTAAGATAGAAGTGTACGTGCTGTATTTTGCAAAGAGCTCAAAGCCCTTCTCTTTCTAAATATCGCTATCGCCGTAGCCGTAGGAGGACGATTTATAGCTATGGCCCTGTTAGGATTTAGTTTAGCATCAGAAACGATTATGTGATCCAGCTTATCCGGTAACTGAATACTAAAATCAAGTTCTGGTAGATGATGTATGTTTCTATGTATTTTAATGCCGGATTACCTTTTTGCAACCAGAGCTTATCGTCTATCAAAACCTGATTTAGGCATACTATCTTGAAACCGATTTCGCTGTTTTCCTGCACATTAATGTCACTACAGGTCGAACTACGAATATATAAAGACACCATAACAAACAATTGGCGGACCGTCAAGCTCCTTGCCCACCTACAGCGACCATCCAGAAAGGTATCAGTATAATATCCATCCGCAGCGTCAAAATGAACGACACAATCACAAAGAAACAGTACGAAGAGATCTGCACCAACTTCCTTGATTCAATTAACTACCGCCTCCCATCCCATACGTCAGATGTCAGTCTCTACGACGCCGTAACCGACCTAATCCGGGGACACGGCATCGAGCCACAAAAAGCCACAAGCATCGCCCGAACCGGCACCGCCGCAGCGGAGTTCTTCTACCCTCTCCATCCGCGCGCCACTAAACTCGAGATAGCAACCTTTACAGCTCTTTTCTTCGTCACTGAAGACCTGACTGAATCGTGTCTCGATGGTTTGAAGAACTTTCGACAGAACCTTGTGCTGGGAAATCCTCAGCCGAGAGTCCTGCAGTCTTGGTTGGATAGTAATCGTCGCTTGGATGCCCACTATCCCCAGTTTAGTGTGGACCGGATTACACACGGAATGATGAGTTACGTTAGCTCTGTTACAATTGAGAAGCTGGTCCCAGAATCTTTCTTCAGCCCAGGGGTTTGTGGAGGATGCGGTGGTAGTAATGATATCAAAGCACCGCAGTTCCCGCGATACTTTCGAGGCATGACGGGGATTCCAGATGTATTTGCCTATTTCATCCTAACGGACGAGTTATACAGCCTAAGCCGACTGACGAGATTGACGTTCATGGCGCCGGATTTGAATGATTTCACCAACGGAGTCAATGACCTGCTCTCGTTCTACAAGGAGTCTGTGGTGGGTGATGAGACGGGGAATTTCGTCCACCAGGAAGCATTCGTCCGCGATACTGGTATATCTACGGTCTTGGAAAGATTGGCTGAGGATATTGTGAAGAGGATCGAGAATATTCTGGACACGGCGTCTCGTGATGTTGTGCTTTTGGAATTTACGGAGGCATATATCATGGGGTATATTGCTTTCCATTTGAGGGAGCCGAGGTATAGGTTCTCGGAGTTGGATATTCCATGTTTGCAGTTGTGTTGAAGGATCAGATGTTGATTAATGGCTGTAGTCTTGTGATTTGCTTATTCTTTTTGATCGAGGAGACGAAATTGGGATTAATTGATGAAGATGTTAATGCTACTGCGGATCATTGCGATGAAGACTCAATTCTCAGGCTGTCTGTATCAAGTGTGGCAGTGAACGAGTTTCTTATTTTTTTTGTTTGACTAACTTTATCTCAATCGCTGTTTTTTGTATTTTTAGCAGAATAGCTATGGTTAGTGGTGTTGTTCATCCTGCGATACCTTGCCTGAACCCAACGCCTTTCATATAATTCACTATCCCACCGCCGACACCAACAGTGGCTAACGGTAGCATATCAATATCGGCATCCGTTGCGGCAAACGTTAGGTCAACCGTCAAGCACCAGTAGAGTCCCGGGCAGTAAGCCTGCAAAAATAACGACATGCGCTTCCAAAGAAACCCGAATGCCATTTTTGAAGGAGCCAGGATCGGGTAGGCGAGGAAGAGGACAAGGTCAAGACATTTCTGCTGGTATTTCGAGATCCGTGAGACGAACTTATGTACTATGGACGTAGAGTCAGCTGGTCATCATTCATGTCTTTTCGACGATCACATACGCTCTGCCATCTCCTCGTCGCTCAAATCTAGCCGAAAGTACTCTTGTCCAGCGTCTATCGCTTCGATCTCCCTGGGTTTCCACACCCTGCCTGCATTGCAGACGACCGGCACGGTATCGCCGGCGCTCGCATCGTTACTGGAAAATGGCGGTTTTGTTGGAAAGTTAGGGTAATCCCAGAACTTTTCACCGGCGAATCGCTCCCTTAGGGTCAATGAGTTGTCGTCCCATTTACTACTGTCCATGAGACAGAGCGCGGAGTACGGGCTATAGGTGCGCCGCGAGATAAGTCTCGGCAAAGCACTGCGGTCCCGGCTGTCCCAGTTAATCAGGGAACATGTGCCCTCGGGTATCGGAACTATCTGTCCAGAGGACTTGTCAAACGGGGCGGTCACAATGACGGCGACTCGTTTGCCTATGTTCACTTTTAATGATTCTTCGGTGGGGATAACCGGCGATTGAGGGGATAATTGACTAACCTCTGCGTCCAAAGAAGCCTGGTCTCTCATCGGTAGCTGCTTCCAAATCCTTGGTGGAAGATGCTGGTCCGCCATCTAGGACTTTGACCTTGGGTGTTATATGTTTCTGGGTAGAATTAAAGGAACCCATTGGAGCTTTAGACCTGTTATGAAAGATGGAGTAAGCGGGAGTGATGGATAAAGAAAAAGGGTGAGAGCCAGGAGGGCCGAGAAAGAGATCTTACTTCAGTATTTGAAAGCAGTCCAATAAACGACCATCTGTTCTTGTCTATGAACGTCATTAGATATCAAGGACGGAATGACGGGTTTTCGTTCCGAGCTCCTGGTGTGTTGCACGTTCCATTGCTTCAACAAAGTCTATGCCACTTGTTTCAACGCTTTCGTTCTAGAGGAGAAGTATTTCCGCTGGAGACCAACTTTATAATGTGTACAGGGCTTAGGTTACATGGGAGCAATCGATCGTGCCGTGGACGGGATCGGAGCAATCTTGATTTTGTATGGTGCTGGTCCTAGAAGGGCCGTCAAATATTGCTGTGCTCAACCTATCACAATAGAAATATGTATGGATTACGATATTCATGCATCAATAGATAAATTAAGTTGGCTCCTAGCCTTGAATTCTTTGGTTGGGTAAAGAACGCATTTAACAACAACATTCAAAGCGGGTCAGCGCCGCACAACTATCAAACATGGTTAGCAAGCTTCCCCTGTTATCAAAAATTAACAGACGCTGAGACATACACTCCACAGCAAGTCCCACAACAGCCAGGTCCATCGTCGCCCTCCCCACCTCGGAGTTGCATCTGCGTAGCTTGAGGCTTCTAGAAGCACCAAAATGATTAACCTGGCACAAATACTGAAAGTGAAAGGAATGAGTCGTCATACAGCTTGCTCTATGACTATGTTGGAGGAATCCATATCCATATCTTTAGACCCGGAGGGTTGGTGCATGGTCAGTGTTGATGCATCCCAGGCGGGCTCCTGGGTGACGTTATCGCTTTTGCGGAACCAGGTGAACATATCTGCAAAGCGAGTTCATCTGGGAAGGTTAATGCGAACGTCTAATTTCGCGGGAGATGATGCTCCTTATGTAGGTGTTTCAAAACAGCTGCCTTACAATGGCTATAGTAAGTGCAATCCGCGGGTGCCGAGTATCGTAAAGATAGGTAAAACCTCGCCCACTGATAGGCTCTATTGTTGGCGCTAAGCATTCCGATAGCTACAGCAAATGTTTCCACGAAGATCCACTGTTCTATAATCGCTAAGAAGGCTTGAATATAGGTACACGGCCTCAGGAGCAAGGTCTTGGTCTATCATTCCGGAAACGGCCACATCCGCCTTACATCGTCCGGTGACTTTTCTCCCGCCATTCGCTCAATAAACATCGATAGCAGCTCCTTATTCTGACTTTTCCTCTTCTCAAAATCCACCTGCAGCGATATCCATCCTTCAGCGTCAGTACCTAGCGATTCCATCGCCAGCTGCTGAGCATCGTTCCACTCCCTATACCTCTCAAATTGCTCCCCATGAGACCGGATCTCCTCCGAGTTGAATGAATAAGAACACTGCCCCATCATACCGAGATCAGACCAGTTTTGAAATATCTCAATCAAACACTCTCGTAGCGGTACGATCCCGACGGAAGATACCTCTTCGAGGCGGAGAAAAGCTCTCGAAAAACACGCGGCACATTCATGGCGTTATAAACGGGTCTATTTTCAAGAAAAGTGGATAATTCATATGCCCTTGCCATTTTGGACAGGTCCCACTGATTTAAAGTAAATGGTTTGTCTTCTTGATCCAGGTCATCGAAGTTCTCGGGGAGGGTAGGCTGTATAAAGCCTTGAGGATACTCTCGAGGAGGTTGCAGGAATTCAGGCCAGCGGGTTTGAAGAAATAGTGGGCGGATGGAGAGTGATTGGATGTCGATTAGGGATGTGATTCGGGAGTTGTCATCCGGTGTAATGAAGATGTTTCCCATAAGGTCTGTGTGCCATAGTGTTGGTTGGGAGAATTGGGAGAGAATGGGGTGTGAGTCTAGCATCCGCATGAGTGCTATTGTGGCTTCGAGAAGGCTGGCTTGTTCTTCATTTCTTCCACGGCAGATGAGTGAATGGCTCTCTGGTGTTTGTCTCTTAATGAGAGAGAACTGTCATTTCGCAATTGATATCCCCAGATCTGATAATCTAGTCCCTGTACAAGTATTGATCGTTAGCTTGAACTGGTAGGGGGGTATAGAATGCTCCGTTATCCACAGACCCATCCTCGCCAACTACCCCATCAGCCGCATCAAGTTCATAAAAAGACGCTTCAGGCGAAGGACCAACGTAGAACAAATTGTCTTTATCCACATCGTCATCAATATCTTGGTGTTTTAAGCGACTCGCATCATCCCGCAAATACAAACCCCCATATGCAGGGAACGAGGTGGCCGATGATTGTGCTTCAAGTTGGGTCAAGTGCTTTATTAGCTCCATTTTCTCGATCTCTGCCATCTCCCCCCATCGATCGTATAATTGGACCCCATTGGCTTTCTCCATGAGTATATACTCTGCTTCGACAGGGTTCGAGATATCAGAGGACCAATTCAAGACGCGAGGGACGGGGATGGTGGTGTATTTCCTTACTGATATATCACGAACCGATCAACCACCCAATCAGCAAACCACATTCCGCACAAAATATGCTGAGGATCCAGATGAGAAAGAGGATATAGCGAGAACATACGATATTCCGACACCCCCACCTCTGCAGCCGTCGTGAGCACCGCCGGACCAGCAATCCGATACGGAATTTTCGCAATCACTTCCTCTCCATTTTCCTTCCTCATTAGTAAAGCTTTGCTAAACCCTCCTTCTAGTTTCTCGATTGCCGTTATTCGGGATATACCCCCATTACTAGATGAAGTTGAGGCAGCGACATCGCAGAGAGCGTCTATATTGAGTTCGCGGTATCGTTTAGAAAATTGACCCTCTTCGTTGACGAGGAAACGACCGCTTGTGTATGTGAATAGTTCTGTGCGGGGCATGGGTTTGCCTGTTTGTTTGGGTAGGTTGTATGTGGTTTAGCTTTGGTGGGACCTTGGAATAGCTCATTATGGAAGGGTTGTCAGCCTGCCTGGGTTGAATGCCTACCTCGGCAAAGGATAGATAATTGCGCGACAGGTTGGGTGTGGCGGAGGGGCTTAAGGCGTCGGGTGAATGGGAACATAGTACAGTATATATCAGGGCCCTAGGTAACTAGGAAGTCGACGTTCTTGTGGGTGAGGACGTGTGAAAATATATCCGAGAAAGGCGTAGTATTCGATAGCAAGACTCAAGTACGGGAAACAATGGTAGGTCTCCTCTGTTTAAATTAATGATAAATAAAAGTTCATTGACGAATAGGAGATGCACCGTTGAGTTGCTTGGAGGCGACAGTTGATGGACGGTGGATGCAAGAAGTAAACAAACCGACACGGCGTGGCGGTAAACCTGGTTGGTCAGATGCATTTTCCCTGCTAGATTTACTGCCTTACATGCATACGATCAAAAACAAACCAAAACTAAGAATCAAGCACATCAAATCCGAGGAAAATTGTAATTAACCAATCTAGAATAAATTCATCTAATCTATTACATATCTTACATCTTCGCCTTCTCGGACTGGGCGGCCAGGTCGGGCATGAGCATGTCCCTCAAGTCCGAGGCGGCCTCGTTCAAGTAGTAGCTCATACGCTCAGCGCCGATGCGTTTGCAGACAATGTTGAAGTTCAGGCTATTAATTGTATCATTAGCATGAGATTCTGGCAAGCTAGGAAGGTTAAAAGGGGGAAATACCTGTTCTCGTTGATCATGTAGGCAATACCGAATCCGTCATCAATGACCTGGCTCCATCCGTAGCCGTTGAAGAATTCCGAACTCAGCTGACTGGTCGACAGGTACCAGGAGCCACTGTAAGCGTAGGCCGGGTCCTCGTACAGAGCGGGCAGCTTCTCGCCCTCGCGGAGCAGCTTCTTCAGACCGAACAGGTGGCGGTCGACGCCGCGACCGTCGCTAGCCTCCGCAGTGTACTTGGAGTGGGCGGCCAGCGCCGAGCGGAAGAGACGCACGGCCTCCTCGCGGGGCACGGCGGGGTCGGAGATCGCCTTGCAGAAGGCCACGCTGTCGTCCGACACGGTGCGGATGGTCTCGGTACGGCCCTCCTGGAACTTCCGCGTCGACGCCGACTCGTACGTGGGCCGGTTCTTGCCGTACATCTTGAAGTAGGCTAACTGGATGAGCATCTGCACGTAGGCATCCGGGCTGCACTTGAACTTCTTGATGAGGCCCTTGCCGTAGCCCTGGTAGGCCTGCACGCGCAGCTCGTGCGAGGCGATCTGCTGGCGGTGCTCCTTGGTGGCAGCGTCGATCGACTCCAGCACCTCATTGTTCAGGTGGAAGTTGATGGGGCGGGGATCGGGCAGCTCCGATCGCACCTGCTGCGCGGACAGGTCGATGCGGTTGTTGAAGATGAGGTTGTTGAGGTGGTCGTTCATGCGGTGGGTGGGGCTACCGTCCATCATGCTGTGCTCGCCCATGAAGCCGGCGGTGCCGTTGTCATTGATGATGAATTGCAGCGGCTTGTCGAACCAGCGGTTGGCGCCGTCACCGTGCCAGTACTGGTGCGCCCGCTCCTCCAGGGTCACGGGGTTGGCATCGTCGAGGCAGATCACGAATCCGCTGGACTCGATGTCGCGCAGCGCCTGCTCGTTGGCCGGGTGCGCCGCCACCAGCTTCTTCCGGGCGTCGGTCCAGAGGTCACGGTTGGCCACGGTCAGCGTGCCGACCGCCGGAGCCGGCTGCGCGACCTGGTAGATGCGTTCAAACTGCTGCTCCAGCTCCGACACGTTCAGCTTCTGGCCGTTGACCACCAGAGGCACCTTGAAGAACTGGTTCTTGCGCACCACCACGATGTGCTCGTTGTCTTTGGCGGCGTACTTCTGGGGGTAGTCCGCGCCGTCGGCGGGGATACGGCAGCAGTTGAACATGTACTCGTACGAGCTCATGGCCATGGGCTGGCTGCGCATGTACTCGGGCTCTAGCGAACCGTCGTCAACCTGGCGCTTGAACTCCAGCGCCGCGGTCGCTACGGACGCGGCTCGCTTGGCGGGGTTGCGCCGGGCGCGGTCGTCCCGGTAGGAGTAGAAGTAGGACACATAGGGAATGACGGGGTCGCGGTACCCCAGGTAAGCAGCGTGGTTCCACCACTCGGTGAGCCAGTTCTTGTTCTTGGGATCGGCGGCGCGGGCCAGCAGCCGTTCCTGCAGAGGCTGGCCTTCACCACCGGGCTTCACGAAAGCGTCCACGGCCTTCTTGGTGCGCTCATACTCGGCGTCCGAGACCAAGGCGTGGACGGACTTCAAGTAGCGACGGGCGGTTTCTTCCAATGTAGGGACGGGTAGACGGGGGAGAGAATCTTCGAAACGAAGTAGGTTGCCTTTGGAGAGGTCTTCCTTGTAACCTGGAGGAAAACGGGTGTTAGAAACGATCGAGGTGCGTCCTGCGCATTCATGTGATCGAACTCACCCTCCGGGACCGACGAAGCCTTGCGCCGAGGGGCCATAATTGGAGCCTGCAAAATGAGAATTAGTATCGTATCCACGAGAATAGAGATCAAGAATTCCGAGCGTACCGCGGCAGATCTGGCGAGGAGCGTGTTGGTCGGGGAGAGACGCGGCCGTGAAAGAGTGGTGGAGAGACGGCTTCGAGCAGAAGCTGTGAACATCCCTCTGGAGTGTGACAAAAACGGATGAGAAAGAAAGGAGTGGAGGATGGAGAGGATGGGAGGTAAGATATGAGATTGAGAGGTAAGAATGGGAGGGTATAAATCCAGGAGAGGGAGTGGGCAGAAGAAGAAGGAAGAAGAACAAGAAGAGAGAGAGACAGAAGAGAGCGAAAGGAACCTCGGCTGGAAGGAAAGCGTCACAACCGATCGGTGGCCGGTTTCGTATGGTCACGGGGCCGCGGGATGCCGGCAGAAGAGACGGTTCTCCGCACTAAAAAGGCGGTAATACGGATACCGTCGCAAGACGGCACGACGTAATGGGGCGGGAGTCTTCGCTCTCCCCAGACGTGGCGGCGTTGGGCCTCGGTTCGCTGCGCTGGACTGGGAATGCCTCCCCGACGATGAGATCCACTCCGATGAATTATTGGATCATGGGATGATCGGTTCTACGCTATGAATACTCTAAACTAAACTCATCTCTACAGTCTGCACCGTTCTTCCTCTCCGACTCTCGTGCTGGATCCTGGAGATGGACTCGTCTCACTTCCCAATGCGGGGAGAGCTGCAGATGCTTGATAAGTCAGGCATACTTATCAGGCATCAATACAACTGCTTCACATCCATGGATCTATACGGAGTCCATTCCAGCATATCCACTCCTCCGCCCTAGGGAGACACATGTCTGTCTGGTCACCCCAGAGAATCCTTCAGGGAGCCTCCCGCCGGGCACCAAGGATGCCCATTGGCCTCGTGCACGCTGGATGACATGTTTCCATTCACCCGTCCCGCTGATCCGGACGTTGCATGTCATCTGCCCGTCGTGTCACGGTCATCTGAAGCTTATTTCCACCGGCATTAAGAGGAATGATATTGCGGTTGTAATTAATAGACATAATAATAGCTCCACGCCTCGCTCGTAAGAACAGCAACAATCCATCAAGACACTGACTCGACTGGAATCATTTCAGAGAGTAGGAATTAGGATAGACATAGGGGAGATGACAAAGAAAATTAACAGGTAAAAAAATAAAACAGGATAAATATAGAGAAAAGAATCCAAGAAATCATCCTGTCGTCAGGACGATACCCAAAAAGAATCATCATAGGATCATGACACGGGCTGCACGGCCGCCGCCGCCGGCTCCTGACTCTCCATAGCTTTCGTCTTGCGTCGCGGGATCTGTCCGTTGCGCAGTTGCTCGATCTTAATGACTCCGGGGCCGGTGCAGATGCGACCGCTCTGCATGAGACCGCGCAGTCGCTTGCGCCGTGCCTCTCCGCTCCGCTCCTCACCCCGGCCCACGCCTTCGTCGACCCACTCCACGCGCAGCACCTTGAAGCTCATGCCGTCGTGCGAACCTTCCCAGGTCCGAGACCGAACGCCGAACAAAACGCTGGAGTCATAACGCTCCAGGCGGGGCAAGACCAGCAGGGTGATGTGCAGGTCCTTCTCTGGGGGAGGCAGAGGGGGAATCTTGGGTCGATCCCCTCCCTCGGGAAGACCGGCATCTTGCGCGGTCTTTGGCGTGTGCTGATACGCATCTCTAATTTCGAGATCGAGCATGTCCACGTCGACGTCGTCGCCCCAAGCGCCGCGGAAGAATCCCGAATGGATAGCAGCCGCGACCGGGTCCGAATCATCTGTGTACACACCGGTGCCCCACAGGGCACGTCGAGCGCAGATTTCCTCGCGGTGGCTAGAGTCGATGCGATAGCGCGGAACCCGCACCGTAAAGGTACAGTTCTCCTTGCCTTCAAAGCGAGGGAGGGGGAGTGGGGTGGTCGTATATCCGAACTTGGCGCTCTCCAGCGTAGCCTTGTCCGTGGGAGTGCCAATTCGGGTGGCATACAGTGTCGATCCGAGGTGGTGCCGCGGGAGATGCGCGACGCTGGACAGCACGGGCTCGATGTTGACCATCGTTCGGGGTTCGCGCATCGGAGTGATAGCGGCCGTAGCTGCAGAAGTCGACGGACGGGGAGCGTGATGATGATGGTGATGGTGGTGGTGGTGGTGGTGATGTCCTAGCGGTGTCGCTGCAGGCATATGCTCGCCGGGAGTCGACGCACGATGGAGAAAGTTCATCGAAGACAGAGGGCGATGGACACCGCCAAGAGCGGCTGCAGCCGCTTCCTCTTCGGGTTTATGACGGTGATGATGGTGGCTAGATGTCAAGTGATTAGCTGCTAATACTCTCAGGAAAATGGGAGGAAGAAGATATGAAGACATACTGGTGGTGATGATGGTGAAGATGGCGACTCCGACGGCCACGTCCAGAACCGCCTGCACGCAGATCGGAACCGGTTTCGCTGTCTACCCGGCCCTCTTCATCCCTGGACCTCCTTGACTTTTTCCCGTTCGCGGACGGGGGACGGGCAATCCTGGGGTCATCTGTAGCAGCCTCGCCGTTGACCGATCGGCCGGTAAGACTGTCGCGCTTGAAAGGGCTGGCAGCCATCGGGGTGGAAGGTCCGCTGCCACTTGTAGTGGCAGTGACACCGCCGACACCACTTCCAATGCCAGAGAAAACACGTCCCAGTTCACTCTTGATACCCGCCTCCCCTGCAGGGCCGAGGATCTGGGCCTGGGCACCCTGCACAGCCTGGGGCAAAGGCGACGCGCGACCGCCCCGTTTGGCATCTAGACCAACACCAAGGAGAGATCGGTGCTGAAGCAATTCGTCACTTCCTTTGCGTCGCTGATCATCGGATGTTGCCGAATGGATCAGAGACGACGGGCCTGCCGACGGCGTGGACGTAAAGACGCGATGTTCGGTTTGAAGCTTACTGAGGTACGGTTGCTGAGACGGCTGCTGCTGCTGTTGGTGTTCATGAGGGGGTGGGGTGGGTTGGCTTTGGCGGGACTGCATTGACAAGGAGCCGGGACGTGACCCTGCTGTCATCTGAGATCCCAAGGACTTGGTGTAATTCTGGATGGCGCCAAACCCGAACCCGGACCCAGTCTCGGAAGCAGAAAAACGCTTGTTCTCCGGCGACCCAGGCTGAGAGCGACCGAGGTCCCACGCAGACAATCCTTGTTGGCGGGTAGCTGCAGGATCCCGCTCTCCGTAATGCGCATTATATCGTGTCGACGGTGGAGGGGCTCCTTTGGAGTCCGCTTCGTGGGCCAAGGCCCGTTCCCGGTCCCTATGGGCTTGTTCCTCCAAGTGGCGATCACCATACAACCCTCCATAACGGCCGTGCGGTTGTTCATGACCCACATACGAGCCAGACCGATGGTGTGCCGTCGCGAACAAGCTTTCCCCGGGTGCTGCGCTCGAGCGCGCCATGGGACTATAGCCGGCAGGTCGAGCGGGGGGATCGAGGTGCTGGGGCTGACTATTCGGGCGCGGAGCGGGAGCGCTGAAACTCAGTCGACGCGTTTCGCCATAAGCGGCGTCGGCGGAGGAGATCTGCGGAGACGGGTGCGTTGAATGCGGTTTATCAGGATACTGCGAGGCGGGCGGCGCCACGCGAGCCAGTCCTCCAAACTTGCTCGGTTCGGGAGCGGCGGGGTGAGAAAGCCCGCCGGAGCTGGATCGGTACGGTCGCGCCGACTGGGTTTTCGAGAAAGGCTTCTCCGGCGTGTGTGACCGTCGGAAGGGAGCGTATTCGAATGGGGAGGGTCTAGCGGGAGCCGAGGGGGGAGACATGGCGCTGGGGGCGGAGGGTGGAGGCGCGCTTCCAAACGGAGCGGAGGACACTGGCAGCCGGGAAAAAATGGACGATGATGAGCCTACATCCCGAGCAGGTCGGTCAGCGTCCGAGCCTAGCATGGAAGATATCGACATGCTGCTCCCAGGACGATGATGAGCCGGGTTGCTAGGAGGCTCACGCGACATGAAGGGGTTGGAAAGGGATGAAGTATTTCCCGATTGACCTCGTGACGGGTAATGTTGCGGCGGCGAGGGAGGAGGCATTCGACGAGTGCCTATAGACTGTGTGGAGGATTGATCTTGAGGACCTAGTGGAGAGAGATTTTTCCTTGAGGTTAGCGACACTGGTTTGAAGCCTGGCAAAAACAGAAAAAAATAATTGCGACTGAACAGCAAAACACGACGGAAATTTCCAGATCCCACAAGGAAAAACAAAAGCGAAATAAATTCCAATAGCGGGGGAAATAATCCCGAGTTAGAAAAAAAGCACGCTGCGTGTTGATGTGGGCCATTCATCCGGATCACGCTGGGAAGCGCGCCAGGACCCGACGAGGAACGCCTGGCGACTCACCAGGAAACACGGGACTGCCGCTGCTGCCCAAGGATCTTCGGCGACCCTGGTCATGCGACTGGGGAGGGTTCATGTCGCATACAAGAGAAAAGAAAAACGACAGACAGCGACCAAAATAATGACAAAGAAGAGGCCGGCAGGGGGGGGTGGCAGGGTGGTGGAGAGCAGGAAAGGGGAGAAGATAATATGATTCTACTTTGCTGATGCGAGGAAGTCCGCGCCTGACTGGGGCAGAACCCGTGACTCTGGGCCTGGAAGAGCTCGGCCGGCGCTAGTCCCGACCGGGCAAAGACGCCCTAAGACGGGGCGCTAGGTCAGGACGGGACTAGCGTTCCCGAGGTCGCCTGGGCTGGAAGTCGATCACGCGCCACAGACGCGCCCGGCGGAAGACCCGTGATTGGCCGGCGATCCCTGGGCAACAAAGTTTGGGTACCTTGATGTAATCTGCTGGAGGTATACACCAGCAGGATAGAAACACAGAACAGATCACGAGAGATACATCAAATCAAAACAGGGAACAAAACAGAAAAAAAAAGAAAGAACGTCAAATCCTACCTTCGCGGTACACCATACGACGCTCCGGGCGATTGTGCTGATTAAGATTATGACTATGATTCATGGTCTGGTTCTGGTTCTGGCTCTGGCTCTGACGATTATTAGGCTGCTTGATTTCCGCCTCCATACTATGCCGGGTCGCGACACCGCGGGTCGTCTGTGAGACGTGATACCCGCTGCTCTCTGTCCGAAATGGCGCATACACGGTCTGGGCGGCGTAGGAAGTAGACGTCGCGGGCGTCGACGAGGGCTGAGGATAGTGATAGGCGGCCGGTAGACGAGACATCTCGACTTCACTGCGACTGTAAGGATCCAGGTATGTTCGAGCCGGAGGGGGAGGAGCAGTCCCGTACGGACGAGGCGGCGGCGGAGCAATACGAGGGTCGTGCGAAGTACCCAGGAGCGGCGGATGTGGGTGATACACAGGATGAGGTGGATATTTCTGGAAATTCATCATCATCTTGGGAGAGCGGGGGTCGGCTTCTGAGGATCGTTTCCAGCATAGAAACAAAAATTTAAAAAAAAATCTGGCGACTTCGTTCGGGGGTTAGAGGGGAAGGAGAAAAAATGTCACGAAATGGCGGTGGAAGTTCAGGTCGCAAGTGGGCGGCGGCAGTAGCTATCTAGTTCGACAACAGTCCCCCAGCAACACACACGGCGGGAGATCGATCGGAATACCAGACGGTGATTCGAGTTATGAAGGAGGAAGGAATAGGATGTTGTGGGAAAAATGGAAGAATGGCGAAGATCAAATCGCGGTGATCCAAATGACGGTGGTGAAGAAAGATGTGGAGAGAGAGGGAAGGTGTAGGAGGAGAGAGAAGGCAGACCGAAAAAAATCGAAAGCAGGAAAAACCAAAAAGGAAAAGCAAAACAAGCACAGGGAGAGGAAACGGTGAGCGATGGAGAAAACGAGAGGGACATGCGACAGGCCCAAGCCAATCAATGGGGTGAAGAGCTGCTAGTTCGCTGGATTAACGACGACTGGGCCGCCGGGGCAGCGGGGGAGGAGGTGGATCCCTTTCCTTTACTCTTCATTCATCTTTTTTTTTGTTCATCCTTTCGTTCTTTCAGACGGGTCGGTGTTACCTTGTCAGTCACCGAGTTAACGGATCCATAGCCACTCTAGTCTCTCTAGCGAGAGAAAATAAAACAATTCAAAATAAAACCACAGCGAAAGAGACAGAGAAAAAGACCATGGAAGTTCTCCGAATGGCCGCTGCCCAATGGCCAAACCCCATTGATATCGGACAGTGGAAGTGGTCGCGTTGGGCGCAGAACCGTCGACATGCCGCCCGCCTGGCATGCATCGGCGACGTGTCATGCGGTCATCACTCGGCCTGCACCAGGGATTCTGGATCAACATTATCCTGGTCGATCCGTTCAATCAGGTACGCTACCACCATAGATGGGTAGATGGGTGATCCCTTGGTCGCGACCATCGACCATGTCCACTTCCAGATCAATACACAGAGAACAATCCACCTCATACGAATGACAACAGAGAAAAATAAAGCAGCCTGGAATGACGATCTCGACCCGACGGAATCCCCACCTTCCTGCTCAAGATTGCCCGCCGATCGCTCTGCGCCAGGCACCGCATCGACCGTCTATACTTCGGTGCCACTGTCGCACAGTTCGGATATTTACCTCGTCGCAATTTCCCTCATCCCACTCCTCTGTCCCGAGGAGACGGTCTGGCCAGCTTCTCTGCGCACTGGACGAGTGAAGTATTTGAAATAAAATAAGAAAAAAAATTAAAATCAAAACAAAGTGCCAACTCTACCGCCAAACATGCTTCATGTACAATGCAACCACGGCACATTCATCCATTCCGATCGAATCGCCCTTGCTTCGTGGCAAAGGTGGCTGGCCCCGTACATGCTTGACCTCATCGACCCGATTCTGGAGCTCAATAGATGCACCTCTGCGTCTCTGCGACTCCGTGTCACCTCTTCCGCCGACGTGTGACCAAGGGTGCGCTGGACAGTAAACCCCCGGCTTTGCCTCGGCGTTCCGTATGAAACACGCCGGGTGTTGTGCACCGGACATCCCTTCATATATCTAGACAGGGCGGTCATCGTCCGTACTTCGTACTGCGATCGTATCAAATGGTATATACTATTGTTGGTTTAGTTTGTTCGATTTACTGAGTTCCAAGGCTACTTTGTGTCGTCTCTCCTGCTAAACGTGAAAAGCGACCGCCACGACCGCCCTTCGCATTGACTCCAGTCCACCTCGACATAGTCCGCCCCCTCATGGACCAGGATACGCCATACAGTTCGACGCAACATCCGTGGAAGGCATGGAATCGCATCGTACCGGATTTGAAGTCCTTGCTGATGCGCGTTGTGTATTTGAGCTCTGATCCTCTCGACTTGCTGCCACGAAATGCGACCGCCGCGGGGAGAGCCGATTGAGTCGCGAAAATTGATCGTTTCGCTGAGCATTTGCGATGGGAGTGTGGAAATCGATTGGTCCTTGGACTGTTCCTGATCGTCATTCTCGGGGTTCGCAGAAATCGCGCTTCCCTTGTCATAATCCGTCGGATGCAACTCAAGGGCGGTATCAAAGAATATACTTCCGCTGGTGTCCCGGTGCCCGGAACTCCTTACAACATCGAATTCCGAGGAGTTCAGTCCCGTTATGACAATCGAGACAGGCCTCGGGAAAACCTGGACCCCATCGGTGTACGAAAGATACCCCTTCCGATCTAGCGAGGCTACTTGGGACATGATATGCGGCCATGCGGTTGATCTCGACGGGCGCAGCTGCAGAAACAATATGAAAGGCTGCGCTGGACTATGTTCTAATAGCCCCACAGGGTCGGGTCTATCAGGCGACGCCGAGGACGCCACTGCAGGGTTCCTCGCATCGAGCTTGGCCATCAGGGGCTCGATAAAAACGTTGCTGAATGTGTTGTTTGAGTGAGGTTTCGAGGAGTTGCCCACGAAAAGCTCGTCACCCCGTACCCATACGTCGGCTTTAATTCCAGCGCAGCCGGCCTTGACTGCGCGGTCAATGGCATCCGGGTGCGCTTGTGGGTCGTAGGAAATGCAGGCACTCGGACGACCGCTGAATTCCGCAGGCCATTGGGCAAGCTCTGCCTGGTCGCTCAGGTCTGAGGCCAGAAGATAAGATACTCCATAGGGTAGATTTGCAAGGAACTGAATGACCATCCTATTGAGGATATTAGTGTGTTTCCATAGCAGATTTACTTGACCCCAGCAATAAAGACATCGACTTACAGGAACATCACAAGTAGGCACACGAGCGACAACCCACGCTCGGCCCACCATCTTTTCGCCGTCGCGTACCACCTCCCGAGGAAATTCGACAGCCCCGGCGGATAAGTGGTAGGGTAGGACCGAAGCGGATGATCCTCCAAGAGTACCCAGGAGAGCGAATCATACTCTTTGAAGTCAACGGGGTAGGTGTCACCGACCACCCTGAGATTCGCGGAAGTGGTCATTTGCAGAGAGGAGCCCGGTCAAGAGCTTGGACGCATCCAGAGCGGTCTTACGCGATGATCGACAACGCCGACGGAGCGGTGAAGCTGTTGGACAGATCGCGAGCTCAGCTCAGCGGGATCAAAGAGGGAAGAAAAGGAGACGGAGTACGAAAGAAGGGGAAGGAGAGCTTCCCCGAAATGGGCAACATGACGATGAAATAAATAGGAGAAGCCAAGCAGGCAAGCAAGCTTTGCGGGATGATGGTCCCGGAGCACGCAATTGCGGGTTGTGATGGTTCACAGTCTAACGGGTTGTCGGGCCTCGTCAATCTGTTGCACGAGGCACAGGGGTTGATTTAGGCTCCGATCCTGCTTGCTTCCTGTTACAGCATACAGACATGACCGCAGTGACAGGACGTATTTCGGAGAGAGGAAGAAGAAGCTATTCGGTAGTGTACCGTGGACGGGAGGCCGCCCGGTGGATCTGCCAAGACCCATTCGCGTCTCTGCTTGATTGTCCGCGATTTATTCCCCACCGGGGAGACTACCTTACCGTAGTTAACCAGGGAACCTACCACTCTCCGAGAAGGGCTTGATCTAGGCACGGAGACATCAATGGATACGTAAGAGGTAGCCGGGGTCAGACTGCCAGTGACACACACCGAGGAGTGCACAGTGCCTGCATAGCTTAGCGTTCAAATAAATAGGCTTCATCAGGTTAATAGAATCTTGGTTGATTGAAATCGAATATCGTACCTCATTACCAGCATTAGACCCCATTTTCGTGGCGTCTCTGAGGTGTATCTCAGACCAGTAACTCTCCCCTAGACGTCTTTTCTACTCTAAGAATACACCCCCGGTGACATCGGACAATGTGACAATCTCGACACAAGTTCCCTGGCAACAGTGCAGTAGGGCGGTCTTTAAATACATCTATAACAGGCGGTGGACGACCTGCATGATTGCGAGGGTGTGCGGGTAGGAGAGAAGTACCCCCACTTACTAGTACTCCGTATATCCCCTTCATCAATCCTCCTTTAGCACTCGGTGCAGGTCAAATACGAGGGTGATCTAGGATGATTAAATTGATAGAAAAATGTGTTTTATTAAAGAACAATGATAAACCAGAAAATATACATGGGTAATAATTATTAGATGAGACGGGGTATAGGATTCCGGTAGTTATTATGTATCCGGTTTAGTTAGTAGTCTCTGCCGATGTCTGCCTCACCTAGGCAGACGCCTGTGGCGGGTATAATGAATAACTATATTTTTGTATCGTAGTAGTAGGTAGGGATCTCGACCGCGGCTATCTTATCGAACAAATAGTTGATTGTTTTTTTATCTTACCCGGATCTGTATCAGCGTAGAGGAGTATGCCTTTTACATGTCTTTATAGAGCCGGAGGGTATACTTGTTGGAGATAAGAATTAGCTAACGTGTAGGCCTAGCTATGGGTCTGGTAGGATTGCCGCTGTAAATCTATGCACGCTCCTATTCCTTATGGGCCAGCTCCTTTGCTTGCCGTCTTAGGGGTGGTGCGAGGTTCGGGGCAGGGACAGAGGGGTGCTTACATGCCGTCTTCGCTGCCTTGTCAGCCCATTCGTTAATCCGTTTGAATATACGCTGAGCCCAGTCTTCCAGTTCCAGCGTTGAGAAAACAACCTCCTCCCCTCCAGCCGGCGGCTCACGGGGCATAATGTCACGGAATGACAGGCGCAAATCACAGGAAGCCCGGTAGATAACCGAATTTCCCATGGGCGTCAACTCAACACTCAAAGCAATTTCGGGGTCGGTTGGTGTTTCTAGCATCTTCCAAACCTCGAGCTCGATAGTCCGCGGCTGCCGATCAAGACGTATGATAATCACGATATTCACAGGAGGGTCTATATTGGTTAACCACTACCTGGCATCTTGTGCGAGCTCACCCTTGCTTTCACTAAATTCCACACTCGATGACAAGAGTCGGTGAGACGGACCCCATTATTATTTCGGAACAGGGTGCAATAGCGGCATCGGCCTCTTTGGTTCTTGAATCACCCAGGTATGTCGTGCTTCCTACCGGATCCAGATCTTGTTCTAGGACTCCCATTGCCCCCATCTTCATCATGAGATCTAACTGGAATACTTGAGCTGCTCTCTCATGCCCCCGCGATAGAGTGGGTCGAGTATCTAGCTCGTGGGTTTTGAAATCGTAACTTCGTCTACCCCCAAGTTTGTATTCGTCCAACTTTAACCATATAGCCTCGGGAACGTCTGTAACTCGAATAAACTGATTATGACTGCGTCCGGACTGAAAGGTGTCTATCTGTTTGTACGCAAATTCCCGTATGCCACCCATGCTTTTGAATCGTTCTGTCGGCATAGGCGAGTTTGAGGAGGAGGAGACGCGTTTTCACACTCACTAGTTTCAACAACACTTTTTGCTCGTTAGAAACCTGGATGTCGAAGGGGCTCGATGACGCGATCACTTACTTGGAGTTATCCATACGGCGAGAAGAGAGAGGGGTTAGTCTAGAAACGGAGGAAGGTGCAACGGTCAAAGATGATGAGTTTTAAATCGTAAGACTGATATCATTCACCGTTAAAGTCTAATGTTCGTGACTCAAGGAAATACCTCCGTAATTAACTAGATCTTATATAGATTCACTAAGTATTTCAATTTTTAGAGTATCTTTAATCAGGTCTTTGGCATACTATATAACATTAAGTAGATCAGGGATATGATGATTTCTTATGCCATTCTTTCCCTTCTGTGAGCAGGGGCGTTTGGGATGTACCTGCTTATAAAATCTCTATGGAATGTTCTAGAGCCTGCACTTGTCCATGGCCGACGAAATTACTGAGTGGGTAGGTAAGCTCTACCTAAGTTTGTCTAGTGGGATAGATCGTAGATTTGCTATGAGAAATCTATGTTGGTTTTTCTTTGCTTATGAATAGTTATAGATCACCGGGCTACTACTATATAGTAGACCTTCTGCTGGCAGGATTATGAAAAGCAATTTTTATTTTTCTGTTGCGGATTGACCGCTACCTAGGTTAGCAAAGGGAACCTCCTAGAAGGGCTCATTCTAGGCGAGAAAGACGAGAAAGACGAGAAATCCAAGATGGTGGACGGGTTCAGACTGCCACCGGTGACGCACGCAGAGGAAGCGGTCATATAGAACGGAGTAGAAGAAGTGTACAGCGCATCGAGGCGTAGTAGGCACGCTGAGTAACTCGCTCCCTGTCTTTCTCTCTCTATGCGCTTCTGTCGATTCTTTCAAAGATCGACTTAGTCCAGTCCTCCAGGTCCTGTTTCGAAAAGACAATCTCCTCCTCTCCGACCGGTGGTTTGCGGAGCACTATATCTCTGAATGACAGGGTAAGATCACGAGATGCGCGGTAATTGTTCGTGTCGTCCACGGGTGTTAAAATGACCTTCAAAGCAATTTTAGAACAGAGACGATTGCAGTCACGACTGCAACTATGGTCTTCCCTGGAAGTTAGAAGCTTCCAGACTTCAATTGCAATGGTCCGGGGCCGCAAATCGAGATACATGGTAATGACTATGTTGACAGGTGGTTGCACGCTGGTTAGCCACCACTTTGCGTCTCTCAAGATCTCATTCCGACACTCGCTAATACCACTCAAAATGAGGAGGGTCGGGGGATTGTTCTCGCGACATCTTTCGCGTCTTTCGGGAATGGGTAACATGGCTGAGTCGGCTTGTTTATATAGCTCGAGCGACCAAGGTGCATCTTGGATGGGCTGAAATGATCTATATTCACTTCCGGGAAGCCGAAATCAGATATCTTTACGACAAGCCGTGTTATGAACCACCGATGAGCTTGCCCATGTCCCCGTGAAATCTCCAGCCGAATCTCCAGTTCTTGATACTCGGTATCGTAACTTAGTCGACCTCCAAGGTCCAGCGCCTTAACGCCTATGAAGGAAGACTGGGGAAAGTCAGTTATTCGGGTAAATTGATGACAGCTGCGTCCGCTTTCAAGATCTTCTAGGCTCTTCCGCGCAAATTCTTTTAGTCTTCGGAATGTTGTGAATTGCCGTGGGGGCGAAGGAGGCCTGGGAAGGAGGAGCGGCATCTTCAAGCTCGCTGTCATTTTTGCTCGTCATGCTGGCAGAAGAAAGAGGCGAGCGGAGATGTCAACGTGAGCTGGAAATGAGGCCAGAGTTAGGGAGAGGTAATTCTAAATTAAGAGGAATACGCGTTGAAGATGATGGTGCAATGTCTTGGTGAGTTTTATAATATATAAAAGATCTGGATGCGTTAGGTAACCGCCAAACCTTCGCTCAAGGCAAGTTCCGAAGATCTCTATACGAAACGGAAGATTCCATGAACGAAGCGTGAAACTTCATGAAATCAGCCACGAAGATCAAAAGACCTTCTTGACGCCTATATAGTTGATCATCTTGAGCCAACCAATTCAATCAATTTCTTCATTCTTGACCACTTCGGCAGCCTACCCCTGGCATCCAATATTCCTACATAATTCTGTAGTTGACTCGAGCTTGTATCATCCAACTGAAAATTCTATATCATAAAGTCATGTTATTCACATTTTTTCAAAGGTATATAGTTTTAGTTATATTATATACCCTATTTTCCCTTTATTAAGCCGAGGCATTTTTGATATTCCTGCCTTGATAAATTCCACTATAAGATCACAGGTATTGCCTCCGCTATGATTAAATTATACGGGGCAAATTATTGCCGGAGATAATAACACCAATAATAATGCCCTGTTACTATGTAAAGACCTTCCAGCAAAAGAAACCTGCATAATAGAGAGATGACACATCCTCTATCATATAGTAATTCTAAATGGCAGGTTATCTGACTTACAGATAATCTCGCTCTTTTGTGAAAGATTAGTGATTTGAAGCGTGGAAACCTGATTTGCAGTTACGCATAGTCAAGAGACAGCATAGATATCATTATCAACCTGGATTGCTTGATTATTGTAGCATTCTTCAGCTTCATCCCGGCATTTAAAGGGCTAGGAAGAATTAAGTTTATCCTTGCATGCCGCTATCGGTCGCAAACAGAATCAAGAAAACTGACACATTCCAAACCCTTCGTATCTGAAATTTAACTCCGAAGGGCCTATTCCTGATCCCACTATGCTACATAGAATTCTTGGCTATCAACCCCAGTCTAAGGCAACAAGCTACGTCATAATAGATATCCTAGAACCTCACACCGTAGGGCCTCGTGTCAGCCGACACGCAGGAGATCGGCAGCCACTTACTTAACGACAAGCCTTGGCTCTTCAGAGCCTGCATGGTGATCCTTGACAAGCGTCCATCCATAGCCATAGGCTGACGCGGGACTCTGAAGTCAGCATGCGGGGCTGCCAGTCCAGCTGGGAATGGGGCATTTTGTCTGACAAGCTGAACCCAGCCCATCTGAGTAGGATGACAAGATCATAGATGAATATTCTTACCCCTGGACGCCGTACTTAGACCTTACTACGAGTTTAAATCCTCTTCTGGAAGCTTTTGCGCTGTGGAGAGCTAAGCTCTCGGTTCTATTGCTCGGACATCGTCACCCTTGTTTGCTAGAATGGAACCGGAAGATCGAGTGGGACGGATTCATAAGGATGCGTTTGTCGTAAGTCATCTCCAAATATTTCTTTTCAACTCTCGTTCTAATCGCGTAATGCTACGCAATAGATCACAACGGGGTGCGGTCTCGCACTTGCTCTCCTCGGCGCAACCATTCGCTTCCTCATTCGGATCCGCGTCCAAAGACAGCACATCACCATAGACGATGGATTCCTGATCCTGGCGGTCATCCTCCTAATCACGTTCAGCGCCCTCATGTACGAAGAGGTAGTCGGTCCGATGTACCTGTTCGCCGCTCTACAAAATGGCGTTGAGGGAGTGACCATCGACAATTCAGACATCGTACCTATGACATACCGGTATCACAAGTTTACGATCGTCTGTGGAATGCTGGGCTGGACGTCGTTCAATGCCGTCAAGTTTAGCTTCCTCTTCTTCTTCCGGAAAATCATCCATCATTTGCGCTACTGGCGCATGTATTGGTGGTTCGTGGTGGCTTATACGTCGTGTCTGTTCGTATATGGGCTTTTGGTGTATTATCTTTCATGTCCGTATATCGACGATCCAAGGATATGTAAGTTTATATGCTTGTTGATTTCACATAAATCAATTGTACTAAGCGAACAAACAGTTCAATGCAACGCCGGGACCGAAAAAAATAGAAATATCATCCATTCAGCCGTAAACATTGCCCTGGACATAGTCGGCGATTTGCTCAGTACGTTACCCCCTCTAACTCAATGCTTCCCTATCTAAACGTCATTTAGTTCTTGCGATCCCTGTCCTTCTCATCTGGACTATTCGTATCCAACGCGTCCAGAAGTTGATCCTCTCGTGCTCTCTCTGCCTCACCATCTTCATCATTGGCTTCTCTATTATCCGCGCTGCCGGCCTCGTTCATAACGGTGCCGTCGACACCACTTGGGCAATGTTCTGGCACTTTATAATTGCAGAGGTTGGTGTCCTGGTGACTAGCGCAACGGCGTTTCGGTCGTTTTTCGTAGCTAGAAAGAATTCCCGTCAGGGGACATACGACAGACGGGGTAGGGTTGATAAGGCAGATAGGGTGAAGGGTAGGCCATTTCGGGGGTGGAGAGATGGAACAAGAGGTAATGGTGTGGATGAAAATGGGATGGGGCTCGAGATGGAGGAGGGTTTGTATGATGCGGATCGGGATACAATGCCTCTTAGGCCTGACATAGTGCTTGGGAAAGGGTCGCGATGATATCTCTAGATGAATATAGGGTATCGAACCCAACCACCACAGTATTAGATGCCATTTTCATGAAATTTCTTTTAGATATTCTAGAGCTATCCCTCGTTTTTAGTTTCTAGGTCCTGCGATCGCTCCTCTCGAAAAACGATCGGGTCCATTCTTCTAGGTCAAGTTTCGATAGAACAACTTTATGCCCACGGACCGGTGGCTCTCGAAGCATGATCTGTTCTGAAGGTAACACGAGTTTTCCAGAGGCGTGGTAGCTGTTGGTCTCATCGATGGGTATTAGATTGATTTTCAAAGCTCTCCCTGGGTACGGCGCTGTCTCATAGGAGAGAGCTTCCAGACCTCAAATGGTGCTTGATCGATTCCTCAAGCTGCTAGAGCTTGTCGTCACGGAGCATTATCTCTTTAAATGGCATTATTAAGTCACAAGAAGCCCGCTAAAGTTCGAATCGATCACAGATTCCAAGAAACATATTCCAAAATTCTAGTTCGATTTCCCGCGCCTGCTGATCAATGCGTCTATCAAACGATGCTCACAGAAGCAGATATGTTGGTGAGCCACCACCTTGCATCTTTTTCAAGCTCAATTCGCTTTTCAGTCACCCAACACACGATGGCTTATTTCGGGACGAGCTACAATGCAATATTCGGCTTCTTTGTAACTTCAGTTGCCCCGGTATAACGTGCTTCCTACCGGAATCATTTTTTGCTCTGGCTTCCAAAAACGAGGTGACAGGTTGGGCATGTGTTGAAACAATGCTGACCGGCTTGTAGTTCATACGAAATCACGTCGTGCATGACGATCAGCAATTGACCGCTTCCAGAGTGGCACGAAAAACCGGGTTTTTATCTTTCAACACGGAAATCTTTGTCTTCGAAAGACTTTCTTAATTTCCCCTGTTTTGGTGTAGACCTGCCTTCGAGGTGGATATCCATCGCCACGTCGAGCACTTAGGTCGCTAAGCAAATGGTTGACTAAAAGTTTCATCAGCACGGTCTTGATCTTGAGCCGAATCCAGAATATCAATAATAGAAAGAATCCAAATGATCGAAGGCAGGCAGTAGATCTCGGTCCAGGACGTAACCCTTTTGTGAATCGTTGATCACCATGTTGATGAATGTTTTCATCAAATCCTCGTATTGTATGGCATTGGTGATCTCTGATACCCGGGACGATTCGATGTAACACGTTGGGTTTGTATTATCGCGGAATTCTGCGACCATGCACTCCACCAAGGCATTCAAGGCGGCTTTTCGCGGGTTTCAATTTTTCCATTCTTGATGCGCTGGATGAGCTCATCGACATTTTGAGGTCGTGATATAGAGAGGAAAGGTGATACCATGATTAACAGGACACCGAACGCTACAAGATGAGTTCGATCAGCCTAAGAAGGGAGGAAATGAGGGGAAAGGAGGACGAGTCTAGGCTAGCTGACGGCGCTAATGCATGATGACCTGGTTCGTCTTGGGAGCTTGGAGCTGATAGCTCACCTGACAAGGCTGTTCAAACAAAAGACTTACAGTAGGTATGGCAATCCCGGGTATTACCCAGCGCTTTCCAAAGCCGCTCCTCGCATTTACTTGGCTCGAACTTCGATAAAAGAGCTTTTGCGGCTCTTTTTAGGCCAAAACATGCTGTAGTCGGCTTCTTAGAGGGCCGAGAGAGAAAAATAAAAAGGTACTCTAGGGTCAAGGGACAGTAGGTTACAGCTACATTCTATCCTTCACTACCAGAGTAAATTACCAACATAGTAAGAAATAGATAGAAAATTTGAATTTTCAGAGTTTATAACATTTTTTTCGCGGCAACAAACCCCTGTAAATAACTGGATTATCGGACCTTGGTTAGATAAACTACTTGTATGTAACTACCATCCAATCAATAACATGATGCCCTCCGTGTTTGATAATATCACTCTATTAGTGGCCTGTTCAAAGTGATTGGATTTCGAAATTTTGCTTGGAAGGCTAGGTAAAATTTTTCCGTGATCATACCGTATTTGGTGGCCTATCTTTCCCCTTTTTCCGTCTGGCGTAATAGTGGTGGGATATCCCGCAGGAAGTCCAGGCAATTTTTATAGTTTGGTAAGGAACTAGCTCTTCAAACTTGAGGACTTCTAATTTAATTTCAATTGTAATTTAACCACGTACTATTAATCTAGCCATTAACTATTAGCCGATGCTAACGTAATCGGTAAGCGAGTCGGCCACCTTGGCCGGCTTGGCGGGCCAGCGTATATACCTATCTTACACCAAAAATGAAGCTTTTCATATCTAAATTTAACTGTTTAGAAGCCCGGGGTTAGATAGTTTGATTCGGGCATCTTGTACGTATATGTCCAACAACATGACACCGACTACACCGCGGCGGCGCCCGCCGACGTGACTGACTATCCAGAGGTCCTGTATCACCAGCTGCTTCCTCCGCAGCCTGCGCGTTGGCGAAGGCCTCACGGGCTTCCTGAATTGTGAAACCATCCAGACCATGCATCTGGTGTTGATTGCGCTGTTGCGTTCTTTTTCGTCGTTCAACAGTCTCACGAAGTTGAAGGTTTTCATGCTCTAAGAGAATCGCCCGATTCAAGGCTATCTCTACTCCCTTAAAGATGTATGATAACGCTGGTTGCATACGTAAAGCCAGAGAATCTGCTTATTTGAAGTAACTGAGAGATTTTTGGCTCATGTTTCTTGAATTGGTTCGAATTTAAAGGCGTTTTAGTAATAGTTGAAGTAGTTTTTTGGCTGTTTCGCCGGCTCTCCTCTCTGTAGAAGATGAGGTTATCCAGAACCTTTGTCGGGTCAAAAGGAACAATTCCGGAGGCTTTGAAAGCACTCTGGATATTGGCCTTCTTAAAGGCTTGGACGTGAGCTTCTAAATAGATATCAAGAAAGTCAACTTTATCGATATGACGATATCCTGTTCGTACGAGCCTTTCAATAAGATTGCTGTAGGCCCTTTTAAATGGTGAAAAGCAGGCTATATCCAACGGTTGACAGAGATGAGAGGAATTGGCGGGCATGCAGATCGGTTTAATATCATATTGACGACATATATCATCAAATTGAGGTGTTAAATGGGAGTCATGTCCGTCAAGGAGTAAGAGGCTATATTGGCCTGTTCTCCGGGCCTTAATATAAGGAATAAAGTGTTCCTTGAGCCAGTGTTTACCGATTTTTTATAAATCTGCATCTCTGATAGAGTCTACCGCTATTCAATAAAACAGCAAGAGTGGACGCCTTGGATGGAAACATGTGGAGGTCAAGCAGCAATTCCACCCACACTAATAATCAAGAGGATCTGGTTATGCAGATCCAAAGAAAATAGTGAGATATATGGTGCAAATATTCATTTGTCTCTAGTACGTACGACCACAGGGTGTGGAGAACAGGGCTTCCCGTCCGCTCAGCCGTACTTAAGCCACCTATTGAACGCGTCTAACTAGAAGATGTACCCTTTGTAAGTTGCTGCTTTATGGGTGAGCGCTGCTAAGTTACCGGGTGAGCTTGGGTGATTGGGGTGATGTTGTGTAGAGCGCGGGTCAGTAGGGTGAGCCTGGTGAGTAATTGGATTGGCAAGTGGGTGACCCAAGTAGTAGTTTTTAAAGTATTAAATAGGGGTATACTACCGGTTTGTCAATTGTTTTTTACTATTCGGTATAATCATCAACAAATAGCATCAAGGGTGATCCCATATGAAACTGTGGAAAAAATACCGCTGCACTAAAAAGGGTCAACCCTTAGTAGTAAGGGCTTATAGTTTAGGGGACAGAAATATAGTTGATTTCTATAGAAAATAGAAGGCAGCCTTTCTACTAAAAGGTAATAATAAAAAAATAAGACTATAGCTATATAATATATATATTAGGCCCTAGCCTATTGCTGTGACGGTCAACAAAGGAGCTTAGTAAATACAAGTTTGTTTATGACTCGTAATCAAGGAATTTTCCCATGGAGAGGAAAGGCTATATAGGAGCGAGGATCTAGGGACTCTATATACTGCCTGAGGATTCACCTCAGGCAGGAAGGCTCCATGAGCATCCAGGAAGTTTCCTGGATGCCTACCGGAGAGTCCCTTGATCCTATACTAACTAACCGGAACGTTCCTCCGTACCGGGAAGTTCCTTGGCTTCAGGAGGTGACAGTGGCCTACATGCCTGGTGTTATGTTCTGTGGCCCAGTAATGCCCGGCTTTGAAACCTCTGTGATATCTTTATAAAGTCCAGTACTGCGCCCAAGATGCTACTATTTTATATACCATTCTTCTTACCTTTCTTACCTTGTAGGATCACTAAAATAGCCTTAAAGACAGTCTCTATTCTCTATATCTCCTAGTATATTTCTCAGTCGAAGGCAGGCTGCTAGGACATAGACTACTACCTCTGGGTAAATTTTAGCTAATGATATTCTTACCCTCCTTTAGGACTTTCCGTGTTTATAAAAGGCGAAAATTATATCTCCTAGTCTAAATATCTAACAGAGATCCTGTGGACACTAGAGGACTAAAAGCAGGAAATTTAATAGTATATTTGTTATAGCTATATTTAGCTTGTAGTGTGATGTAGCAGAGTAATAATAATTAGTATTAGTTAATATAAATAGTAAAGGCTTATTATGAAAGTGGTTGCATAGGTTGTTATAGTAAGGGTAGGACTTTAAGTTAGGCTGTGAGTGGATGGGTAGCGGTACGCCGTACTTATTAGTATTTCTGATATAGCTAGTCTAGGTAATTAAGAGGTAAAATTAGTGTCGGTTGACTTGGTCATTGCCCTAAGCAGATATCCTATCGATTCAACTGAATATAGGTATATGCTCGGTGGGTAAAAGTGAAGTGTCATTCTAAACTACAATCTGCCTAGCTATTTATAGTTCCACTTGTTTACACCTATGCATTCCTGATCCCTTGGTATGCCATTTGGAATGGTAGGCCAAGTCTAGGCCAAGCAAGGTGCTGTGCGGTATGTGGATTAGGTCAAGATACTCCACCTCTCTGGTCTGGTTGATAA